ACGTAATTGGCTGCTATTGCTTCTTGTCAATTATCTAGTCAAAGTGTTGATTTAGCTGTAGTTACCCCCTATGTATTACTGTTATACAGTTGTTTAGCTAATCAGCTGGTAATTTGTTGTTGTTTAGTTAAACCGTGATCGTTGTCAGTGTAAATCGGGTATTTGATCTTCTTTCATTGTAATCTATGATAACTAGCTGATGATAACACACCTGTGAACCTGTTACCACGTTAACATTACTACTATATTCTTGTTTAATGACACCCTGATCTGTGGAGCAAAGCTCGATGACATTGGACATGCCTCCGTAATCTACAAGTTGCTGTAATATAACCTGATGTTTGTTTGTTTGTTTGTTTGTTTCTTTGTTTGTTTGTTGTTTAACGCCGCACTCAGCAATATTCCAGCTGTATTACTGCGGTCTGTAAATAATCGAGTTGGGACCAGACAATCCAGTGATTGACACCATGAGCATCGATCCACGCAATTGGGATCGATGACATGCATCAACCAAGTCAGCGAGCCTGACCACCCGATCCCGTTAATCGTCTCTTACGGCAAGCATAGTCGCCTTTTACGACAAGTATGGGTTGCTGAAGACCTATTCTACCCCGGAATTTTCACGGGTAATATAACTTGAATATGTATGTCTTCGGTATCATATAGCGTGCACTCACTCTCATCCCCGAACATCAAGACATAACTTAACCCCTATTAATGTACTGTTTCGTGAACATTTAACATATTAACAATCAAACCGTCTGCTGTTGAAAGAAACTATAGCTCTCAGCCCTCTTTCTAAATATTAAAGATGAACAAATAAGAACTTAATGTAAGAAAACCGTAGCAATTAAATGCAGATTATTAAGATAAGAGTACGCGATTTACTAGCTTTGAACGATTTGCTTCGTACGTGGACTTTGTCACTAACGCGTGTCTTATTTAGTCGTCGTATTTAACTCAAACCATAATATCCCAATTAAAAGGTATGTTTCAATTGTGTTGTCCACTGGATAACCAGATAAACCTATTGTCTGTTCAGGCCTTTATTGATTTGATTATTTTATGTCTGTGATTCGTCGACGCTCAACCTCTCCTAATGTGACATTTATTCTGAATCCGTTTTTCCTGGACACCCACACAGTGTTGTAGTGAATTCTGTGTGTACGTTTATTCTATCAACCTTTATGTGTAAAGGCATCTTCGTGAACATTATCGTTGTATGCAGATGCCACCATACTTTCGTGTGAAAACCCCCCGAAGACATTATAATTACAAGGGATATTTTCTCATTCATGCATGTTCGAAATTATGCACATGTTTAAGTGTTAAGAAAAGTACAGCTTGAACCAATGTGTACTGAGATAGAATGATGAACGATATGAACGTTTTTAATGTCATAAATTGATTGTGATAGTATCCTTTGTCAGTTTGTCAATATGCAACCTAAGTATTTCGTGCGAATCAATTTAATACACCGGGTTGTTGACGTGTCAACGTACCCCTACTTCGTGAATCGTTTCTCATTGTAACGATCACTGGATCGTTTGATCCGGAATCGGTTATTTACAGAAATATTCACTGGAATATTGCTGAGTGCGGCGTTAAACAATACATACTAACTTTTTTTCAAACTGGAGCGCGGTAGTCACTTTAAATAGAGACCATATACATACATATATGTAGTTCAATGTAAATCACTCACTCTGTTTCACATATTCAACAGAACATATATATTAACTAGCTGTGAGGCGAAATATCAGATTTGTACGTGAAGTCGAATGGGGATCCGGAGGTTAAAGGATCCCTCACTGGTTAGCTTCTTGTTTACTTCAGATGGATTGGCTATGTTATATGAGATATAACCAAAAGCCGGCTGAGATAACGGGCGGTAGCTCCCGCCGAAGGAGCTGTAGGAGCTGTAGGTGCGGTAGGAGCTGTGATTGACTGACTCACGTTTTTCCTTTCCTTTGTTAAAGACATAGACAGACCAACCAGGAAATGCATCGATGTAACATCAATATCACATGTTACAGATGAACCCGTTAAATTCATCACACAATAGAATAATAGTTTGATAATACCAAGTGAGTGATCATGTACACGTTCGTTGTTGTAATGAACATACTTGTCAAATGTTTAGGGGATACTGTCGTCCGGCATCGACGATAACTATGATATCCTTACTTGTCATCGATGTATTGACATCGGACAATGGACGACCATTCGATATTCATACTTGGGCTATAAACAGCTTCAACAGAGATCAGTGACTCAGTCAGCTTGACGTGGCAAGGAAGTTCTAAACTTCCCCAAAATATAAGGTACTTGGCCGATGGAGTGTCGAGACTCAAAAGATCAAAAGAGCAACTTTACTCACAATAGTAACCAGGTTCTTGAACTAAACTAGACAATCGCGGGAAAGTTGGTTATCAACGGATTTCTAGAAACACGGAGTATGACAAACCCCAGCTAAAAGTGTGATATCCAGACTGATGGAACGGGATCGGCAAACGGGTGCGGTTAAGATTAGGGGAGGTAGAAGAAGATATTGAAAGACAACTCCCAAGCGAGGTTCTGTTTACCCTTTACAGTTAGTAGTGAGTAAATGAATGGGTTTAATGCCGCTTTTAACAGTATTCCAGTTATATCACGGCATGTCAGCTTAATGTGGGAGGAAAGCCCGAAGTGATGCAGGTCTAAGACGTTTACCACTTTTGTGAAACCCACGAGCATGGGTATGGTGCTGACAAACCTAGAAACATAATCCGGGCGGAGCGGGATTCGAACCCACAATCATAGTTTTCTGGTGTGCCCAAGAGACGCGACCTAGACGACTGGGCCACCCGTGCCCCCTTACAGTTGGTAGACAACGTGTTTGGAGACGGCCTGGAGTGAGGCACTATCCTGCAGATAGGTACGGTGGAGCCTTCGTTACATTTAACTTGAGTGAGTGGGTGAGTGTGTGAGTGGGTGTTCATGAGGAATGAGTGAGTGAGTGCCTGAGTGAATATATGAATGACCATTCATATATACCACAGTCAACAATATTCCAGTTACGTCAGTAACTAGTCGATTATGGATCAGACAAACAACTGGATGACATCACGTACAACGATGACACACACTCGGCCAATTCAACATAATATAACCACCCAATCTTCATTTCGGCTCTGATCATCAATCACCAGAATCCTGTCACCCTGTGATTGTTGCAATGATGACAATGCGCCCAACGCGCCGAACATTGTTATTCCGGACAACTCATGACTTTGCATTCCGAATGTATAAACATTTTCCTGGGGAGTAATACAACCCATGCTGGCTGCTAGAAACTGGAAGGTGTTGCACTCAGTTTACCATCTCATCCTACCGGGTACCCATTTGCAGTTGGGAGAACAGAGACACATATCGAATAAAGTCACTTACCTTGGGGGACAACTTCACGTGTTTAACGACATCTCAAACCTCCGGTGTTTTTGTATGATGTATTAAACATAATAAATAGTTAATTTCGCCCTTATACTGAATCTATCAACACATCCTTTATGTTAAAATATATTGCCTAGTTGCCTCGACAATTCCATTCAGTATGGCAGTTCACGACACTGACCGATTTTAGGCTTTGTTAGTAAACTGCGATACGCTGCGTAATCTGCGGAACTGATAAGGCCAACAATAGATCCGATCAGAAACGTGAAACTGCAACTATGTGCAGTTAGACGTGTCATCATTGTCCATGAATGCATTGCGGCAAACAGAAAATGACAACGAATAATGTTTCTTTTCCAGTAATAGTCACCTCGTCCACACGGACAATCGTACACACCAACCTCTTCACGAGAGAGAAATACATACATGATGTATATGTCTATTTCTCAATCACTGTCAGCCCTACGCTAATGCATATGAGCTACATTTATGACAAGTATCTTAAAGCTCGCAAACAACAATTACATTAATAACGCCTTTTTACGTTTACGTGTGGTGATTTCAGTGGCACCTAGATGTCCAAATTAGTGAGTCGTGGAGACGTAGTAATATCTCTTTAATTGTTATAATATACAGACGTTTCCGGCAGAAAACGCTTGAGTGACCGGTTTCCGTAATAACTGGGTCCGGACCAATGGTAGAAGACATTAAGGTTCATAAGTAAAGACCACTTCCATGGTCTAGTGGTAGAGCGTCCGCCCGGAGACCCGAAGTCCGGTGTTCGATCCAGGACCGCGTCATACCAAAAGATGTTTAAAAAGCATACTTCTTGTTACCCTGTCTGGCGCTCGGCATTAAGGGGCTAAAACAAGGACAGGTCGGCTCGGAGTCAGTATACTGTGTCTGTGTGGGGTATTCATGTCAAACTGAGGCATGTTATCTCAGTGGGCTAGCACTATAAATTCGGCATTAGTTCGGACAAGTACAAGTAGCAACACACGCACGGCGAATAATGTGTGTTGTAACCGCCATGTTCATTTGTCAATGAGGCTATTCAAACATATAACTTCCAAGTATTCACAGTATTCCTACGTCAGTTCCATATAGATTCAACTGTTGCGTTTTACTCATTGCATGGTCGAGAACAACGAAAACGTTCTCGCAACGAAGTTCGTGTGTGAGCGAGGAAACTATGAAAACAAAACATTCAAGTATTTTAAATAGAAGTGGCGTAAGACAAGGTTGTATGTTAAGTCAAGTTCTTTTTATACATTGTATCTGCATGACATTTAAATCGCTTTGTCAAAATTTTATTTGTGGAAGAAAGTTTGGATGAAATGATATTAAAACGGTTCACTGAGGTTTTTAATTTGTCTATTTAATCACACCACAATCTGGTGATCCGTGTATGAACATACGACGGGGATCAGTAGACCCTTGTATTGACACCCACATCGAACATCTTTTTTCTATGTACCCAATCGCCAATTCAGCACAACATCGATCTCATACATATGCAGGACACTCCGTCCCTACGTGTTTCATTCCGTCATCTACACCCTGCGTCACTTAAGACATTCAACACACACCAGTTGCAAGCTGACAGGCCGTGTTGTAACCTCAATGTTACACACCTGCCTGACGTACTACCTTGCATAGAAACTGTGTCGTTGTGACCTGATAATGGATGTTGATTCACTGGGGCTTATCAGCCAGTATGGCCTGAATAGAGCGTCCTGTTACACATACCCGGCCGATGTCCGGACTCCCGCAAACTAGGTCGTACAGTGATTTCGACATAAAGTACGGTATTCCTCTACCTGTACACAAACGTTGCTATGTGACCTTAAAACAAGGAAATCTAGCGGTCGGGGACGAACGCAGGCAGTAATGGACGTACGTGTTTTCAGTGGAGTGTGTGTTATACTGTTGGGAGCATTATTCCCCTGTTCAGGTGGGTATTGATCTTCATATCGTGTGTAGTAGGTCATCCATGTAATGAACATAGCAGTACCTAAATATAGAACTTTTAAGCATTTATCAAATGGCTTATTGCAGAATATGTTTATAGATAGTTAGAAATTATATTAGAATGACATTGTGTACTAAAATACGTTCAAATGAAATGGTATAAGGATAAATCATATGGTGTAAGGTGTGTATTCACAATATGCTTAGCGCTTAAACAAAATGGCAGACGAATGATTGCTTAATGTTTACACACACTGAGTGACACACCCTGCGTGCGTTCCAGACAACACACCAAAGTGGCAGACAATCTGTTTGCAGTATTTCAGTATCGATACATATGATATTGGAAGATGAGGATATATAACCTTTCAAATAGTTAAATATATTATATGATTCTGCTTATATATTCTCCGTGAAGGATGTGTCGTTGCAAGGTATTACTTCGTATATTTTTCGTATAATTGTCGATAATTTTCGATGTGTCGTTGCAAGGTGTAACTCCGTATATTTACATTCGTAGCAGGCATAACAAAACCATTTACAGCTTCATAATGTTGAGTTTTTACTTTCTTATCAATATCAAGTCAGGAAATATGCATGCGTATGTTTTTAGCAACATTCCCGCAATATCAAAGCGTGTCACACCAGATATGGGCAAATATTTTGAACAATTGTTAACTCTGATTTCTGTATTTTTCAGTTTCAAAGGTTGGATGTTTGCTAAGAACACGTCTTTCAAATACATCAGGGCTGAATTCTCTACTTAACTTTGGAAAAGACGAAATAATTTCTTTGTAGTTTTAATTCCAAACTGTATATCTGATTTATTACAATTTGGTCATAATACCATTATGTTTTATATGATAAATATTCCAAAGATATACCCCACAGGGCAAGATTATTTTCAAGATGGTATGTTAGCTTGAAGGAGAGTAGCTCAAACTTAGCAAGGAAGAATAAGATTAAAAAATCTGTTACATTCGCTTCAGATTTCCCTTAAATGGAAACAGCATGTGCCACATGGGATTCACAGATAAAAATATTGTTTGGCCATATATAAAGTAGACATGAACATTGAGGCTACAGTATTGTGAATGCATCGTTTTTTAATACAAATTATATATTCCACGTATATGTATAATCTACATTGAACGTGTTATTCACAGGTGCGTGTAACGTTACGCTGTTCGCTCAAAGGGAACCGCTGAATTTCACATCTCCAAACTATCCACGCAACTACAGGAAGTATGTACAATTATTGTGATTTGTGCCGTTTCCATCACTAAAGTGCCAGTCAAAACATCAAATGTGTACATTACTATTTGCACTCCTTACTTCACTCTTTGTTTCACTGACACCTTTTGAGTGAGTAAACAGGATGTGTAATACCAGCTGAACGATTGAAGTGACATTTGGGATATTCATTTCTGATGTAATGAGTTGTGATCGTTGTAGAGATGTTTATATTTAAAAAAGTGCCATTTGTTATCAGATGAGTGAGTGAGTAAGTGAGTTTGGTTTAACGCCGCTTTTAACAGTATTCCAGTTATATCGCGGCGTGTCAGCTAAATGTGGGAGGAAAGCCCGAAGTGATGCAGGTCTCAGACGTTTACCACTTCGGTGAAACCTACGATCACGGGTATGGTGCTGACAAACCTAGAAACATAATCGGGGCGAACCGGGATTCGAACCCACAATCATAGGTTTCTGGCGTACCCAAGGGAGGCAACTCTGCACAGCGAATAGCGGCGCCTTAGACGACTGGGCCACCCGTGTCCCCTGTTATCAGATGAAATAATAAACAGTGTATTGTGTTATATACAAATATCAGGACATATGATTTTGTTTGTTTCTTGTTTGACGCCGCACTCAGCAATATTCCAGCTATATGACGGCGGTCTGTAAATAATCGGGTCTGGACCAGACAATCAAGTGATTAGCATGACGAGCATCGATCCACACAGTTGGGATACGATGACATGCATCAACCAAGTCAGCGAGCCTGATCCCCTGATCCTGTTAGTCGCCTCTTGCGACAAGTATAGTCGCCTTTTAAGGCAAGCATTGGTTGCTGAAGACCTGTTCTATCCCGGATCCTGGTCGTCATTTAAGAGGCGACTAACGGAATCAGGTGGTAAGGCTCGCTGACTTGGTTGATGCATGTCATCGTATCCCAATTGCATAGATCGATGCTCATGATGTCAATCACTTGATTGTATGATCCAGACTCGATTATTTACAGACCGCCGTCATATAGCTGGAATAATGCTGAGTGCGGCGTTAAGCATCAAACAAACAAACAAACACACAAACAAACAAACACATGGCCGCGAAGTATGTTTACACACAGAAACAAGGCCATGCTTCATGGGGGGATTAGTGCCAGTGTAACATATAATTTAATGCAATTCGGAAACGGTTTCACTCGGGCATTTATTTTGTTCCATCAGATGGCAATGCACAGTTAACAATAAAGGAAAATGAACAATAACTTACATTCAAGACTATACATAAATACATTTTAAGAACTTAAACATTTATTCGAGTCATTATTGTAATTTGTTATTCTGTCTCTTTATTCTTTACTTACGTTTTATTGTATAATACTAATACTGTTTGTTGTGTTTTTAGGGGTTGGTTCGAAGTAGTCATAACTTGTGCCTGGTCCTTTAAACGAGTCTCATTATAAAATATGTTTAAACTAAAACAAATGACATAAGGCATGCCCTGGCTAGAGTCAGTGTGATAAAATGCATTAATACATTTGTCAAAAACGTATACTTTTGTCAACAGCAATGACTATTGTTATTGGACTATCTACCCACATACAAGCGGCTACACCGTTGTACTCGACATGGTTTACTCAAACATCGCAACCTCGACCTTTACATGCCAGGACAGTCTCACACTGAACATGAAAAACAACGGTACGTTATATGAATGAGTTTGACACAGACCCGGCTTTTGTTGATCTCACTGCCTCAAAACTTTTGTAATGGCCGTAATTTTACTGCGCAAGCCGTTCCACATACAGTATGCATTACGAATACTAGATAAGCATAGCTAAATACGATCAAATTCAAATACTATGTAAAAAATGAAGTTTGATAAATAACATGTAGAAATTACTTTGACACAAGCGAAATGCCTATTATTGTGCCAGCTAACGGAAGGACTGACAGCACCCGCAAGATTTGTGGCAAAACGAGAAGGAATGTGGCAGCCCCTCAAGGTCAATACTTTTACGTTGTTTTCGTGACTGATAACAGCATCACTGAAAGCGGTTTTCTGATTAGATACTACGAAACCCGAGGTAAGTTAATAATCATACATGCAGCTTCGTTTTCATATTGTATAGTGTATGCGATTATGTTAATATCAAATATTCGCTCAATCATTTGTGAGTTAATTAAATGTAAACTATCCAACTAATTAGTCCATATATATGTCATATGTATATAAAGAAACTGAGAGTAATAAATAGTACAGAATCAATAATCTCCCCCGGCACCAGGTGTCTGAGAATGAAAATCGAGAGCACTCTGATCCATTGATCGGCGTGAAAATAATATCGTGCCAACAGCCTCACTTGAGTGGAATGTGGCGCATTATAAATGGACGTATGATAATTTATTATGATTAATCTCCCAAACAGGATGTTAACGAATGTCTAGCGCATGTCATACATTTTGTGTCACGATACAATAATCTGAACATCCCGGCAGAAAAATCCGGCTGTGACAGGCGACTGGAGGCGACGACAGCCAGCAAAACGTTTACCAGTCCCGGATATCCCAATGCATACTTCCCGTAAGTCTGCTTCATGCCATGTGAAAAACGATAAACAAGTCGATGTGAGAGGGGGAAACGTCATATAAAACATACTTCAACATTTGTTTCAAAATAGTGTTCGTGTGATCGAGTTCAAGTCGAACATAAATAGTATATTTGCCAATTTATACATGTTAGTAACCATATAATCAAACTATTTCAATGTCAATATGTATCAGTTATTATTATGTCCACTGTAAATACGATGCGTACAATTTTTTCCAAATTTTGAATTTAGTATGAATAACATGAAATTCACATACTCCCAAAAGAATGCAAAGGAGGTTTTGTTATGAAGAATTCATTGACTGGTATATTGTATCTGATCCAGCTCTGTAAACGTCTGAACAATGTGCATACCGAGATTTGATTGTGTCATTTGTTTCCTTTGGCGTCTTTCGCGTAAAATACACATCTTGGCAGTCACAAGGAACCTGACTGTTGATGATATAAGGTGTGGAAGTGGAAGAGAATGTTCCACTTTAATTTCGACTCAGAGAAAGAAGGTTCTATTTGCATGTACACGCGGAAAAAGGTCTATCTGCATTTCTCCAAAGATAAAGAATTTTCTGTTTACTTTTCACCAAAGAAAAGACACAGAATGGTGTCTGGGCATTCTAGCGAAGAAACACAGCATTACTAGCATTACACAACAAATCAGGATGGTTTATTTGCATTCTAACGAAGCAAAAGAATGTTATATGCACATTTCAATGAAGAAAAAGCAACAATGATACATTTAGTTTTTAACGCAGAAAGAAAAATGGTCTGTTTGCATTTCACCAAAGAAAAAGAATGTCCCATTAGCATTAGAACGTACACGACGGCCCCCTGACGGAACATCTAACGAACCGGGGGTAGTATTTTCTTGAATAGATAATGAATATTTGTCTCTTCTTGTCAAATTATATGTTTATCCATGACGTGAGCCGACAAGTTGATCTTTTTATGAGCTAAATGAGTTTTAATGAGCCATGATATGCCATAAACATGGTTTTGACAAGAAAAGCCACATTTTCTATTTTTTTTATTTTCTCGCAGGATTTACACAATCTTACTTTGAAAACCATAGTGTCATTGATATAGACTGAAAGAACTTGCAGATATGAATTCATTGTTATTTCACTCGAGTGAAATATCGATAGTATATCAGGAGGTAAATACAGTTTCTCATCTTTTATTAAAACAAATAAAATTTAACCTCATAAGCCTGTTTGTGAAAATTAAAAATGTACTCATGGTTAAATGGAATGAAGAAAAAAATACATTTTCTAAAAGACATAAAAATACAAATTCAAATTCTGTGAAGAAATGTTTGAAGTTCTTGATACATGTAAAGCTAATAACGGTTATTTTTGCTTTGAGAGTCACAAAATTGTTTTCATGTTGCTAATTGGTAGAATTATATTAATACAGTGAAAACATATTCTAAATAATGAGTTTGCTTTCAGGAGACAGACATGTGATTGGACTATTACGACAGAACAACAAAATCAGATTGTTTTCTTGGAAACCATTGACGCATTATTCCAGAATCCCTCAGCAACAGGGATATGTTACGGCGATTACGTCAATGTATATAACGGACAAACCAGTGAGTTGTATCCATCACTAATAATCATTCTGTTTTGCAATATTATTGACGAAAAGCTTATACATATATGCCATATACATAATTCTCTTCATTAGAAATGATGAAATATTTCTGGATGAGTCATCTGGGTGTAAGGATATTTTTCTAACGCGATATAGCTGAAACTCTGTATTGATATGTGCACGTGTTAATCGTTGAGTATCTAACACCGCCAAATCAACTTCCGACACTGTTGTAATGTTCACTTCTAGGTTCGGACCTGCTCGGCACGTTCTGTGGGACAGATAAACCCGTTTTTCTCAGCAGTGCTACATCAATGCGTGTTCGCTTCCACTCGGATGGCGCGAACAACTACAAGGGATTTCAGATGAGATACACTGCAATTCCTGGTTTGTATGTCTTGATTTGTGCAAAGATCAATGTTATGCTAGTGATCATGATTGACTCGAACGTTCGATCTGGCCAGATTAATGATTGACAAATCAGTTATATTGATATCATATGAAATGTAAGTGAAAACATGGACTGCTTCTTCCAGCATTTTACTTTTATCACGAACCTATCACATTGTAACTGTAATACACGAACCTGCCTACCTTTTATCTGCTTCATTTCGCCCCGCAGATCCTGGTTAGAATTAGTTGTCAGCAAACCATGCTTGTCGCAAGAGGCTACTAACGGGATCGGGTGGGCAAGCTCGTTGACTTGGTTGATGCATGTTATCGAATCTCTATTGCGTGGATCCATGCTCATGATATCAATCACTGGAATGTCAGGCCCAGATTTGATTACTTACAGACCGTCGTCATATAGGTGGAATAATGCTGAGTACGGCGTTAAACAAACAAACAAACAAATTAACAAACAAACCACAGTGGAGTCGCTACGTTCTTTCATCGTCACAACTTGTGACAAATGTATGCTTGTCCAAGACGCCACGATATAGCTTGAATATTGCTGGCGTATATCAACGTTCACTCACTCTTGTCTCCACTCTCAGCAACAATGTGCAACGCTACACTGACGGCAGCGCCGTATCCGTTGAAGATTGTCTCCCCTGCCAAAAGGTAAAGCACATCATTTGAATTGTGAAATGGTTTCTAAAAGCTGCATTGAATGCAGTCACTTACTTTTACGAAAGAGACACCAGATGTCTGTTTACTTGGTCTAACACGCCGCAGTTCGAAATACCAAGTTGCGTCCCTTAGGAATGATTTCGTGGAGATTATGATCATTAGTTCATAAAATCTATAATGATCATTGAGGCCTTTTCTCTCAAATAAAGCTAACATGCCTTGATACAACCGAAATACTGTTAAAGGTGGTGGTATTTCTTGACACTCCTTCACTTGTTAAGGGCCACGATCTACAAAATGGCCTCAGTGCTAAAACTATGGTTACCCAGTGTTAGAGAATGTAATTATAAGTTACGACAGTGTTAATGCTAGGATCGTTTTGTGAAACGAAGCCTTAATGCTTTCCGCAGCATGATGTGCAATAATAGGTTGTAACTTGTGCAGGTTAGTGTATTTGTGTAATTATTCTTTTCTGTAGAGAAAACTGTGTGTGGATTATTCAGTCATCTCCATCACAAAGACAAGTGAGCATTACGATTCTTGCGTCGGACGCGGATGAGTCAGCTCATGGGTCGTGTTCAGACGACAACGGAGCATTGCTCGTATACAACGGTATGTCCTATCAACATTCAACATGAATGGCTGATACCAGTAAACTGTCACTTCAGACGCGAGACATTAAAGACGCGATCATTACGAATTTCAAAATCAATTCATTTTCACACAGACTTTGACTATACTTCACAACAATTCACATTCTTCCACAGAGTGATGAAGAGAAAAATAAGTTCTGTGATGCAGTGGTGTTGCAATCAACAATTCGGTGAATTAATGCCCGGTTAAGACAATAGACACTTGGATTTATGTCAGTTAGACATTGCACGAAAATGTTGCAAATGCAATTTGCTGCAACAAATCTGCTCATTTTCAAGGGAGAAGCACCCGACAGACCGCCTTCCTGGGGAGATGGTGTGAATCTGGTCCTGAACGGCAGTACAGCAGTACGGTCAATTCTCTCACAGTCATCGGGCACTCAGGAGGCCAGAGGGATGTGACGATATCGTACCAAGAAATACATTGTATGTATCACATGTTTATACATGGCCGTTCACCAAGACCTGTCTGACGTCTTACGTCATTGTAATAATACTTACTCTTGATTGGTTAACGACCAGACAACTTTAATTACCCTGGACACATGGCAACACAATCTGATAACCTTCATAAGAGCGAAAAACATAATCATCTGAAAAGGCAAAACAGGGAATGAACTAAAATGAGTCTGGCCTAAAACATATGCAAATGACCGTAAATATCCGGGTGTATAGTGGTCTTGAGCAACCCATGCTTGTTGTAAGAGGTGACAAACGGGATCGGGTGATCGGGCATGCTGACATGGTTGATGCATGTTATAGTATCCCATTTACGCAGATCGATGTTCATGATGTCAATCACTGGAATGTTGATTATTAACCGACTGTTGACGTATAGCTGGAATATTGCTGATTGGGGCATTAAACAAACAATAAAGCCAAAGAACAAACGAGCTGACTCGATTATTTCTTATACTGCCGTCATTTGGCTGGGATATTGCTGAGTGTGACGTTTAACAACAAACAAACTCACATACATAAACTTATTGTCTGTATGACCAGTCCACAGGTGTATTTTCTCAGAAGGAAGAATACCGATTGAAATATTATGGCAAAACATGGTGGCAAAGAAAGGTAACTGGTCCGTTAACTTGAGGACAGGGACTGTAAACATGTTTGGAACAAATATTAAATCCGGGTTCTAGACTAGACTAGGCTCAACCCGAAATTATTTTACATCCCACACGTTTCAAATTATGAGACGCAATGATGAGAATTTTTTTGGTTAATTTTCATGACCCTACCCTTTGACTTTAAACGTGGAAAATCAGATTAACGTTTACCATCGTGGAGATGTATTTGTTCTGTATATTGTATTAGATAAATATTTAGAACTACATTTTCAGATTATTTTCGGAACAAAGGCCTTAACCCACCCACCAACATGCATTGTCTGTGTATGGTCAGATTGTACCCCAGCACCATACACCATACACCAACATCTATTTCATGCACTGCAATGTTTAACCTTTCGCGGTGAGATACTTGTGTACCAAAAGTATATTTACAACTGCATAAATAATTATGGAATATTAACTCTCTTCTTATCATCATCCATTCTGATGAAAGTATTTTTAGCCTACCACCATGTTTAGGTACGTAAATGACGGTGGGGAAAAGGCAGTTCCACACTTGGAATAGATTTTCGCATATTAAAAAAAAAGTGAAAAGGGTTGAGAATTTGTTCTTCCACTTATACTAACACTGTCGTGATTCCACTTGGCTCGGAAGAACATTAATCTTGATATATTTATTCATAAGCGGTATGCGGAAGTCCAACCCTCACGGCTTCCAGCGTCTATGGCAGCTACCTTACCTCACCTGGCTACCCTGCAAATTACCCCGAGTAAGTTGGAAAAAATCCCTGTTGGAATTCCATGTCAACATAGACCATCAAACATGCCTGTCCCAATACAAAAATAAATTTGACAGATTGTATCAATACACATGAATGTTTCAAATATTTTAAGGAATAAATTGCATCAAGTATCAACATAAAAAAAAAGAATTCTGACGTTTTTATAATTTATCACCAATGTGTTGCTGTCTTTGTTACAGTGGCTTGAACTGCGTTTGGGTGATTTATGGTCCAAATGGAACACAAATCAAAGCTGAGGTTTTGGATGTTGCTTTTGAAGCATCACCTTTGTGCGAAAGGGATTACCTTGTGTTCAGGGAAGGTAAATATGCCTTTATCAATATAACACAGTGACGTCTCTTAAGTCTATAATTCCCATAAACTGAGCGAATACCTTTCTATGTGGAACTACCTAATACATTAATCGTTTATCCGTACATTTGTTACGAGCGACGAGTACGAGTACCTAGTGCTGCAGAGTAATGCAAATGCAAATGCGAATAATGCAAGTCAATATAAATGCTCAGGAAAGAGACTACTTTGTTTTTACTGAATATAATGATGACTCAATAGCTTTAAACAACATTGTAACAAATTCATTCTTCCTTTGATATTGGTTTATCGTGGGCACCGTTTGACCTGTGGTCAAAGTCGTTGCTGTGTAGTGTTGCATCCCATAGTCGTGACAGGATCCGCTGATCGAGGATTCTAACGCCAGATACTCTCTGATTAAGACCCCTGGCAGCCCATACACTTTCTTCTCCCTTTGCTTGTCTCACAAAACACAATCCGACAGAAAAAAATGAAACTGAAACATCCGCTTTAATGCCAACACAAACACAAACATCTTTTTCCTTTACAGGTACTAGTTCTAATTCTGAGGTCATCAAGCAAATGTGTGTTCCTGTAACTGGAGATATATTCAGCTCCGGCAATCAAATGTACATCACCTTTCACTCAGACATGAGTGTAACGCATAAAGGGTTTCGTTTGAAGTACTCAGCAGGTACTGTATTCACCGTCACTATATGTTTTCCTAAAAATGATAAAGACAAAAACTTTTGTCATGTACTTATACATATATATCACATGTGTATAATTCGTTGTGTCACGAGTAAGTTGATTTCGCCGGGTTACATTTATAAACCTGTCATTTATAACCTTCCATAATGTGTGTCTCACATCACATATTTGAATTGCTCAAAAAGGGACAAATTATACATTCTAGTAATTTCGTATTGCGTTTGGTTATTCTATGCATTCCCCACAGTATGATGTATGTCCTTAAATGTGACACCGGCCAAGTCAACCTTGTTGTAATGAAGACATATAAATTTATGTTACGTCATGAAGAATACAACAGTACACTTCCGTCATGTTGACGATCAGCAAACGGCCCAAAACTGAACAATATACGTGTCTAAATATATAAGTTAATCAGCGAAAAGCAAAATATTATTTCAAGATTGACAAGCTTACCCACAATATTTCCCTGCCATCCGCGCCCATGTGAATGCCATACATGTTCTTACATGGACTTGACCGTTTGAAGACGCATTTGGTTGTTTTAAAAAGCTCAATAACTCTGAACTAAGTTTTTTTCCGACAGTGAAAGCAGGGTCTGTTTGTGGAAATATCCGCCTCATCGCCTCCACCTGGCGAAGGTATTTGACGTCACCGGGCTATCCAATACCTTACCATAAGTAAGTTAAAGACTATTGATAAGGTACGTCTGCACCCTCCACAGGAAAACTAGTTACACCAATTGTATCACACCTACTACGACGAAAAGAACTTTTATTCCCAAAACGTTATGTATATATCACATTATTTCCACCGTGTTGGATCATCGTACAGTATATATGTTTACTACGTACACAATCCGAAGCTACCCAAAACCAATCCAGTTCACAAACATCGGCAGTAATTAGTAAAGATCAAACTTAAGTTATTTGATCGAAATAAGTGACCTACCATGTATTCTTCTCATGGGTCCATTGTTGTCTAGTGATATTTCGCGATCACTGCATTAAAACACGCAATTTCTTTCCAAGGAGGAGCCGAATAATTCATGTTTTCAACATCTTACATGACATTCATCTTTTCAAGAGAACAATTGAAATGTAGGCATAAGATCTGAGGACATTTTTTTTTATTAATATTTTGTCTGGAACAAATTATTGTTTTTTTTGTGAAAAAGTGCTTCTCAAAAATCGGTACCTCATAAGATAGTCATGCTTTCATCATTATTCCTCAACGCGTTGTACTGTGTGATGTAATCAGTTTCTACATCGGTGCTTGTATGCTTCTTTCGTTGCAGTGGGTTAGAATGCCAGTGGACAGTTGTTGGGCCGATTGGAATGGGCATCAAAGTTCATATTTTGTTTCTTGATATGGAAACGTCTGAAACGTGCACGAGGGACTACCTCCTGTTTAGTGACGGTGGGTACACTTTCGTTGAGAAACATGTTTGGCCTTCAAGTCGTGGTTTGTCAGCACCATACCCCTGCTGGTGGGTTTCATTAAAATGGTAAATGTCGAAGTTTTTCAGGCAACCTTGTAGATAATATAACACGGTTCGTACTTTCATACTTTCCACAGGAAGACCTGTATGGCACTGGCTGCCTTGTGTGGCTTGATGGATCGAGTTCGTACAATTTATATGACTTCTATCTCGAATTACATAATCCGAAGCTACTCCAAACCAGTCCAGTGCAATCCAACATGATCCAATCCAATACAATCCCTTTATATTAGTAAAGATTAAGGTCGTATGGTCGAAATAATATTCTGCCACATCGTGAGATACATGTTTGGTCTTCCAGTTGTTTCACTTCCTAAAGGCACAGAGTGGCGCCACCAAGACGTGCCAGAAACCTATGACCATGGGTTCGGGCGGCAGATTCACCCTCATTAGGCTTCTTGGTTTGTCAGCACCATTTCCCTGCTTGTGGGTTTCACCAAACCGGTGAAGGTCTAAGCTCTTCGAGCATCAATAGCAATTTATGCCGATGCCCCGAGAAACCCATTCTTCTTAATTTATTTTACTTTGATAATTTCTCATACATTTCAGGAGTTGCAAATGCCACATTGGCTAAAATGTGCCGGTTTAGGTCTACGGATATCGTTAGTACAAGCAACTATATGGTCATCGATTTCCACACCGACAGCTCAGTCACAGGACGAGGATTCAGTTTGCAGTACTTTACAGGTAAGGTGAACATTCAATTGGTGACATTCGGAATCATATCAAATGAAAGCAACAAGGCAAACGAGACATCCATTCCTATGTCGAGACGAAATTCACTAATCTGACATGCACATGCGTGTATTTCTGTGTTCTGGTCAAGACTTTTCATGGTTTTATACTGCTAACCCACTGGGACACCATGCCACAGTGTAACACCGATACCCTCCCCAGACACACTATGTGATTCCGCGTCGGCCTGTCCTTGTTTTATCCCCTTGTGTAATATCAATGCCGAGCGTCAGGCAGGGTAACTACAAGAACAAATATTTAACGTCTTTTGTAATGACACGGCCAGGCGATCGAACCACCGACCTTACATATAAAGGCAGAGACCCGAGTCACTACACCTTGGAGGCCGTTAATTCACATCGAAACACGGGATGTTTTTAGCCATAGAATACCACAATTTTACCTCACCCAATCCCACCCCACGCCGAATAATGAATGGTCGATACCTAATTATTACTTTTGTTTTAAGTAAATGCAGACGCAATTCCTAATCGCAATTGTGGAAAGAGAAACTTAAGTGCCGACACGTACCTGGAGAGGTATTTGACTTCCCCTGGATACCCGTCGCCCTATGCAAAGTAAGTGTGTACACAAATGCATCACCTTAAATACATTGATGCCATAAATCGTATATCTTAAAGTGGAAAGACAATATTGGATTTTGATTCCTTTTATTTTTACAATGCAACATGTCGGTACAGTACCTTAACCAAAACATTCGAAGACAGTCTGTTTAATACTATGTATAGGCACTGGTGGACAGGTACTCTAAGGCACCGTTATTCACTCTTCAGAGCTGCATCCTTTAGTTGTGCCGGAATCTCAGATTTGCCCTGATAACGATTCCTGCTTTGTCAGCACTATACTCTTGCTCGTGGGTGTCGGCAAAAAGATCCTCCTCATTTCCGGTGTACCAACTTGACATAACACGATATATGTAATTGAGAAACTGTTCATAGCGATATGAAACGCTACTCACACACTTAACTTTTTGTTTTCAACATCACAAGGAGGACTAGCATTGGTATTAGGTTTTGTTTCACTGTTTACGTATGTTTAACGTTAATGCTGCAATTGTATTGTTTCAGTAACTTAAACTGTGAATGGACAATATCGGCGCCCTTTGGAAAGAGAATAAGAGTTGCAATTGTGACCATTCAAATGATAACGACGCCAGGGTGTGTGCATGACTATCTTCTCCTCAGTGACGGTAAGTACAATAAATACTTACCCATTCTACATGTACTTATTGTACGGCATTCTGTCGAATACTAATATGAACAGGAGTAGTTTTTTTTATCGAAATAGTTAAGGCCAGAGGCCCAAAGTACATGTTTTCATGATGAACAATGAAAAGACTTATCAATCTTAATAAACATAAAATTATACTTTATCATTTATACATTCCAGTATCTGACACGTGAAGATCCGGTGTAGAATAGGTCTTCAGCTACCCATACTTGCCCTAAAAGGCGACTACGCTTGTCGTAAGAGGCGACTAACGGGATCGGGTGGTCAGGCGCGCTGACTTGATTTGAAGCATGTCATCGTATCCCAATTGAGTGGATCGATGCTCAAGGCGTCAATCACTGGATTGTCTGGTCCAGACTCGATTATTTACAGACCGTCGCCATATAGCTGGAATATTGCTGAGTATGACGTTAAACAATAAACAAAACAAACAAACATTCCAGTATCTTTATTTCTATTATGAAATTATTATCAAATTTCTATTTGAAAGTTCAAGTACGAAGTGATTAGTATAACTTGCACGCAAGAAATGAATACATTGCTAAGTTTAGAACAATTTCTGGACAGTCAGTTTCCATTAAATTTACAAAGGAATTTAATGATTTAAAACAAAAAAATAGATAGCACGAATATACTTAACGCTTAAATCATGAAATGCTGGACAGATTATTGAAAAGTGAAACTAGTATAAGCAAAACCGCAGCAAAAGCTTAATATATGAACAACGTGTTAGTGTAATTTCAGATAATTAAGATTATGCCTATCTTTCCACTGTGTTTAATGATCAAGTTTATATGAAATTAGCCCTTTCCTCAAAGGCCGATGACATTTCTGCAATTGCGTTTAATTTGTTTCAGAAAAAAGTGGTAAATAATGTGTGAACGTGTTAACGTGAATGTATTCATTTTAGGAGCATCGTCTAATGCTGTTCAGTTGAATAAACTCTGTGCTGCGACCTTAAAGTACATCTTCAGCTCTGGTACCAGCATGACCATCACCTTCCACACTGACACATCGGGTGTATCGTCGGGATTTAGTGTGAAGTATAAAGCTGGAGTATATTCAACAACACCAAGAGGTACAGAGGCTACTTGTCGTTTGTGTGAAATGTATATAGTGGTTTATGAAATACGTAATACCAACCATTCATTAAGATAAATTATTATTCAAATGAGGGACGGTGGGGAATTCTAGTGGTTAAAATATTCCCTCTTCATTCGATTTCCCATGTGGGTACAATTAGTGAAGCCCATTTCTGGTGTCCCGTGATATTTCGGGAATGTTACTAAAAGCGTCATAAAACCATACTCTCTCACTCGCTATCATCCATTTGAACTTGTTGTACAGAGGGTATGAAATTTGATTCTGACTTTAACACTCTAAAGGGGACTCCTTATTTCATTTTTTTAAAATGCATACACTTCTCTGTGTATATAAATGTAAGTTTTTTCTTGCAAGTTAGTGGTCTTAGTTATATTAGCCCGATGCTGATTACCCTTCCTAAACGACCTGCTAATATTGTTGAAGTTTTTGCATGAACGATTCATACTAAACAAGTGAGTGAGTATGGTTTTACGCCGCCTTTAGCAATATTCCAGCAATATCAAAGCGGGGGACACCAGAAATGGGCTTCACACATTGTACCCATGTCGGGAATCGAACCCGGGTCTTCAGCGTGACTCATACTAAACAAGGCACTGCAGGTAATGAATTGAAAACCGTACTATCATGAATGAGCGAGTGGGCTTGAAGCCGCAGTCACCAATAGTCCAGCCATGTCTGGAAGGCAACCTGTCAATAATTTCGACCAGATGGTTTATACGCTTATCAACTGCGCCATCAGCGGCAGTGGATATGCGTGGTCATGTAACACAATAGTAACTTTGCGAGACTAGAAGAGCGTATTCTTCATCATATCAAAGATTAATACTGTTTTTTTTTCTAAATTATAGGCTGCGGACATCACATTGACATAACGCATTTAGATTTTGGACAAATTGAATCCCCAAATTACCCCCTGAATTACCCAAGGTAAGCATTTATGAACCAACATCATATTCCGATACATTGGCAAACATAATCCTACGTTCAGTCATGCCACTTAGTCATGCCACTTAGGAAACTTCGAGCAGCAGAGCACAACATTAACATTATTACTTCAATGAGTAGAGCAGTATATAATCATAATCACTTCAAACAGCAGAACATAATATAAACATACTCACTTCAAACAGTAGAACACACTATAAACATAATCACTTCAAACAGTTGACTATAATGTAAACATGATTACTTCAAGCAGCAGAACACAATATTAACATTATCACTTCAAACAGCAGAGCATAATATAAACATACTCACATCAAACAGTAGAGAATGCTATAAACATGATTACTTCAAACAGCAGCACAGTATATAAACACACTCACATCAAACAGTTGAGCATAATTTATTATAAACATAATCACTTCAAACAGCAGAGCAGTATATAAACATAATCACTTCAAACAGCAGAGCAGTATATAAACATAATCACTTCAAACAGCAGAGCAGTATATAAACATAATCACTTCAAACAGCAGAGCAGTATATAAACATAATCACTTCAAACAGCAGAGCAGTATATAAACATAATCACTTCAAACAGCAGAAGAGCATACTCATACAACTGCAGAGCATAATGTTACTGTTACTATAAACATAATCACTTCGTTTGTGATGCTCCTTTTACCTAATATGCATGTATTGGACAATAATGATTGGTTAATTCATTCTCTTGTTATCCCTCCGCACTCCGCCGGGAATGTCTGTACCTTTCAGTTTTATAACATTTCATTTCATCGTGTGCACACACTGATAGCTGTTGAATAGTGCTAACAGAGACTTGTATCTTACCTCCCTCACTATCAATTTCTGATTGAGTTATTCATAAAATAAACCTGAAAATGTGTGAATTGTCTTTCATGAACAGAGTTCAGAGATCGCGTATATGTTTCTACTTCAGGAATGTAGACTGCACATGGACAGTCTCCACTGATAACAAGGGATATGTGATCAGAAGTAGTGTGGTGTCTTTCAACACTGAAGAGGATCCCTCCTGTATATACGACTATGTACAAATTTATGACGGTAATAATATACATCCAACTCTGTGTTATTCTTAGCATCGCTGCCAGTGAATCTCATATTCTCATTTGATAGCGTTCACTGATATAATTATACTGAGCGGCGAAAGATCTTGTGTGCCTAAAGTTATTTTGACAAGCACAAATAACTGGACTCTATTTGACGTTTTTGTATATTTAATGCTTACACACTCACACACACACACACACACACACACACACACACACACAAGAATGCAAGAACAGAATTGTCAATTCACACGTCAGTAGCGTGTGTGTCCCCCCCCCCCCCCCTTCGCTTGAATGCATGCAATGCATCTCCTTCGCATTGAACGGATCAAACGCCTAACATAGTGTTATGGGATGGCATCCCATATCTCCACCAGCTTGTCTCTCTGTTCCTGTGCTGTAGTCAATTGGAGAAAGATTTGGAGGGATCTCCATGGGGTCACATTCACGTTGTTCTTGTGGAAGTGTTTGTTGAACAATTCGGGCTACACGGGTTCGGGCGTTGTCAAGCTGAAAAATCATGCAAGGCTGGATGACCTCGTCACGGCAACGCTGCACGTTCAAATTGCCATAGATCACTTGCAAACGAGTTCTCTGTCTCTCCCACACTGCCTTCTCCGACCCGGACTTCCTCCACAACCCAGTTCTGAGTGAAACGTTCACCGCGACGGCAGAATTAGGCGTCTGGCTGGTCCCCTCGCAACAATCCCGTAACGTCTAAGACGACGATGTGCAGTCTGTGCCAAGGGATGGTCTTCGCAGTGATTGTTGCAGGCTCGAACCGATTTCGCAGATGGGTGGTTCGAATCCAACGATCTTGACTTGACGCTTGTAACGGGGTCCCGGCTGCTCCATGGTCGGTCTCTGACAGTGTTTGTTTACTGCCACCGCTGCCATAACGTCCAAATAGTTTTCCTGTGCATCGTCAACGACTGCATTGGTGTCGTCAACTCAGGGTATGGCCTCAACTGTGATGGAGAGATGTCTGGTTCAGCGACGAATCAAAATTTCTCCTCCGTCGAGGGGATGGAAGAACACGGGTCTACAGACGTCGGGGAGTGCTCTCATCATGGCAGGACAGGTTTTGTCCATATCCAGGGCAATCTTACGGCTCAACGATACATCAACGGAATTCTCCTACCACACGTCCTCTGAATTGCAGCCAACGGCAACTGTGTATTCCAGCAGGACAACGCTCGACCGCATGAAAACACGGATCACAAGAGTCTGTCTACACAACAGCAACGTTGGCCCTCCAGATCCCCGGATATGAACCCGTTAGAGCACCTGTTGGATGAATTGGATAGACGGCTGTGCTGTCGTCAACCGCAACCCCAGACTTTGTAGCAGTTGCCTTTTGGGTTGCAGGCCGAGTGGGCTACCATTCCCCAGGATATGATTCGCATTCTCGTTTCTTTCATGGGCAGGAGATGTCAGGCCGATGTCGATTCCAAAGGGGGACATACGCGTTATTGATGGTAGCTGACCTTCACCTTGGACTTTTCCAACGTACCGAAAAATGAGATGACTACAATCACGAAGTGTTCTCTCAACAACATTTTGGCTCAATGCAGTGTAGGGTTCCTCGTTAAAATGCATTTCCCTACCTCACACAAATATGGCTTTGCGTTTCGTTTTTTGAAGAGTATAGAAATACTGTAAATCGTGAATTTATTTATATTATATTTAAAGAAAATGTCCTCTGTCAGGTTTACAGGAGAATCCTCACCTTAGTCCAACCTTACATCAATCCAATCACATACACCAAATAGCACCACTTAATTAGCGCTAAGTAGTTTTGACTTTCCTCTATATGTATTTTTGTTGTGACAAGTGGATTGTTACAGCAATAGTGACATCGACATCTATTACCGATTGTTGAAGGTCACTTCGACAGTAATGGTCATAAGCTCAGCACACGTTAATGTCTGTATGATTTCAGTCTTGGTGAGCGTTTACCCACTGCACGAATACACGTTCTGTGTCTTGCCTCGGAAAGAGTACTTGTTGGTCCCATTTTCAGACTATCACTTACTGATAAAAAGTACTTTGAACCGAAAACATGTACAGATATTATAATTATGCTATAGCGTCATAACGTTTGGCCTCACGAAATCTTTCCTGTTATCCTCCTGAACCAGGTCCTGATTCAACTGCTGTTTCACTCGGCCGATGGTGTGGTTTGAAGGGGCCGGCAATTAAGAGTTCCGGGGCGATGGTGTGTGTTGTGTTCCGATCGGATCATTCAGGCTCCCGTTCTGGATTTGTTTTGTCCTTCTCTGCCAGCAAACCATCGTATGCGGGTAAGTGTGTAGATCCTGTTTACATTAGAGACTAGAGTTGTACCTAAACATACCTAAATCATTGTCCTCTTCATCTGCAAATGAATACGTTTATAACTAAAAAAACTGTCTGCAACTACATTTCGTCGCTATTCAGATATATAAAACAAAAATGTTAAAAGTAAGTTGTTCATAATTTTATTCATAGTCTTCTACAATATTCTTCGGCAATATTGTTATTGTTAAACACAAAGTGCGAAACAACACTTTTATACACACTACAATAATAATAACAGTAAAAATACAGTATCTTAAGCGACATGGTGGATGGCTCGATCCTTTTATCACCGTCGTCGCCATGTTTGTGGTTTTGACACAGATTTCCATCCATGGTACTACCCGGAATATGTAGAGGGCATCATGGAAAATGATAAATACAAAATTCTTTGGAAAAGGCCCATTTACAGCCTCAGACGTATCCAGGCCAACAAACCCGATCTTGTTCTTTTTGATAAATCCAATGAAATCGTTAATATTATTGAATTTTCTGTCTCCTTTGTTGACTGAAATTGGGAGACTACCCGGGTTTGCTACCAGGAATACAGCCCTTCTGACAATCTGGGTAATGCAGAAGGCTGCATGGTTGGGGAGTCTTCACATTCTCAGAAAAGTTCTGGGTGGGTTTGACAAGGCAGCGCTTCCTTGGAGAAGTCCCATTCGCTGTCTGGGCTGTGTGTAGAGGGGGCAAGGGCCCTAGCCTGAGCTGATGATGAGCCTAACCAGCCTGGCTGTGCCAGGATCACCCATCCCTCTTTGCTGCATTTTGTATTTTAATCTGTACAAAATGATACTTCTTCAACTACTACTACTAGTGATATTTATTTTTCAGATTCTTACAGCCCCAATGTTGGGGGCATAGTTGGAGGAACATTAGGAGCGATTGTCTTCGCACTTATGCTTGTGTGTTGTTGTTTGTGGTGCAACAGAAAGAAATCCTCTACCAACGCCCAGCCCCAAAGGAACATGATGGTAACCATGGTAAATCACAGCTCACAAGATACCATCCCCAACAGCGTTTACTCCATCTCCCTTTCAAATCAACCTCCATCTGTAGCTGAACTAATTGTGCCCACAGCACCACCAGCATATGATGACGTCGTCAAGAATGACCCCCCTCCGTACTGTGAGGTAATGGCACAGTTAGACTTCCAGCCTGTTGTAACGTCATACCCTAGCGATGCATTTGTAAATCGAGGGGTAGATAACCCAGCATTCTCTAGCACGGAGGTTTAGTGTGACGGTTCTGTGTATGAAGTGTGTAGTTTAATGACAAGAGACACACACATGGACAAACCTTGAAACGACGTATTTCTCAATACTGAAACTGTTGATACAAATACAAAATAATGTATAACATACTTTATTCATGCATACGGGTAGTGCTTCAAGGTGAACGATGTGTTCTGCAGACACGTTATTTTAGAATCTAGTCGGCAGTACTAGAAAACAAGCACATTTGCAATACTGCCATGTGGTAACTTCATGGACCATGGGGGATCGGCTGGTTATCTCAAGTGCCACAGTTTAAAGTCCATAGTTGCATCTCTTTGGACTTGATATTTTCTCTGTGTCATGCGAAACCTCACTCGTTGTTCTACAGAGTTGCGTACCATGGACGTGCATCAGCTGCTGATGGTTATTGTTTCTGTTACCTGCGAAACGTCGGGCTCTTCCGTGGACGTTTAAGTGATTTTATATGTAACTGGAACGCTGTTAACTGACTCAAGGTGGGACAGAATTCTCTGGGTGTATGCATTACATTACCCCACCTCAGTTGTGGGAACCATTAATGTAGACTAACAAGTGGACCTGGACACTGAGATAAGACCGAGAAGAAATTGTCCGAGAAGAAAATGTCAAAACCTAGAACCAACAAGATGCATCGTAACAATGATCACTTAAATGAAAACGTACACAAGAAAGCCAACACTTCAGAAGTTGTTATCGCTCCAAAGACTGTGAATAAAATATTGATAACAGCTTTGTTTGTTTTGAAGTGTTTGAGAACGTATTTGTATTGGGAAGACACATACGTTTGAATTGTAACTGCATCATATTACGTACATTATCAAATACTTAACGAGTGACAAATAGCATACAACATTTAGTTTTGTAACTTGTAGAAACATTCCTTTGACTTGAGTCGTACGATAATCACAGTATTACAAGCTGTGTGTGCTTGTTGTTTAACGCCACACGCCGCAATATTCCAGCTATATGACGGCGGTCTGTAAATAATGGAGTCTGGGCAATCTGTGACATCCCACGCACGCAAAAATAATTATTTGGATACGACAACATTTCCTGCCCATCCGATCTGTTTAGACGCCACTTACATCAAGTATACATGTACGTTGCTGGGAAGGTATATTCTTACTGGGAATCCCCCTCGGAATCTTGAAATGTATCGTATCGGCGTAAAGTATCTGATTTTAAAGTGTATCTGTTTATATGGCTGATACTCTGGAAATTACATATCATATTATGATAAATAAAAAGGCATGTTAATGCTATGCATGTCCTTACTGCATTGCCAAGTGGCGTTTAGAAGCAAAATATACTAATTTTATACATAACTATTTCAATAGATTTTCACGATGATGACTAAAATTCAATATTTTTTGTATGCGTAGGGCTGACATGATATTGAGTGTGTAGACATTTATTTCTGAGCTCTGGATAAACGTCGCATCTAGTAAAGATGAGATTCATTTTTCTGTAATATTATTTTCAAAACGTAGGCAGTAGGCACAAACTCGATCTTGCAGTTCTGTATATCGTTGTCGACTAACTTTAATCATGAGATTATGACATGAGTACCTGCGCTTGTCTGAGGATGATTTTATCTATTTGAGAGTGGTAAGATTCCACGTTGAAAGCTCACTTGAAAGTAGAGTAAGCGAACAGTTTAGAAATTGATTAACTGAGGAATGTCATCTCTGTGTTTCCGAGTCGATCCTCCGCTGCTTGAAATCAGATAAGAATGTATTGATGTTGCCTGCATCCCGGAAAATCTATGCATATCCAAAACCACATTGAAATAGAATGTTCTTCATATTAGTGACCCATGATATTCTGCCTGCTTCGTCTGTACCATACAACATCATATATGTTTGTTTAGGTTGTTTATTTGTATTCATGTTGATTACTTTTGTCTAGTATTTAAAACACTTCAGGAGGCATGTTGTATACAATGTATGCCGTCCTCATTCTCCAGCGTTGATACTGGCCGAATTCGGTAGATAAAGTGTTCTCTTGAAATATTTCGCCTGTACCTTTTCCAAAATTTCTATGTTGTTACATCCCCATATTTTTGCTCCATATTTTAAAATTAGAAGTACAATGCTGTCACATAGTTTTAATGCTGTTGTAACAGGTAGACCTCCGCAGCCGTAGTGTATGTTAAAGATTAATTGACATACTTTTTTCTGCTTGACTTGAAATAACTTGAAGGCTTTTTGTCCAGACCTGTAAAGTACAATCCTAAATATGTATAGCATGAAACGGTGTTTATTTGAAGTCCTCTGTCAAACCATTTTTCGTAGCTTCGAAGTGGTCCTCCTTTCCTGAAAACGACTTTACATACTTATTCCCGACGTGTTCTAATGCAACACGAAAGAGAATCTGTGATACCACTGACTGTGCGTACACATGACATTAGCTTGGAATACAATACAATACAAAGTGGTTTATGTTGGTCTCACCAGATGTACATTACGAAGATAAAAGTCAACGGAGCATGATACATTAAAACACACAATACAAACGCCACGCAAACGGGTTATGAGAGACAGTAAAATCAAGAATAAGTCTTGATTAAAACATTAAAATTACAAAATATTTTGTAAATATTTTTTTTAAATTCTAAAATATATGAGTAACACATAACTTAGGGTTATATACACCATAGAGAAGGAAAATGTAAAAGAAATAAAATATATACAATAAATAAATGCATTAAAAAAATGAGATAAAAATAAAATATATAGATTATGAATGATAAAATGGTTTTTTGTCGGGTGAACAGTTTAAAGCACATTGTACCAAATGAAGGGCCTAGGGTATTGTCGTGAAGCAATATGTTCTTGTTAGTTGTAGAGCAATCACTGAAAAAAGGTCGGGAGTTCACTACGACGGATATAATTATAAACAGAATATTGAAGTAGGAAATGGTTTTCATCTTCAACAGCATCTGAACAAAAATTAATTGGTTTGATGAGCTTATTTAGTCGATGCGGTTGTCCGTCTGCACACGCATCACACTGCTCGTCACGCACACGAACGACATCCTCCACATCATACTTCCTGGTTGTCGGTATGGTTCTCGTGTTCAGTAATATACTGAACAGCATTGAAAACGCACCAGCAATAAATCTTGAAATATTACAAAAAAAACTTGAGCAATGACCGATTTTGATTAGCACAGACATAGACGGATTATTAAGAAAGACGACAAAGGAAACAGGAATACCACACAGTAATTACAATTACGTCATCAGTGTAAGGAAGACACATTGGGTTAAAATGAAAAGTCAATATCTGGTATGTCCGCCATTGACAGCAACACAGCCCGTGCAACGTCTTCTCATTGATCGAATAAGTCTGCGAATAGTGTTCTGGGGCATTCCACTCTTGACGTAGTGTATCTTCAAGTTCTCTCAGGTTCTGTACTTGCAGACGACGTGAGGCGTTGACCCAGGTAATCCCATAGATGTTCAATTGGCGATAGATCGGGTGACAGGGCTGGCCATGGAAGCAGAGGCACATTATTGTTCGCTAGGTACTGTGTTGAAACACGTGCTGTGTGCGCTCTTGCATTATCTTGCTGGAAGGTGTGCATATCCTGGTGCTGATGAAAGAATGGGATGACGTGATTTGCCAATATGTTATTCCTGTAGTAAAGGCCCATTTTAACTCTTCCACGACAAACATGTAGCTGTGTTCGATGGTTATGACTGATGCCGCCCCACACCATGGCACTACCTCCCCCCCCCCCCCCCCCCCCATCGATCTGTCTGTACAACGCAGTCATTGTGGTAACGTTCTCCACGTCGACGCCACACTCGCAGTCGACTGTCAGCATACCGTAAATGAAAACGGGACTCATCAGAGAACAGCACACCATGCCACTGCCGCAATCTCCAATGACGATGCCTTTTGGCCCAACGCAGACGGTTATTTCGATGTCGATCAGTGAGTATGGGTCCAACATATGGACGTCGAGCACGTAGCCCTGCTGAGCGGAGCCGTCGACGTACGGTGTCAGCACTGATAAATTCCGTCGGCCTTATATTGTTGCCGCAGTCCTGGTAGCCGGAAGTGTACGATCACGAAGATGCCGACGAACAATATGGCGATCCTGACGTGGTGTAGTTACACGACTTTGACCCTTACGTGGTCGATCTCTGGTGGTTCTTGTCTGCTGGTATCTGCTCAGTAGCCTGAGGACTGTTGAATGATGGCGTTGAAACCGTTGTGCAACGACTCTACTTGACGTACCAACTTCAAGCATGCCCAAGGCACGTTCACGTTCCTCTGCTGTTAATCTTGGCATTTCTTGTGTCAGTACCCTTTACGTCTGCAGCAACAAGTGATGTGGCTTTTAAAAGTCTGTCTTTTATAGCCCTATTCTGCATGCTTTCCGTGAAACAAAACACGTTTTCCATGCTGTGCACGCAATTTATTGCATTTTGGCGATTTCGATCACAAAAAAATTAGGAATGTGTTTTGACAAGCTGTTCTTCTTCATGCACGTCGTATATTACTCATTCACTTATATATTGTCATATGACTTAAGCCCGGATAAAAATACATCCAATTTCATGGTGGTGCGTTTTCATTGCTGTTCAGTATATTTGAAAATAGCCCGTCTGCTGTGTCGCTGTAATAGAATTGTTCAAATTTTCATGTTTGAGTAATTTTAATTTATTTATTTCCAGAGCATATCCGAGTTATTCTTTATTACTTCAACCTTATCTCGTACTGATTTCTGATAGAGTTCGTTCTTTCTGTTACATGATTCACTGCACTATTCTCTCTGAATATATTCAAAGCTGCATACTTGTTTGATTTTAGTGATGCACATTCATTGTTCCGCCAAGGCGGCAGGTCTGTTGTCACGTGACCCGTGTTGTCTGAAGCAGTCCCAACCCTTGCGTAGAAACCATGTCATTGTGAATAGTGACATAGTGAGTAGTGCGTCCTGTCATATAAACAACACCTCATATGGAGACATCTTGACTGCAAAGACCTATTTTGTCGCGTAGAGCACACGCATCCACAAGACAGGACAATACCAAGTTCATCAAGAAAGCAACTATTCGTTGACAATTGAACACACTTTCTCTTTGATTATTTTAATTATAATATTATATCAAAACCAGGACATCAGCTCATATGATTAACTATGGCTACAAATCAATAATTTAAGATTTTTAATTTTAATTCAAGAACGACATATTGTTTTAAAATACATTGTATTTCATGTCATCACCTCACAGTGTAAAAGACACTTTCAAGCAGCAGAATGTAATTGTTGCGTCGTTCATGTGCCGTAGAGGAGACAGATTTCCAGCTCCTTGCAGAGTGGCTCTTTATTAACTACCGACTGGTAACTCACAACCATTTACGGAGATCTGGTTGGTATATCGACAAAAGGAACAAATTCCTTAAAAATCTTGATATTATTGAAGAACAAAACACATTTCGTCATGGTTGGTAAAGTCGTGAGTAAAGAATTTTGCAGGAGTGGAAATTTACTCGGATATTCCCCTCCAGGTTTTTTTGTTGTTGTTGTTGTTTAACGCCGCGCTCAGTGAGCCTGACCACCCGATCCCGTTAGTCGCCTCCTACGACAAGCGTGGGTTGCTGAAGACCTGTTCTACCCCGGATCCCCTCTCCGTAACAACCCCAGAACCAATGGCAAGGCACTCATGGGTTGCTTAAGAGCTATTCTAACCCGGATCTTTACGGTTCGCAGTTAGTAAGCTGTATGCCATCATTGTGTCATGCATGTATCACCTAACTTCGTGGACACATCTGATATCTACACCCCCGCAATTAATTTTAAAGACATTATCGACATTACACCTTCACTATCATTTCTTCAGAGTAAGTGAGTGGGTTTCGCAGCTTTTAGCAACATTCCAGCAATATCACGACGGGGGACACCGGAAATGGGCTTCACACATTGTACCCATGTCGGGAGTCGAACCCGGGTTTTCAGCGTGACGAGCTCTCACCACTAGGCTTACCCGACCGCCCTCATTTCATCAGGTCTTGTATTTCTTATCAGTGGTATATTTAACAACACTTCCATTATTTGCTGGCACCGACAATTTCTGCCCATGCTTTTATATTAATACTTACATATAACGTTGGTAAGTATCACAGTAACAACAAACTATATAGTTCCAAAATTGCCATGTACGGCTGAATAATGAACACTGTACAGAATATATATGGTAGGTGGAGGATCACCAACAATTGCATAAATGAGGGAAATAAATATGAGTAGGTTCCATACTAACATACGGATAATACTGTAACACCATGTTGGACAGAGAACAATAATGGGGAAGCCCAGTGAACAGGATTAAGTATACATAGGTGGGATTCCAACTGAACATATTTTATACTGTATTTCTTCGTTAGTTTTTTTCAAATAGCCAAGTGGGAAAGCTACGTATGATGTGATAAATGCTTCTATTGGAGAAACTGTTTTGGTACTAGCAGTTCAGCACAAGCTCTGAGACACTAAATGCATGTACTTGTGAATGACAGAGACCTAATCGTGTTCTCGTGGTTGACCCAAGCTTCCTTTATTAAAAAGCATTTTCCACGCAAGATGAAAAGAGTTGTGTTTTCTCCCCAGGTTTCAACAGCACACGAGGCTTTGTGCTGATGTTGAAAAAGGTCATCTCAGGCCAGGGTGTCGTATGTCATGTTAGCCTCGAGCGAGACATTCGTCACCTCAGTGTCTACACCTGACTGAGTATTGCACTACACGGCTGTCATCGGAACACTGCATTGTTATGGAATAGTGTCAGTTTCGAGGGAGAACTGTCGGCGACAATAGGAGGTCGCTATGAACATACCTTGTTTTGTTGGAGTATGCGTGTTGCTGTTTGGGCCGCTGGTCTCAGGTGGGTGTAACATATATTCGTTATAACATATGCACATTGATTATTTGTAGAATGATAACCATTCAAACACATTTAAACAGGTCGTAATTCATTCATTCATTCATGTCGATTACATAACTGCAGTATATGTATGTAACAGCACGCCCGATCAATAAAGGTAACCTATTTAGTTAAATGATGACGAGACACACTGGACATATATTGAATTTGATTGTGTCTGGAAGTATATTACAGGTGGTACATTGCTCCTGTGTAAGGCAAAGAATGTGTAATCTGTACATGAGACACACGGTCAGTCAACTGTGTAAACAAGATGGCGGAAACGCTATAGCTTAATGTTTCCACTTTGAGCGTGTCGTGCTTGGCTTCATATATATATATGTCAGGGGGCCCATGTCAAAATGACCTATATGGAACGTTTATATATATAATGCAGTAAACTTGTGGCGTTTTTGGACATGATTTCAAGAGCGTAAGCTAAAGAATTATTACTAATCGGTGGTATTTGCATGCAGTATTGGTGATTCACTTTAACAACAACAACAAATGAGTGCAAACATAAATACAGAGGAGATTGAACTAAAACTTTTTGTACTATTAACAACATGTATAATTGAATATGCAAGCATCATGGAAGACATGATATAATAGAGACGTAGCCGGTGATTAATAACTGTTATTACATAAAATTGAAATAAAATATGTAATTGCTGCATAATTTGCTGTTTTCCACAATACATTGATGGACATATTTAAACATTGCATTATTTTGTTCTTCATGTGAATTACTGTTTCCACTTAAATGTTTGCTTAATTCATCTGAGCAACTATATTAATGATGTTGATAAACAAAGGTTGTTCTTTTGAAGTATAGTTCTTACATTCGATGTTAAAGCATTTTCACATTGTGAACCGCAAAAGCAAAAAATAGTGTCAGACAAATTAATTCTATAAACATCATCTTTCAGATTGCTGATAACTGAAATACTATAGAGCTCCAATAACGTTGGGATAAATTATTGTTTAACATTTAGCTATAGAAGTACTTTTTTTAACACTTTCAATTCGTGTTTTAATTAGACGTTTATAAATGACATTTAAAACGTGATTGTTCTGACAAAAGGAGAACTTTTTGGATGATTGTTACGTAGGTTATACTTTGAAGCAGTTGGTCTATTACGAGGTAAAGTATCATTAAGTTATGAAGGACATTTATTCTTTTTTATTTTGTTGGATGTTGTAAGTTTTTTTCATTTCTTGTTTCTCTTTTTAGTGGTAGCCAACCCGTTCAGAAATACAAAACTTAAACTTGATACAAATTTGGTCATACCTGTAACAATGCTAAGCAGCAGCAAGCTGTATTAATTCAAGAACAACAGACATTATAGGCAGAACAGTTTCACACCTCTTGATCATGAGTATTCAAGAATAGGTATTGTATATGTCAGATATATTTTTTACAAATTGCGTCTATTTAAGTAATTTTAAATTTACGCATCATTAAATTAAATCATTTTTGCTGTTGACCTGGCAATAATTGAAATATGTGCAGTCAATTTGGATAACCCCGAACCTGTTTCTAACTAAAAAAGATCATATTTTATCTCAGAAGAATTCAGTAACAAATCATGTGCTTTCCCATTGATTTAAGATAAGACTTATAGAATCAGTCGATAAAGTGCCTTTGCATGTTTCATCGGTGAATAATCCAGTAACAATTTGAAGCCGATCAGTGATGACTGTAAACGATAAATAGAAAGGGCCCCAGTTCAGAACCTTTGGGGGACCCCTTGATGCATTTATTACTTGATTAACTACCATTAATAAATACTCTTTGGCAACGATCTGACAGATATCTTTATATAATAAACCAGTAATGCCATATTGTTGAAGTTTATGCAATATATCTGTGTGCCATACGCTGTCGAATGCCTACTAGAAATATCAGAGGAGTTCATGCAAAGATGTATTTGTGATCATCATGTGACTTTACATTCTGATGGTAAATTTTGATCAGTTGGGATGTAGCGCATTTTTGTGTGGATGAATAACGATTGATTTTTGGAAAGTAGTTTATGCTCAAGAAAGTAACTATACATTATTTCCTATTTATATCAGTGAAACAAGTCCGAAGTTTGAAGGGTGGGATTTATCTCCTTTTTGTCAACGGCATTACATGTCCTAGTTTTCCACTTTGATAGTAATGTGCTTTGTTCAAGAGATAAATTGAATAATGGACTTAGAGCAGTGCACGTGGCTATTGATATTCAGGTAATCTGTGGTTCAGGTTGTCGGGACCGCTTGCGTTAGTTACCGGACTTTGTTAGATCTGTCATTTCTTGATTTTCATGATGAGGTAGTGTGTTGTTATCAGAGGGAATAGAGGGAACCTAAATATATAGTTTTACATTGCACTGTTATAAACTTGGAGGTAAATCAGAATTGTGATCATGTCACGATACTGATACTTGATCCCGTTTTGAGGTAAAGCAATAGGCAACATCTAACATTTATTTTACTTGTCCGACTGGTGTAATGCTGGTATGAGGAACATAAATAACCTTCACGCCATAGCCAGGGTAAAGGTGACAGAAATGTCGAATCTGTGTGAATTGATTCTTTGTAAATATTAGAAGCGCCTATGATTCCCAAATTAACAGCAGAGCACTGTCCATCTTCAAATAAAGGGATAGCGTGACGTAATACAATTGTTTCTAATAAATGATGCAATAAACCATTGACACTTACTACCATACATGTATTTAGGGTCCATGGATAAGCTCTCTCAAACCTTCTATCTTTCTACGCCCCACATTTAATGGGTGCATACGCACAGTAACCAGTTAGACAGAACCCAGGTGATGAAAGGTAATGTGTTTCCTTGCATACATACTCCCCTGGAAGTCACTTTTATAAAGGCTACATGTGTAATCGTCATATTACATCTCGCAACATCGAGACTGAAAATGTGTTTCAATTAAGTATTTATAGTCTTGCCTTCATATGGAACGAATAAAGCTCCTTAAATCTATATCAAGTGAGATATGGACAGAATAGATAAATACGGATAACGTAATGTGTACGTTGATTTCTTGAGGCTGTTTATTTGTGTTATTGAAGTGTTCACTGGGCGGGTTACATTCTTGTTAAGGAAATAAATGTCACCGGGTCGCTTTCCCTTGTTCATTTGTTAAGTTGTCCTTTATATACGGTTTTACGTGAAGATATTTTACGGAAGTGTTACAACATACGGCCCGGCGTTAAAGTGTCATCGACAAGTCAACAACTTCCCCTACTTTAATCAAATGACGACATGATTTTTCTGTAGGCAAAACCTTTTGCAATATCTTAGCGCATGTGCGCCTTTTAAGGTCCAGATAAATTGTATTATTGGGTATATATCCCAACACTCTATAAATGACTGTGTTCATCAATAATATATTATTTTATAACTGAGTGGCTTTATCATCTGTCATACATCGCAGGGCGATTGGTCGCAATATAGTTTTACTGAATAGTATGTATAATAGTTATGTTCTATGTAATTGCGATAGAGATGTAAATAAACTATTGTCATGATGTCTGTCTGTTCCCTATCCTGTTATCGCCGGCAGCTACCCGGCAGTAGGACTAACAGCGCTGACGCTACACTGACCAATGCAATAACTGCACAATAGTGGCCTCTACTAGACAAACAGATATGTTTGTTTTGGAAGCCCCTTACTGAGCGCGTGATATCAACACTTTCACTGGGACATCTAAAACTTTATACGAATATTACGATTTTTTTTCTCCCGGAAATTGACTGATATCTAGCAAAATTGATATTCGCAACAGAATTGCAATCATTTTTTTTCAACTTACATGTACTTGCCCTTTATCCTCTGGATTGTGTTCCTATGAAAATCCATTTATTTTGCGTTTTCATTTTACATCATGAAATCAATCGTAAATAGACCTAATTCGGAAGACATTACTGATACATTTAAATTTCTATCCGGGGAACAAAGCTGTATGAAGATTTGTCACCGGTCGTTTGTACTAACTAGCCTACCTTTCCGGAGGTGTATCGACTTGCCAAGAACCCTGCTTGAGTAAGCTCTACAATATTTTCGAAAGTTGCATGGTAAATGCGGAGGTTGACATTTCAAATATATATGAGTTAAATGTGTATTTTGGTTTCGTTTGCATGAATCAAATAGTATATTAGTATAATTCGATTTATGATACAATAATCCCGAGGATAGCATATCCATAATGACATATATTTCTGTTTACACATTACGGAAACATATACATAAGTGAAATTCGTTTTATTCACCGCACGTATTACTAGCAGCAGCACTTGTAGATGTAGCGATGACGCAGTTGTGCAATGTTGTTTCAATGTTACCTGCATATAACACTTCACATAATAGCTGCCGTTTAAGTGATATTATATACTACTCAAAAGAAGTTAAGGATCACCCGATTCTTTCATATTGGTAAAGTTAATCTGCCATGGCATGAGAGATTAACTATAGTAATATGAAAGAATCAGGTGATCCTTAACTTCTTTTGAGTAGTATATACCCGCATTAAGTACATATGATATGTGTGGACAGGGATTAACCTAAACATATGTTATATCTTAACCGTAAACGCGTTTCACTGAATTTAATATAGTATATAAATGTTATGGTTTTCATACAGTTGTGCACGTTAATGTTAGGTTATCATGAAAATAGGCTATTATGATATTACATATTATTTAAACTTACGCTTAATGCTATTTATTGGCTGTAAGTCACATAAAGTCCTTCATTATTTGATGATTGAGTGTTGTTTGTTTGCCGGTACATGTGATGGTGGAAAATCATGTTCTATATTGTATGAAACAGCCCGTTTGATGAGTCAAGCCAGCAAGGTGGTTCATCCCACGTTTCTGAACGTTGAGAAACAAATATTAAAGGAGATTAGACAGTCTGTGTATGAGTCAATATGATGAAAAGAAAGTAGTCATTACAAAAACCATGTTCAAGTGTTTACAGTGAACGTGTTCTTTACAGGTGCGTGTAACGTTACACTTTATGCCCAGAAGGAACCATTGAACTTCACGTCTCCTAACTACCCAGGCAATTACAGAAAGTAGGTAAAATGATATTCGTGTACGAGTTTTAATGTGTTTTTTTTATTAGCGGTCAATATCTAGATATTAGCATCCACTGAAATAATAATGAGTGTATTTAGTGTCAAGTGTTTAACACTGTGGTGCTGCATGGACAAAGTCATGGATCATCCCAAAGATTCATGTGAATCGATGTATGAATATTATTTCCATGATCTTTTCTTCTTTAAAGCACGATCTTGTGATATTTCAAACATTGCGAAGAAGATCTAGACAAGTTTAGTCATTGTGTTTTGTAGAGTCATATAGCTATATTTTCTTACAAACATTTCTTGCAGCAATGACAACTGTTACTGGGACATCTATCCTCAAACAAGAGGCTACAGAGTTATACTCGACATGGTGTACACCAATATCGAAGGTCCATTCCCCTGTAGACAGGACGTCCTGACCATATACGTCACAAATAACGGTAACGTGGAAATAATTATTGGTGTATATGCTCCAGGATATATTGTTTGACTATGTTAAGGGGGTAAAAGATGCTTTGAAAAACGCCCATTACCTGATTGTAATGTTATGTCATTGCTTAATGTTTTTCATCAATGGGACATTGCGTGGAATTAAAAATATTCGTCAGACAAAGTACACGAAGTAACACGTATATCTTCCGTGGTCTCTATATGACAATAAAATAGGCTTGTTCACATGTTTTATGTTTGTAAGCACATACTTACTAACTACTTATCAACAAGAATAATTGCAGCCATTCTCATTTTCCATAACAGCTAATCATACTTCAACCGAGTTACACAAAATTTGTGGAAACAAAAGATGGAATCTTATTACCCATGATGACCAGCATTTTCACGCCGTGTTCACGACTGACGGCAGTGTTTCGACGAGGGGTTTCTTAATTCGATATTATGAAACAGAGGGTAAGTGAATTAATGACAATGTTTTGTGACGTCATTTAATACTGTACAATATGAAGGTGAACATACGAGGGGCGTTCAATATGTTTTGCAACTTGGGCATTTGTGTTTACACAAACAATGTCAACTTGTGGCCGGAGTGACACTAGTCATAGCATCAGGTTGACACGTGTCATAACACGTTCCAGACACAACAATAAGTTAGATGTGATGGCTTTATTCACCTAAGGGTGGTCACATTCATGGATTCTCTCAAACATGAACAACGCGCTGTAATAAAGTTCCTTACATGCTCCGGTTCACAAGTCGAGAATTGCACAGGCCGCCATATCTGAATGTGGATTGGAACAGTTAAATCACCCACCCTACAGCCCAGACTTAGCCCCCAGTGACTATTTCCTGTTCCGGCAAATGAAATCTGTCCTACGTGGAAGACCCTTCCAGGATGATGAGGACATAAAGGCTGTCACAGAGGCGTGGTTAGAGGGCCAATCTGCGGATTTCTATAAAATTGGTATTAAAAGCTTGAAGGACAAATGGAATAAGTGTATTGAGGTGAATGAGGTTATATTGAAAAATAAAAGTGCCAAAGATATTCTGCGACTTGGTCTTACATTGAAGTTGAACGCCCCTCGTATGTCTGGCTCCATGATTGCTGCTTTCTTTCGCAACGTGCGCAACCTTTCGCCGTTTTATTTACACTTATTAATGTAACCAAAGTACGTGGCAATCATATTGTTATGATCTTTTCTGTTTGGTGATAGCGGGCATGGTTAATAACGTGGCATTGGTTGAGTGTCACGGAAACTATAACCAATAAAATAATATTGGAACCACTTCAAATAACACAGTGAATGACCAAGCACAGACATCATGTCAGCACTGTTCAAAACGAAGCGACCCTTGTACTGGTTAGTTGTAAAGAACACACCACTGTCCTGGCGTCATAACGTTTTACAGACAAGAAGTCCTAGCAGTGTAGCCAGTGATATATGACGTCACAAATTGCCCAATCAGATAGAGATCTCTGCCTAATATCTTGCCACACCTGAATAATCTACGAAGCGGAAAAAGGCATTTAACAACTACTATGAAACAAGATCAGTTTTGCTTATTGCCTACCGGTGGAAAAAAATGCTTCTGAACAATTTTTTTTTCTTTCGTTGTCTGACATAGATTTGACACAGCAGACAGGACCTTTTATGCACGATTCTAAAATATCGTGGTATAATTTGTCATATACAGTTAATAATATTAACTTTCCTTGAATGAATGCAAACGCATCATGTGAGTCATACACATTATATCCTTATCTCACTCAGGGAGAGCAGCATGCGATGCATCTCTCGTGGCCACTTCTACCGGCAAGATATTTACCTCGCCTGGATACCCAAACACCTACCTGCCGTGAGAAGTTTTAATACTATTTCGACTATGACATCAAATATATCCAAATCTGGTCAAATACGTTGTGGTACGACTGACAAAAAGAGGGTCTGTTATCCCACGTTTGTTAATACTAACACAAAAACACAAAAACAAAAGGTATTATTCCAGTCGATGTCTTATATGTACTTGTAGATTCTAGTTTTATTTGAATATAAGTGTGTGAATAAATGAGCTTTTATTTATTTTTAGCTCAAACAACTAGACAATATCATTCAATTCACTTCAGTTTACTTCTAATGTGTAGGCCATCTGCCCATGGCTAAATTTGTATAACAATCGACGTGAAGCACTCAAATCTTATTGTACTGACAACAATGTACCACGAACTAGATGTTTAATTGATTTAGATTGATTTAAAAATATATTGATATTAAATTTATGCTTGTTCGGCTACACACAATATTTCTGTGGTAAGTAATCCACCTGTAACTTGTAACTACAGAGCAGACTAATAGCAAATTATCCCTGTATTCCACATACCAAACATTACAAACAGAGGGTATCTTCTGTTTCGTGGGATTTTAGTGCTTGTTTGTTTGTTTGTTGTTTAACGCCGCACTCAGCAATATTCCAGCTATATGACGGCGATGTGTAATTAATCGAGTTTGGATCAGACAATCCAGTGATTGACACCATGAGCATCGTCATCGCAATTGGGATACGAAGACATGTATCACCATGATTCAACACTTAGCTGAAGAGAAAGAAAACAACTAAACTTAGCAAGTGCAACTAAATTTATTGACTGCCACACAGATAAGATACAACCCTACATTAAACGATACCTTGAATTGAGAATAGGATAAATTAAAGATGCACAACCCTTTTCAAGGCATCTTCCTGAGGCAAGGGAGTTAACTGACTATAAAAGTCCAGTTTCCACCCTTGCCGAACTAGGCTGGTATATTATGGAGTTACATTTTGGCTGGACTAACGAGTCTATGCATAGTCCAATCAAAATCGCGCACCGAAATCGAAATCCGGTTCGTAAACTGTCGTGCAGATTTCGGTCGATTGCAGGATTTGCAAAGCATGTGCACCGCTAACTCATTGTCAGCAGATATTTTCCAATTCTTTTCATGTTTTTGATCAAGGTGCTCACGTGATTTGATGCATTTCGCGATGTAAGACCCGTTTTATCACAATATAGATGTTGATTATCGATCAGATCGTCCTGACTTGGCGCCACCATTTTGTGTGAAACAAAAGCAAGTGATACGAGAGGTGGAATCTGATTGGTCCATAGGAGAGGCTAAGAAGGGACATAACTGGTAATAGCCAGTGGAAGCGCTACGATCGAGCCCAGTAATTCCAGCCTAGTTCGGCAAGGGTGGAAACTGGAATTGAACAGTCAGTTAACTCCCTTGCTTTGGGAAGATGTTTCAAGGGGACTAAGTCAATCCTGTTCAATATACACAAGATGAACTGACTCGGTACTGACAGTACAAGGTATTCAGCAACCCATAACGGCCGAAAAATGCGACCTTGCTGGTCGAAAGAGGCGACCAAGAAACGGGATCGGAAGGTCAGGCCCGCTGACTTGGTTCATACATGTTATCTCAAATTGCGTAGATCGATGCTCATGATGACAATCACTTGATTATCTGATCCAGACTCGATTATTTACAGACCGCCGTTATATATCTGCGACATTGCTGAGTGTGGCGTTAAGCAACAAACAAACACTAATTGGTAGTTCTTGCATTGTTTTCAGGACACAGTCATGTACCTGGAATATTACAACAGAACAACAAAATCAAGTCATTCTATTGTTCACGAAGGACTCGGAACTTCAGGGCAGTACCTCACGCAGGGTTTGTGATACGGATTACGTCACTGTATATAACGGACAATACAGTAAGTATATATATATCTGCATGAAATAAAAGCAACTTAATGTAGCCCCGACTTCATCATTAGTGTGTTTAGGAAACCCGATCAAATGGTGATGATACTAGGTGTTTGCGAGATGGTCGTTTCCTGTCCAACTGGTGGCACATGTCACAAACACGCTGAAACAAGTCAATTCAAGTGTCCACCTGAACAACCATGGTAACATATGGCACCAATCAAAATAAGGAATTTTATAGGACATAATTTTGATCACTGATGTGTTAAATTTGGAAATCCACTTGTCTTCCATTAAACGTTACTTTTGGCATTGAATTATGCAAACCTGATAAAAACAACTTTGGAGCATGTTCGCATAACGTGTTTTGAAACTTTTGTTTTAAAGTAATGCAATATTGCTCGACATAAAGACAAAGTTGAACATTGGAAAATGAAGTCATCCCTTTTGATATACAGTATTGTGTATAATATTTTGTCAGTATGAATATTTATGCAAAGATCTAAATCTAAACCAGAAATGGGGCAGTTTCTCTCGGCCCGTTCATTTCCAGTTCAGGTGGATAAACTGAATTGGCTTTTCAAACGGTATCAGATCATCGTCATACCTAATTTAAAAGCTTTGCCAATTCACTTCCACTGATTCAGAAATACGAGGTGGATTCATAGTGACAAAGACAAAGCTATATAACTGAAGGGATGACTTCAACTGTCCAAAAGTCGACTCTCAATTTATATCGAGCAAGATTCCAGCAGCTCCACCCTTTGGTGTCTGCTATCACAACTTTTAAGGTACAATCCAGCAGGTTCTTTCTATGCAGAGCGTCACACGACTCTTGTTCAAAAGTTGTTTGATGAAGGTTGCAACATTCAAAGCCTCAGTGAAGCTTCAAAAAGTTTTATAGGAGACATGTTGGGACAGGATGGACACATCAGTGAAACAATTATGTCCATTGCACTACTTTATATCGACTTGTACCAGATTGTCACACTTAACAATTGTATATGTTTGTGACGCGTGCCACAGGTGGGGCGCAGTACACGCTCACCTTTTTACGAACACCTGGTATCACTATTTGATATAGTCAGAATCGCACAATGCATGGACTCTGTTGCTAGCAGAGATTTCTTATGAATATGGAATGAGCTTTGTCGCATTTATTTATTGACAAAATTGACTTTGGTTATTTTTTAAGAATGCCAAAAAATCAATCTTTTGGGTACTCTGCATCAAATCCACATATCTCAAATACTTTAAAGTCATCCCGTAGTTGCATTAAGAATTATGGTGAATCTTTAACACAAGGACTTATCGGCAAATTGCAGAAAGGTAAAACGGTGATGGCTCAGTGACATCAGATACACTACATGTTTGTTTGTAATGCCACTCCTGGAGTTGATTAGACTGTATCACTGTATGTTGTATTTGGAAACACGTCCACTGGAACCACAGGGTTAATCAAGTAGTAATGTATAACGTCAATTTATCACCCAAGTGCTCATTCAAGTACTCCGGTTATTGTCACTGAAACGATGCGAAGTAAAAGTGTGCGTCAATCTGTATAAATTTCCCTTTGCAGTCAGGAAATGGTCTACTATCTGAAGTAACGTTAAACTGGGTTAAAATACGGCTCCTTTTGTTCCTTCATTTCCGCATGCCATCTGCCTCTGTCATTGAGCCGCGTATTTACGTGTCTGTATGGAATTCAATATACAGTGGAAATGCCTATTGTGAAACCAGGATTGACATGAGTCCCACCATCTTTCATTGAAGTTGGATTCAAGAAGGCAACGTCCTGGTCATTGATACCACATAAAAGCATAGTTTCACGTTAAGCATGACAGACAACTGATTGGATGCTCAGACAGTTATTAATGAGTCAAAGTGAAAATTTTCAACTACCTCAGTGGTGTAAAGGCTTATGATGTTTCTTTTCATATCCGACACCGAAAAAGTGTATAACGTTTATGCTCCTGCATAAACAAATATATTTAACAACGAATGAAAAGAAGGGATATGCTCTGCGATCCCGGATTTCGATTGCATTGCTCGATTTTGATTGGACTATGCATAGACTCGTTAGTCCAGCCAAAATCTAACTCCATAATACCAGCCTAGTTCGACAGGGGTGGAAACTGGACTTTTATAGTCAGTTAACTCTCTTACCGCGGGAAGATGATACTAAATCAGCACCATCTCACAAACTGACTTTAAATTGCCTGTCTACCAACATGTGGACCGCCTGCGTGGTCTAGAGGTAGAGCGTCCATCAAGACGGAGGGCTGACGATCTGGGGTTCGATCCCCGGCCGCGTCATACCAAAAGACGTTAAAATATGGTACTTGTTGTTACCCTACCCGGCTATCGGCATTCAGGGGCGAAGACGTCTGGTCGTCTCGTAGTCAGTATTCCGAGTATTTATTTGTAAATTGTCGTCTTAACCGAAAAATATGTGTTGTTTAATACCTGTTTTTCCAACATGAGATTAAACAATTCCAACAAATTAACAGGCAGCCTAAATAACCTTAACAGATTTGTAGGTGGGCTAAACAGACTTTTTATAGTACTGATACATGAACGGCAAAATAACGTCATAAGTTTCATTTGAGTAACCTTGCAATCGTACGCATTAGGCTAACCATTTTCCAAAATTACCTCAAATCCTTAACCCGCGCGTATGGATAATGATGTCATTAAAAGTGACGTCATGCACGTTATTTCACCTTTGTTACGATCTTTCATACATAAGAATATCCTCATAGGGGATAGTATCCTATATTTTTATGATCGACAGATGAATGATATTGTCAACCAACAATAAAAATGAGAGTGCTTTTCTTTGGCGTCATATTTCTGGGTCACAATGAGCGGTCATTATCCAAGATATGAATATGGCAATGCGTTTGGTTAGTTCTTGTGTGTGTACATCATTCTTGACTGTTTACTTCCTCACATTGTTGACATGGCTTTCATTTCCAGGCTACGACGAAATCGGCACCTTCTGTGGTCACCAACAACCAGTATTTTCCAGCTGGGGGAACTCACTGCGTGTCCATCTACAAACTGATGACAGAAACAGCTACAAAGGATTCAAAATGCTGTACAAAGCTGTACCTGGTTTGTTTAAACTAAACAATTTGACTCAACCTTGCAATTGCTCAGTAGCTCTCTCTCGCAGACAACATTATACGAAATGCAATTGATAGTCTGTTGTGGATTGCCTTAACGACACCACAAGCAAAATACCAATGAAAGGTTACGATATGCATTAGAACACCATTAATCTGGACAGTATAGTTCCTATAATGAACTGAATTGCGGCGTCACATGGTCCAATGCACCAGTTAGAAAATCAGGTAAAGTTGAGCAACGTCGGTCACCAGCAGTCCTTTGATGGGTGACCGTCTTTCGGCTACTTGGGTGTTGAGAGTTTCTACGGCTTCGGTCCTGCCCCACACTGTATCACATGTGGTGTCTCCTTGGGCAAGTAGCATTGTTCAGAATGTGCCTCTGTTCACCCAGCAGTGAATGGGTACCCGGTAGGATGAGATGGCAATGTGGTTGTCTTCTAGCGCCTGATAGGCAGCTTGGGATGTATACTCCCCAGGGACCTGACAATGATTGTTGAGTGAACACTGACAGTGACCTTTGTAGTATTAGTGCTTTGAGCATGCCCCTGTGTGGTGTGGAAATATGGTCTTATAAATGGACTAAAATTAGTATTATTAAATAACCTGAGGCAGTGTCACAATGTACATATGCGCTCCCTTCAATTATCGTCTGAAAGACGATGGGGATGTCAAACAAACATGTTCTTGACCAACACGGTTTCATTGAATTTATATCAGAAACATCCGTGATGCGTTCAAATGTTACACATGCATATATATAGTGAGTGATTATTTCTGTTAAATCACGGCATAAAAGCTTAATGTGTATGGAAAGTCCAAAGTCATGCAGACGTTTAACACTTCTGTGAAACCCATGAACACGGGTATATGGTGCTGACAAATATAAAACGTAATTTGAGCGAACCGGGATTCGAACGCGCATTTATTGGTTTCTGGCATGTCCAGGGGACGCATCTCTGCACAGAGATTTGTGGGTTGTCGGACCACCCCTGCCCCTGTATAAATATATAATTTATATTTATATATATTCATATGACGATGAATTGCAATTAAAAAAAAACACGATCGAATTCCGTGTAATTATGACATTTTCAAAATGATATCATTATATCTCCATCAGCAACAACGTGCATCCTTACGATGCCTGCAGGGCGCAGTCCAATACAGTTTGTCTCCCCTGGTTATCCTAACGGCTACCAAAGGTAAATTACAAACAGTTGCCAGGAAAACATTCCGTTCCAAATAATTATGGAACATGTATCGGCTCCCTAGAATCATTAGTCTAATTCTTTCAAACCCTTCGCTTTATGAAAAGAAAGATGTATACATATGTAGATACGACTTTGATCATGTTCCATGGCGATTACTAGACGAGTGTCTATCAGATGCCATTTATCTTAGAACGAGCTGTTTCAAAACGTATCTGACGAGCGCAGGCGAGTTAGATACGCATTTGAAACGGGTTTTAAGATTAATGGTATGTGACAGGCACGAGTGTAGTATTCTGTTTCTTACACACCCTAAAATGTCACCTTTTTTGCATCGAATCGATGCATTTTGGTCCATTCTCGTGATCGCAGTGGCGCATTAATACACAACGGTCATTATTGACGTCACCCGACGTACTGTTTACCTGCTTACTACTCATAAATAATGGAACTCTACAAAAAATGTTTCCGTTATATCCGTTGCTGGATTATCAAGGCGATGATGATAACGCACACTAGAAAAAAAATAAGTGAACCTGCATGATGCCGAGTGAATAATTTTCACCTCAAAGAAATTACCAAATATGTACAACAATTAAACAATGTATGACATCACTACTAGTGACAGACTTTTACAAAATGGCGTGTACACTACGTGGGTTTTTAAGAGGAGGATTCTTTCGTTGATCGAGTGATCGTATATACAAATATGTGTCACGTAAGTTATCAGAAACATTCTGACAATCTGCATACTGATGTTTGTTTTTATGTCTTCCAATGCAACCAAGAGAATTAGTCGGGAAATGCAGATATCTACCGTCGCCGAGGGTGTCATGCCAACACAAAGGACGGGAACTGTCACGATTTCTGTTGAATTTACCTTTTTATTGTTATTGTAATATGTATAATTTTAATTCCATTATTCGTGCTACCACACTCTTCCCATGAATATTCTCAAACACGTGCGCTAATATCGGCAACAAATAAACGAATGAATCTCTCAAAATAGGAGAGAATGCTACACAGTGTAAAATCTGAATTTTGATTTGTTTACATTTCAAACAAGTACAGTTTTCCGAGCACAGCGTTCGTTTCCACACCTACGTATTTCGCTTGATTTCAACTAGATAATTTGTATTGGTGACAAAGACCATTTGTCATTTGATTCTAAATTGTATGAGGAATTCAGGGATGTATGCATCGAGTTTGAAATATACTTGATGAAATAGGCTTCTTATAACCGGCTTACCTGAACTGTGATTTTGTAAACACTGTATCCAATATGGCGGAAAGTACACTTCGGCGTTCGCATTTGCGTATTTTGCAGACATTCTAGATTCTAAATGATTCTAGCCTTTTGCGGCGACGTTTCAGAATTATCATTAGTGAATTGGTGAAAAACAGAAATCAGAAAATAGAAATCTAATCATGCTCACTGGTGTGCTATTTTTTAAATTCAATTCTCCGAGTAAATATATGATATTTAGATTTCTAAACATATAGGCCGAATAAATAATGAACGTCGTGATTGTATTAATAAAGTATCAAAAATAGCGAAATTTAGGATGTACCTATATTTAAGGAGGTCACTTTCAATAGTTTTACTATGCCTAAAATGACAATGGATATCACAGAAAAGGGACTTTCCCACATAATTCAAAACTGTGAAGTGTATTAGTGTGCGTGATGCATTTCCAGTTTTATCCGACTTCGAAGCGAAGGTTGATGAGGAGCGACATCTCTGGCATCCTGGGGGTAGAGACTCTAAACCCATAACGTTCTACACAGACGTTGGTTAACATTCGACTGAAGCAGGAGTAACTTGCTGTCATGATCATAATCTGACCTCAGGTCATCACCATGGAGTAGCCAATCACTGGCCTGGAATTCGATCTCACACATATGTTTGACACCAATTATCTCACATGTATTTCTCGCCCACGGGTGTGTAAGAGAACCTATTTTCCTCGTCCAAATGATTCATCATGTCAAAGCGTACATAGGTATATATACAATATGCAATATGCTACTGGTTAAAAAGACTAGATGTACATGCACTAGTTGTAAAGTTTGATTGCAGCATTAAACATATCGAAAAATTAGATTTGAATAATTAATGCGAAGTAATATTTATTGTGTCTCTATTTATCTCATATCATTATTTTGTTCTCAGCGGCATTTTCATAACACAATCTTATATATTGACAAGACGATAACATGATTCAAATAATACCCTTAATACTGGAAAAGCGGATTTAAACCCCGAATCACTCCATCATTTATTAGCACAAGGACTTGTGGTTCTTTACCAACGTCGTCAAGGGCTGTACCGCAGGAGCCCAAATGAATAAACGTCGGCTCGTGGAGTTGACAACCGAGCTTAGTCCTCTGTATCGGTACGTGATGTATGTACACAGTATCTGTACACTGAATCTGTACACAATATATCTACACTGTATTTGTACATTGAAACTGTACACTATCTGTACACTGTATCTGTACACTGTATGTGTACACTGTATGTGTACACTGAATCTGTACACTGTATCTGTACACTGTATGTGTACACTGAATCTGTACACTGTATGTGTACACTGAATCTGTACACTGTATCTGTACACTGTATGTGTACACTGTATGTGTACACTGTATCTGTACACTGTATCTGTACACTGAATCTGTACACTGTATCTGTACACTGTATGTGTACACTGTATCTGTACACTGTATCTGTACACTGTATCTGTACACTGAATCTGTACACTGTATGTGGACACTGTATGTGGACACTGAATCTGTACACTGTATCCGTACACTGTATCTGTACACTGCATCTGTACACTGTATCTGTACACTGTATCTGTACACTGTATGTGGACACTGAATCTGTACACTGTATCCGTACACTGTATCTGTACACTGTATCTGTACACTGTATCTGTACACTGTATGTGTACACTGTATGTGTACACTGTATATGTACACTGTATCTGTACACTCTATGTGTACACTGTATCTGTACACTGTATGTGTACACTGTATCTGTACACTGTATCTGTACACTGTATGTGTACACTGTATATGTACACTGAATCTGTACACTGAATCTGCACACAGTATCTGTACACTGTATCTGTACACTGTATGTGTACACTGTATGTGTACACTGTATGTGTACACTGTATATGTACACTGTATCTGTACACTGTATCTGTACACTGTATGTGTACACTGTATATGTACACTGTATGTGTACACTGTATGTGTACACTGTATATGTACACTGTATCTGTACACTGTATATGTACACTGTATCTGTACACTGTATCTGTACACTGTATCTGTACACTGTATGTGTACACTGTATATGTACACTGAATCTGTACACTGTATGTGTACACTGTATATGTACACTGTATCTGTACACTGTATGTGTACACTGTATGTGTACACTGTATATGTACACTGTATCTGTACACTGTATGTGTACACTGTATGTGTACACTGTATATGTACACTGAATCTGTACACTGTATGTGTACACTGTATATGTACACTGTATCTGTACACTGTATGTGTACACTGTATATGTACACTGTATCTGTACACTGTATATGTACACTGTATCTGTACACTGTATCTGTACACTGTATCTGTACACTGTATGTGTACACTGTATATGTACACTGAATCTGTACACTGAATCTGTACACAGTATCTGTACACTGTATCTGTACACTGTATGTGTACACTGTATGTGTACACTGTATCTGTACACTGTATCTGTACACTGTATCTGTACCCAATATATCTACACTGTATTTGTACAGTGAATCTGTGCACTGTATATGCACACTGGTTGAAACCCAAAGCCATAATAGTGTAAGCTCACATACTTCAAAGTTCTTCTGATATAAAAAAACTATTAGTCACTATAACTAACATTTACCGAGACAAAGCCTGTCATGATATCATTGCAAATATTTTGTATGGCTAAGCATGTGCTTTCTGTTTAAGAATAACTTTCTGTACGTTGCAGTGGATTAGATTGTCAATGGACTATAAATGTGCCGTATGGAAGTACCATCACGGTTCAAGTTCTCTTTCTTGATATGGAAAGAAGGCCATCGTGCAAAAATGATTATCTTCTCTTCAAAGATGGTAGGTAATCCTTGGATCTATGCTATCTTACTCTTGCTATCAGTTCCGTGAAGCAGATGTAGCTACGGGTCTGTGGTAACGAGACACACGTGTATTAACAATTAGGCAAATAACGAGGTGTGGTATATTTAGCTTTTATTTCAAAATGCAAAATCAGAAATTATGAAATCCTTTATCTTACTGTTTGCAATGTGATAACGTGTTGTTTTGACTGAATTAACATTTTATTAATCATCGCTGCTTGCATCTTTTGGACTTGATACAAAATCTGTAGCGACCAAAAGCGACAATTTCTCAACTTATCAATCGGTGAAAAAATATTGGAAACAGGACAACTGTTTGTAGTCAAAGTCAATGTCAACAGATGTTTATTGCATTCAAGGCCTCCGCCCCGGTGCATCCCCTATTGGCCTGCGTCCCATTTGGCCTAAAGAAACAGAAATGACCTTTCCCATTTGGCCTACCACTGATTATTTTAAACAACCTACACCCCTTTTGACAAAAATGATTTGGATTGAGCTTAATAAGCTCTTGTTATTTCACACAGGCTTCTTCTGTGAAGTTGATTAATGTAACTATCTCACAATTAATTAATCCTTTTCTTATGTTCATAAGATGCTGTTAGCTTGTATTTCTCTGTTGTTGGACTGGTTCATTCTCATCACTCTGGGGGAGACGGGTAATTAGTGAGTGATCAACCAAGCGATTAATTACCGTAATTAAATCCTCTAAAAGCGTAGGCCAATTGGGAAGTAAGCCAATCGGGAGGACACCTCCGCGCCAAATATATAGCAATTACATGTGAGTAGTTTCACATATTCGGATATACCTTTATGTTTGATGGTTCGTTTCTAAGAGAAATTGCATTTTTTGCATATGTAGCCAGTTTTATTATGAAAACACCATACAGGTACAGAATTGGCAGATAGTGTACTGGAAAAAAACCCGTTCCTCAGGTAGCAATAATAAGGACATACGAAAGTAATATGAATTTCATTGTCTATAGCTCAATGACATAATGGACATGTCCTCTTCGATTTTACAGAGGGCATTTGTTTTCCTTCTTTTATCATGACATCTAACAGTCCGATGAATAAAATGACGTCTATGGTTTTTGATGTTATATTGATATGTTTTTCTGTGGCTGAATGAGACTCTTAAAAGTTATGCATTGAACTGTTTTCCAGAGTGGAGTGCCATTCTTGGTAAGACATATTGATAGATTATTCACGAAAATCTTTCAAAAAGAGTGCCACATCATCAAATGTTTTTTTAACCGAACAAAGCCGTACAAGCACATATTATAAGCAAATTTGGGGATTCGGCGTTCATGCATTATAGTGAGTGAGTGAGTGAGTGAGTTAAAATTCATGCATTGTAAGAGAATCAAACCAGTGTTTCAAACATTTAACTCGCCAAGGATCATGCAAATTGGTGTTGATGGACCAACAGGGTAAACGATGTAGCTTTTCGACACAATCGAATCGCTAAAATCAGCAATAGTCCAGCTATGTGACGGTGGCCTGAAAGTAAATTGAACATTATGAGTGATGTCCCACGCCCTCTGGTACGAAGACACCATATCAACCAAGTCACTGATCCTGACATCCCGGTCCATGCCGTCTCTCACCGCAAGCATGGGCTGCAGAGGACCAATTCTGACCAACAATCCGAACGGGGTCATTGACATGGGACATAAAACTCAGGCCAAGTTTTCATAACTTTATACTTTGTCATTTACTGGCGGACAAGATTAATTTATCCCAACCGAGGACAAGATTGTCCAAATAGTACATTAAGATGAGATGATAAGTCGAAAGAAGGGAGGCACAGGGTATGGGGAATATTTAGCGTAATGGCCCTCATGTTACTAAAGGTAACATGCCAGTCCCATAATGAAACTACGTACATTCGTTAATTAATCATTGCTATTTCATACTCACATTTCAGGGAACACGACGAATGCTCCCACACTGGCAAAGATCTGCAGAAATACGTCTACACCCATCACCAACTCTGGTAACCACATGATCATTTCGTTTCACTCAGACATGTCTGTCACAGGAAGAGGCTTTCGTCTGCAGTACTCAGCTGGTAATTGTTCTATTCCCTACAAGAGTTTTTAATGTTTTACAAAGCTCAACATTGTGGTATTGTTGAGTCATCAAAGTCATACTCTTGTTCATGTTTTTTTCTATTTGAACAATAATGAGTGACCCAGAGTTTCCCTTCTGTGATACACTGCTGCTTGTAACCTGGTACCCACCTTACAGTAACTTACAAAGTTACCTATACAATGCTCTCCAAGACCTTGTGTCATCTATCAACGCCATGATCACATCAGGTTGAACATCCTTGAGAATATCAGGCACCTCTTTTGTGTTGCTAATGGGACTTAACAGTTTACATCCTCTTTGGGTTTTAGCTCCAGTTGCATCCGAGGTCGTCAATGTAAGTTGTGATGGCTTAGGATTTACAGGCATCCAGAGTATTACATTTCCGTTTGCTTATGCCGTTGCAGGACCTGTTTGTGGATTGTCAAATCTTTCCGCCTCTTTGACAGAGAAAACTTTGACCTCTCCTGGCTATCCATCATACTATTACAAGTAGGTACCTACACACTTGACAAGTGAGTACCTTTAGCCAGTATATTATTTGCACTACTAATGTGACCAGTAGAAAGACCTAAACACGTGACAAGTAGCACTACTTTCATAACAGGTAAGAAGAGTTCCACAATTGACAAATAGCAATACACAAGTGATACATAGCACCACGTACGTGACAAGTAATGACACTACACACGTAACTTATAAGTAGTCACTTTTAAATAGTGAGACGATATATTCTTACGACCTTAGAAATATTTGAATGTTTTGCCTTTTCTAAAATAGCATTTATGTATCACTGAATATTGCATGTTCTTGGCACACTCCGATAGGTACATGTGGATATGTGGTGTGCATTATTTACTGGCAGCTCACAAATCATGCTCATACTGAGTTTTTGTAGAACAGAATAGACTCTGCATTGATATTGCCGGAACATAGTGCTTAAAGCGGCATAAAACACATGCACGCTCACTTACTGTTAATCAGTGGCAAGAGTTAGTGAAGGTCGCACATACATGTATTGTCACATGATTGTTTAAATATGAGATTGAACATGTATGCAATGGGTTTGATCTGTGCAAACGTTCAAAGCTGATGCAGCAAATTTACTTGCAGCAACCTAAACTGCACGTGGACTATATCTGCACCCGTTGGATATAAAATATCAGTTGATATTGTGGATCTTTCTATGGAACAATCGTGCGTAAATGACTATCTTCTCTTTACAGGCGGTAAGTACAATGTATATTTTGTGAAAAAAATATACTTGAGATAAATAAAATGATGATATTGACCTATGTGCTGTACTAGGTTTCAGTTATCTCTGAACAATATATTATATTTGGGTTTACCAATCGTCATGATTCATGTTCACCTTATTTGAATGTTGCTCGTTTTTCATAAGTATTATGAAGTGATTCGGAACGAGACATTTCAAGAATGACGATTAGCATAGAATAATATTCATTCAAGGGTCCTCATACAACAAGGTTCAGTTGGGAAAATATTGTGGTACCACCACCATGGACGTCGTCAGCTCCAGCAACTACATGGCCATAACCTTCCACACCGACGGCTCCATTAGAGGAAGAGGGTTTAATTTGAAATACAAAGCCGGTACGATGATTGTGTGTTAGGCACCGCAACCATTTATTATTAGGGGGTTGAGTGTGTGTGTGTGTGTGTGCCCGGTGTGTGTTCGTGTGTGTGTGTTCGTGTGTGTGTGTTCGTGTGTGTGTGTTCGTGTGTGTGTGTTTGTGTTTGTGTGTGTTTGTGTGTGTTTGTGTGTGTGTGTGTGTGTGTGTGTGTGTGTGTGTGTGTGTAAAATAGACAGAATATTTAATTTGTCACTCTGATAATTTCGTTTGGCCCTCACAGCATAATGCCACCCTGACACTTGCACGATTTTTGTCCCTGCAATGCCGCGCAATGCGTCGTAGCAAGGCGTGCCATTTCGGTGGTACGCAGCGGAGCGTGAAGCCGCGTTTGCGCCCTGTTCGCGCACTGTACACGCAATGTCTACGCAATGCACGGCCAGAAATGGGCCGCATTGGCACGCAATGGCACGACTTGTTTACGCACAGGTTAAGTATTGTTCGCGCATTGTTCACGTCTACCGTACCGCAATGTCCCGCAGTGTCACACACGACACGCATAGTTATCGCTGTTTTCCCGCATCGCCACACACTGCATGCGCGAAGTCGTCGTGGCAATTTTTGGTCCCCCTTTGTCCCACTTGGCGGCACGCTTCAAATCCCGCTGTTGGCGTATTTCAATTCCAAATAGAAGAGACGCTTCATTCAAGGTGCTCTTCTTCTGTCTGTTTTACTGTGGGCTCTTCTTCACAGTTCTTTTTGAGTCTCTGTAATAACTTTACGATGTGTCTGTGGAACAACATCCACACTTGAGCAGGAGGAAGGAGGAGAAAGATCCCTCTCCATGTCTGCAATCTGTCTCTTTCTCTGTCCTGTCCTCTTCCTGTCTTTTCTGCACTGGTCTTCCCCTTCTTCTACGGGCTTTCTCCTTGTAAGGCATGTTGTCCGTTTGCTGACAAGTTGCAGAATGGCCAGGACCCGCTTACATACGCACTGACGCGAGCGCCGTCGTCGCTCATTGGTCGAGAACTATGCGCGAACAATGCGTAAAGACTTCATGAGCAGTTCTTGACGTGCGCTACCTATGCGTGAGCTGGGCGTTCCATGATTACGTGAACAATTCGTGACAACACCCTAACGACCGCACGATCACTCGAATGCGTGAACGCGGCGCGAACAGGCGCGCCCACAATGTGGACAGTTCGTGACCAATGCGTGGCATGGCGTGTCAGAGTGTGTAGTGGATTCCCATGGCAAGCATTGTCACGCACCGTCGGCAGTGTTCGCGCCGAGTTCGTGCAGTGTTCACGCATGGTTCACGCAAATGGCACGCACATGGCACGAAAATTTATGCGTGCCGAATTTTTGAACATTTAAAAATTCTTTCTACGACATGGCACGCATCCCCGCACCCTTCACACACTCCTCACGCTCGTTCCCGAAGACTTTAATCATTGGCACGCCAAAGTGCGAGTCATTGCGTGAACGAAAATCGTGCAAGTGTCAGGGTTACTTTATTTTAACAACAACCTCAACGATGAAGTATTATTATGATATAATTGTGAATATTTGCAAGTATGGTACAAATGATGAACACATTGAACACCAAACTATCAGCAAGTTAATGACCAATTATATTTTAACATTTGTGCATGTATTAAAATTACATAAAATAAGTCTCTGAAAATCTCCAAAAACAGTAGCCTGATGTCAGCCGTAGGTGTTGTTTATCGTTTGTACGAATACTCCTGGTACCTTTATTGACAACCTGTAAGCACTTTCGCATTTGGAAATTATGCAGATCGCGTAGGCCTGTAAATGCACTAAGGCCATGTCAACAATTAGTCAATTGTGGTAGATTATCCCCCATTATGTTGGATAACTGGTTACATACTGCGAATTAGATTAATTTGACTTTTCATTTATATTCTGTTCTAAAGTTTTTAACTTTTGAAATATTTACTAACTGTCATGAGACCTCTTCTTAGAAAGTAGAATTCATTGGTTTCTATTTTTTATGTAGAGTCACACAATGTGTTTAGTTGTGAAAGGTCAAGACTCAACGCCTCTACTTCCATGCCCGGTTATTTGACGTCTCCTGGTTACCCAAACAACTACAAAAAGTACGTAGATGCATACGTGTGGTCTAGGATCATATAAACATTGATAATGACATGTTGATATAATGACAACTTACTAACCGTGGTAAGCGACAGCACAATCCTTTCTACATTCATGAGAGTAGATTGTACGATACCGACTATTCATGATCATGTGTTTATGAATCACTATTGTCTAATAATGATGATACCAGATGTTCGCGTAGAGATGAACGCATTCTGCCCCATCTGTGGCACCCATCACAAACACATGCATGAGCAGGCCAACTGTTCACCAAGAAACAACTCTTCAAAAACACGAGGGACCGAGTTCTTGACCCAATCGTCTAAGGTGCAATAACCTGTTGTGCGCCCTTGAACGTATCAGGATCCTGTGACAGTGAGTGAGTGAGGTTTTACGCCGCTTTTAGCAATATTCCAGCAATATCACGGCGGGGGACACCAGAAATGGGCTTCACACATTGTACCCATGTCGGGAATCGAACCCGGGTCTTCGGCATGACGAGCTAAGTTACGCTTTAACCACTAGGCTACCCGACCGCCCCCCCTGTGACAGTGACATGCATCATTAATGGATTTTATTCCTAACATTCTTAGTGACATACACACTCCACACACAAATTCTTTTAGCTGAAGTTGACAGTGTTATTTATTGCACACTCCATCTATAAATCAAAAGGGCCTAGTTTTAAGCAAATTGCAACAGAAAAAATCCAAATGTTTATTACTCGTCAATGTTTGCGTATAAAAATGTAAAACATAGAAGTGGTGAAACAATGTGAGAAACGTTGCCATGACAACCACCATTAAAATATTTAGGTTTATTTTTGTATTAATTGGTTTACGGATCCGCCGAACATAAAAATCAAGAAAGAAAGAAATTTTTAAATTATACAATTCTCAATCAAGTGATTGTTTCCCACCGAGTCTGTGAACACCATGGCAATGAAACATATCAAGTACCTCAAATTAGTTTCGTCTGTGTCCCAACAAAAGACAAGGCCAACGGAATGTACACACGCTTTGCTTCATGCTGTGGACCTATTCTCTACCAGCTGTGGTTGGGTTGTTTCTAACCGATGTGATTGACAACTTGACATAATTACCCCATTTTCTGTTTTCTGGTCCATCGATAGCTTGATTGTCTGGTTTGTTTACAGGCCGCCTTCTCGTGGCAAATTGTGTGAGTGGCGGGTGCTACCGGCAGGGCAGCACAGGACATGCTTACCCTTTTAGCGAACACCTGGTGTTACTATTGATTTTCAGCGATCCATTCATATCATTTTCACCACTATTCCCAGATGGAATCTGTTTGGGTGCATAATCGAGACTGGGTATTCTCTGGCTTTGACGTTTTATACTTACACGTTATATATATACTCGCACCCCGTGGTACCGCGGCATTCATTGAATCGCGGCATTTGTGATTTTCGGTAGTTCACGCGGGACACGCCTCTTAGCGGCTGTCTATTAATGCAATCGTAAACAATTTCAATTTCCTCGGAGTGTTCCGTCTGCTGTAAGTAAGGAGTTATTAATGCGTTGATACAGTAACTTCTGGCATCATTTTTAATATAGCCTTACCCCCAACTATCAATGGCCAACGATATAACCCGCAGTTCCCCAAGTAAACTTTCTCTATCGACCTGAACTAGATCATATGCATATTCATGGCGACTGATAAGGTAACGGAAGTTACGTAGTCCGCACATTTTTTCCCGCTCTGAGCCCAGAATCTATTTGAAGATCATAACGGCCATAATGCCAAACTTGGAAATACGTTCTTCACTAGTAGCCAAAAGATAAATACATACTTTGGGCAAACTAGGAGTGCCCTTTTATATATTTATTGTTGACTTTTAACATTTTTTCCATTTTGTGACAAATTTTTGTCATCCATTATTTTTATTAACAGTCTTAGAATATCATTTCTGATATTTTGTTGTTGACTTACAAAAATACTTTTCTCTTACTTTTCGGTAAATATGCATTGAATACCTATTACTGATAACACATTTAGAATTTTACTTGTGCTGTCTTTGCACTTGTCAGGACAAATCACTGATGTCTTGCATGATCATACCAAGAGGTTGGTAGATTTATGTCCTCTTTTTGTCCAATTCGGACCTCCATACACAACTTTTCTCTGTACCGCGATACGATGGAGTTCTCTCCCTTGTCAAACAGAGCGCGAGGCCCTGCTTTTACTCGGAGCTACTAATGTAGATAATGAACCCTTATCAGTAAACTATGCATTGTTTGATAAAATAAATGATATCTGATATAGGGAACACGAATAATCATTAAGGATAGTGAGTGCATTTTGTTCCGTTTAGCGTACATGACAAGTACCGCGATCCCCCGAGGTTGCAGGCTACATTTCCGGAGGTGAAGCGTATGAAACAGATTTGTTGCCGTGTTCTTCCTTGCAACGTGTACGCTTAAGGTTGTCTCTTTTTGACTAATGCCCTCTCTTTAAAACAATCTAGCCCTGTGAGGTATATCTTTGAAATGTTTATAATGAAATATATTGTTTGTTTGTTGTTTCTTTGTTTTTTTGTTTAACGTTACACTCAGCAATGCTCCAGCTATATGACGGCGGTCTGTAAATAATCGAGTCTGGACCAGGCAACCCAGTGATTGACATTATGATCGTCGATCCTCGCAAATGGGATTGATGACATGCATCAACCAAGTCAGCGAGCCTGACCACCCGATCCCGTTAGTCGCCCCTTACGACAAGCATAGTCGCCATTTATGGCAACCATCGGTTGCTGAAGACCTATTCTACCCCGGATCTTCCAGGGCCGAAATATATTAAGTACAGTACGGACCTAACCAAAATGAGCACCCCCGTCTCGGATATGAGAAACTTCGTTGATCAGAGAAAATGTAAACTTTGATACAAAACACCACTAGATGATCTACCCTTTTAGATGCAAGTTGTATTTGCAGTTCTGGCATTGTGAAATACATATGAGGTTGCCTCTCTTTGGCTTTTTGGAAATTTCAAATATTAATTATTTGTATTACTTTGAAATTTGTGTATGGAAATTATATGACGTCTTCAAACAGTTAACAATTAGCCTTTGTTATTATTTACACTTGCAAGTAGTGTTACCTTTGGCCGTGTTCGAGTACACAGTGACCAATTTGAGCAAAAGAAGCCGACTTTGTTCCAAGTGTAGGTGACGCAAGTTCCATGAAAATCAATTTGAGTCAATGACTTGTTCTATGTTTCTTGAATGAGCTGTTTCGACATATTTTACCTGTATGTATTCATTTAGCACACAAGAGGCATGTGTTAAAATGATGGATGCCTAATTCTCATTCATATGAACATACATAAGTACATTCATAACCTATTCTAGAAGGTTGAGTATTTCGTAGGTACCGGGAGGTAATGAAGATACCGTGGGCCACAAAAAAGACCCCATTATCATTTCTTGTCCTTTCTGCAAAGCAAATTACAATTACCAAGTCAGTATGACTAATCCCGCAGCTGGTGAACATTCACATACTTCTGAAGTATATGACTAATTGTTTTCATTTCAAGTGAGTGACTGAGTCAGATAATATTGTTTAATCTGTAAGAATAAGTACAAACGTTAATATGTGAACAAACAAGGTTGTTATTTTAAAACTCTTAAAGGACTCCAATGGTCAGCTGTTAAATGGTAAAGTACGAAGCAGTTAATTGTCTCATGTCTGTAACAAAATAATCTTCCATCCATGGTATTTGTTTCATAGACAATATATACCTCTAAATTTTGTTTGTTTGTTTGTTTGTTTGTGTGTTGTTTAACGCTGCAATCAGCAATATTCCAGTTATATGACAGCGACCTGTAAATAATCGAGTCTGGACCAGACATTCCAGTGATTGACATCATGAGCATCGATCTACGCAGTTGGGATACGATGACATGCATGAACCAAGTCAGCGAGCGTGACCACCCGATCCCGTTAGTCGCCTCTTACGACAGGTATCGTCGCCTCTGAGGGCAAGCATGGGTTGCTGAAGACCTATTCTTTACCCGGATCTTCACGGGTCGATCAATAGTTAAACTAATAGTAATATTATTACATTGTAACAGGCTTGGGACAGTCGCCTTGTGAAAGTCAGGGTTCTTTTGTCCATATGTGTCAATGTGTCAAACCCTGTTATTGCTAAAAAGCGTCTTAAAAACTTACCCAATCATTGTTACGGAAAAACAAATGCTAAAGACATGACGGTCAGGCGTAGTGTGCTATATCATTACATGTTGGTGTTACGGAAAAACAAATGCTACAGACACGACGGTCAGGCGTAGTGTGCTATATCATTACATGTTGGTATATATTTATTACAGCCAATGTGTAAAATAATAGCTTTTCAACTAGGCATGTACAAAATGCCGAAATATTTCAGTCATATAACAAATTGACTGAAAATCCTGACCATTCGTTTCATTGTGATAAGGAATTTCAAACATAACATTGTGATATTGAATTCCCTCGCCAAGTGACTGAAATTGATATGATTAAAACAAAAGGAACTGTATGTGCATTTTTTGTTGTTCTAATCCTGACATAATTACAATATATTTCATTTGTGATGCTTTTAATAATTTGTTTATAATTTTAAGTCACAGTGTCAAATGAATTGGACAGATTGTTCAGTCAAATTGTTAAAATAAGATATTGAGGCATTTTGTAAATTGTCTCAGTTAATCTCATTGTACACATTGACTGATTTTACGCATTGACAGAAGCATATACGCGATTTTATGGTTTTGATCTGTGCATATGTTTCAAGTTAATGTTGCATTTTTCTTTGCAGTAATGTTGCCTGCATCTGGACAATAGCTGCAGCTGTTGGATATAAAATAAAAGTGGAAATTTTGTATCTTTCTGTGCAATACTCGACATTATGTACACATGATTATCTTCTCTTCAGTGATGGTAAGCACAATGTATGACTTTACAAAAGTGCTTAAAAATAATCATACTGCACTTCCTTTTGAATTGTTGTTCAATAGCATTAACAGAAACAGTTATATATATTTCTGATCAATAGTCAGTATTATTATTCTCCTGACTTCAGAAAATGTATAATTTTTTTATTATATTTATGCGCCTAAGCCGACGATTTGAGTGAGTCACTTGCGACCCCGTCGGCACCTAAAACACCGAAGTGTTTAGTATAGAAACGCAATGAATTATTCGTCAAATCGGGAATGATGATTAACATAAACCATATATTTATTCAAGGTTCCTCGTCTGACGCCCCTCCCTTGGCTAAATACTGTGATACGACCATCACGCACGTTGCCAGCTCCAGCAACTACATGACCATCACTTTCCACTCTGACAGCTCTGTTACAGGAAGAGGGTTTTCTTTGAAATACATCGCAACGTCAGGTCCTCACTTTTCTTGTGCCTTTCAGAAAACACACATTTATTCTCTTCTATTGAATTGAAAAAGGACGAATTAAAAACTGGAAAAAGTATAATTTTGCTTAGGCTTCCCAAAATCAACAATTGTTAACTAGACATGCTGGATGACTTGAAGGAAATGTGCTGAAATTGTTCGAATATGTAAATATTGTTGTCTCCAGTATTAATCCCATTATGAAATAACATCTTATCCTTCTGCTGAGTTTTTCGCTGTTAAAATATCCCTTAAGTACAATCTATTATAACCAGCCAACAATGTTTATTCTTATATTAGCTCAATATCTATCATTAAATAAATCTAAATAATCTCCTCTTAAAACCATAAAAATAGTGTCAGAAAAATCATCGATAATCCGGCTACTTTTTTCTTGTTTGTTGGTTGTTTAACGCCTCACTCGGGAATATTCCCGATCCCGTTAGTCGCCTCTCCTTGTTTGTACACAATTATAGTAGACATGTCGAGGACATTTCCAAATTTGACACATCGGTGACTGGAATTATGTCCGACACACTTCACTTTTCTTAACTTGCACCATCTGTGCCCGTGTTTTTGTCAGGTTAACAATTTACTTGTGTTTGCACGTGTTTGTGATGGCCGCAACAGGTGGGGTAGGCAGGATACGCTCCGTTGTCCGCATCTGGTATCATCATTATCGGATAGTGATTCATAAACACATACTTATGATATAGTCGGAATCATATAATGGACTGAGCTTTTAGCAGGAAGTTCTTACGCTTATAGAAAAGGTTTTGTCACTTTTTTTTATCATTTGCGTCCCTATATAAATGTCAGATAGAAGTAATGTTTTGAAATTAAGTTATCGTATATGAAAGATGAATAAATGTAGTGATCGCTGCTTCCGCACCTTACGTCAGGTTGCAAGGGATTGGTAAACTGATGTTGCTCGCGAAATGTTTTGAAAGTTATCTATATGAAAGATGTACGGTAACTTTCGTGTTGCTCGCGAACTTCAAGGTGTTACAGAGGCATGTGCTATCTATATGTAAAGAAATTCACAAAATAATGACACAACACGGATTGTTCTCCTACATGTTTCAGTTCTATCTTCAGGGAAAAGTGATTACAGTTATAGAAACTGTAACTGTAAGCAGTTTGTGTAACTGTAATCACAAACCGTGTCATATATATAAATTGAAATTTAGGCCAGTAATCTAAAAGTGTTAAGAGGGACAAAATCTAATCCCTTTTTTAATGAAGGCAACCCAGAACACCCAGAACGTTTTATTCCTTGACAAATAAGTAAGGTCATGATCACACCCCGTCTCACCATCCAGACACAAGAGTCTCTACTAATGGATCTAATGTAGAGCCCTTGTAAAAGTTTACCTCATTCTGTCTTTCAGGCTGTGGATACGTTCAACAGATAGATTCTTCTGAAACAAAAATGATCGAGTCACCGAATTACCCCCTGAACTACCCAACGTAAGTACAGACTATAAGTTGAAGTTTAGGGTACATTAAGCGGTATTCCACGAGAGATAAGTTTTACTCACACCATTGGAAAAGTGAGATACGAATTGTTTGTCACCTTAAAACCAGGTGAGCTCCAAACAAAAGTTTCTTTATTTGTAGGCATTATGCATCACATACATCTAAATTTAATTTTGATATACGTTAAGACCTTGAATTATAGAGATTGCATATAGGTTTTCTAAAACACCTTCTGAAACACACCAGTCAACAGGTGAAGCGGTTCTTTTTCATTGGTGTGTGCACAGGTTTCCTTTTCTCTCACAAACAAACAACAATGATATATTTTCCGTTCTGTTGTTCCAGGTCAGGCATGTTACAGCAACTGATGTATTAGCAGGCAATAACCTTACAGCTAAAATCATGGGTAGACCCATGCCTTTACCACCTGTAATGATTGTGTTTGGTCGACGATATATGTTTGTACTGTTTTAATTATATTTAGTTTATGTTTAAATAGCTGTGGGGGTAACTTTGGTTATTTGAATGTCAAGGTAGGTTTTGTTCACTCTGATACCGCAGATTATGTCCTGTAAAAAATGGGAATACCGCCAACGGGGAAAAGAATCTGAATCTTTAACAAATTCAGCACAACACCAGACACACCTGTGTATTTCAGCTTCAATTTCCACAACTATATTTATTTTGTGACTGCATTGACCAAGCATATAGCTATTTGCAAAACATGCGAGGCTGCGTCATGACAATGCTAATAATATTGTCACCTGTCGACAGACTACGCTATAGTTTGTTTTATATTTTGTGCCACGAAGATATTTTGTTCTAACGTTTCCCTTATTTTCACATAGTCATGTAAGCGCTTATACCACAGGAACAGTTTGTTATAATGTATTTTTTCAATTTTAGGAATTTGAACTGTGAATGGACAATCAGCACTGATGTTGATGGACACGTAATCCATGTTAGAGCGATGCATTTCAACCTTCAGTCTTCCTTTCATTGTACATCCGACTATGTACAACTCTATGAGGGTAATGGCCTCCCCGATCCAGGGCTTTCCAAAAATATTGTAACAGTGACAGTGCGATATCTGAACAATTTTATCAGGGTTAAACAAGGTATTCTAGATTGTCGATTGTAACTGTATTTGTCAGACAATCTTTGCTCTATTACTCAATGAAACCCCATCAGCCTGGATGGTAGTCCTGCAAGTTACACCAGGTGGTAGGGTTGGCGCGGCGGTTTTAAGGAATCGCTGTGCTGAGTTGTGCCCTTTTCACCAAGCTGATAGACGTCCATGACCTACGTTACAACAGGGCTCGCATTATGGAGGTTTCAATGTTCATTTTGTTACCATAATTGGTGCTCGAAGAGGGCTTCGTCAGCAAAGTGGTAATAACTAAATATAACTCCCAATAATATGAATAAAGTAAAGTAAATTGTTCCAATGTTCTTCAGCCTTTGGACCTTTTTTGATCACATTGTTCATATAATATACCTTTTCAACTTCACCTAGTTCTAAATATAGCACACTTCTCACAATACCGCATACATTTGCATGTTTTATTCCTGTATCAGTCACGGGAACATCTGAATACTTGCTCGGTCAATGGTGTGGAACGGATGGACCAGATACACAGAGTACAACACAGAGTATGAAGGTTCGCTTCCTCTCTGATGGTGCCTGGTCCCAAAATGGATTTCAGTTGGCTTTCACAAGTACTGCCGTTAAGCCAACATCTGCAGGTAAGTTTTTGAGTTTTGTTCATTCATCGTTAAATACTTTGAAGCTTTAAGATTAGAGGAATGAGATGTATCAATCGGTCATTCCAGCTAAACGTTTATTTTGTCTCAGTCATTGTACATTTCCATGGTGTTTGTGTTGATTAACACCTGCAGCGAATTATCAAAGGTTACAATAAACTACGTATGTTGTACCAGACCACATTGAAGTAAAACATCATACGTAACATATTATGTGTTAGGGATATGTTTGGTTTTGGGGTGGTCAATGGAGGTGGACTGGTGGGCACTGAATGACAGGTTGACTTAGCTGACGCAGTTATATTGCAATGGTAACCCATTAGCGTTGTATCATCGCAGTACTATTGCAATAGCTTTCATAACCCAAACAGTCACCCGTAGAAACGTTAAGGTTATAATGCAATTAGCCTGATGGAAATCGTCCAATGCAATAGTTCACGCGCATGTGAAAAGGGGGCTTATTAGGACACTTTACAACGATAAAACTTCACCGCCAGACTAAAACCTGTTTCGATTATTCGACGAAACAGATTCCATTGTTTAACGTAACCTGATGGATTATACTGAAATTTGAAACGTGTATATTACAGTAATACATTCGTGATACAAACATTCAGTGCCTGACACTGACAAAATACGCATTACATGTACATTCTTTTTTTTAACGTTTCCTTCATTTTCATGTTGTTTGTGTACAGCTTTTTCAGACTCAAAAGTAGGAGGCATAATTGGAGGTGTACTCGGCGGAATTGCAGTTGTGGTTTTAGCAACGTGTTGCTGCTGTGTAATTTGCAAAAGGAACAAATCCACATCCAATGACCAGTCGCAAAGAAACAGAACACGTGATGTCAACCTGAACATCGTCTTCTCCATTCCTCTTTCCAACTGCCCGGCAACTGAAACGTCTACTCCGGCCGTCATGTTTACTAATACACCACCCCCAGCCTACAATGAAGTCACGAAGGATGACCCTCCACCGTATCGTCAGATAGTTTCACAATCACACAGACAAACTTTTGAAACGTCATCCCCTAGCGATGCACCTGATTGTGTAGCCATAGATAACTCAGCAGACCTTAACAGCGGGACTTTCGAATGATGTATGTGTTTTGAATTTGTGAAGTAAATATGAAAGGTCACATACATGTGCAATACTTTGCACAAACTTTTTTCTACGATATCAACAGATATCTTCACATGAATAATGCATACCCCTTTTACAGTAAAAGATTACAACGTCAGAGATTGTTCAGAAATCAAACAAAACGGTATCAGTTATTATCACAACCGCCCGGGTATGTGTATAAAGGTTATCACGAGAGTGTTTTGGGGTATGGTAAATATATTGTATTAGGAATAAAAAGTATGTGTTTAGCTCGCTAAGGTGCATACCGTTGTTATGAGAAAAGTATATGTATATGAGACAAGTCCCGTTACAATGTTAAAAATATTCATATTAAAACGAGGTTAATTGACATGCCCCCAGCAACCATACTCTTGCCACACATGGAATCCATAGCGGTATTATCTACAATGTAAACAAAACAGGTCTCCCCACAATTAATGAAACGATGGTATGGTAATACCCAATCGGCTTGCAGGCCTTGCCGACCGTACTAAATAAGCCACGCCACCTCGCTAGCCCCTAAAGATTCGTTTGGCTTGAAACAAATACAGACCTCAAGATAGCGCTTAGATGACGTTTTCACACTTTTTTTACTCGACCATCGTATTGTAGACCCTTGACATCATGATACTTGCACTTTAGAAAAAAATGTCTGCCAAAATTACAGCTTAAAACAACAAAAATGATCCAGTACACACATAACAATGTTGTTTCTAGTTGATAATTGAACGGTGTACGATGGATTATTTCAAAATTCTAACAACATTTGTAATTGTATTGTAATCTTAATGTTCTTTATCAGTTCATGCTTGTATGAACAGCCTATCTGCAATCAAGAAACAAATATATACCAAAGACGTTTACATTTTTTTCTAAATATCAATCTGTTTTGCATACTCATGTCAAACTCAAATGTTACATTATTGGAAAATATTGCACTGTACATACATCATGCATTGTTCGTTGGAAGAAACCCGCATACCTTGTAAATATGTTGACTGTGGGCCTATGGCCTCTCAACTTGCCATGAATAAACAATTGCAATAACTGTTCTAACTTCTAAATGCCTTTCAAATAATCACAGCTTGATCACATTTAACTGTTATTTAAACTGTGAGGTTTGCGCCCCTTCTCTTCTTACCCCATCTCTTGGGCTGTGGAGAAGTTCACTGATGCAAAACACCCTTTCGGTGTGTTACGTGTGGTAAACAGTACTATTGTCTGACCGACTGACAAAGTATTTAAAGTTTGTTGTAATCTGTTCAATTTGCAATCAACTCACATCCAAATATTGCATTGTACATACTTCATGCATTGTTCGTTGGAAGAAACACGCATACCTTGTAAATATGTTGACTTGAGGGCCTATGGCCTCTCAGTTTGCCATGAATAAACAATTGCAATAACTGTTCCAACTTCTGAATAGAATGCTGATGTCAAAGGATGCCTACTTCATTACAGTCAAGCCATTTGGAGGAAGACACAGGACTTAGGACTTGCTGTTCCGTACAAAGAAGACCTTGAAGTGTGCAAGTAGATAAGAAGAGCTACTGGACTGCCTCTGCTTCCACAAGCAGTTATTCAAGACACCTGGATCGAAGACATGGATGACACTCCCAACGTTCCAAGAGCTGTTGAATTCAATAACTATGTGGTTGTCAACTGAGTTGACGACGGAGCCATTGTTGAACCATCACTCGACGAGGTCCGAGAACAAACAAAAATATGGAAGGATTCGCAGTTAATTAGCCGTATGCCATCATTGTGTCATGCATGTATCACCCAACTTCGTGGACACATCTGATATCTACACCCCCGAAATTATTTTTGAAGACATTACCGTCATTACACCTTCACTATCATTTCCTCAGAGTGAATGGGTGGTTTCCGCCGCTTTTAGCAACATTCCAGCAATATCACGGCGGGGGACATCGGAAATGGGCTTCACACATTGTACCCATGTCAGGAATCGCACCCGGGTCATCGGGGTGACGAGCGAAAGCTTTAACCACTAGGCTTACTCGACCGCACTCATTTCATCAGAAAATGAAATTCGGTAGAATATTTCAACAACACTTCGGGGATTAACTACCATCGACAATTTATGACACATAATGTTGGACAGGCTCACATACAGTAACAACAAGCTATATAGTTCCGAAGTTGCCAAGTAAGGCTGTATAATGAACATGGGACAGAAAGTATATGGTTGGTGGAGGATCAACAACAATTGCATAAATGAGGGAGATAAATATGAGTTGGACAGAGAACATGACGAGAACATGATGAGGAAGCCAATTATACAGGATTAAATATACATAGGTGTGGATCCAACTGAAACGTATTTTATGCCGTTTTTTATCCGTTAGTTTTATCAAATGGCCAAGTGGGAAAGCTACATATGATGTGATAAATGCTTTGGTACCAGCAGTTCAGCACCAGCTCTGAGACACTAAATGCATGTACTTGTGCATACCAGAGACCTAATCATGTTTTTGTCGTGGTTAACCCAAGCCTCCTTTATCATGATCAGGTCAACCCAATAAATGGCATTTTCCACGCAAGCTGATAAGAGTTGTGTGTCCTTCCCAGGTTTCAATGGGAACAACAGCGCACGAGGCGTTGTCCTGATATTGATAAAGGTCATGTCGGGCCAGGTGTCGTTATGTCATGTTAGCCTCGAGTATTACCTAACACAGGTGTCATCGGACACTGCGTTGTTATGTAATACTGTCAGTTTCGAGGGAGAACTGTCGGCGACGATAGGAGGCCACTATGAACATACCTTGTTTCGTTGGAGTATGCGTGCTGTTGTTTGGGCCGCTGGTCTCAGGTGTGTGTAACATATATTCGTTATAACATATGCACATTAAAAGGTTATCATTTTACAAATAATCAACCACATTTAAACAGGTCATAACTGTTTAAACACATACACGATTTCGTTAACTCAAATTGCATTGATATCATGTCGATTGCATTACTGCAGTATCTGTATTTATCAGCACGTACGATCAATAAAGGTAACCTATCTAGTTAAATGATGATGAGACACACTGGACATATATTGAATTTGAATGTGTCTGGAAGTATATTACAGGTGGTACATTGCTCCTGTGTTAGGCAAAGGATTGTAATCTGTACATGGGACACACGGTCCGTCAACTGTGTAAACAAGATGGCGGAAACGCTATAGCTCAATGTTTACACTTTGAGCGTGTCGTGCTGGGCTACATGTATGTCAAGGAGCCCATGTCAAGATGACCTACATGGTACGTTAATACATACTGTAGTAAACTTGTGGCGTTTTTTACATGCTTTCATGAACCTAAGCTAAAGAATTATTACTAATCGGTGGTATTTGCATGCAGTATTGGTGATTCACTTAAACAACGACGACAGATGAGTGCAAACATAAATACGGAGGAGAGTTAACCAAAACTTTTGTACTATTAACAACATGTATAATTGAATATGCAAGCATCATGGAAGACGTGATATAATAGAGACGTAGCCGGTGATAAATAACTGTTATTACATAAAATTGAAATAAAATCTGTTCATAATTTGCTGTTTCCACCATACATTGATGGACATATTTAAACATTGCATTATTTTGTTCTTCAGATGAATTACTGTTACCACTTAAAATGTTTGCTAAATTGGTCTGAGCACCTATATTAATGATATACATTGAACTGGGACCCTTATATTAATATATATGTCAACAACTATACTCAACAACTAAAGTTCCCTGACACCAATATTTTAGTGTATTTTTCAAACAAGTAGAGTTTGGTTTTCAATATTATAGTACATGCATGGAATCAAGTCACAAAAACGCAACTGCTACAGAAAAGCATGCATTCCATGCAAAAGTTGACTTTTATGGAAGCCCCATCGATTCACTACCCAAGAATGTGTATAAAAACATGTGCGTTAACGGGATTCCATACGTATTGTTCAGCATCGTGTTGACAATAACCACTCAGAAAAACAACAAAATTACGCAATTATTCAACATTACGAAATGCCACGCCTGTCCGAAAATGAGCGTCTGCGAGCCATTGGTTTTGCTTGAAGCAGGATCGAGTCACAGTGATGTTGCAAGACAATTTAACGTCCACAGAAACACCATTTGGTGTAAATGGCAACAGACGAATGCAGTCAGAGACTATCCTCGGAGTGGCAGGCCAGGCGTAGCCAATAATCGACAAGACAACTGGATTCGAACAACACCCCTATGAAATCGATTCCAGCAAGCAAGTGACTGCAAGAAGAATCCCTGGCCTTACAGGAATAGCTTCACAAACCGCACGTCGTCGCCTCAGATGTGCAGGGATTGTCGCCTGAAGACCCGCCAGACGTCCCATTTTGACAGGAAACCATAGTCAAGCACGTCTACAGTGGTGCAGACAGCGTCTACGCTGGACGGCCATGCAGTGGGGACAAGTTCTATTCACTGACGAGTCTCATTTTCACTTCAGCCACAGCGGCAGCAATTTATTATTAAGACAGAGGACCCGTTTGATAGTGGTAGAGGGAAATCTCAATGGACAGCGCTCCTGCGACGAGATCATCGGCCCTGTTGTTCTACCGTTTTTGTGTCGTCATGGACCAGGCATTAACTTTCAACAAGACAACGCCCGGCCTAATATTGCTCGACTTGTTCAGGATTGTCTTCAACAAAACAACGTGAATGTCATCCCCTGGCCGGCTCGCTCACCTGATCTAACACATGTGGGATGCGATGGATCGGCGCCTTTGACGTCGATCACGTGTTCCACAGACACTCCAGGAACTTCGAAACATGCTCCAGCAGAATTGAACAGATATCCCACAGAACTTTGTGCGACGCCTGGTCCATTCCATGAAACGAAGATGTGTTTCTTGCTTCTCAACCAGAGGTGGACACATACGCTATTGATTGGTAAATGATTTTTACATTTTGGCATATTTATGTTTTTTTATCACGCATTTTCTGAAGTCAGTATGGCAAATTAAAACATTTGAACACTTAAAGGAGTCTTTTATCTGTTGCACCTATATTAATGATGTTGATAACAAAGGTTGTTCTTTTGAAGTATAGTTCTTACATACGATGTTAAAGCATTTTCGCATTGTGAACCTCAAGAGCAAGAAATAATGTCCGACAAATTAATTCTAAAAACATCATCTTTCAGATTGCTGATAGCCGAAATACTATAGATCTCCAATAACATTGGGATAAATTATTGTTTTACATTCAGGTAAAGAAGTACTTTTTACACTTTCAATTCGTTTTTTAATGCGAATTGTTCTGACAAAAAGTGCACTTTTGGTATGATAGTTACGTATATAGGTCATACTTTGAAGCAGTTGGGCCATTACGAGGTAAAAGTTCATTTAGCTATGAAAGACATTTGTTCTATATTATTTTGTTGGATGTTGTATTTCTTTTTTCCTTTCTTGTTTCTCTTTTTTGTGGTAGCCAACCCGTTCCGAAATACAAACTTTAACTTGATACAAATTTGGTCATACCTGTAACAATGCTAGCAGCAAGCTGATTTAATTGAAGTACGACAGGCGTTATTGGCATAACAGTTGTCTCACACCTCCTGAGTATTCAAGAATAGGTATTGCGTCTATTTAATTTATATTTAAATTACGCATCACTGAAACCATTTTGTTGTTGACCTGGCAATAAGTGAAATATGTGCAGTCAATTTTATAACTTGAAATAATGTGGCACCTAAATGATTATATGTCTCAACATTTTCAGTGGCATGCAAAAAGCATAGTTGGATATCCCCGAACCTGAACTAAAAAAGATAATATTTTAGCTCAGCAGAATTCAGTTACAAACCATGTGCTTTCCCACTGATTTAAAGTAAGACTTAATTTCTTTCAGTAAAACCCTATCAGCAGATAAAGAGCCTATACATGTTTCATTGGTGAATAATCTTGTAACAATATGAAGCCGATCAGTTACATCATGTAAAATAGAAAGGGCCCCAGTTCAGAACCCCAGACAAACACCTATATATGATTAACGAGTAATGCCATATTGTTACAAACTATCATGCGACCTCAACTAGTAGAACTGATTGGTTTCTATTTTTTTTCTGTAGAGTCACACAATACACTTAATTGTGGAAGGTCAAGACTCAACGCCTCTACTTCCATGCCCGGCTATTTGACGTCTCCTGGTTACCCAAACAACTATGAAAAGTACGTATATGCATACGTGTGGTCTAAGATGATATAAACATTGATAATGACATGTTAATATAATGACAACTTACTAACCGTGGTATCGGAGACATATAATAAAAGCGACAAAAGAACGCCATTCTGCATTCATAAGAATTGATTGTACGATACCGACTATTCATGATCATGTGTTTATGAATCACTATTGTCTAATAATGATGATACCAGATGTTCGCGTAAAGGTGAACGCATCCTGCCACACCTGTGGCACCCATCACAAACACATGCAAGAGCAAGTCAACTGTTCACCAAAAAACAACTCTTCAAAAACACGAGGGGCCGAGTTCTTGACCTAATCGTCTGAGGTGCAATAACTTGTTGTGCGCTCTTAAACGTAGCAGGATCCTATGAAAGTGACCTGCATCATAAATGTTTTTTATTCCTAACATTCTTAGTGACACGCCCGCACACAAATTCTGAAGTTGCCAGTGTTATATGTTGCCCACTCAATCTATGAGTCAAAAGGGCCTAGTGTTAAGCAAATTGCAACAGAAGAAATCAATTTTTTATAACTCGTCAATGCTTGCGTATACAAATTTAAAACGTAGAAGTAGTGGAGCACTATGGGACACGTTGCCATGACAACCACCATTAAAATATTAAGGCTTAATTTTGTATTAATGGTCTACGGATCCGCCGAACATAAAAATCAAGAAAGAAAGAAATTTAATAATCATATAATTCTCAATCAAATGATTGTTTCCCACCGAGTCTGAGCCCTATTTGGCAATGAAACATATCAAGTACCTCAAAATAGTTTCGTGTCTGTCCCGACAAAAGATAAAGTCAACATAACCTACAAAATGTACACACGCTTTGCGTCATGCTGTGGACCTATTCTGCCTACTCTCTACCAGCTGTGTGTGGGTTGTTTCTAACCGATGTGATTGACAGACAATCGTGACATAATAACCCCATTTTCTGTTTTCTGGTCCATCGGTAGCTTGATTGTCTGGTTTGTTTACAGGCCGCCTTCTCATGGCAAATTGTGTGAGTGGCGGGTGCTACCGGCAGGGCAGCACAGGGCATGCTTACCCTTTTAGCGAACACCTGGTGTTACTATTGATTTCAGCGATTCATTCATGATATCATTTTCAGCGCTATTCCCAGATGGAATCTGTTTGGGTGCATAATCGAGACTGGGCATGTGAAAAGGGGGCTTATTAGGACATTTTACAACGACAAAACTTCACCGCCAGAGAAAAACCTGTTTCGATTATCGGACGAAACAGATTCCATTGTTTAACAGGACGTAATCTGATGGATTATACTGAAATTTGAAACGTGTTTACATTTCAGTAATACATTGGTGATACAAACATTCAGTGCCTGACACTCTCAAAATACACATTACATGTGCATTCTTTTTTTAAAGGTGTCCTTCTTTTTTATGTTGTTTGTGTACAGCTTCTTCAGGATCGAAAGTAGGAGGCATAATTGGAGGTGTACTCGGCGGAATTGCAGTTGTGGTTTCAGCAACGTGTTGCTGCTGTGTAATTTGCAAAAGGAAAAAATCCACATCCAATGACCAGTCGCAAAGAAACAGAACATGTGATGTCAACCTGAACATCGTTTCTCCATTCCTCTTTCCAACTGCCCGGCAACTGAAACGTCTACTCCGGCCGTCATGTTTACTAATACACCACCCCCAGCCTACAATGCAGTCACGAAGGATGCATGCTGCTGTTGTGAGATAAGTATATGTAGATGAGACAAGTCCCGTTACAATGTTAAAATTATTCATGTTAAAACGAGGTGACTTGACATGCCCACAGCAACCATACTCTTGCCACACATGGAATCCATTGCGGTATTATCTACAATGTAAACAAAACAGGTCTCCCCACAATTAATGAAACGATCACGAAGCCGGATGGTGGTAATACCAAATCGGCTTGCTAGCCGGACTAATTAAGCCACGCCTCCTCGCTAGCACTTTAAAGATTCGTTTGGCTTGAAACAAATACAGACCTCAAGATACGAAACAACAATTAGATCACGTTTACGCACTTTTGTCTCGGCCATCGTATTGTACATCCTACTGGCTACATAATGATGTGATCAATATGTATTATTATATTTCATGGCACTTAAACTTTTTGACTGCCAAAAGTACAGCTTAAGACAACAAAAATGACCCAGTACACACGTACTTCTGATCCCATTCGTCTTCTACTCAGTGAATTCAATTTTAACGTATCTTTCTTATCGTCACAATGTTTGTACATTTTGTAATTTTCTTCTTGTTGAAAATAAATATCATTTCATGCTTGTATGTACAGTCTACCTTCAAACAAGAAACAAATATATATTATCAAAGACGTTTACATCTTTTCCAAATGACAATTTAAATTTGTTTTGCATACTCATGTCAAACTCAAATGTTACAATATTGTAAAATGTTGCACTGTACATACACCATGCATTGTTCGTTGGAAAAAACCCGCATACCTTGTAAGTATCTTGACTGTGGGCCTATGGCCTCTCAACTTACCATGAATAAACTAAGGCAATAACTGTTCCAAAATTACAGCTTAAAACAACAAAAATGATCCAGTACACACATAACAATGTTTTTTTTTAGTTGATAATTGAAAGGTGTACGATGGATTATTTAAAAATTCTAACAACATTTGTACATATTGTAATCTTAATGTTGTTTATCAGTTTATGCTTGTATGAACAGCCTATCTGGAATCAAGAAACAAATATATACCAAAGACGTTTACATCTTTTCAAAATATCAATCTGTTTTGCATACTCGTGTCAAACTCAAATGTTACATTATTGGAAAATATTGCACTGTACATACACCATGCATTGTTCGTTGGAAGAAACCCGCATACCTTGTAAATATGTTGACTGTGGGCCTATGGCCTCTCAACTTGCCATGAATAAACAATTGCAATAACTGTTCCAACTTCTAAATGCCTTTCAAATGATCACAGCTTGATCACATTTAACTGTTATTTAATATGTGAGGTTTGCGCCCCTTCTCTTCTTATCCCATCTCTTGGGCTGTGGAGAAGTTCACTGATGCAAAACATCCTTCCGGTGTGTTACGTGTGGTAAACAGTACTATTGTCTGACAGACGGACAAAGTATTTAAAGTTTGTTGTAATCTGTTCAATTTGAAATCAACTCATATCCAAATATTGCATTGTACATACATCATGCATTGCTAGTTGGAAGAAATTTGCAACCCCCTAGCGTCCCTAAGTGTGACTAAATGAATCAACACTGAAGTAACAGTAACAAGGTAATCAATTACATACATTGTTACTTGTGCAGTTTGCAAGCACCTGTCGTCACAATAGGAAACAGAAGACTAAATATGAAATGTTCAACGTGCTTATCATCACCTTCAGTGCGGACAAACATGACACAAGAATTAAATTCATATTAAAGTTAGGATTTAGCCACCACGTTGACGTGAAAACATAATACAGTCTTCACAATATATTTCCTCACATGGACTATTCCCCACATTGAATAAATAAATAATGTATTTTACAGTTATTGTTACAATTTGACGAACTGTAATATTGTGAATATCTAAATCCATCGTCACTTGCAAAGTTCACTCAAATTTCACCAGCTGGAATTTGTCACAGATAAACACGGATCCGATTCCAGCGGATTCCGAAGTCTGGTCGTCTTTGACATAGTATCATTCATTCGTTTCAACATATATTCAAGTAATTAAGATTAAACTGAGATGCATTATTTACTGGCACCCAGCTTAACCTGTATGCCATGTTTCTTGTCATATTACATTTCCAACCCATTCGTGTTGATTACGACTGCAGGAAGCTGAAATTATAACAAACGCCACGTATCTTGTAACAGAGCACATGGGGTTAAACGTTATACGTAACATGACTGTCTTTGGGTTTGGGCGGAAAACATATAGCCACCGGTGCTCCTGCAAACAGTGGAAGTATTTTAATTGCTGCGCACAGCATTCCAGCAGTGTTCTTTTGACACTTGTACAGTACTAGTTCACTTTCGTAGATGTATACCCATGCTTACCGTTAAGGTGAGGTGGGGTGACATTGGGTTTAACGTCGCGTCCAAGATTAATGCACTTATATAGTGACGTGCATGCACGTGTGTGTGTGTGTGTGTGTGGCTGCTTGTACGATAGACCGGACTGATGCCGATTTATAGTGCTAGCCCACTGAGATAGCATGACGCAGTTTAACATGAGTACCCCACTCAGACACAGTATACTGACTCCGAGGCGACCAGTCCTTGCTTGAACCCCTTAATGCCGAGCGTCAGACAGGGTAACAACAAGTACCATCTTTTAAAGTCTTTTGGTATGACGCGGCCGGTGATCGAACCCCGGACCTTCCGCTCTCCGGGCGGGCGCCCTACCACTAGACCACGGAGGCGGTCCTTACCGTTAAGGCGACTATGCTTGTAATAAAAGGCGACTAACGGGATCGGGGGTCAGGCACGCAGACTTGCTTGATTCATGTCGTCGTATATCAATTGTGTGGATGATAATGATGCCAATCACTGGGTTGTCTGGTCCAGACTCGATTATTTATAGACCGCCGTCTTATAGCTGGAATATTGCTGAGTGCGGCGTTAAACAACAAACAAACAAAACATGGAGCAGAAAAGAGTCAGAAAGGGATGCTGGGGTTATAAGAATCAATTGCTAGTTCACAAATGATCCTTGAAGAGGCTAAATCTTACCACTGTAACCTCTCAATGTGTTGGACAGACTTCACCACCCCGAGCGACTACTTGTTTTACTCAAGTCGTAAATGAATTGCTAGTAAACTCACTTTTAGATGTATTCTCAGGGACAGAGACTTCGAAACCCATTTCTAGTAGAAAGGGAATATTACAGGGCGATTCGTTTAGTCCTTTGCTTTTCTGTTTGTCATTAAATCCTTTAAGCTTTTCGCTTTGCAAAGAGGAAGCTTATCATCCTGGCTCTCCTCAAACAGATCCTCAGCACCCCTTACATCCATACCAAAAGACAGATTCTCCTTGAGTCCTTTTCTAAATATATTGGCATATCCTTTGGATTCGACAAATGCAACATTCTTCATCTGAAACGTGGCAAGGTAGAAGAGGGAGAATAAATCTACTTGGGGGAGGAATTATTGACCATCTCATGGATGGTCAGGCCTATACGTACTCTGGGATGCTGGTTAGGAACAAACTCCAGAATGCCCATATCAAGGAAAATCTTCGGGCAGAGTACAAATGTAGACTTATGAAAATCTGGAGATCAGAGCTGAAATAGTTTAAAGCCACAAATATTTATGTTTCATATACTTTTGGTGTTGTTGATTGGACAAAACAAGAAATTCAGGGTACTGACACCCTCACACGAAGTATGATGTCAGACAATAGGTCCCACAACTCTCGCTCTTCCCTAGATCGCTTATACCTACTGATCATAATGGGAGGGCGTGGTTGATTAACGTGGAGGCTCTTAATGACAGAATTGTAATGTGCACTTTTGAACACATTTATTTGTCTGCTGGTCCTCTTATGAAGTATGTCAAGACCCATGATGAAAACAAGGCATTCCACAGTTTTCCTATACGAGCCAATGATGTAGGACATTATCTCAATGTCAGTGTTGATTTTGTTGATGTTTGTTTGTTTGTTTGTTTGTGTGTTGTTTAACGCCGCACACAGACTACTCCAGATATATGACGGCGGTATGTAACTAATCGATTCTGGACCAGACAATCGAGTGATTGACATCATGAGCATCCTTCCACGCAATAGGGTCATCAACCAAGTCAGCGAGCCTGACCACTCGATCCTGTTAGTCGCCTCTTACAACAAGTATAGTCGCCTTTCATGACAAGCATGGTTTGCTGAAGACCTATTCTACCCCGGTCTTTTCGGGTCGATTTTGTTGATGGTTCTGTACAGCTGGTCGGTGCTGGAATAAGTGTCAACCAAGCGAAGTGCCATATCAAATCAGCCCAGACTAAGTTTTGTCAAGGAGTTGCTACCGAACGACAACTGCATCGAGTCTATGTGCAGTGCGTTGAGAGGATCAGCAACCATGCAGAGTCCTTCGTTTGGGTGAAGTCGGCTGGCCTGAAAAGTGAATGTGTTCAGAGGGCTTTCTGTTTGCTGCTCAGGAGTGTCCTTCGCGAGTGTCCAGTTATTCCAGAATATGTCACAGTCGAATGTCAAGAATGTGCTACGAGCTGCGTTCTCGTATGCATGAAACTGTAATGGAATCTGACAGAACAGTCGGTGCTTATAGTGAGCGACTGACCATTTCATGATCATATTATGGATGGGGGAGGAGGGAGGGGCCGGTTAGAGCCTGGCTTTTTCAGCTACTATACCAGCAATACCAAATATTGATTTAAATTACAAACATCTTGCAACAATATACATTTTTTTGCGCAAGGCAATTTCTTTTTGTTTCAACTGTCTGAAGCATAACTTTTCCAACCTTTTAACCTTCTTACCTTCTATATTTATACAGCCCATGAACACACATTTGGTTTATAAAGACACTGGAGTTGAGAAGGTGCTCAACTTCTTATTTGTCAATAATAATAGATAACAAAGCACACATTATTACACTTACGTTCTGTTACTTCAAGGAGCACGGTGTTTGTGTTTGGATAGGATGGAGTTGTGGCACCACAATTATGTGTGCATGAGTTGCGTCCCTTGGTCAAGGATCTGCTGCTTTCGTATTTTGACCTGAGTTCATATCCTCGGGCTATTCCTAAAGGACATGCCTGCATGATATACAGCTGAAACTCTGAGGTAAGCATTACTTGCTTGGACACTGAGATAAAACTGATATTGCTGGAACTCGAGAACACTATTTCAGAAGGTAGTACCATTGCACAAATCAAAATGACAAGCACAACTAAAGTGATCCATTAAATCAAAAGTTGGACTTCCCTTACATCAAATATACAAGCAAATTGAATCAATATTATATTTAGCAGCAGTTTTGTCTGTATAGATTTGTCTTGTTCGCGATAACGTATTTTGTATTGGGAACACGCATACGTAGTAATATATAACTGCAGTATTAAAGCCCCTACAAAAGTACATTTTCTTATACTGAACATGTAGCAAATACCATAAAGAAATGTTTATTGTTTCGTGACTTATAGACAAATTCATTAGATTAGAATACGATCACCTCAGTATGATTGTGCATTGGGGAACACATATAATATCATATCATCTCAAACTTATATTTGTCGCATGGCAGTCTGATACACAACATTACATTACATTACAAGTATTAAATCGCTGCTCACAAGATTTTAAACATGAGTGGATGAAATGGGTTTAATCATCATTTCTACATCATATCTGTGGTTATGGCGTTCGCTCGTTACGTCGAAAGCCCATTTCTGGTGTCTCCCGCCGTGATATTGCTGGAATATTGCTAAAAGCGTCGTAAAACCATACTCACTCACTCACTCCCTCACTCAGGTAATTGATGAGAGGGGTGGTCGCAAAGTGTATCAGGTCATAGAACATTTATCATATATTTCGTCTTGTTGTCGTAGGGATGTCAGTGTGTGTTGATACATCACTCGTCTATCACACAGGTGGTGGTCCGGCTATCTGATATGCTCACTGGCGGTCCCAATCGGGTAAACAACGGACTTTACCCTGATGTTGAAATAAGTCATATCGTGACATTCACGTTGTCATATTATACTGATCTTGTCATTCGAGAGATGTAGGTGGACACAGGAGACCGTCATGAACATACATTGTTTCGTTACAGTATGTGTCTTGTTGGGTGGACCTCTCGCCTCTGGTGCAGGTGGTGTTATATAATCGGCTTTACAACCGTAAATGTTGTACAGGTATTAAAATAACATAAACAACTTTAAGAGAGTCAAAGAGCACATTACACAGTTGACACGTCAACCATATTACTGTATACATTATCCAATGGTGTCCGTTTACACGGACGATCGATACAGGTAGCATTTGTAATGATGATAACACGGACTGGAAATATATATATACATCTTGAAATATTCGCGTGTGATACAAATAATGATCTTCTGTTCAGTAGAGAGTTTGTTATCTGCTTATCGAAGACACGACCAGTTGCTTGTTTACACAAGGTGGCTATACCTGTTACTGCCTAATATCTACACTGTCGGCGGGACATGTTGGGCTCAGTCAAGATAAGCGAAATGACAGAGTAGTTAGACAACTGTCGGAAAGAGATATTCAACGTCTGCTGCAATATACCATTTGAAGTACATACTCACTGATACAAGCCATTTCGATCATATATATTTGGTTGGTTGGTTTGTTGTTTAACGCCGCACTCAGCAATATTCCAGCTCTATGACGGCGGTCTGTAAATAATCGAGTCTGGAACAGACAACCCGGTGATTAATATCATGAGCATCGATCCATGCAATTGGGATCGATGACCATCATGAACCAAGTCAGCGAGCCTGACCACCCGATACCGTTAGTCGCCTTTTACGACAAGCATAGTCGCTTGTTACGGCAAGGATGGGTTGCTGAGGATCTATTCTACCCCGGATCTTCACGGATCGTATAGAATTATTAGCAGGTGAATCATAATCATAATATTAATAATGTGCCATATCAAATCAGTCCAGACTCAGTTGTTCAAGGAGAGGCTATCTCAACAACTACTGCATCAAGTTTATGTGCAGTGTGTTGAGACGAAAATCCACTCTGCAGATTCCTTCAGACTTGCCTGATGAATGAAACAGAAGGCTTTCTTTTTGCTGCTCAGGACCAGTCACTTCCCACTCGAAACCGCCAATGTGTGATTTAAATATGAAATGTAGATTATGCAATGAATTTGATGAGACTGTCCAACACATTGTCAGTGGATGCCGAGCTTGCACAAATACAGTAGCTATATGATGGCGTGGCTCGATCGTTTTATAACCGTTTTCGCCATGGTTTTGACACAGAAGTCCATCCGTGGTACGACCCAGAATATATGGAGCGCCTCATGGAAAATGACAAATTCAAAATTCTTTGGAATCCATATACAGCCTCAAACCTGATCTTGTCCATTTTAATAAATACAATGCGAGTACTTATATCATTGAATTTTCTGTCCCTTTTGACAATGTGATTGATAGATTCAGGGACAAAAACATGGCAAACATGCGGACATCGCTTTCGAAATGTCACGCTTGCATCCCAAGTACTAATTATAAGTTGTCCGACTCCCCATTGTTCTCATTCCTTAGGTTTGACTGACAGTTGGGAGAGTACCCGTGTTTGCTGTCAGGAATACAGCCCTTCTGACAATCTGGGTTATGTTGAAGGCTGGTGTGTTGGGGAGTCTTCACATTTTCAGAAAAGTTCCGGGTTAGGTCGACTAGGCAGGCCTTCCTGGGAGAAGTCCCATTCGCTGTCTGGGATGCGTGTAGAGGGCGCAAGGACCCTGAGCTGGTGATGAGCCTAACCAGCCTGACTGACTGATCACCCCAACCTTCTTTGCTGAATTTATTTATTTTAATCTGTAAATACTACTACTAATAATAATACAAACTAAGGGCAGAATACAAATGTAGACTTTAGGTAATCTCGAGTTCTGTGCTGAACGCTAGCAATAAAGTCAAAGCCACCAATACTTATGCTGCATCCGTCCTTTCGTATTCTTTTGGTGTTGTTACATACGTTATCATTGAAGAGCTAGGTTCGATTTAACCGTGGTAAATTGAATAAGAAACCGAACGTGCATTTTACCTACCTCCGCATTGAAAACACAGAGTGTTTATCGGCTAATTTGATACCGCTTGCAGGATTATTCAACATGCATGATTCTAATATTTCATGTTTGAATTTGTCATAATCAGTAGCAAATATAACCTTGCATGCATAGTCATACCAATTATATCCTTACCGCATTCAGGGGAAGCAAGCTGCGGCGTACCTCTCGTGGCAACTTCTGCTGACAAGACATTTACCTCGCCTGGGTACCCAAACATCTACTTCCAGTGAGTAGCTTTCATAATATAATTGCATAATTATATAAATATGTTAAATTACGGTGCGGTAGGTTTGACACGAATCTGCAATGTAATATCCTACATTTATTAAACGTTAGTTGTTCCTCAGTTTGACGTCGAATATGAATGTAACTCAATACTCAACGTGGACATATTTAAGATAGCATCTCGATAAGTCGCAAAGAACAATATAGTGAAGAAGCAAGCGTGGTTTATTTCACGATAAAACATTGTTCTATCATGATGTTATTTCTGGAGATTCGAACATGCGCTTGCAACTGGATAACGATATTGGACTACGTTATTTGTGAGATGGAAGAATCCAGTGAGTTGCTCCCCATTGATGAAGCTGGCATCTAAAAGTGGGAGAGATAAGACAATCGTCATTGGGAGAAAAGGTACAGGTAATCGACAATATTGTGATCGTGACAATATGCGGGAAATACTCACCTGTGCATAAAATATACTTGTCCGACATTGCTTGAGGTCGGATTCTATTGAGGGAGTCATCATGATTAAAATACAGGTAAATATGTTTAAAGCTTGTACTTTTCATCATCATCATTACAGAGGCTGTACATAATGTTAATATCACATTTAAGAAAGAACCGACGAGTGGTCGTTGTTTAACGTACAACAAAGCACTGCATGGAGAATAAACCGATCGGGGCTGCGCCCCTCATGGTTTATTCTCCCTGCAGTATTTCATTGTACGATAAACAACTCCCACTCGTCGGTTACTTCTTAATTAAATAAACAAGGAAACAAGTTAAAGGAAGTTCATTAGATCGAATTTCTTCCACATTGATAATGATTAGCAGATGATTCACGACTGAGAAGGGCAATTCAAATCACAAAAGTGTGTCGGCAGAGGTGGTCCTTCTGATTGTATCCCATGAACTGAATACACTCTTAGACTGTCGCACAGTAATGTACTTCAGGGGTGTTGCCTTTTAGATGTCTGTCTGAAACTTTGTCCAAATATCCACTGCAACTATCTGCCTAACGATTATGTTGTTTAGGATGAGGATTGTCTTTATTCAGGCAACAAAAACGCTGACTATAACCAACGAAGTTTATTACGTTTGTTGACAAATATTGATATATATTTGTGAGTGAGTAAGTTTGGTTCTAGGTCGCAATATTAAGGTTTGTTTGTTTGTTTGTTGTTTAACGCCGAACTCAGCAATATTCCAGCTATATGACGGCGTTATGTAAATAATCGAGTCCGGACCAGAAAATCCAGTGATTGACATCATTAACATCAATCCACGCAGTTGGGATCGATAGCATGCATCAACCAAGTCAGCGATCCTGACCACCCGATCCGTTAGTCGCCTCTTACGACAAGCATGGGTTGCTGAAGACCTATTCTACCCCGGATCTTTTCGGGCCTGCAATATTACGGAATATCCAAGGAACATCAGATCATGATCACAGTGAGTGACACCAGAAACTGGATTCACGCATTGTGTCCCTGTTTGGTATTGAACCTTGGCCTTCGGCTTGACGAAGGAACGCTCCAACAATTAGGTTATCCCATCGCTCGTACAGACATCAGATGGATCGATGTCTGTAATTTGTACTTCTTGCATAATCCAACATCTTCCAACAAGTTGGTATGTTTTCAGGAGACAGTCGTGTACCTGGACTATTACAACAGAAAAAGAAAATGAAACCATTCTATTGAACACCACAGACTCGGTACTTGAGAAACCCCCGTCAGGAGGACTTTGTGACAAGGACTATGTCACTGTATATAACGGTCAAAACAGTAAGTAGAGATATATCTAATAGTCATGATCTTAATGCTAACTATTCTTTAATCGGGAACTCACAATGAGTTCAGTGTGAGAAAAGCTATGCATGATGCCACTAAATGATGTCTCATAGATGTCTGAAACAGCGTATCACAGTATAATAATATTAATAATGGGCCACACAATTTGCGCATACTTTGCATTACACAGAGGCATGTTAAAAGCGCTATTATTACCCCGGTCACTTGATCAGTTTGCACTCAATAATCATTCCCAGCTCCCTGGGCAGTATACAACTCAAGCCGCCTGGTAGGTTCAGAGGCGCATTTCGAATAATGCCACTTGCCCAAGGAGACGCCACATGTGCTACATGTACTTCAGTGTTGGGCAGGATCGAAGCCCTTGGGACTTTCGGGAGCCACACCCATCAAAGGAGTCTCCGCGACCGACGTTGTTTAACTTCAACTGATTTTTGACCTGTGCGCTGTGCATAGGACCACGTATTGTATTTGTTAACATCTTCTCTGAAACCACAGCGTTATAATGAAGCTGGATATTTGTATATCACCTCAATGTCTCTGCAAAGTACTCACGATGATAACCCATTGTGTAACACGGCAGCTACGGCCGTATTGCAAGTTTAATGTTGGCCATGAAAGTCTACTTGAATCCTATAAGTCTGTGTGCAGTCAGAAATAGTATGTGTAGCAGCATGATGTTGCGTTTGCATTATGTTTTAGTTGCTCTAGTTACTTCATGTTCTACATGTTATTCTGGTCTAGTATTCAGCGCGAGCGTTTACCTGTTGCAACGTGACGTAATGTCCCTGCTTTTGCTCAAAAGGTAGAACATGTTCTCGGACGATGTCATCCTGGTAGTCGACGCCGTTCAAATCGCCATCAATTATGATGAGTTCTCTTCTCCCATGACGCCCTATAACATCACACTTCCACCCAAACCGGTGACGCAAGCGTCGCTAAAACGCCTGTAGACCCCGTCACGACCATCAGAGCTGTCCATGATGAGACCTTGACTAATCTGTGAACAGTATACTGTCCCAGTCTTGTCTTCTGAACAGCAAGCTAGGCGTGTCTGATGGTGACGTGAAAATTGGGCGTATCTCTGGACGTCGGGGCCGCATGTTGTGCTCCCTCAACGGTTCCGCCATGTTTGGTCTCAATTCAGGAAGTATCCGAGCTGTTAATGTGGCACTTTGGCATCAATTCAGTAGATGCACCAACCGAATATGGTTGTCTGTTAACGTGACGTCACACGTGGACGACCGGCCCGTGGCAATTGATGAGTGTTATGATAGATAGATAGATAGACAGATAGATAGATAGTGCTGAAGATAACGCCTCCAAAGAGATGATAGTGTGTTTCGATGAACATTAAAATGTCTGTCAGCGTCGTTTTTTCGCCATTCCTGTTTGCAGCAAGCCGTTGCATTGCGTAAGCGCTATGTACGGTTAAACAAGAGCGTTTTTTTTATGAGCACCTTATGGCTAAACATTCCTTGTGCGCTGGTCACATAACAAAACGTGTGTAAGTACCATGATCCCCAAAAACACTCAAACATCCAAATTATGCGTCGTGTACTTGCAATCATCTTCATGAATATGTATTGGAAGATGCATTATCTATCTATCTACATTCATCTTTAATTTATTGTTCTTTAAATGAAGCACAGTTACTATATTTTCGGATCTATGCCACTATTTATATATTGTTCACGTCTAGGCTCTGACGGACTCGGCACCTTCTGTGGTAATCAACAACCCGTATTATCCAGCGGCGGGAACTCACTGCGTGTCCATCTACAAACTGATGACAGAAACAACTACAAAGGATTCAAAATGCAGTACAAAGCTGTACCTGGTTTGTATGAATTCAGCATTCTCACTGCACCTTAGTCGCTGTCATTTCTATCTGATGAAAATCTTGATAATTTTGTTATTCGCTATGCATTCACTAAACGGACGTTATTTACATACAAACAAAGTTGGTACATGTGCGTTCATAAATACAATTCCGATAAACAGTGAATTCGAATGGTAGTGGTCCCTTTAAAATCGACCAGATTACCTAGTTTCCTGATTTACTTGTCACGGTTGCACAATATTGTCACTGTGTATACATGCAAGCATCCCAAACAGCATTCGTCCTGAATGTGTGTTGTTTTTCACATTAACGGAGTCCGGATGATAAAATGAAACATCCCTAATACGATCACAAACTGTGTTATATACCAATACAAAGTGCTTTTTGAAATTATTATTATATGCATGTTACCCACCACACTATATTGGTTATATATGTATTCATGTCATGTTTGAGAACCAAACAGAATTGATGTATATTTAACATATCTTGTATCCAATGTCAGCAACAACCTGCAATGTCACGATGACAGCAGGATGGAGTCCAATACAGATTGTTTCCCCTGGTTATCCCAACAACTACCAAAGGTAAATAGCACGGAGTTGTTAGGAATATATTCGACCCCAATAACATATTACATATAATTATACACTCTCTCGAATCAACATTCTCTCGGCTACCTTTGCCTCACAACGAAGGAGATGTACCTTCACAAATACGTAGGCCAGTTGCATGATGGATAGTTGTGTGTGGACTTCAATGATTTATTGAACCTGTTACTGCCGTCGAAAGAATTTATTGTGTCAAACTTGTGTGTCATGCTGCAATAATCTGCTTGTTCAACTAAATGTGGGAGATACACCAGAAGAAGTTTCTTCTCGACATTACAAGACAGGTATGGTTAATGCAAAGGAATGCAAGTAAAGTAGACTAAGAGATTGTTGCATATTGACAAAGATGGTATGTCATAGATGATGAAATACTTGAAATGATTCCCTTAATACGCGACAAGCAGAATTTGCCAGAAACTCACCCCCGCTCTTTTTCACCCAACACAATGTCGCTCATCGAGTGAAATGCTACGTACAGATGTGTGTATGTGTACACGGAATCTGTACACTGCATCTATACACTGCATCTGTACACTGTATCTGTACACTGTATCTGTACGCTGAATCTGTACACTGTATCTGTACACTGCATCTGTACACTGTATCTGTACGCTGAATCTATACTCTGCATCTGTACAATGTATCTGTACACTGTATCTGTACACTGTATCTGTACACTGTATCTATACGCTGAATCAGTACACTGTATCTGTACACTGCATCTGTACACTGTATCTGTACACTGTATCTGTACGCTGTATCTGTACGCTGAATCTGTACACTATCTGTACACTGCATTTGTACACTGTATCTATACACTATACGCTGAATGTGTACACTGTATAATTATGCACACTGTATCTGTGCACTGAATCTATACACTGCATCTATACACTGTATCTGTACACTGTATCTGTACACTGTATCTGTACACTGTATATGTACACTATCTGTACACTGTATCTGTACACTGCATCTGTACACTGTATCTGTACGCTGTATCTGTACACTGTATGTGTACACTATCTGTACACTGCATCTGTACACTGTATCTGTCCACTGTATCTGTACACTGCATCTGTACACTGTATCTGTACACTGTATCTGTACACTATCTGTACACTATATCTGTACACTGCACCTGTACACTGTATCTGTACACTATCTGTACACTGTATCTGTACACTGCATCTGTACACTGCATCTGTACACTGTATCTGTACACTGCATGTGTACACTGTATATGTACACTGTAGCTGTCAGTAACAATGCTCATTCTTTGAACCCCACGTCGTAATGTTATTTCACACTTCCATGTTTTTTAGATATAAATATGTTATTTTACATAGCATCATAAATACTTTTTGAGATAAAGACATGTTTGTTTGTTGTTATGCTCCAGCTATATAACGGCGGTCTGTAAATAATCGTGTCTGGTTCAGACAAACTGGTTGACATCATGAACATCGATTTACGCAAATGGGTTACGATGACATGCATCAACCATATCACCGGGGCTGACCAACCGATCCGATCAGTCGTCTCTTACGACCAGCTTGGGTTGTTGAAGATTAATTCTAACCCTGATCTTCATCAGCATAAAGACTTGTCATAACATTGTTGCCAATAATGACATAAAAATGCTTTCTTACCAGAGGCTTATAACTATACGGATAGGTGTATGGTCTCTGTTTCTCATCCTGTTTTTGTATATTACAGTGGCTTAGATTGCCAGTGGATTATCAGTGCGCCGTATGAATCTAACATCATTGTTGAAGTTCTGTTTCTTGACATGGAAACAGTGCCATCATGCTTGAATGATTTTCTACTCTTCAAAGACGGTAGGTAAATTTTACTGAAATGCACGTTAAGTTAAAACAAGAATACTGAACTCCTATGAAGTTGTTATTTTGACCGAATCATAATTTTCTGTGTTCATCACATGCATATTTTGGACTTGTAACAACATGAGTTTATTCACAAGTTCAAATATTGCAACTGCCTCTCTGATATAGGTTTAGCATTGTATAATGCTAGAAACCAAATACTTACATAGTACTGGAAATAGGACAATTGCTTCTTGTCAGTCATATGATGTGTGTGTGTATTTGTATTTCTCAAGCTGTATGGCGTCGACCTAATAATCTTGTCAGACAATCCAGTGATTGATATAAGCAATGTCTCACGCTGTCGGGATACAGTCAAACAGGTCATTGAACCTGTTGCTAGTTGCCTCCTGCGGTCAGCACTGTTCGCTATGGACCGCTTTAAACCAGGCATCCTCTCGGAATCATATTTACACGTGCGACAAAAGACATGGGACATTAAAACAATTCAGTAATATTTACTGTTAAACACTACGATCCCTTATCATTATTCCGATTCATTTATAAAGTAATTCATGCATTAAAAACTGTTTTCTAAAAACTTGTTAAATCGATAATTCATTATTATTTTTTAAATAATATATATGCTTGCCAGTTATCCGAAAAGGTTACGACAGTTTTATTAAGATAAGATGGTAAGTCAAGATAACGCTGGCATAGTGTATGGCACATTCAGGAATTACTTCTTGTGGTGATAATCATTTAACTGAAGGTGCCATGCCAATGTTCCATTGCAATTACTTTCAATAATTAATCACTGACATAATACATTTACATTTACATTTAAGGCACTACAACCTATGCTTCGCAACTGGCAAAGATCTGCGAAGCTACACCTTCTCCGGTCATCAGCACCGATAACAAAATGACAATCATATTTCACTCAGACAGTTCTGTCACAGGACGAGGCTTTCGTTTGCAGTACACAAATGGTAATATTCACTGCAAGTGTTCAAATGTGTTACGAAGCCCAACAGTTTGGTATTCGGTTTTAATCATAAGCACATGCTAGCTTTTGTCTTCGTTTGAAACAAAATATAATTTCCTTGACTCACATGGACCCATTCTGTGGGACACGTTTGACTGTTTTAACCCAGTACGCACACGCGAGTAATTTACAACATTACGAAACGTTATCTCGTCCTATTTTGGCGACGCCCTCCTTAACATGAGGCATGCTTCTACGTCAGCATGTGGGGCATCAGTTAGGACATCCTTCAGAATATCATGCACGACCTCATCTGTGTTTACAGGCTTAGACTCCACCAACATTATTTGGATTTTCTTCGCCTGATTGGTACTATATATTGTACTTATCACTTTACTTGTTTGATGGGTTAGGTGTTGACGCAAATCGGCAATCTACCGCTTCGGTTAATAGTATTTTGTATTGATATGGACATTTCACACTTGTCTAATGTTGTTGTAGAATTCACTTGTGGATCAACAGATCTTCGCGCCTCACTGAATACAGAGAAGTATTTGAACACTCCCGGCTATCCTAGATTCTTAAACTTGTAAGTAGAATTGAACTCCTATCAAGTAAGTAGCATTACATGTTACCACTATCACTAGCACTATACATGGCACGTAGCACCACATACGTGACAGCATTTGCACTTCACCAGACAAGTAAGTAGATCTAACACCTGTCAAGTAAGTAACACGTCACATGTTAATATCACCATCACATGACAAGTACCTGTAGAACTGCACACGGGATGATTATTACCACTACTCATGATATGTAAATAGAACTTTACACGCGACACATCGCACTACAATTTTGACAAGTACAATAAATTAGTTGAAGTGAGGTGAAATGGAGTTCACCTCACTTATATAGCGACGTGCATGCACGTGTGTGTGTGGCTGTTTGTACCAGTCCGGACTGATGCCGATTAATAGTGCTAGCACTCTGAGATACCATGCCGCAGTTTAACATGAATACCCTACTCAGAAACAGTATACTGACTCCGAGCCGACCGGTCCTTATGTTAGCCCATTAATGTCGAGCGCCAGACAGGGTAACAACAAGTACCATCTTTTAACGTCTTTTGGTATGACGCGGCCGGTGATCGAACCCCGGACCTTCCGCTCTCCGGGCGGACGCTCTAACACTAGACCACGGAGGGGGTCTACTACATATTAGCATTAGCATTACACGTGACAAGTAGCACGACACACGTGACAAGCATCAACACTACACATGACAAGTAGCACTACACACGTGACAAGCATTATCACTACACGTGACAAGTAGCACGACACCCGTGACAAGCATCAACACTACACATGACAAGTAGCACTACACACGTGACAAGCATTATGACTACACGTGACAAGTAGCACGACACCCGTGACAAGCATCAACATTGTCGTAAGAGGCGACTAACGGGATCGCGTGGTCAGGCGCGCTGACTTGGTTGCTGCATGTCTTCCATCCCATTTGCGTTGATCGATGCTCATGATATCAATCACTGGATTGTCTGGTCCAGGCTATATTATTTACAGACCGCCATCATATAGCTGGAATGTTGCTGAGTGCGGCGTTAAACAACAAACCAACCAACCAACGTTATGGCTATCTCTGGGAAGTTTGTGTCGAGCACTGGCATGCATTCACTCCATGCTTAGGAGGGTTGTATGGGTATACCTGTGAGTTAGTGTAACTGGAATGCTTTGTATTAGCAACTTAACACAGTGAATAGCAACCACCGGGATATTGCTGAAAGCAACGTAAAAACATACTCACCCACTCACAGGCAAATATGTTCATGAAAGTCGTACGTATTCATTGTATCAGGTGAGTGTTTTGTATATGCAATTGTATGTATGAATATGGTTGTGATCTGTGCATACGTTTAATACTGATGTAGAAAATTCTATTTGAAGCAACCTGCAATGCACGTGGACAATTTCTGCACCTGTTGGATATAGAATACAAGTCGAACTTGTATGTCTTTATTTGCAACAATCGACATCGTGTGTACGTGACTATCTTCTCTTCAGTGACGGTAAGCATAATGTACATCTTTGCAAACTTGCTTCATATAAATATATTCGTATTGCTCTTCGTGTTGAAATGTGTTTCAGTTATCTTAACTATTCATATTATCAATAGTATTAGTTTTTCCATCAGTCGAGATCGCCCCCGTGGCCTAGTTGTAGAGCGTCCGCCCGGAGAGCGGAAGGTACGGGTTTCGATCCCCGGACGCGACATACCAAAAAGACGTTGAAAGAAGGTGCTTGTTGTTACCCCGCCTGGACCTCGGCATTAAGGGGCTAAAACAAGGACTGGTCGGCTCGGAACCAGTTTACTGTGTCTGAGTGGGGTATTCATGTTAAACTGCAGCATGGTATGTCAGTGTGCTAGCACTATAAACCGGCATCAGTTCGGACTAGGACAAGCACACACACACACACACACACACACACACACACACACACACACACACACACACACACACACACACACACACACCTCACCTCACCTCACCATCAGTCGACACTAATTCAAATTTACTTTCAAGTTGACTGTATTTATTTTTTTATGCGTCCAAACCAACACCCCTGAGCGCGTACTTTATTCGAATTATGAAACTCGGATTCAGAGCTCACCATTTCAGGAGTGATTTGCATGAAATATATTTATTCAAGGTTTATCGTCTAACGCCGCTGAATTAGGGAAATATTGCGGTTACACCACTGAGCACGTCATCAACTCCAGCAACCACATGGCCATCACCTTCCACACAGACGGCTCTGCCAGGAGAAGAGGCTTTTCTATGAAATATAAGGCTGAGAGATTCCTAACAACAACCACAGGTTTAATTGTGTTAGGGACTGGGCGTTTAATTATGCGGTTTGCATTCTAGCCGTATCTTGAGGATTCACGAAATATATTTTTGTGACATTCACGAAACCTATATCAAAGTTATTTTATTCAGTCTATATTTTGAGATCGTGTAAGGAAAATTGATGGGCATGTTGTGACTGACATCATGCCTTTTTTAAAAAAAAGAAAAACTTGCAATTTTTTGGATCTTTGATGATTGACAGCTAAAATGAGTTAAATGAGAGGTTCTTACTTCAACGGAAAATCTAAACATAAGCAAATCTATGAACCAACATTAATTTACACGCCATGCTTTTTAACCTACTTCTTTCTGGCACATCGCAGTTTAGGGCTTGCTCTTGTTCAAATATTGTGAAAAATCGCTTCCTGAACGTATCGAAAATCATCATTCGCTAAGCAGTTTAGCTTTACCCCTACGTTTGAAGATGTGAAGCAAACTCCACTTCTTATTTGTATGAACACTTCAGACTCACTTCATTACGAATTTCGTATGCCTTTTACACATTTCTAAATTATGCACATCTCGCTGGCCTAAAAGAGCATTTAGCTAATCTCGCCATTTTTTGTAAGTATTTGTTATGATCTTTGAAATATTGTTATGAATTGCGAATAAGGCTTGTTTTATAACATTGGACATATTTATAACTGTACATTTGTAGTTCTATCAACAATTGTGCATCACTGATTGTTTAAAACACCGTTTCAAATAAGCTCTCATGTGATTATTGTGTAAAGTATTCATCGGTTTATTTATTGTTAATGTAGAGACACCACATATATATACATGTGGGACTCCAATGCTCAGCGCCTCCGCGTCCAAGTGGAGCCATTTGTCGTCTCCTGGCTACCCCAGCAACTATGAAAAGTAAGCAAATACACACAAAAAAAGGATGATATCTTTTATTAAATAATGACGATGCACATGTCTATTGCTGGCAGACATAGTATTTTGATTCAAACAGTTGATACTTATGTCATTGTCCTGGCCTTTTGAATCGCTTGACAGAAATGATGGGTCTCACCTCTGGGTAGCTTTTTGAAACTATCAAACAATTCAGATCTTTGGCTGTTATTTCCTTGCCAGATTCCATGGACCAGAGAAAGCCTGTTCACATCGAGCTTTACTGGCTGTGACCAGAGATTTTTCTTTACGGGAACAGGTAAACAAAAACAAACAAAAAAAAGAGCGTGAGAAACATCGAACGTGTATGATGAAGCAACAGGGGCTTTCAATTTCATTGGTGGTGTACCAACGAAACCGGATGTGTTGAACATGATGCCAGTCATTCAGCGTTTTGTGGTCTTGATGAATGATTGGACCATTATCTATACAAGAGTTGATGAGGCACACACAGATATATTCACTAAAAAACATGTAAAAAAGCTGCATTTCATACTGGTCACTGTTGGGGACGAAGTATGGAGTCTGAAATATACCTTCCCTCACCAACTGAGTTGTGGCACATGCCACTGTGGACTACACAAACCACAATCTTCTAAGTCATTCCAAGAGTCTGAGAGGGGGTTGTGCCCCATTTGATCAGTACATCACTTTGCAGATGTGATCACATTTAATTGTCACCAGTAAATTAAAACATAAGCCATGTACAAGCGTTCTTATTCTTTAAATATTCTGTTATTTACCATATGAGTATACAATAGTGGTATAGTTTATTGGCTTCAATGATGCATGTCTTAAAAATATGCCGAAAAAGTAAGAAATGTATATTCCTTTCATTTTTCCGCATTTTAGATTACCTAATACAAAACAAATAGTCTATTAAATTACAAGTTATTTACTTTACAGATGTAGTGTAAATTCATTCCAAAATGTAAATTTTCATTATGTATTTAGGTTGTCGGTCATGTTCAAACGAGATGGCGGCCATATTGGATTTTTTGGGTGGCCCATATCTGAATAATTTTGGAATGTCGATCATTACCTGCCTTTCATGCTTTTATCACAAAGTGCAGTTTTGTTTACGAAACGGCTGCAATATTGTCTGGGTTATTGTAATAATAGATAATATGAGAAAACATAATTAAATAATACCCTGAATGGCTTAACGTCCAGACAAGGAATACTCCCAGGCTATATTCAAGGTGGCCCAGAATCGATGTATGTTTCTCAGTTTGTTAACACCAATACCCGTGCTAGTGGGTTGTACCAAAGTGGTAAATGTCTTAGGCCAACATGTTTCTGGATGTCCACCCATTTCAAACTGGCCCCGTGAAGAACCGGGGTAGAATAGGTCTTCAGCAACTCATGCTTGCCGTAGAAGGCGACTATGTTTGTCGTAAGAGGCGACTCACGGGATCGGGTGGTCAGGCTCTCTGACTTGGTTGATGCATGCCAACGATCCCAATTGCCTTGATTGATGCTCATGATGGCAATCACTGGATTGTCAGGTCAAGACTCGATTATTTACAGACCCCCGTCATATAGCTGGAATGTTGCAGATTGCGGCGTTAGACAACAAACAAACAAACAAACAAACATATTTCACATAAAACTATCGTATATTTCAGTTCATTCGTTCCAAGATAGGCGTTAGCAGCTAATATCAGGTGTCAGGCCTTTACAAACAAAACATTCTAAACTGACACGACTGGATATAACTGATATACATGTACTGTTCAAAACAGTGTTCAACCAAACTCACTCACTCCCGCTGACTACAAAGCCTAATGCATTCCCTACGTTCAGTATCTTGCAATGCAGTAATATGCAACTCTAATAATAATTTGATAAAAATGTAAAACATAGAAAAATATCCCAAAACAAATATTGATAGAGGAGGTAATAACGATATTATGGATAGTATAGTATCGATGCCAGCTATTTATGTTTCAACTTGTCATCAATGTACCGCGTTTGGAAATATCTACATCTACATGTATACTAGTTCGATCAATAGTTTCACTCCCAGTTCTTATCTTCTGAAGCTGTTACACAGCTGGTCAGTGGGGTAGCTCGCCATGCTGATCATGAACTGGTATAATGTGTGAAGCCCTGATGTTGCTGGAATATTGCTAAAGTGGCGTAAAAGGATACTCACTCACTGATTAGTTTTATACAAGATGTTCATTGCAGGTACATGTATCTCATTATGTCATATGAGTTTCTTTTTATATGGTTATATCATATGGTTTTGATCTGATATGTTTATGAACTTATCTGATACTGCAATTTCCTGTCTTTAGCAACGTAAACTGCAGCTGGGAAATATCTGCACTTGTTGGAAATAAAATATCCGTTGAAATTGTGACCCTTTCTGTGGAACAATCGACATCCTGTGAAAATGACTATCTTCTCATCAGTGACGGTAAGCGCAATGTATGTATTTAAAACATACTTGTTCTTCCCCTTGAAAGGTGTTTCAATATTTCTAATTGACAGTGGTTATACATGGTCCCTATAATTTAAAAAATAATTCCAGTTTATATATATATACATTATGCATCTAATCTCACAACATGAATGCGTCATCAGCAATACTGTGGACACCTCAACACGCTAAGCTTTTGGTTTCACATACAATGGCTCGAGATTCATTGGCAGCAGTATAATGATTCTTAGCCCGCCTATTTACGAGTTAAAATAAACATGCATAATATTCATTCAAGGTTCATCGTCTAACTCTGCTGAATTAGGTAAATACTGTGGTTCCACCACCGGGAACATTGTCAGCTCCAACAACCACCTCACCGTCACCTTCTACACCAATGGCTATGTCAGAAGAAGAGGGTTTACTTTGAAGTACATGGCGATTCCGTCAGGTATTCACATTTGACAGTAGATTTTCTCTGGTTTATTTCATCTATAATGTCACACAAATATTTCATAAAACGAACATTTAATATATTGCATTAAAGAGATTCACATCAAAATATTGAAAATAAATAATTTTGCCACAAGTGTTGCAAAAATAATTTTAGTCAGCATGACATGCTGGGTGACTTGGCGAAAATGTGTGTTTTTATAAAAAGAGATTTCAGAGATGTTTGTTTGTTTGTTGTTAACGCCGCACTCAGCAATATTCCAGCTACATGACGGCGGTCTGTAAATAATAGAGTCTAGACCAGACATTACAGTGATTGACATCATGAGCATCATCAACAAAGTCAGCGAACCTGACCACCCGATCCTGTTCGTCACCGCTTACGACAAGCATACTCGTCTTTTACAGCAAGCATGGGTTGCTGAAGACCTATTCTACCCCGGATCTGTTCGGGTAATGTTAACTTGAAGCAGTGACAGAAACAGCACTCTGTCTCTAATAAACAGTCCGCTTGCATGTCATCCATCTGCTACCTTGTGTTGTGTTCCTCTTCAATGTGACACATTATGTGTTTCAGGGTGTGGCGATAACCAAGTGATTGGCTTTTATGAAACAACATATATTGAATCACCGAATTATCCGATGTACTATCCAAAGTAAGTACACCCTACAAGTTGTAAAATAAAATTACAAAACCTTGTCATAAACAAATAAGTGCTGATAGCAATCATTGTGTGATTCCGACTGTCATAAGATGCGACACTATCAATTGTTCATCTGAAAAAGAGAATCCGGGAATATATGGTCTGATTCAACATAGGGATTTACATCTGACAATTTTTTGTCACTGATGAGTTAAATATGGAAATCTATGTATAAATCAAAATATAAAACAGATGAGGCAGGTTCACAGCTTTCTGTAAATTCTAGTTCTGGTGATAATAACCAATCGCGATTTACATAAGGCAGAATAGCGGTGTCATGTGTATGAATGGATGCCTGAACATCAGTGATGACACCTGGTGTCCAGTTGATGCCTACTTCTTGCCTAAATATCCTATTACCAAATTCCAGATAGAAGTTTTCTCTGAGGAAGTCCAGCATTTCATCATATTGTTTTCCTAGTAAACTTCAGATGACATTGATTGCTTTCATATTTGATAACTTGTCTTAAACCTTTGAAAATACCACGGGTAATGATAAATGCCTCATGGGTGAATGGAGCTTTGTGATTAACCCAGCGAAAACGAATAATCGACATATCTTCAGGAGTTTAGAGTCAAAGACACATTTCAAAGATTTCACTGATGCGTGGTGTTGGCAGGTGACATCTGTCATATTTCTAGCAACTGAAGTTGGAGAATACACTGGGCAGTAAACTCAATACCTGCATCACAAATAATGGCTGTGTTTGGTCGAATATATTATATATAGGAGTTTCTCTGTTTTAGCAACCTTTTGGTTTATGTTTAAATGCCTGTGGTGTGACTGGTAGCTTTTGTCTACGTTGATAGTTTTTCCTCTCAGGTAGACGAAATAGGATAATTATATAACTGTAATATAACAAAATATTAATCATCTAAAAGTATCATAAACAAAATGTGACACTACCAGCGGTTGTAACTGCATCAACAGAGACAACCGTGACAAAAGGACAATACAACTATAATATATTAAAATGGTTCTTGTCAGTATTTTGGTATTAACATGTATGAAATATTTTGTTTGTTTGTTTGTTGTTCAACGCCGCACTCAGCAATATTCCGGCTATATGACGGCGGTCTGTAAGATAATCGAGTCTGGACCAGAAAATCCAGTGATTGACATCATGAGCAACGATCCACGCAATTTAGATCGATCATATGAAATAATGCAATATACGAAACGAATCACTGGTATCACTGCATCAGTTATCCATAAAGTTCCAACCCCAAAACAAAACATTGCTTTTGAGTAGTTGCATGTGCAGAGAGAATCATGGCACTCCATTATGAGATGGAATTCTTGTGTTGAAGTGGGGCACGATGAGGTCTCTGTTTAACAATGACAGGATCTATATGGACAAAAGACCAAACGAACTTCTTTATTTTCACACTTACATGTGTGTGAACCTTTGTATACATCACAGGCATAATAATGTATTGTTTCAATTTCAGAAATGCGAACTGTGCATGGACAATAAGCACTAATGTTGAAGGTTATGTGATCTATGTTGAAGCGGTATATTTCAACCTTGAGGGTGACGCAGCGTGTTCCGACTACGTTAAACTCTTTGATGGTAATGGCCAACCCGTCTGGGTTTTCCTAGAATATTGTAACAGTGACAGTGTCTTGTTAGATCCGTTGCATCAGGATTAAACAAGTTATTCTTAGATCGACGAATGTACATGTAACTATATTTGACAGACAAGCGTCGTTCTGTTACTGCAATGAAACCTCCTTAATCCGAATGTGACCCATCCAAGTTAAACCAGGTGGTACGGTTGGCAGAGATGCGCCTCTTGCACCAAAGTAGTAAACATCAGCGACATGTGTCACTTCGGGTTTTCCTCTGGCAGTACGCTGGAAGGCTGTGACGTTAATGGTATACTGTCCCCAGAGGCATGGAACCAAGCTGACACACAAACTAAATCGTGCGGGCATTTTCCAGGTTTAACACATCACGGGCAACCAATACTGTCCATCTATTTATTTATTCCATGCATCAATCTGACAGGCAACCTGTCCGGATTATTATCCCTCACTGATGTTCGACGAAGGCTACACCAGACATTTCATGTTAAATAGTCATCGGGAACTAAATATAATTTCCCAAAATATGTGTTAAGTGAGAGTCCTTCGGCCTTTGGGAACTCTTGAATTTTTATATATGACATACTTGTTCTAAATATACATGGTCTGTCTCACAAAAACATGTACACTTGCATTGTATGTTCCTGTATTAGTCTTTGGATCAAATGAACAAATGATCGGTCGATGGTGTGGATTCGGTGGACCAAATACGATGGGTACAGGGATGGCGATGAGGGTTCGATTCCACTCCGATGGTTCTTCTTCCTACAAGGGTTTCAAGATGGCTTTCACTGCCGGCAAGCCACAATCTGCCCGTAAGTTTGTTTTGCCATAGTAATTAGTTTTAACATACCATGAAGATTGTTTAGACCGGAGGAATGAGACGCATCATTCCACACCGCACGTTTAACCTCAATGTCATTTCAATGAGAATGGTGTTGATTGTTTCTTGAGCACATGGTGGTTAAGTGTTAATATATTGGTTTTTGGTTTGGTTAGTTGTTTAACGCCACACTGAGCAATATTCCAACTATATGACGGCGGTCTGTAAATAATCCAGTCTGGACCAGGCAATCCAGTGATTGATATCATGAGCATCGATCCGCGCAATTGGGATCGATTTCATGCATGGGCGGGGTTGGGTGGGGTGGAGGATGGGTGTGGGCTAGGGAGGTGGAGGGCCTGCTTTCCGATGTTCATAGGTTCGAATTTCATATTCACCCTGAACATGTTCACAAGAGCAATGTTCGTTAATATCGTTGCGACAAGCGGAATCACCTTGGAATAATTGAAATAATATTCAAAGTGGCATCAAACTAAACTCACGAAATTGTCTGGTGCGTCGTGTGTGGAAATTGTGTCACGGGTGTAACGGTTAAACTATCCATAGTTGACATGGATACCATGCTAAAATGTAGCAAAATGCATACATTCACCAACTCGTGATATGCTATTGCCATCACTATAAGCCTGACACAAGAACATATTGGCTTAAGGGGGCACGGGTGGCCCAGTCGTCTTGGGCGCCGCGATTCGCTCTGCAGAGTTACGTCTCTTGGACACGCCAGAAACTGATTGTGGGTTCGAATCCCGGTTCGCCCTGATTATGTTATTAGGTTTGCCAGCACCATATACCCGTGCTCGTGGGTTTCACCGAAGTTGTAAACGTCTAAGACCTGCATCACTTCGGGCTTCCCCCCCACATTAAGCTGACACGTCGTGATATCACTGTTAAAAGCGGCATTAAACCCAACTCACTTACTATTGGCTAAGGGGGTCATTGGTGTTAAAATATTCAGTGCCGCGTCCTGTCAAAGTCCACATTCCTTTCTTTCCTTAATCCTTTCGTTCTTGTTTATGTTGTTATTGTACAGCTTCGTTTGCACCGAACTGTGGAGGCATAATTGGTGGCATATTGGGTGGCATCGTGGCTGTGGTTGTAGCAACAATTTGCTGCTTTGCGATTGGCATCAAGAAAAAGTCGAGTACCAACGACCAGTCGCAACGGTACAGATCAGATGGAGCCATCGTGACCAACGTCTTTTCCGTCCCCATTCACAAAAACACGGCAACTACAGCTACTACTCAGCTTAAGCCTCCCCCAGCTTACACTGAGAATGTGAAGGATGACTTTAGACTGTACTGTCAGGCAGTTCGACCAACAGATATACAGCCTCTTGTGACGTCATCCCCAAGCCATGCATCTGCATATCAAGGGATAGATAATCCAGCAGGGCCTAGATGAGTGACTTATGTTTTCACATGATGTAAATGTTTTGTATTCCTGGAATAAATGGAAAAGGTTGGTTGGTTGGTTTGTTATAATTTAACGCCGCACTTAGCAATATGCCAGCTATATGAGGACGGTCTGTAAATAATCGGTCACAAACATAAACGTGTGCAATCAATCAACAAATGTATATGGATGGAACAGGTATACCCCGTCTATAGTAAATATACAACGTTCACCATTGTTCAGAAATCAAGGCGTTAGTTATCACCAGCCATTAAAATAATATTGTCATCCGATCGAACTGAGTATACACAACGCACCAGATTGTTCACTTTATAGCAATTGAAAATTCACAACTGATCGGTCTTAGTATTACTCATCACAATTAGGAATGGATGAAACATGAATTACGGACAGACAGACATTTTCTTATTCAGTATAAGGCCTTCGTCCCACAATACTTTAGCATAGCGGAGATATAACCATCTCCACTATATAGTTATACATAATACACACAGAAGTAGATGTGTATTCATATCAAAAATACTTTAGGGAACAGTATTTCTTACTTGATTTACATTCAGGAGGAATATAATTATGTCATGCAATATTTCATAATCTTGTGATGAAATCACGTCTATGAAGGAGTGTTCGGATGGGGTGGTTATATATTTACCCATTAAGTTATTTCTTAGGAGATTATAAAGTCCACACACAAGCAAAATATGCAGTTCATCTTATAATAATGCAATAAAATATGCTCCCTTACAGAGACGGTATGAACAGTCTTTCTTCATTTGGTGTAGAATGGTGTCTTCCTGTATTTACAGCCATGTTAAAACTGCTGCATCTGAAGCGTGACAAAATCCTTCTAAGATGAGGTGACAGAGCGATATTTCAGGAGGTTTCAGTGTTTAAAGGTGTTTAACATGTTAATAAGCGTATGAGTCTGACAGGTTTTTGACTTTACCGCACCAGGTTTGCAATATGGCGGCGGTCTGTAAGTAATCGAATCTGGACCAGACAATCCAGTGAGTGACATCGTGAACATCGATCCACGCAGTTACGATGTAATTTGGGGACACGAGCCAACAAGCAAACAGTAGAGAGTAACACATTTCACATTCCTCAATGTTGTAGCAGAATATGTTTGCTCGAAATATGCCGAACCGCAATTTCGCGAGTGTGATTAAATAGACTATGTTTCGGCAAGGTTGGAAACTGGACTTTAAAAGTGCACTAATCTCTAGCTTCTTCCCGGCTGTCTCACACTGCCCGCAAGTGGTGTCAAAATATATTTGAGGCAATATATATACGCAATTCTGAACACTAACTGGTTTTCCGTTTATGTAAAATGCACGTGACAGCACAGCAAGAGAGGAATGATCAGTTGGGTAACTGGCCAATGAGACATGACACCTATGTGAAACACCTGAACACACCCACGCGATCAGTTGAGAAACGAACACGAGTAATTATACTATCAAGAATCGTTATATATATTTTAGATTATTTGAGTGTTACATAGACATGTGACATCGAACGCGTTTGTTGTTCAGCTGCAGACGTGTGGGATATTGGTCCTTTTTGTGGATATCTACGGATACATTACTCGAGCAAGGTAAATGCCTTATATCATACATGTAATGTTCGTTGGTTGTAAGTACGATATTTGCATTTTGTTTTTATTCATTTGCTGCAGCATTGAAAAAAATCATTTGCCTCTACGCTCTCCCTAGGAAGCTCTTTGATGCGATAACGAGAACACTAAGTCATTGTTTTCACAAGCCTTTCCGTTTGTTGGCATGCATATGTTAAAGTCAATGTGTAAAATGTGATTCACTCAGGCAATATATATTTCAGCAATTTGTCAGTTTGTTTAACAGATTTACTAATAATTATGAAGACATTCAAGGGGGCTTAAAACAGCACAATGGACTCGTATGCTAGGATTACAGGCCAACAAATATAGAAATATACTTTGAATTCACTAGGTGGTGAAATTAAACATCAAAATGTTGGACTTCGTTATCATTTATTTTCAGGTACAGGCAAGCATCAAATGTTACATTTTTGTTAATAAAAACAAATGGACAGATTCTTCAGTGAATTTGAAAATAACTGAATATTTAGGCGTTTACAAAATTGCCTAAGTGAAAAACAATAATGAACAATGGTGACTATAACACTATAGCATATACACATAATAAAATACGCAATGCTCAAGTGAAATATTTAGTTTGTGGTACAAGTCGAAATAGTAAACGAAAATCGCACAATACCAAGCAAGTGACAAATGCCCACCGGCCGATATCAGGGATAAGCATCATCAAGCGAATGAATGAAACAATTGGACGTTCATACGTTTTCCAAAAGACTGTTTTCTTGAAATGATGTAAACACTGACGTACTAGTACCACATCCCTGGGGAAAACACTGAGCACACCCTTGCGCGAATAATAAGAAAAGCGTTGTTTCTGATCATGTGACACTTATTAACTTACGCCCTCAACTGGTGTTGTGACAGAAAATCTAATTCTCGTTTGTATAAATACAGCTGATACATTTAGTGATGAGTAATAAACCCTTTCACATTTCTAGATTATGCAGATTTCAAGAGCCTAAAAGGTCCATTAGAATGTGGTGAATGTACCTTCAATCAATTATAAAGCATTTTTATGATCTCTTTTATGATTTGTAACTGACCAGTTTACGGCCAGTTTCACACCGTTGCATCATCTCTTGTACCAGAGAACGTGAAGTTAACCATTGTGACATAGCACATATAAACACATATGTATGTTAAGATGGGTAAGGGATGTTAGGGTATGAAGTTGGGGGGTTGAGTTATGGGTCGCCAGGATCACTAAGCTGACGCACAGATGACCTGATTATATTTACTTGACGAATGTTCCCATATTAAGCTGACACACCTCATATAATTGAAATAATGTTCAAAACGGCGTTAAACAAACAGGTATACACTGCCCCGTCATGCGTCAATACTATGTCGTATATCAAGATTTCTTATGCTTTTGGAAATGGTATTTTTCACCTTTTCACTTTTCTTGATATGCCCTTAAGAAATCTGTGTTGTTTTTGTATAATAATATTCAATAAAATTAATGTGACTTTTCAGAATTCAGAATTGTGTCAATTCCTAACAAGCGGAGCCAGATGTCCAGATCGGTGAACCGTAGATACGTAGTTATATAATTCTATAAACATTCCCAGCAGCCATCGCACGAATGACCGGGTTCCCGGATTTACAGGGTCCGGACGAACGGAAAATATTATCCATGTCATTAATTTTAGATAACGTGACTTGAAATAGAGAGACTGCAAGTGTGTTGTAAACGCCGTGTTCTTTTGTCGCTGAGAGATTATTCTTTTTTCTAAAATATTCTTACTTCCTATCATCTATATTCGTGCGTATATTTCATATAGTATATATTGTTGAGTTTGCGTACGCTTTTTATGGTAGGGAACAATGCAAACGTCCTCGCAACAAAGTATCATGTATGAGAGTGGAAACTATGAAGACACGTGGCGTTCGGCAAGGTTGAATGCATGGTAAGTCCAGTTCTTTTTGTGCTTCGGTTTAATGCATTCATACATTCACAAGAGAGCCATGGGTTAAGTGGTGTATTTGTGAAAGAAAGGTTTGATGAGCTCGTGTCATTACGGTTCACTGATGATCGTCACCCTTGTTGATGATTAGAAAATAATATTTAAATATGATTGTTTGTAAACCTCTAATGCATGTGTATCAAGTAGGCAAAAATATTAAACTTCTTCTTCTTCCTCCTCCTCCTCATCCATCTCACTATCAGCAAATCAACAACAGTTTCTTATAATTTACATATATTTACATCCTGTGCCTCTAATCCCCAAACTCAGCACATCGTATGAGTTATGAGTTATGAGTTATGTGCACCATCATTGCTTCAAAATAAATAAAACAAATCACCGATTTTTTCTTCATCATTCCGATTTTTGTTCACTTTGCACTTTTCAAAATTAACATATCGTTTTTAGTTTCCACAAGATCAGTATTGCGCTATCCTGTCACTGGATTTTCGGGTCCATCAATCACTTGATTGTTTGGTTCCGTTTACATCCCTTGGCAGGAGTATTGCTGTGCATCGTCAGGCAACACACACTTACATTTTTATGCAAATTGTGTGAGTGGCGGGTGCTACCGGTTGGGCAGGACATGCTTTATTACCCTATTCCTCGAACACTTGGTGTCATCTCTGGTTTTCAGTGACCAATTCATATAATTGTAACCTCTATTTTGCATTTTACGCCCAATTGAAACTGTTTCGGCGGATAATCGAGACTGGCTATACTCCAGCGTTTACGTATTGTATTTATCTATACCCTGAGTCACTTTAAGCTTTCAACTCAGGTCAAACTGACACGCCGAGTATAAGAGAAACGTTCCATTTGGCGTAGAGGGAAAAATAGCTGTGAAAATGATATGAATGGACCACTGAAAATCAGTGATGACACCAGCTGTTTGCGAAAAGGGTGATCATGCCCTGCCCTACCGGTAACACCCACCATTTATACAAATAAAGTGCATATACAGTAAGTAGTTATTACCTGATGATTGAAACCACCATTCACTTATCAAGCACTTTCCAATTCTTTAGTTAAAAGTAAGTTGATGTTATTTCTGTTTAAATTCTTCGTTGGCATAGTCGGAGGAGTATTCGGCGTCATGGCTAAAGTATCGTGTTGCTGCTGTGACAGCCTGTTGAAATGTCATTTCTTAGCGATACATGTACAACTTCATATCAAGTGATAGTTAACTCAGCAGGCCCGGGTGGAGCGACGTCAAGTTTCACAGGATGCACATGCATGTTTTGTATTACTGGAGTAACTGGAGAAGGTGACATACAAGCTAACTCCTTTGCACGAATCGACTTCTTCCGACATATCAGCAGAAATTTGTATAATGTAAATTCTGTACCGAACATTAAATGCTATCAACATTAGCAAGGATGTATCATTTATATTATCGGAAGGATAAAAATATATTCTCATACCATCTCCTGACCTGATCTGTTTGGGTCATTTGTCACTGCAAACCCGACACCAATATTGTTTTTCATTGGACGTTTTTAGACGTTTTTCAGCGTTGAAAACAGGCGACATTTGACCTTGTCAATCCAGGCATAGCGTTTACCTGTATTTCTATTTCTCGAGCTTTCGTTGGTCAGTACTCGTGTTTTAGATTCCTTGTGGAAGTACTGACATCTACCGTTCTACGGTTTCGCAGAATGGAGAAATTACTTTCTAACATGGTTAGTAAGCCATTTAGTCGTATCTGATAAGAAGTTATATTAGATTTACATATGTTATACATTCTAACCACTAACAGCTGGAATATTGCTGAGTGCGGCGTTAAACAGCACAACAAAACCCAACTTATCATTATGTCCATTACTTCCTGAATCTTAATAGTTAGAATAAAAAACTGCGAGAGCCTATCATTACCTGTTGCTACTTTATGCAAGAAGTTTAGCATTCTCTAAAACAACTTTAAACGAAAACCACTTGAGCACAACATCTGACACACTGACGTTCCTAATAAAACAACATGTAGGTATGCGCATCACAGACTGCAACTTGTTGTGGAAAGCGTATCAGTGTGTTGACCCAGTACTCGGTTATCAATCAGGATTGGTCATACTACATGATAAGCGTCTTTGTCCTATCCGGTGTCGCTGGTGACTACCGCATTCGAGGCTTTACCTTGATGTTGAAATAGCTCACATCAGGACGTGTATGTTGTAATATATTGATGGTCTTTTCATGCGATCGTCGCCATACACTCCAGGCAGACCACCGTGTACACAGGACTGAGGTATTTCTGAAACTGGCGGTTGGGATATAGCAATCGCTGTCTTCACTGAGAGCTGTTCGCGACGCCATTATGATCATATCTTGTGTCCTTGGATTATGTGTGCTGTTGTTTAGGCCGCTTGTCTCTGGTGAGTGTTACATACGTTAGTCATATCAGATTGTTTACATGTGACAGTCTGTACATGTTAAAACACAATAACGATTTCGTTGTTGAGCTCTAATTACAATCATAATCTATCATATGTTAAACGTATTACTGTATTATCTATATTTAGTATCACCATTTACACGTACTATCAATTAAGGTGATATTTTTATTTAAATGAAATTAAGACACACGGTATATATCTTCAATTTGTGGATTTGTCTTGAAATGTATTGTATAAGCTACTCTCCTATGTTCACTATCGGGTGTGTAAGCTGCATATCGGTGACACGGCCAGTCGACTATTTAAACAAGATGGCGGAATCCGCTATCGCTTGATATTAAACCATAGAGCTGTCCGAGGTTCAGTGTATGTACATGTATCTATATCAAATTGTAAAGTTGTTCACTGTTTACTACTACCACTACTACAACTACAACTACAACAACTACTACTACTACTACTACTACTACTACTACAACTACTGCTACTACTACTTCTACTACTACTACTACAACTACAACAACTACTACTACTACTACTACTACTACTACTACTACAACTACTACTACTACTACAACTACTACAACTACTACAACTACTGCTACTACTACTACTACAACTACTACAACTACTGCTACTACCACTACTACTACAGCTACTACAACTACTACAACTACTGCTACTTCTACTACTACTACTACAACTACTACAACTACTACTACTACTACTACAACTACTGCTACTACTACTACTACTACTACAACTACTACAACTACTACAACTACTGCTACTACTACTACTACTACTACAACTACTACAACTACTACAACTACTGCTACTACTACTACTACAACTACTACAACTACTGCTACTACCACTACTACTACAACTACTACAACTACTGCTACTTCTACTACTACTACTACAACTACTACAACTACTGCTACTACTACTACTACTACTACTACTACAACAACTACTACTACTACTACTACTACAACTACTGCTACTACTACTACTACTACAACTACTACAACTACTACAACTACTGCTACTACTACTACAACTACTACTACTACAACTACTACTACTACTACAACTACTACTACTACTGCTACTACTACTACTACTACTACTCTGAACGACCACTGCATTGGGTCTATGTCCAGTACTAGTGTGTTGAGATCAGCAACACAGCTGAGTCCTTCTCTCGGGTGAAGCCGGCTGGCCTGATACGTGAAACAGAAGGCTTTCTGTTTATTGCTCAGAATATGTAGAAGGAGTCATGGAAAATGATAAACACAAAGGTCTCTGGAATAGGTCCGTTTGCAGCCTCAGACGTATCCAGGCCAACAAACCTGATCTTGTCCTTTTTGATAAATCCAATGAAATCATTGATATTATTGAATTTTCTGCCCCTATGACACTAATGTGATAGACAAGAGTCAGGAAACACATGGCAAATATGCGGATATTGCTATCGAAATGTCACGCTTGCATCCCAAGTACCAATTGTCCGACTCCCCATTGTTCTCGGAGACTTAGGTTTGGTACACCCCACTCTGTTGACTGACATTGGGGAGAGTACCCGGGTTTGCTGCCAGGAATACAATCCTGACAATCTTGGTAATGCAGTGTCGGGGAGCCTTCACATTCTCCGAAAAGTTCTTTATGGGTTCAACAAGGCATCCCTTCCTGGGAGAGGCCCCATTCGCTGTTTGGGCTGCGTGCAGAGGGGGCAAGGGCCCTGAGCTGATGGTGAGCCTAACCAGCCTGACTGTGCCAGGATCACCCAAACCCTCTTTTCTGCATATTTTAAAATTTAATCTGTAAATAATAATAATATTATGGAATTCAGTGCTGAACGCTGGCAGTAAAGTCAAAGCCATAAATATTTGTGCTCTACCCTCGTATTCTTTTGGCCTTGTTGATTGGACAAAAAAGAAGTTCAGGGTTTTGACACTCTCACACAAATTATCATGTCAGACAATAATTCCGAAACCTACGCTCTTCCCTCAGTCGCTTATATGTACCAGCTGTAATGGGAGGACGTGGTTTGATTAACGCGGAGGCTCTTCATGAAAGAATTGTATTGTGCATACAATTTGTTTGTCTGATGATCTTCTTGTGAAAGACTCATGATGACATCAAGACACTCCACATGTATTTTTAAATGATATTTGACATAATCTCAATGTCAATATTGATTTTGTTGATAGTTATGTACTTCTAGATCTGGACTGTACAGAAATATCCTATACCACCAGATCTGACTTGGTTGTGGTTCAGGAAAATTTGACAGCAAATCGCTACATGAAGCAAATTCTTCAACCTCACATTCTTCCAACCTCATCATTGATCGCCAGAGGGAGCTGTGTCAACAGCACACAGCTCGTGTAGCGGTAGACTACCCTCATAATGGCAAAATCAACGTCTTGCCCTGGACGTCGAGACCCCCAATCGAACCCAATCGAACACCTCTGGCATGAACTCGATCGACGTTTACGTTAAAGTCAGCACACGCCGCAGTCACTCCCACAACTGACCAACGCGTTACAAGCAGAATGGTGCAGAATTCCGCTGGACAGGATTCGTACACTTATCCAGTCAGTGCCGAGGAGATGCATAGCCGTTGTTGCTGCCCGGGGCGGACGCACGAGATACTGAGTTCAGCGCATCCTTCTGGACTATCGAGCTCCAAAATTGCATATTTGTATCTATGATATTATAATAAAAAAAATATCTTGACTTTATTAGGTACAATACATTTCCTAAAAATCTACCTGTGCGTTTCTTTTCTTGACTAGTGTAAATCAATTAGTAATATTATTTTACCTAAACCCATTTTCACTGCTTTCTTCATAACGCATAATTGTATTGTTTCCAGATAATTTGATGGTATCATTACGATGTCATGTTATGTTTGTACATATACATGCATGATGCCATCCACATTCAGCAAGTTATTACATCATCAGATTCATTATCAGTGTTACTTATGTGACGGTTCGTCAAGTAATGAATAATCAAACCCGTGAAGATCCGGGTTAGAATATGGTTGTCGTAAGAGGTGACTAACGGGATCGGGTGGTTTGGCTCGCTGACTTGGTTGACGCATGCCATCGTATCCCAATTGTGTGGATCGAGCCTCATTTGCTGGATTTTCAGGTCCAGACTCGATTATTTACAGACCGCCGTCATATGGCTGGAATATTGCTTAGTGCGGCATTAAACAACAAATAAACAAAACAATGAACCTTCGTTGTTCCTGAACCAGATGATCTAAGGTCTTAAAAGAAATAAACATTTACGTATACGTCTATACAGTAAACGTTTTCTTACAGGCGCGTGCAACGTTACGCTCTTTGCTCAAAGGGAACCGTTGAATTTCACATCTCCTAACTACCCACGCAACTACACAAGGTATGTAAATGGATATTCCTCTTCATGTTATTTCTAATCTCTCAAAGAGCATGTGTCCTCGTGTATATCCCAAAGATTCATGTATATTCATATATGCTTATTGTATATTATAATTGTTATCATTGATACGTCAAGCATTGCAGAATAAATTACGCACAGGTTGATGTTGGTCCTGCAATATGTTCAGGACAAGTTGCTTAAGTTTCTATCAAACATTTTTTTTTGCAGCAATGAAAACTGTTATTGGGACATCTACCCTCAAACAAGAGGGTACAGAGTTGTACTCGACATGGTGTTCTCCGATATTGAAGGCTCCCTCGGATCCACCTGTCGATATGACGCCCTTACCATATACACAGTAAATAATGGTAAAATAGTTACTGCAGTGGAACATTGAAAACTTCATTTAGCTTAAATTGATTCGGATTTTTTATTGTTACACAGAGCTGTATTCGAGAATATATAGCAATACGAATTGTTTGATTATATGTAAAGTGATTGAAGATGTTCTGAAAAGGCTTATCGCCTGCTGGTTATTGCATGTTATTGCAATATGTTTTCATCAATACTTTTTGTGCGTCATGTGCTAGTTACTCAGACAAAGTATAACATTATAACACGTTCGTGTTTCATGATCTCTGAGAGAAGCTTATTGATATTAGCTACGTTTTGATTTGCAGACATCCTACGTTTTGTTTATTTGCAATTCTCTTTAAGCTAAATCATTTTCCAAAATTGTTACTGATACAAAGATACATTAAATGTTGTGACAAGTAGTTACTATTTATAAACAGCCCCAAATACACGAACAACAAAATGATTACTGACAATTACATTTTTGTCCACCCTAGCTGATCAAAACCTAGCCGATTTACACAGAATTTGTGGACAAAGCAGATGGAACATTATTACCCTTGGAGACCAACATTTTCATGCAGTGTTCGAGACTGATGGCACTGTAACCAGAGGCGGTTTCCTAATTAGATATTATGAAACAGACGGTGAGCAAAACCATGCCCTTGTTTATGCGACTTCCTTTTATAATGTACAATACCTCAAAACCTTTAAATTGAAAACATGATTGGTTTTTGTTCATTCTACCATGACAAAATGACGATATAAACGTGAACTAATTGGTAATAGTGGACGTCATCGGTGATGTGAAATCGTAGAGTCTAATATTTTCGTTGCATGGATGGACAAAAAATCAGGAATCAGTGAAGATCGTTTATAATCCACAAATCTGTTTACTTTGATACATAATGTTTGAATCATTTGATGAAACAGACACAATACACTATGCCTCGTAGTTAACCTGTAAACATTATTCAAAACGAAGCAACCCTTGCAATGTTGAGGTTAATTTTTTTCTGAATTGCCAAACAACTGCAGGATTCTAAAGGACATTTTAAAATATCATAATCAGTAAACAATACAAACTTACTTTGACTGAATGCATAGTCAGATCTTCATGACTCACGTGAGTCATACGAATTATATCCTTATCACACTCAGGGGAATCAAACTGTGGCGTACCTCTCGTGGCAACTCCTGCAGGCAGGACCTTTACCTCGCCTGGGTACCCAAACACCTACTTTCTGTGAGTAGTTACCATACTATAATGACTAAACACGCAAATATATCTGTAAACATATATCAGATGTAAGATCCCATATTCATTATAATATTGTTTACTATACCACAAATACAAAAGTTTTTTTTATATAAATGTTTATGTCTGATAATCAATAACACGTTTCAGCTTCAAGGTCTATATGCATATATGTGCTGGGCGAAGTATATTGCTCACACGTACTTCACACTGATAACGTCAAGCAGTTGATTCAGGATTGAGAAGGACAATTCAAAGACCAGACAATAGAGTGACTGACCTCATGAATATAGACACACGCAATTGGGATCGATGATATGTAACAACCAAGTCAGCAAGCCTGACCACCCGATTCCGTTAGTCGCATTTTACGACAAGCATATTCGCCTTTTACGGCACGCATGGGTTGCTCAAGACCTTTTCTAACCCGGATCTTCACGGGTCTCCACCTAATGAACCAAGTCCCTGAAACTATCCCAAGGATCGATGCTCATGATATCAATCATGGTCATGCTGGCAGAAATCAAAAATCATGTTCTATCTCTACTACTTACCAGGTATTGGATTCTCAAGGCCAACTCATTGCACAATTTTAGCCTTAACCGCCCAACTATTGATAGGAAGCGTTATACAAAAATGTGTTGCCTGCAGGCGGCATCATGCTAGTGTTGGTGAGCAGAAAATGGCCAAGTTTCCCATTCATCGTGTCACTCCAGACGATCCTCCTTTCTCAAATGCTGGAGCAGATTAATTTGGCTCCTTTCAGGTGAGGCGAAGCCGTGTCACAGTCAAGAGGTGAAGTAGCCTCCTAAGTGGACACTACCTTCTGCATAAATGCATTCCGAATATGTAAAGCAAGGACAGTTCAAGTGCAACAAATCGGATCGGAACGGACTAATTTAGTTGCAGACAGACAGTGAGCTCCGAACTGAAATTCGAAATTGTACTCTTGCTGCTATCCAGACAAGTATAATTCAGAAGAATGTAGAGTGGGTTTGGGGGATCCCCCAGGAGGATCGCTTCATGGAGGCGTATATGGGAGTGACAGATACGAAGTGTCAGGAAAATACTATATTCTGTTCTGAAAGAGCAAGTTGTTGATGATGAAGGGTTATTGTGTGAAGTGGAGTCCATTTTAATTAGCAGCCAATTTCAAGGCTTCAGGCGATTCAAATGATCTAGATGTCACCTGATCACATGCTTCTTATAAAAGGAAAACCTAGCTTGCCACCGGGTGTTTTCTCTTGGGATGACGTGTATGCACGTGTTAGATGAGACAAATTCCGTACCTAGTATAGCTGCCCCGGAAACGGTGGACGAAGGAGTACCTACCGTGGTTACAGATACAATAGAAATGGATCAAGATAAGACACAATTTACAAGTAGGCGATTTTCCCTTGGTAGTTGATGAGCTGCATCCCAAAACTCGTGGCCCATTGGAGGAGTCATGCAAGTGTATCCTGATAGCAAAGGTGATGTGCGTCGTGTGCAGGTCAAAACAAACACCGGTGTACAGGAAATGACAACAACGAAGCTATGCTGATTGCTTGAGAGTGAATTAGGGGACAGCTTCAATATCTATACCACACATCTCAAAGGTCATCCATACTTTGAGAGTGTATTGAGTAGTATGGTAATAATAAGGGTTACTCATATTTGTATATGGACGTTGTAACTCATATCAGTGTGTTCAGCAAGACGAATGCTATCTTATCTTAGTAGAATACTAGTATTATCATTTGACGCTTGCAAAGTAATTGTTTGAGTAAATGATTCAGTGAGGTGCAACAATTAATTTTATCAGTCAGTCATTACTTATATCAGTACGTGAGTGAGTAAGTTCGGATTTACGCAGCTTTTAGCAATAACTTAGCAACATCAAAGTGAAGGACATCAAAAATTGCCTTCAGACATTGTACGGGTGTGGGGAATCGTTCGAAGCACTGTGCTTCACCACCTACCCTCTACACATCAGTTGCATGGATTATGTGTATAGCCCTTTGCTTATCAACAATTGGGTATGTTTGCAGTCGACAGTCTTGTACCTGGACTATTACAACAGAACAACAAAACCAAGCCATCCTAATGTACCCCACGGACTCCGTACTTGAGCGCGCCTCTCCACGTGGAAATTGTGACAGCGATTACGTCACTGTATATAACGGTCAGAATAGTAAGTAGAAACAATGTGCATGTATTTTAATTATGTCAAAAACTATGTGTAACGGTGATATGATGATGCCCCCCCTGACCTCAGTAACACTATATCTGTGTTTAAGTAATAACTCGGGATTAATAAAGCTGACATTTCGTGTATAACGTCAGTGTCTCTGCTAACTTTCTCCCAGCAGCAATCTAATTTGTAACAGAACAGCTTCTGTCGAATGGAAGAACAACCGCAGGACGTGGTGCGGTCAGGTTTGCGTAAAACATGCTTACCTTGTGGCCTACGTCAATTTTGAAAGATGGTATTCAAAGATCAGAGAGTCACCATGTCTGACATATAGATAATATAGTGTTCTGTTCAAGGTTCTGACATACTTGGCACTTTCTGTGGGAACGAAAGACCTGTCTTTTCCAGCGGGGGAAACTCACTGCGTGTTCGTCTACAAACTGATTCCTCCAACAACTACAAAGGATTCAAAATGTTTTACAGAGCTGTACCTGGTGTGTATGAATTGAGCAGTAAGATTTCTCCTAATTAAGAAAACTCCGTCTTCACCGCCAGTGTATATCAACATTACTAATGCATATGTATAACATGGTATTGTATAGGTGTAGATACAAATGTTCGTGACAAACAGAACATAATTCGACAACGATCAGTTAAATATCAGTTGCAATTGTAAGAGAGCTCATGTACCACCTTCCTCCATTGTCAGCAACAACCTGCCGCGGTACGATGCCCGCTGGACGGAATCCAATACAAATTGTGTCCCCAGGATATCCTAACAACTACCAAAGGTAAATAGCATGTATCTTTTACCAATATATTTGAACTCATATATCCATCACAGTTGTCGGCAATTTATAGGATGAATAGTTATATAGCATACACCAAAGTACTTCCTATATAAGTTGATTTCTTTATCCGATTTCTTTATCCGATTTCTTACCGCAAATGATGTAGGCCTAGATCTGTACACAATTTTATTTAGTATGTGTGACTTTATGTTAACCCTGACAGCCACACAACAACTAGCTGTATCGCGGAATAAAATAGTTACCCAAAAAGAGAGGTGACATGAGCGCATGTATGCACAAATTGCTCTTCAGAAACATCTTACACAACACATGTCTTCAAATAACATCACCATAAGATGAAAAAATTCTGTTAAGAACTACTTCTGTGAGTCAATCACAATGACAGCAAGTCGTAATATATTTAAGTACATGACGTCAAAATTGCCGACACGATAAACGTGACGCGAGTGATTTGGGAAGTTGTTTTTGAACCTGTGGCGGTTACATGTTTTAATCACCATTGATCAACAGGCCGATCATTGAAAGGTGATCAAAGATGTGTCAACAGACACTAAGGTAAATTCATAGATTGTTGTAGACTGTCACTGTCAGCCTAGACACGGATCGAGTCGACACTACGATAGTTTGGTTGTGAATTTCTTTGTTTTGTTCACTAGGATGGGTCGTAGCGAAGATATTCGACAACGATCATGCAGTCAAACCCTCTGACGTTTCTCAATACATTCTAAAAAGCCGAGTTCAAGATTAAAGGGTCTAAATGATGAGAAAAAAACGCTTCTGTATGTATTCGTGCTTGGGAATTCCCAGGGGTTTCCCCAGGAATGTGGAAGTAGTCCGTCAGTGTTTACGTCATTTCAAGAACACAGTCTCCTGAAACACGTATGAACGTCAAATTGTGTCGTTCATACACGTATGAACGTCAATTTCGCGGTCATATGACCTACCTCTCGTCCAATGGAAAACCCGTATATCGTGTAAACTTAAAAAAATATATGTTATTTTGCATCATTAACAATTACAGTGACAAATACTGTTTTTCGATTAAAGATCAGAATTTGCAAAGCATGTTTACCATCAACTCGGTATCAACATATATTTTCTAACGTTTTCAGTCAAGGTGCAAACGTGAATTTTGATTGAAGCAAATGCAAGTGATATGAGAGGTGGAATCTGATTGGTCAATAGGAGGGGCATAGACGGGACACAGACGGGACATAACTCGAAATACGACCGAGCCAAGAAATGTCAGAGTAGTTTGGCAAAGGTTGAAAGTGGACTTTTAAAGTCAGTTTACACCGTTGCCTTGGCAAGATGATATGGATAGTCGTGTGTTCTCTGTTTCAAAATACATTTCTTTATATTGCAGTGGATTAGACTGTCAATGGACTATAAATGCGCCGCCTGGAAGCAACATCACGGTTGAAGTTCTGTTCGTTGATATGGAGATAGTGCCATCGTGCACAAACGATTATCTACTTTTTAAAGATGGTTTGTAAACACACATCTGTGTGCGTGTGTCTGCGTGCGTGTTTATGTGTGCTGTAACACCGCCCTTAGCAATAGTCCAGCTTTGTGAAGGTGGCCTGTAAATTATTTAATCTAGTTTGTTTCTTCAGCAACCCATGCTTGCTGTAGAAGGCGACGACGCTTGTGGTCAGGCGACTAGCGGGAACGGGTGGTCAGGCTCGGTGATTTGGTTTGTGCATGTCATCGTATCCCAATTGTGTTGGAATATCTCCGATAAATGACGGAGACATATTAATAATCGATTTCGGATCAGACAATCTGGGGACCGATATTGTGAGTACCGGTCCACGTCGTCGGGGTACGATAACATGCAGTCAACCAAGTCACCGAGTCTGGCAACCCAATCCATCTGATCGCCTCCGATAACTAGCATATATTGCTGGTGGCCAATTTTAACGAGGAATCCCTACGGGATTAGACAAGCATTTCCGATAAACGACATAATAATATGAGAGCATCACCACTGAAAAGCGTTTTGAATCAAAATCAATATCTTAGTATCAATTTCTATATACAAATTAAGTGCTTCCCAGTAATTAGGAAAGGTTAATATTTTACATTAGTCCAATATGATCGATAACGAGAACGAAGGTTCAGTGTATGAGAGTCCTGTATTTCTAGTTGTAGTCATAATAATGCTGAAGGTACATTCGTTAATGAATCAGTGATTTACATTCAATGCATTTACATTTAAGGCACTACAAACTTTGCTCGCCAACTGGCAAAGATCTGTGAACGAACGTCTACTGCCATCGTCAGCTCCAGTAACTACATGACCATCATATTTCATTCAGACAGTAGTACCACAGGAAGAGGCTTTCGCTTGCAGTACTCATCTGGTAATATTTCGTGCAACTGTTTTTGATGTTTCACACAAGTGAACATGTTGGTTTTTCATAGTAATCACATTCCCGTTCTTGTCTTCCTTTGAAATATATGAAAATATATTTTCCGTGATGACAATTAGCCTAGGGTCTACAATGGATGTTTCTTTTTGTGTTCATATAGAGGGAGCAAATGTGCCTTATTGTGGAAATACAATGCTAAGCGCATCCACGTCCACCTGGAGATATGTGTCGTCTCCTGGCTACCCCAACTACAACTACAACAAGTTAGTACATATACATGTATACATCTTTGGTTAATGCGCCTTAATGCTTAATGGTAGGTTAATATAATATTGAAACCTTCCTGCCACAAAGAGTTCGATAATTAAAACTACCCCACCCCCTAACCACACGGGTGAAAGTACATGACCAAAAAAACATATTGCCGTTGCAGTTCTGCATCGTCCCTGGATCCTACGATCGTGGTTCGAAATCCTAGATTCTCCCTGACCATTATCCTTGACTTGTCTGCATCATGATCGTGCCCGTAGGTGTTGCCTTGTGGTGAAAGACTTCGATGCACATCATTCTGAGACTTCGTCTCACATTTAAGGAAGCCATCAGTCTATACCCTTAGGCTGGAAGACATGACCGTAATAAATGACAACTGAATTGTATACATCAACAGTATAATATATGTATTGTTGATTTATCACCTCCCTGGAGAACGCTAAAATAGGACAAAACATTATTGAGATAAAGCAACCCTTTGAAAAAACGTGACTCTGTCCACCTACATGTACAGGTTAGAAAACATATTCCCCAACATATTTAATGCTGGAACAAATAGCATACTTGACTTCTGTATTTTGGATGAGCGTATCGACATTAGACATTAGGATTAGACATTGATAAACTGAGTTTAACCCAGATACTGTACTTCAGCAGGTCAAGTTACCATTATCGCAAAAAAAATCTAGATAACAAACGTGTTGATAATTATGGACATAATTTGATTGACATACGTTAACTTTTTAATGTATGCATTTGTAAAGACCACCTTGGAAATGACCAACATATTGGTAAATGCACATGGCATTGTGGGAGACAATGTTCTGACTACTTCTACCTGCCTACCAATGTTTAAATCATATGAAGTTTAAGGTTTCTCTAGTTTGATCACAGATGCCCATTGCCCTGTCACAACCATACTATTTAGTGTAGAAGATCCCACAGACAATACCTAATATGTTGGATACTATTGTCATGAACACAAACCTAAAACGTTCTCTAGCTCACAAATCTCAATATCTCATATTTTTTATGATAAAAATATTCGAAGCCATTAGTTCAGTTAACACCGGTAGCTTATGACATTGCACATTTGTTAGCGGAGTCTGCACGTGCAAAAAAACAAGCCATGGCTTGGGCCAGAATATATACAAGGCGTAAGTCGTATGAAGAGGTAAATAATCAATGTAAAAGGGTACCAACGATAGTTAATAAGCAACATAATGAACACGAAGAACATATATGCAAAAGAAATATGAATAAACATATATCGAAACAAAAAATGAATAAAAAACATCGTTATGAGATACACATATAGACTCGATCTCGAAAGGAATATTTGAAATTCTTAACCCCCAAAGTTAGTGAGTGAGTGAGTTGGGTTTAACGCCGCTTTTAACAGTATTCCAGTTATATCACGGCGTGTCAGCTTAATGTGGGAGGAAAGCCCGAAGTGATGCATGTCTCAGACGTTTACCACTTCGGTGAAATCAACGAGCACGGGTATGATGCTGACAAACCTAGAAACATAATCGGGGCGAACCGGGATTCGAACCCACAATCATAGGTTTCTGGCGTGCCCAAGATACGCAACTCTGCACAGCGAATCGCGGCGCCTTAGACGACTGGGCCACCCGTGCCCCCCTTAACTCCCAAACTCACGACAGAGGAAATAATGAAATTGATCTTGAAGGGTTGTCTTCATAAATATTTAAACAGTCAATCAACCTATCTACATTATTGACAATGAAAATGATCTTCGTGCTTCGTGCTTCGGGCAAACGTTTTACATTTACATGTGCTCAAATATAAAATCACGTGTTACGATTAATGGTTAGATATCAGATCCTTCAACCAGAGTTATGCTGGCGTACGATAATGGGAACATGTATCCCCATTACGTTTCTCAATTTATGTAAATGATCCTTAGACATTTCTAAATAAACAGCAGCGTAATGGCTGCAGTGTACAAGTTGACGATGATAATACTATTCTATATGTTAATTATTTCTTCTGCTTAATGCTGATGATATGCATGCTGTTCTTTTCGGCGAGTCCTGTTTCCTTATAGAAGTCCACTGAGGCAATGCATAATTACTGCATTAAATAGAAATTATCAGTCAACAGTAGAAAGAGTAAAACTGATATGTTTAGGTCTGGGTCTTCTGGGTATGTGGGTATGTAGTGAGAATGACTTGAAGTTCTTAGTGATTACAATTACCTGGGATTAACCTCATAGGAACCAGCGTCTATTAAGTGCAATCAACGTTTTTTTTTAGAAAATGGTTCAAAAGCGATGTTTTCTTCACTTATAAGAGCAAGAAATATAAATCTTCCACTCGACTGTTTGTTTTCAGCCTTTGATGTTTTGGAAACACCAATTCTCCTAAAAAGTCTCCAAATATGGGGATATGAAAATTTCGAAATCATTGAGAAATTATGGCTTATTTTTAAACAAAATGGCAACAAGACTTAGGAGTACTGGAAATAATAATAAATGGTTGAATTGGAATGTTTATCTGTAACGCGGTGGATTATCCATATTTGATAACGACTTAGTGTGCTTAAGAACTTGTTATATGGTCATAACTCCATAATTCTTATAGTCATGGATTGTATAGTCAGTAAACTCCCTTTCCTCGATCTGGAAAAGGATAAATGGTATGATATTGTTGGCTGTTGTACTACATCAATATAAATTATAGACAAGCAGATGTGAATCCTGATGAATTGTCTAGTGGTCCATGGGTAAACATGTACGTTAGTTCGATTCATAGTTTCTCTCCAAGTAATTACCTCCAGCTGCTGTTACTGCCTTGGGGCGGAAGGGCAGTGAGTAACTTTGGTTTGCCGTCGCCTTCAGCAATATTCCAGCAAAACCATGGTACACCAGAAATGGACTTCACATATTGTACCCATGTGGAGACTCGAACACGGGCCTCCGGCAGGACGTGCGAAAGACAGTAATTCCAACCTGATCATGATGTTGCTACATGCTTGGGGGCAGGGTAGTTTCATAGTGAAAACGCTCACTCGCAATGCTCAATCGATTCCTCACATGAGTGCTATGTGTGAAGCCCTGATATTTCTGGAATCTTTCAGGGTCGTTAAACCTGCTTACTCAATCATTGTTACAGATTATACAATTGTAAAGTCGTACATGACAGTCGTGTATTTTATGTCAGGCAAATGTGATAATAATGTCCCTTAACATCAATGGATGTGGCTTCAAATAACGAATGGTTGCAGAGTAAAACTTTTCCTTCAGTCTTTCACCATCTTCAAACCGGGTACCAGGAAGGTTTGCTTTCAAATTCAGGAACATGATGTAATGACTAGGGGCCCGGTCTGGACTGTATGATAAATTGTATGCGTTGGCAATCCTCAGTTAAGGCATTGTGATATAGCAGCTGTCTTCCAATTGTCACCATTCCTTGCCTATTCTCTTTGATTGCTTGCCTCAATTCTGTCATCAGGCACCCGCGATTATTGTTTTAGGAAGCACATTGTGTAGCCAAGAAAATAGATGCCTGTTGATGGTTGAGTGCAGAGGGACGCATGGTGTTTCCACTGCATAGACACGTGTGTTGGCTCAGCATTTAGGATGTGAATCCATGATCATTACCTGTTTTCTGGATAACGAAAATTATCTGGGTCCTCAAAAACAACAGTGACCTGACCGAATCCGATAACTGCACACTGAGATTTCAAGGTGCCATCCACAGCAGAGACACAGCTATGACACATTATACATTGTTTGAACATTTCATCTTGGGACAGAGATCCTGCATAATTTGAACCTCTAACCATAGCAATCTAACCCAAACTTAGTCAGTGATGATTTCGAATAATCCGGACTTGTTCTCGTCTTCCATCGTTTATGCGTGAAGGCAGTTATTGAATAATACGCTGGGCAAGGGATGTTAAGTTATATTTTCCCTGGTGAGAAACGTTAGGTTGGTTTCATGTTTTGCTCTAGTCATATTCATGGTTTCAAACTATCAGGAGGAGCAATTTGAAGACGGATGAGTGACGGGACGGGCTGTCACACGTTTTCGTGTCTTGTTCTATGAATACATGACACTCTTTGTGGATAGCAACTTCTTTTATTTCATCCACAAAAATACGTATTACTATCCCTAAAAAGTGTCAAGTAGTTATGTTCTCCCAACATGTATATGCCTATCAAAAACTTCTCTCGACTTATTGACTTCCAATATTATATGTTCATGATTCTGATCTGACCTGATCTGATCTGATCTGATTACGTTTAAAGAGTACACTACATATTTCTTTGTAGCAACATGGACTGCAAGTGGACAATTTCTGCACCTTTTGGATATATAGTAAAAGTTGAAATTAAAGTTCTTTCTGTGGAATATGAAGCCACCTGTGCACGTGACTATCTTCTCTTCAATGACGGTAAGCACAATGTTCAATTTTATGAAAGTGCTTTAATATAATCATGTTGCTCTTCCCGTTGAATTGGTTTGCAAATAATGTGCTCAATAATAAGTATTATTAGCTTCAAGTTGACTTCAATACTAGTATGTTAACGTGTATGTCTTTATATCGACGACATGACTTAATCTATATATTTATTCAAGGCTCCTCGTCTTACGGCACTCAGTTGGGAAGATACTGTAGTGGCACAAGGGACGTCGTCAGCTCTGACAACGCCATGACCATCACTTTCCACACGGACGGTTCTGTCACAGATAGAGGATTTTCTTTGAAATACATGGCGCGGAGGTCAGGTAATTACCTATATATTGTCAGGGGATAAAACAAGGACTTGTCGGCTCGGAGTCCGAATACTGTCTGCGTGGGGTTTGATGTTAAACTGCGGCATGGTACTTCAGTGGACTAGCAGTAAAAAGTCGGTATTAGTCCGGACTGGTCCAGGCAGACATACACACACGTGCATACACATCGCTATTAGTGCAGCATTTTGAACGCACCGTTAAACTCCATTTCAATACCACCTCACCTGTCGTATGGTAAACATTAAAACTGCTACATCATTTATTATATATGCACCAGGGGAGGTGGCATGGTGCAATAAGGCACTTCGTTGCCCTGTTGAAATGCGAGATAAAGTTAATGATATGAATGTTTTTCAACATGGAATTATTGAAAAGAACAACCTCTAAAATATAATTATCTTTCTTGTCAACATATTTCACCAAGTCAATAACGTAAATAAAGGTATTTCATATGTGTTAGACGTAAGCAGTAATACTTGATATTTAACTGTTATATATGGAAGGTCATTACCGCACCCCTTCTTTTGTGTGCCTCTCAATGTGAACAGTTTCTCATCATCACACAATCAAGTCTCTACTAATGAATCCATCCAATGCTGTGTAACTATTCAATGTTTCAGGTTGTGGCACAAAGGAAGAGATAAACGGATATGAAACGCAATATATTGAATCACCGAATTATCCTCTGGACTATCCCGAGTGAGTATGCACTACACGTCTTACGATTATCACGACCACACAGAGGTATGTCAAACTGTATTCATTCCCACAGCGATAGGCCAACTTTGAATTTATCTAAGCACCGTGTTTATCATTTACTACAATTTTGAAAATGACATACGAATCTGTAGTCTATATGGAAATGAATCCAAACGTCACTAACTAATATAATTCACATATTGTACGTGTAGAGCAACACAAGGTAACGCTTATTGAAGTCTTTTGTATAGTTTGCACAGTTCACCATTTCACCAAACATATTTCTCATACAAACTAACGACTACCGAATATTTCCGTTCTTTGGTTCAAGTCAGGCATGTTTCATTGCAACTGATGGATATACAACAAAGGTAGACCAATGTCTGCACCTTACCCGTGAATCACACCTGGGTAATCACTTATTTTCAGTAATCCATTCATATAATTTTCAGGTCTGGGATAGAATAGGTCTTCGGCAACCCATGCTTGCCGTGAAAGGCGACTGTGCTTGTCGTAAGAGGCGACCAACGTTCAACGGAATCGGGTGGTCAGGCTCGCTGACTTGATTTGTGGCATGTCATCGTATCCCAATTGCGTGGATCGAGGCTCATGATGTTAATCACTGGATTGTCTGGTCCAGACTCGATTATTTACAGACCGACGCCATATAGTTGTAATATTGCTGCGTGCGGCGTTAAACAACAGGCAAACAAACATGCCTGCACCACAAGAAATGAATATGAAATAAACCACGTCTGTCCTTCCTTTTTCTTTCAATTTATGTCGTGTTATATTCTTGCAATTGATAGCTGAGATTGTAAGTTTGGTAATATGAATATGCAGAAAGGTCATCAATATTAACAGCGTTTTCCATTAGTTTCACGAAATAGGGTTAATAATAACTGTCGGAAATGAAAATAAACTGATTTTTGTCCTTTTTAAATATAGATTTTACAAAGTATGTGATTTGATCATTAAACAAAAGTTGCAGTACCAATGGTTTTAACTGCATCGAAATAGGCAACGGGAAAACGGGGGAATTTGAAGCAGGATTGTGTTTTCCAATAGGATTACCGGCAAACATTATAACAAAAAGCAAATGAGATGAGTTCACCTAGATATGTGAAATATGTTTCATAATTAACCAACATGAAATAACACAATGACGATTGTCTTGTTCCACTGTGTTTACCGCATGAATTATCCATATGTCCGAACATTCACAAAACACTTGATATAACTCGTTTCATGAGTAGAGATGGACACTCATGATTATACGACGCTGATTCTGTTATTGCTGATGTATATAGATATTTAGTGTTCGAGGGTGACTTTGGAAGGGCTCAAGTTATCGACGACATGCATGGTATTAACCCTACCATGAAAGCAGGATAACACCAGTAAAACAATGACACACTATAGCTAGTCGTAAATAAAACAAACCAATTTAGGTCCTTGTGAACAGCAAAACTTTGGAGAAACAATTAAACTTGACCCGACTTTTCATGCATTTCAATTTCATTTTGAACATATGTGTATTGACTTATAACATACTGTTATACATGAAGACATCTCACGTCAACCCCATGATAATCATTTTGGCCATTCATAATATTGTATTCAGCAGTGTAATACCAGGTATAGCATTAACCATATCCTTCTTTGGTAGACGCAAAAGATTGTAAGTCGTTCTTGAACCTATGTTTACGACAATTTAACATATGCAAAACAAAACGTAAAATGAAATCAATTTATTGTTTTTGGAATCGAGATTTTAATGAGATTGTGGAAGTACTTACCAAAGTGAATAAAAACACCTGGAACAAGAGTATAGTATTAGAACATTGACTGTAGTAACGTTTAGAAAGTCAACAGAAACACCAGAACCTTCTTTGTAGATTGTATTGCAGGTTAGTAATCATGTGGCGAATTTGCAAAACTGTTGCGTTGCGACCTGAAAAACACTCAGATCATGCTGAAATTCGGTTTGTTGTGGTACATTTAACAATAATAATAATGTATTGTTTAATTTCAGCAATGCGGACTGTTCATGGACAATCAGCACTGATGTTGAAGGATATGTAATCCATGTGAAAGTGGAGTTTTTCTACCTTGAGCATGACAGCACGTGTTCCTATGATTATGTGCAGCTCTATGACGGTAATGACTTACTCAAAGACAGAGTTTTCCCAGAATTCAGCAAGAGAGACAGTGTGTTATTCACACGAATGTATCAGGGTCCTCAGTGTAACTGTATTTGTAAGACAGGTGTCCTTTTATCATTGTAATAAAACCCTTTTAATCCAAGTTATACCTGGTCGTTTGAGCTGCATCCTTTTCACTGAAGTATGAAACTTTAAAACCTGAGTCACTTCGGGTTTTACCCCCACTCTACACTAAACAATGAATAAAAATAGTCATGTGTAATCATGTGTAATCATGTGTCATGTGTAGTTACAACAGTCATAAGTAAATATCATTCCTAAAGTATATGTTCAAAGTATTGCCTGACTAGCGTATGTGTGTAACGTTAACTGATGTGATTTGTTGTAAGTATAACAATATTCTCACAATATCACACACATGTTCTATTCTTGTCACAGTCAGGGGAACATATGAACACTCGCTTGGTCGATGGTGTGGAGCGGATGGACCAGATACACAGAGTACAGGGAGGAGTATGAAGGTCCGATTCCTCTCCGATGGTTCGAACACCTTCACAGGATTCAAGTTGGCCTTCACTGCCGGCGAGCCAACATCATCCTGTAAGTTTTTAGGTTGTACGCATTCATTTCAAAATAATCTGTTGAGACAGGACAAATGAGATGCATTAATCGGCACCCCTACTATAACGTTCATGTCACGTCTCAGTCATTGTACATTTGTATTGCATCCGTTTTGGTTAAAACCTGCAGCGTCATTTGCACTATACAGTATACTTAGTACCTTGTGCAGAACATTTGGGGTTAAACATTATACATAAATGTACCGTTGAGTAGATGGTTAAGGAATATGTTGACGGTTGGGGTTGACCATGGAGACGGAGGGGCGGGGCACGGTGGCCAGAGTGACTAAACGAGCTGTCACATATTCACCCTGGTTATGTTTACTAGACCAGTGTCCATTCGTTTCACATTGCATCCAGATTCCACACCTGTTCATGACTGACATAGTTACGAAGCGGCCTTTATCTAAACAGTTATACACTGTTTCATCGTTTGTGAATATTGTGTCACGGGTTGTAGCGAGTTTTATAGTCGATTCTTTGAAACTGTCCTTTGACCAATGTCAAAACACTGAGAAGTTGAACTATTGGCAGATGACATTATATCACACAGGTATTGATAGCTCGGCGAAACCGCATTATCGGTGGTTGGAGAAGGGAGCTAACTCCGTTTGCCTATTCGAAAATTCGAGTTGGGCCCACATTCGAAACTAAACGCTCTTGTTGTTGATTACGAACTGCTATTTAAAATAAGTATTATGACTTATAATTGGATTAGAATGTACAAATGCGATGATAATAAAGCAGAACTCACTTCTACGAACGTCGCCAAACTAGGTCGTGGGGTCATTAATATTCATGAGTTATTCCTTTTATTGAACAAGTTCTCGGCAAAGTTTGAGGCCTGTATCATGTCCGAGATCAATTCAAGTGTAGACATTTTCCAGGCTTATATCGCAACCAAAACTTATGATTAGATTGAAATGTTATACTGGAAAAAGTAGAATGAGTGGTATTGCCTCTGTAAATTTAATTTGAAGTAGATCTAAGTTTCTTGCTTTGTAACTATTTTTTTATAAATTAGTGTGGTCAGCTATGATGACGTTATTCAAACTTCAAAGACTTTGTGTGCATTTATAAAGATATTTCCCATCAACATTACAAAATGAGAATAATATATAATGTCACATACCCATGCAAAGTAATGACAAATGTGGGCCCACTAGCCGAAATGACTTAGTCAACCCAATGAAGCCCAGCGATGTACAAATGTGGGCCCACCTGTTTCGATCACTATAAGACGGGAACAATGTGGGCCCACATTTTAGAAAATGGTTATAAGTAAGCCAGGCTAATGAAGCTTAGCGATTTATAAATGTGGTCCATCATGTTGCAATCACTATGACGGAAGAACGCCTACCTACTAGGCGATATACAAATGTGGGCCCACTTGTTTCGATCATCATATATGACGGAAACAAAGTGTTTAGTCCCCACATGATTATCAATATTTAAGTAGAATTTCGCGATTAACAAATGTGGTCCCTCCTGTTGCAATCAATATGACGGAAGAACGTCTGCCCACATTTAGGAATTGATTATCAGAACTAATTAAACAACCTAACGAAGCTAGGCGATATACAAATGTGGGCCAACTTGTTTCGACCACCATAGATGACGGGAAAAATGTGGGCCCACATTTTAGAAAATGGTTATCAGCACTAAATCTAAGACGATGTACGGATGGAAACATAAATATACAATGCATTCAAACAAATAATTAAGAATACGTTTTACCTTAGGGATAAGCTGGGCATTTAATAGCTGGACCAACAACGTACAGCATGACTGACGCCATTTCTCGCAAATACGAAAACAACGGAGATAGCTCCCGTTTGAAATTAGAGTGACAACCCTTTCCCAATATCAACCACTGATAATGCGGTTTCGCCTAAGTCTCGATAAGTGTAATACAATGACAAAAAATGTGTATGTTATTACCTTCTGTGCGAACGTTTCCCAAGCGGTACAAGAAAACATGAGAACGTCTTGATCGCCACTTAACTTTAACTTCTCAAGCAATCTACATAACTAGGAAACATCAGATAGGTAGGTTTGACATCATGTCGGAAGGTATATATGCGTGTCATGCCGTACCAGAATGCAATAGGTTTATGAAACCACAAAACTTTTGCAATAATTTGATTATTCTGAAACTTTCAGGAATCTATTTCAAAACCATATTCACCGCGCATTCTGACTTATTAGGTCATGTTACATGCATGTGTGTGACAGTAGTACTAATTAATAATTTAAAAACAATCTTGAACGTAAATATTATTTTTCTTCAGGTTCTGTGTTCAGGAGCTTCGGAGTAATAACATTCAATGTATGTTACTCGTCTCTATTTAACATTCTGTTTCGTGTTGATTTTGTACAGCAGCGTCTTATACACCGAGCTTTGAAGGGGTCATTGGAGGGGTATTTGGCGGCATTGTTGGCGTGGCTATAGTAACGTGTGTCTGCTGTGGAATGTGCTCCAGACAAAAATCCACGACCAATAACCAGTCGCAAAGGAACAGATCTCGTGAAGCCAACTGGAACAGCGTCTTTTCCATTCCCCTCCCAAACTACCCATCAACTACGTCTACTACCCAGCCGGCCATGTTTACTCCACCCCCAGCTTACAGTGAAGTCGTGAAGGATGACCCCCCACCCTACTGTCTGGCAGTTCCACTATCAGACACACACCCCGTTGTGACGTCATCCCTTAGCGGCGAATATCAAGGGATTGATAACCCAGCAGGGCCGAACTGAGTGACAGTTTCACATGATGTACATGCTATGCATTGCTGAACACATTCATGGATTTTCCTTCACACAAATTAATATATCTTTAATGCAATCCCAAAACTACATCGACAGAGAATAATAAAAAATCGTTAAAAATTGTTCCAAAGAGGTATAATTTATATTATCTAAGAACATCTATCACCATAAGAAACTGCAGTTACCTGTATTCTTCCGTTATCTCGTTCCCGATCAATTTGGATCACGTGTGATGTTGATTGTTGAACTGTGCATAACCAAGGAACAGATTTCACGTTTTCCAGGTGAAAGAACATTCATCAACTGATCAGTATTCAATAAATATTGTCCAAATCATGCCACAATCATGTCACAATTAGGAATGGATGATAATACAATGACCACGATCAGAAACTTTTGAAATTCCTCTTTGTTGTCGCGGCATATACTTGTAACTGTTTTTGTTATTTGTTATAAAAATATTTTGTATATCAAATGATGAATGGTGTTGGAGTTATGTTTATGTTTATTGGAACATGGAAGCTTGTTACAAATCATATACATATTTTACATATGCGCATGTAGTGCACGTGCATATTCGCGTGCCTGTCACGGGTGTCTTGATATTGTATTGAGCGTGTGAGTACAACATAACACTGAATACAGATGTTGTTTACTTTGATGGAATCCACGAGCCTGGGTAATCAAGATTTTAAATTCATGGCATTTTTTGCTAAAGTTTTCGTTGGATCCCCCATTGTAATTTTTTGCATGAAAGAAATTGTAACACAGAAGTGGCTTTGCTGTTCCTACCGTTGACATCCGACCACATATTGAACAACACAGCTTGCAACAACAAAGTCAGGTTCCTGGCATCGCTCATGGGCAACGGAATGTCCATCTGCATGTCTTTATTATAGAGATGGAAGATTATCAATGTGAATTAGTCCTCAGAGAAAATAAATATTCATTTAACCGAGAGCAAGACAACAGCAGGCATGTTGTGTTCTTTGCATATTGCAGGTGAGGTGAGATGAAAAGGGGTTTAACGTCGCGTCCAGGATTATTCCACTTGTATGCAAGCACTTGTATGTGTATGTGGCTGCTTATACTGGTCAAGACTATTGCCGTTTTAATAGTGCTGGCCAAATGAGATACCATGTCGTAGTTCAGGATTATTACTCGTGTGTACGCATGCACGTGTGTATGTGTATGTGGCTGCTTGTGCTAGTCCGAACTAATGCTGTTTTAATAGTGGTAGCCTACTGAGATACCATGTCAAAGTTTCAGATGAATATCCCACTCAGTCTGTTGGTCTGACGCGGCCTACGATTGAAAGCCCCACCTTCGGCTCTCCGGGCGGACGATCTACCTGTAGACCACTCAAATTACAGAAGAAAACTTGGTTCTTTTACGACAGAGCCCGAAACGTTTTGAAACTGATGGGTGGTATACATCCGAATTTTATCTTGAACGTTCTAGATTTAAACGAGAGTGAGTGGCGTGAGGGTGAACGCAGATCACTGCAATATATATTTTCGTTCCTCGTGTTCCATGATTGAAATGGTGCTCACCAACCCAATAGCATTACCAAGGTGCAACCTGCAGTCGAACCCACAATGAGCTGATACGGGCAGCCAAGGGACGGAACGGAGAACTGATATAATCGGCGCCACGGTCCATCTGACCATACATGCCCTGACAAAACCATATTGATATATTCGACCACCTTCCGAGACGTCTATCATCTCTGACATAACTAACTCAACGTAACACCAAACAGTGGTAATACGAGTAACATTCTATATTATCCCATGAATTTGGAAAAAACTCGATTTTGATCGGTCAATCAGAGGTTTCAAATCACAATAAACAGTGAAACAGCAGATTTGACAGCCGCTTCACCGGGGAACCTTATATTGCTATCATAATACTTCGCGTACAGTCATTGTCAGAAGGCATATTTAAATAATTAAACGTGCAATTTTAGGCTACGAAATGCAAAGTTGCTGTTACCACAATATTCAAATGATAACGGAAAATGGTGTTGAAGGAAACCATGGCACGTTTTGCTTAGTTTTCTTTTGGGGTGCCCATCTCATGGTAGCTTCGAAAAGCTTTCCATGCCTGTCATTAGTTAGAGTGAAGTAAATTACTCTTTAAGCAAACTTCTTGAGCTTAAAGAGTTCCATGTTTTGTTTAAAGGCTGTTGTCAGTTATTCGGTAAATTCTTATCGACAACCCACTCAAACCGAAAGGCCCAACCCATGCCGATTTGATCAAGATATTTTTCTAACACTGAAGAGTTTTATTTAGTCATGGTAGAAGAGAGATAAACAGACAATGTAGAGCTAGGCTACCTGCAGATTTAACCTCGCTAAATTTAATATTTGGAATCTCACGCAACGCATGCGGTTCCAAATTCAATTTGGTGAGGTTAAATCTACAAGAAACCTGTCTCCGGTTTTGAAGACACAGTGTTAATCTCCTGATTTATGCAGCCGCTATACACACATTGCTTCAATTAAGACAGCATTGACATGGGATTGGGACTTTTTGTATAATCAACATATTTTGTCTCTGGATAATTCAGCTTCTAAATGCCAATTTTTTTTATCACAGCATATACGTTTTCCTCTATTTGGCCTCATGACGTTTGCCTGGTCTGCAGGACATGTCACAGCTGTGACATGAAAGGAGAAACTGTGTACGGCTAACAGTTTCATTTGATAATAATCATCAATTCGTTACATGTAGGATGTTTGCAAAGATATATTGGAATACTATTATTGTCATGGTAGGCTGTGTCTGTATTTCGCGGCAGAATCAGTTCCAGAACCTCATGTTTGTTGTACCAGTGACCACTGAGATCAAGACGGTTACAGTGGCTCAACGTGTCCCGACCTCACCCTTGCTGTCATCCGTCGATAGTGATATAGCTGGGATATAGCTGACATAGTTGTAAAACAACAGTCACTCACTCACTCACTCATAATAGTGATAAGTAAAATGGTTGCATGAAATAAGCAAAATATACATACACGAATAATATATTGCATAAATAATAAGGAACACTTCGATTTATATGCGTCAACTTATGATTACACTCAGAACGACTGTTTAAGTCCGAAGTCCCATAGAAACAAAAGGCAGTGAGGTTCATTCAAGTGCGTTGCCTCACTGAATTGAGTATGGATGTTGAATTTAGTGTAAAGTGGTTTGTTGAAACATGTGTACCCCGTATTTGTGGCATGGGTTCGTTGCTTCAAAATCTGAACATAGACCTTTTTGACACCTTTGATTATCCAGTGAGTTTCTTTTCAACAGGTTAAGATAGTGAGCATTCGGTGATCCCACGTCATCTTGCTTGGATGACACGCAGTCAGCTATGTCAAACAATGTTGATCGTTGGTTGTTCTTGATATTAGTCACTGGATTCTCTGGTCACTCCGTCATGTAGCTGGACATTGGCATGAGTGCACCAAATACGAAAACAAAGATCAAGAACATGGCAACATGTAAGAATCATGCTTGAGAATCAATGGTGAAGGACGTTACCATGGACACCAAGCAGAAGCCAACACAATGATAACATCGTGCATTTTCACGGTGCAGCAATCAAACTGAAACAGACTATAATCAAGTACGAACCTACAAACTGTTTATATTTATATATGTATGTGTGTGCGTGCGTGTGTGCGTGCGTGCGTGCGTGCGTGCATGCGTGCGTGCGTGCGTAGGTATATATTCGCGATACATGTATAATAAACAATTTGTAGATAAGTCATTGACTATAGTCTTTTCAACTTATAGATACATGTATGGCTGGCGGGGGCTGCCTCCCTTAGACCGTTTGATCTTATTATCAAACTTTGCTGCTACTTTATACACAAAGTATTTCATTAAAGATTAGATTTACATGTGGTCGTGAATTGTGATGTACACTGGGTACACTTGATTCCATGACGAAATATGTACAATTTTAGATAAACAATCTACTGTGAACACACAGAGACTTAGATATGAAGTAATATTGTTTACACATAATATTTCGCAGTTGTCACATGTAAACACATATACCATTTTCTTCTAAACAGTCCTTATTGGCACATGTAAGACTGGAGTGTCACCTGGGTTGCCAGAAACGACTACGCTTGGCCACGCATTCAGTCTGTGCAAGTTGACCATTTGCTGCCCTTTTTCGCTGGACTTGGATGTTCAGTTTCATGGTCATTAGCTGATAAGCTGAGCCTCGGAAACATACACGGTTTCTTCAGATTCTTGTGTTGTGGCGTTTTCACATGTCTGTTGCAATGGTGTGGCCATTTCAGTTGTCTGGTTTGTGGGAGAATATTCTGCAGTAAGATCGTTTCAGACACCATTCCCTCGAGTGTTATTTTTGGTAGAGATTGGAACAAAGTCCAACTTTGGCTTCAGTACCAAACAAGGCGTTGCATGGTGATTGTTTGATACCAAAATAGTGGCTGTAGCTGTTTTCTAATTGTACAAAACGTAGTCCCAGAGGACAGTCTGTTGAATCTCTGTCTTCTATTTTAATTTTAGAAGTGTGAACTGTGCATGAATCAGCACCAATGTTGATAGACATGCAGTCCAAGTTAAGGGTGTGCAGTTTAACTATGAGCATGACGTCACGGGTTCCCATGATTATTTTCAACTTCAAGATGGTAAAGTACTATCAGGGATGTCCTGGAATATTGTAACAGTCACAGTGTGTTATGTGAACGATTTCATAATGTTCAAACAAGTTGTTAGTACATTGACGAAAGTGACCTTATTTGACAGAAACTGTCGTTCCATTACTGCAATGACACTCCGTAAATCGTTCCAAGACGCCGGAATTCAGTTTGCGGATTTGCACCCATGTGCGGTTAGGTTAAACATTGCTCATTTTCCTGGAATCTAGGCAGTAACATATTACGTCACAAAGAGATGCACAATACAGACTGAATTCTCATGTCATAGGCGTGACAGTGGGGTGATAATGCACGCGTTAATCAAAGAGGATTTATCACACTGGTAAGCGTATCCGGATGTCTCTGGGGACTACCACAGTCGAGGCCTTACCTTGATGTTGAAATAGCTCACATCAGGACGTGTATGTTGTAATATATTCATAGTCTTTTCATGCGAGCGTCGTTATACACTCCCGGCAGACCACCGTGTGCACAGGGCTGAGGTATTTTGAAACTGGTTGTACAGGCACATTGTGGTGGGATATTGTAACCTCTGTCTTCAGGGAAAGCGGTTGGTGACGAAAGGACGCCATTATGATCACATTTTGTTTCATTGGAGTATGTGTGCTGTTGTTTGGGCCGCTGGTCTCAAGTAAGTTTTACATATTTTGGTCATAATATAATGTTTAATAATGTGAAACTGTAATTCAGAAACCGTTAATTTGGGTGATTCGATTATTTAAATGATGATAAGACACACCGTATGTATCTTCAATTTGTGAGTGTGTCTGGGAATGTATTGTATGCGATAGTATCCGCTCTTCACTATCGGGTGTGTTGACACTGTTTAAACAAGTCGGTTGTTTAAACAAGATGGCGGACTCCGCTATTGCTTAATGTTTACGTCTAGACCTGGACCAGCTGTCCAGGTTCAGTCATCATAAACAAAGTAAACTGACACGGCACACAGCAATTATCGCCTTACATCTGCGTATATATATATATATATATATATATATATATATATATATATATATATATGAGAATATCAAATTATCAAGTTGTTTACGGAAACTTCTGGTGGGTTTGACTTGGCAACGCTTTCTGGGAGAAGTCCCATTCGCTGTCTGGGCTGCGTGTAGAGGGGGCAAGGGCCCTAGCCTGAGCTGATGATAGGCCTAACCAGCCTGACTGTGCCAGGATCACCCAAACCCTCTTTGTTTTTTTAATCTGTGAATAATAATAATAATAATAATAATAATAATAAAAATAATAATAATAATAATAATTATTGTAGCCATGTGCTGATGATGAGCCTAACAAGTTTGAATGTGCCAGTGTCACCCGGACCCTTCGCTGCCTTTGTCTTTTTTATAATGAATAACACTACTACTACTCCTGCTGCTACTGCTACTGCTACTACTGCTACTACATGTACTACTACTAATGATGATAATAAATGCCAAATCCGTGTGAATAGTATTCCTCCAAAGTGGTAAGAAAGCAAATAACACCCAATTAAAACCAGCCACTACATAAATAAAAAGAAATGAGTAATGTGATATGCGTTTCTTACAAATAACATCGTGGTAAACCCAACCGTCAGTGCGTGCTCACTGGTGAGACAGGAATACGTTAAACAACAATCCCCGGTGGTGTAAGGTAATGTGTTTCTTTGCATACAACCTTCGTTCGGCTGGAAGTAACTCTGATGAAGATTATCAGTGCAACAACACTGTTCGACCTCGTGATCAGAACATCGCCTATTTATAACTGTATTTCAGGGATGATCATTTGTCTCAAACCAGTTGGGGGCATGGGTAGCCCAGTCGTCAAAGGCGCCGCGATTCGCTGTGCAGGTTTGCGTATCTTGGGCACGCCAGAAACCTATGATAGTGGGTTCGAATCCCGGTTCGCCCCAATTATGTTTCTAGGTTTGTAAGCACCATACCCGTGCTCGTTGGTTTCACCGAAGTGGTAAACGTCTGAGACCTGCATCACTTCGGGCTTTCCTCCCACATTAAGCTGACACGCCGTGATATAACTGGAAGACTGTTAAAAGCGGCGTAAAACCAAACTCACTCACTCACTCAAACCAGTTAGGCAAGTCACAACTAAATCTTGCAAACTATGACCTGCGTTGATAAAGATATTTTACAGGATGGGCTCTAGATCTAGGCTTTTGATTGGTCTGGTTGACGTGTGCACGTAAGCAAACAGCAATCCAAGGGTCGCGTACATGTTTCAAGGAGAAGTCAACAGCGTTACCCATCCTGTTAGCGTCGGTGGTTTCCCGGCTGTTTGACAGACAGACAGATTTTTTTATTACAGTCTCACTCCAATTCTTTACAACGCTATTTCATAATATAATACCTTTATGAGTAAAGAGAGATTATTCTTAAAGGTATTTACATATTCTGCATATATAATGAAAACGGAAACTTACTAGCAGATGTATAAAACCTTTTTTCCTTTTTTGTAAAATTTCATCGCAGACACAGGACACATAATACTATCTGGCAAAATATAGGCTATTTTCTGTACATCACACTTGTTTGGGACTACGTCGCTCAAAATTATACACAGGACAATTGAACATGACATTGCATCCATCTTCAACTACAGGTACGTCAAGACACTGAAAACACTTCCTGTCTTCTAACGGCATGTTACCATACCGTCCGAATTCAATTTTAATAAGAGCGGTGCCTTATCTGAATTTAGCCAAAGTGCTTTCGTTGGCACGGGGCATAGGGCGTTTGACATACTCATCAACAGTATAGTCATGTTTTAAACAACAGTATACTCTAAGTTTGTAACATCCCGTGCGCGATGGATCAACGGGATGTGAAATTGCATTTTCCATTACATTTTTGTGAAAAACCAAACGTTTAACAATAAAACATGATCTAAAACAATTGTCTGGGGGAATAAAATGTCCCACACCCATATCTATTCATTTACAATGGGTGCGGAAGTTATTTATTAATTAAGAGTTTTCTTTATTCTGATTGCCCTGAGATTACTCCATAGAAATATTTTACGAGCTGTACGATCTTAGTTTAGATTGCAAAGACGTTAATATTGTCGAACCACACGTCCCCATTGGCGTACTACTGGTGGGGTCCATGTCATGACATTGCGTACAGCTTAGTTTGGGGCATACTTTTTCACACCCAGATAAAAACGCATTGCACGATTCTGTACAGCATTAACGCACTGCATATCATTCATTCCCCAAATACAAGATCAGTATTCTAAATCTGACCACACATCGTGTCATGTAACGTTGTAAATGTACGGTATTGCATTCCACCTAATATTTTATATTTAGAGATTAGTAAATCAAGCGCTCTGCTAGTTGAGCTATGAAAGCTAGCAGCTGATTTGCAATACATGTATAGTCCAGATATTCTGTTAACAATACCCCCAAATAGAAGTAACTGTCCAATATTACTGAATTATGTTCACCACAAGTGAATGCGTAGTTCGTCTTCAAGACTGATTGCGGTCTAAAATGTATGTTCGTTGACTTACTACTTTTTACAAATATTGTGTTGTTATTACACCAGTCACCAAGACAGTCAAACATAATGTTGAGACAAGTGTATGACGGTTCGTTTCTTGTATATGGCTTGCCTGTTACGGGACTATCGAATTGCCAAGAACGATTGTTCAGTTGACTCATGAAAGCTTCATTGTACTTGGGTGATATTTCAAACAACTTGTATCCGACATAATGTGTTGTGTTTCCCTTTGCATACAGCAAATATCTTATCAGTATGATGTGAATTATGCCCCTAGAGTCTCAGAGAAATCAGATCCATTGCAACGGATATTTTTGATCACACACTAGAAAACTTGCGAATTTGTTTTCACGCACAGCTAACTGTCGACATGTACATGTAGGGGGACGAAATTGTGAAGAAAACGTTGTCCCAATGCCGTACAATACTGCACATCTGATCTCCGTTTGCATGGTATTTTATACAACTATCAACTTTACATATGAAAGGGTGTTATTATTTTACCATAACCGTTTTTCACTGCTTTCTTAAATAACAAATACTTCAATCTTTGAGGAACCTAGTGTTACTTACCTGACGGTTCGTAAAGTAAGGAAGACTCAGTCTCTAAATACAAACCATCATTGTTGATAAAAATAATGTACATATTTGCATATATGTATATACGGTAAACGTTTCCTTACAGGGGCGTGTAACGTTACGCTCTATGCTCAAGGGGAACCGCTGAATTTCACATCTCCTAACTACCCAGGCAACTACATAAGGTATGTAAAGGGATATTCATCTTCATGTCATTTATCCCCACCCCCACCCCCATAGAATGTGGTCGTGTTTATCCCGAAGTTAATGTATATTGATGTATCCTTATTGTCATTAGAATTGTTATTCTTGATACGTCAGAATTAAATGCAAACAAGATGATGTTACTTTAGTTACCAACAAGCATTCTTTTTTTCTGCAGCAATGACAACTGTTATTGGGACATCTACCCTCAAACCAGAGGGAACAACGTTGTGCTCGACATGGTGTTCTCCGATATTGAAGACTCACCCGGATCAACCTGTCAATATGACGCCCTTACCATATACGTAAAAAATAATGGTAAAATAGTTAGTTTGTACATTGCAAAAAATAATGGTGAAATAGTTAGTTTGTACATTGCAAACCTCATTTATCTTAAATAGATTCAGATATAAATTAATATTGTTACATGTAGCTACATTCTAGAATAAAAGCCATAAAATCGTTTGATTATATGTGGATGGGTTAAACATGCTCTGAAAACGTCAATCGCCTATTTGTTAGTAAATAGAGAATCTCACCCCAGTGTCTTTTGACATCAAATATATCAACACGAGTTGATAAAAGTGGAAAAATTCCGAGGCTTGCCGAGGATTTTTGCCGCTTTCATCAACGAGTGTAGACACGAGGGTGAGATTTTATTTATCATCCAACATCATTCTTCCAACTTTTTCAATTTGTAGACAGTAATTAGCAGTGTCTTCAGCAGCAGAGCCATGAGTGAAGTCATTTGATTGTGACGTTATGGTAACCAGTGACGTCACAATGGTCTGCAAAGCATTGTGATGTTATTTCATTGCAGCGATATCTACAGTGTAGATATCGCTTGATCTCATCCAAGCGATATCTCCTGTGGGAGCCAGTTTTGGATGATAAATGTCATTGCAATAGTTTTCCTTCAATCGTTTTCTGCTTCTTTTTTGTTAATTTGTTAGTTACTCAGTCAAAGTACTACATTAACGCGTTCTTGTTTCACGTTGTCTGTGGGACATTTAGGAAGGCAACTCATTGATATTAACTAAATGTTCATTTTGACATTCCACGTTTTGCATTTCTATTTAATCTATTTCCAAGAACGTTCCTGATACTAAAATACATTAATGTTTGCAACAAGAAATTACTGATTACAGACAATTACATTTTTTCCACCCTAGGTGATCAAAGAAAAGCCGAGTCAAAAAGTATTTGTGGACAAAGCAGATTACATTTTATTACCCGTGAAGACCAACATTTTCATGCTGTTTTCAAGACTGATGGCACTGTAACCAGAGGCGGTTTCCTAATTAGATATTATGAAACAGACGGTGAGTAAAACCATGCCCTTGTTTGTAGCTCCAGTAACCATATGGTCATCCCGTTTCATTCAGACAGTAATATCTCAGGAAGAGGCTTTCGCTTGCAGTACTCATCTGGTAATATTTCGAGAAATATGTTGGTGTTTCATGGTAGTCAAATTCTAGTTCTTGTCTTGTCTTGTATATTTTCCTTGATGGCCCCAAAAACTCCTTCTGTGAGAGACTTTTTTCCTTATTTAACAGAGTACGCACCACCGAATAACTTACAACTTACAGCTTGTAAGGCATCAAACCCCAATGGGATTTTTTCTACGAACGACGTTAATCCCCTCAGTTGTAATCCCTGTGGCTGTTATCACAAATCATCAATTTGTCGTTTTGGTTAATTGTGAATTGTTATGAACATGCTCGTAATTACATTTTGTTTTCCGTTATGCTAATTGAAGGTCACTCTTGTGGAGTATCAGATCTCTCCGCCTCTTCTGCTGCATGGACGAACTTGACTTCCCCTGGCTATCCTTCAAACTATTCCAAGTAGGTACCTACACTCGTAACAAATGAGTAATAGTTAGTCAGTCAGCTGGTAGCGCTACTCAATTGACAACTGACACTGCAAGGGTGGCAAATAACACCACACACCACGTGAAGGTAGCACTACACTGGTTACTTGAACGTAGCACTACACACGTGACAGGTAAGTAGCACGTTACTTTTAAGTTAGGATAATATGCGTGTGTGTGTGTGTATGTGTCTGTCTGTCTGTCTGTCTGTATGTATTTGAAGATGGGTGGTGTATAAATTGTATGATATGTCTTATGTCGCCTTCAGCAATAATCCAGCAAAATCACGTTCACTCGCAATGTTCAATTCCTGGCTTCGATTCCTTACACGAGTGCGATGTGTGAAGCCTGATTTTGCTGGAATCTTCCATCAGCGTAGAACCTACTTACTCGATCAATGTTACAGATTATACAATTGTTAAGGTAGCACTACACATGTGGCAAGTAAGTAGCGCCACACACGTGACTAAAATGTGGCACTGCATACGTGACAGGGAAGTAGAAATCCATACATGACTAAAGTAGCATGTTACATGTATGCTAGGATAATGATAATTATAACTAAAAAGTGTTTGAATATCATGACATGACAAACACACCATAGGTAATTGTGGATGATTGGCATTATTGCTGGAGAGAGTGAGTTGAGTTTACCGCTGCTTTGAATAATATGTTGTGAGTGTGTATGTGTGTGTGTATGTGTTTGTGTGTTTGTATGTATGTATATAAAGCTGATGTAGCAAGTTCTATTTGCAGCAACCTAGACTGCCGGTGGACAATTTCTGCACCCGTTGGATATGAAATTAAAGTTGAAGTTATGTATTCTAATGTTCAAAACTCGACAGCTTGTTCAAGCGACTACCTTCTCTTCAGTGACGGTAAGCACAATGTACATATTCAAAACAATATTTAAAGTAACTGTGCTGTAGTCGTGTTTAATACATTCTGAACAATATCTGTATGATTAGTCAAAATTACACCATGAATCCGAAATAAATCAAGTTCAGTTACTTTACGCTTTCGTCACAAAACATACGGCATGAGCAAGCCAATGCTCCTCGTGTGGACAACTTAAGCGCCTCAGCTAGTTTTAGATACAATGATTCGTAATTATTAATGTTATAAGTACTCATGAGAGATGATTGGCACAGAATATATTTAGTCAAGGTTACGTTTGTATTGATTTCTGATCAATAACCAATAATATTAGCCTCAAGTTGATTCGATTACTAAGATGTATAAATGTAAATGTATGCGTCTAAACCGATGTCATGAGTGAATAAATATATTTACTTATTAATTCAAGGTTCCACATCTTTCGCTTCTCAGTTGGGAAAATATTGTGGTCGTAGTTACATCACCAGGGTAGTCGTCAGCTCCAGAAACTACATGACCATCACATTCCACACCGACGGCTCTGACACAGCACCAAGATTTAATCTGAAATACAAAGCTGGAACGTTCCTAACAACTACTACAGGTACAATTATTGTGTGTTGACGGCCGACTATTTAATAATTGAGGTCATGGTGTAAAGGGATGGAAATCTTTGGGGTTGGGCGATGTGACTGTGCTTGGGGTTTGTCATATTGAATGGTGCTTTGGGCTGGTATTAATGGTAGAAATAGATTATTTATATAATTTACTTGTTCACAGCATCAACACACATTGGAATCACATGGGACACAGTTTAGTGTTATGTCTACAATGGATGTTTGCCTCAACAAAATATAATTTATATTTGTTTAAATACATACGATACAATCAGTGACAATAAATAAATTTCTCGTTTTTAAATTATGCACATGTCATTATAAAATTTAAAAGTATTTTTGTATGATATTTGTTAACTAGTTATATATGTGAATTTGGACGAACAACAGGTTAATTTTCTTTTTCAACTTTAATATGTTCCGGCGCTTTATAACCTTAAACAAATTTAACAATTATTCTTTCACTCTGGCTGTCTTTTTTGTTTATATAGAGAGAAAAAATGAGCTTAATTGTGGAAGTTCATTGCTCAGCGCCTCTACGTCCACCTGGAGATATTTGTCGTCTCCTGGCTACCCCAACTACAACTACAAGTTAGTAACTATATATTTATCTTTGGTTGCTGCCCCTTATTGATTAATGGCAGGTTAATATATAATGACACCTTTAGGTGACCAATATATCAACTACCCTTCCAACTACGAGTTTTTCCCGATGTAATTTGTTGTGCAGGGTTGCGGATCTTAAAAACATCCCTGGGTCCTAAGATCTTGGTTTCAAATCCTCGATTCACCCTGCTTATTATCCTTGACTTGTCTGCATCATGATCGCGCCCGTGGGTGTAAAAGTCTTCGATGCACATCATTTAATTTTTTAGGAAGCCGGCGATTTATATTCAAAGGTTGAAAGGCCAAACAAAACACATGACCTTCACACATCACAACTGAACTTCACACATCGATGCTATTATGTAGTGATTATGAGCAACTCACCGGAGGACGTTTAATTGGACAAAACTTCACTGAGATTAAGCAGCGTTTGGACATAACGCTCGAGGGCCACCTTTAACTTACCTTCACTAGAGGCAAAGTCCTCACCGAAGATAAGGTGGTATTGGGATGGCCGTGAAAGACTTCTTATTCAAATGGTTCTTCTTTTTTTTAATAGCAATGACTCTATTGTTTGGTTTCAGATTGGAAAAGAGATGTGTAGTGTTGATGATGATATTTACCTTGGTGTTGTCTATTTTGCCACCAGAACACTTCTAATGAAATGTATTTCGAATTAGAGAGTTCACTGATTGTTCAAAGTGTTTTTAATGTACGAAAACTTTATTTTCATAGGCAATTTTAATGCCCGAAATACTAGCATATTTGACTACTGTATTTTGGTTTAACATATCGGGAATGAACAAACTTAGACATTGATGAACTGTCTCATAAATTTAACCAAGATGCTGTCTTTAAACAACTTAAGTAAACAAACAAAAAATGTGTAGCGACTGTCTAGGAAATGACCTACATTTTGGTCACTACACATGCAAAGATGTAAGTGTGGTTGGCTATGTTCGCAGTCAATATACTGTTTCTGATCAGTTGGGTACTTTTGTTACACTGCAGCCTAGTATCTCAGTGGCCTAGTACTCTAAAATTGGCATTCGTCAGGACTGGTACAGGCAGCCGCACGCACATGTATGCACGTCGCTATATAAGTGTATAATCATGACTGTATCCGGTCACTGCACAATAAGAGTTTAAGATACCATCGTGCAGACACCTTGGAATGGTGATGAATTATTGTTGAGACACTACCATGACATATTATGCACTGTTTGAATATTTCATCTTGGGACAAGGATGCTTCATAATTTGAACCTTTTCCCTTGTTAAAACCTCTTCCCTAGTCAGTGATGACTTCGGATAATACAGATTTTGAATCATGTTCCGGTCTCTCTCGTTTTCGTTTGAAGACTGTTTTGCAGTTATTGAATAATTGGGAGCATCATCATGATAAACACCAGCCATACAGTGGACAAGGGATGGATTTAATTATCAGAAAGAACAACGTTGCTACGGACGGAAGAGTGGTGACAAAGAGCATGCTTTCCAGATGTCCCATACTTACATGTATATTGCTGTCGATGGTTTTCCTGTCTTGTTTTATGCACTTTTTGACTTGCTGTCATACAATATTATATGTATATGCGTTTGATCTGATTGTACGTTTAAAGATTACACTATATATTTCTTTGTAGCAACATGGACTGCAAGTGGACAATTTCTGCACCCGCTGAATATAAAATAAAAGTTGTAATTAGAGTTCTTGATGTGGCGTTCGTGTACAGGTGTGCAAAAGACTATCTCCTCTTCAATGACGGTAAACACAATATTCAATTTTATAAAAGTGCTTAAATATAATCCTATTGCTCTATCATGTTGAATTGGTTTGCAAATAATATGCTCAGTAATTAGTATTATTGGCCTGAAGTTGACTTCAATACTAGTATGTTAACGTATGTGTCTTTAAATCGACGACATGAGTAAATCAATGTATTTATTCAAGGCTCCTCGTCTGACGCTACTCAGTTGGGTAAATACTGTAGTGGCGACAGGGACGTCGTCAGCTCGAGCAACGCCATGGCCATCACCTTCCACACTGACGGCTCTTTCTTCGGCAAAGGATTTTCTTTGAGATACATTGCGCGGACGTCAGGTACTTAGCTTTATTGTTGTTTTAATGCTTCCTCTTTAACACATAAAACACAAATTTACTCTCTTCTTTGAAAGTGACTAAAAGGGTTCCAAACACGCTTAAATATAATTTGGTTCTGGTCAAAGTTTGCAAAAAAATGCTGGATATGTTGGATATCCTGAGCAAATATGTGTGAAAAAGGAAATTGATTTTCTCCCTCTAACAAAATGATAAATCTTGAAGCAATTTCTGTTTCTGATAAAATCGCAGTATATTTCTTGTTTTACGCTTTGGTTTTGTGTAGCCTAAACTGGAAACAAGGATAATAACACAGTGAGCCTACTATGTGTAGCTGTATTCATGACTACAACATGTATGTGGTTTAGGTGTGTGTGTGGTTGGGACTGTTTTGGATTTGGCCATATTAAATGGTGCTTGGGCTGGAATGCATGGTAGAGATAGATAATTTACTTGGTCACTGCTTCAAGGCACGCTGAGAAAATCACACTGTTTAGCCTTACGTCTATAATGATTGTTGTGAAACAACAAAAACTCACATTGTGATAATTTAGTGACATTAGTAAACCATTTCACGTTTCTAAATTCTTCATATAACGTGGGCCCTCTGAATTTATCGGTCTTGAATAAAAATTAAAAGTATCATGCATGATCTTTACTAACTAGCTAAATATGTGAATTTAGATGACCAACAGGTATATTTCATTTTCCATTATAATATGTTCTTCCACTTATAACCTTGAAAGGATTTAACAATAATCCTTGCACTGTTGCTGCTTTATCCTTTATATAGGTGCGAAAGAGCTTAATTGTGGAAGTTCATTGCTCAGCGCCTCTACGTCCACCTGGAGATATTTGTCGTCACCTGGCTACCCCAACTACAACTACAACAAGTTAGTACATATATACCTATTTGGTTGCTGTCCCTTATTGATTAATAGCAGGTTAATATAATTAATGACACCTTCGTGCCATAAGGTGAGCAATACATACAACTACTCTTTCAACCACGAGTTTTTGTCGTTGTAACTTGCTGTGCAGAGTTCCGGATCTTAAAATCATGCCTAGATCCTATATATGATCGTGGTATCAAATCCTACATTCTCCCTGACTATTATCCTTGACTTGTGTTCATCATGATCGCGCCCGTGGGTGTTACCTTGTGGTAAAAGTCTTCGATGCACATCATTTAAATCTTTCGCCTCGCAATTGAGGAAGCCGTAGATCTGTGTGCAAAGGCTGTAAGGCCTATCATGTCACATGACCATAATACATCACAACTGAACTGCACACATCGATGCTATTATGTAGTGTTTATGAGCAACTCACCGGATGACGTTTAATTGGACTTTACTCCATTGAGATTAAGCAGCGCTTGGACATAACGCTCGATGGCCACCTTTAACTTACCTTCACTAGAGCCAAAGTCATCACCGAAGATAAGGTGGTATTGGGTTGGCCGTGAAAGACTACTTATACAAATGGTTCTTCCTTTTTTAATAGCAGTGACTATATTGTTTGGTTTCGGATTGGAAAAGAGATGTGTAGTGTTGATGATGATATTTACCTTGGTGTTGTCTATTTGCCACCAGAACACTTCTAATGAAATGTATTTCGAATTAGAGAGTTCACTGATTGTTCAAAGTGTTTTTAATGTACGAAAACTTTATTTTCATAGGTAATTTTAATGCCTGAAATACTAGCATATTTGACTACCGTATTTTGGATGAGCATTTCGGGAATGAACTAAACTTAGACATGGATGAACTGTCTCATAAATTTAACCAAGATGCTGTCTTTAAACAACTTAAGTAAACAAACAAAACATTTGTAACAACTGTCTAGGAAATGACCTACAGTTTGGTCACTACACATGCAAAGATGTAAGTGTGGTTGGCTATGTTCGCAGTCAATATACTGTGTCTGATCAGTGGGATATTCTTGTTACACTGCATCATGGTATCTCAGTGGACCAGCACTCTAAAATTGGCATTCGTCAGGACTGGTACAGGCAGCCGCACGCACATGTATGCACGTCGCTATATAAGTGTATAATCATGACTGTATCCGGTCACTGCACAATAAGAGTTTAAGATACCATCGTGCAGACACCTTGGGATGGTGATGAATTATTGTTGAGACACTACCATGACATATTATGCACTGTTTGAATATTTCATCTTGGGACAAGGATGCTTCATAATTTGAACCTTTTCTCTTGTTAATACCTCTTCCCTAGTCAGTGATGACTTCAGATAATACAGATTTTGAATCATGTTCAGGTCTCTCTCGTTTTCGCTTGAAGACTGTTTTGCAGTTATTGAATAATTGGGAGCATCATCACGATAAACACCAGCCATGCAGTGGACAAGGCATGAGTTTAATTATCAGAAAGAACACCGTTGCTACGGACGGAAGAGTGGTGACAAAGAGCATGCTTTCCAGATGTCCCATACTTACATGTATATTGCTGTCGATGGTTTTCGTGTCTTGTTCTATGCACTTTTTGACTTGCTGTCATACAATATTATATGTATATGCGTTTGATCTGATCTGTACGTTTAAAGATTACACTTTATATTTCTTTGTAGCAACACGGACTGCAAGTGGACAATTTCTGCACCCGTTGAATATAAAATAAAAGTTGAAATTATAGTTCTTTCTGTTGATTCCGTGGCCGGGTGTGCAAAAGACTATCTCCTCTTCAATGACGGTAAGCACAATATTCAATTTTATAAAAGTGCTCAAATAAATCATATTGCTCTTTTATGTTGAATTGGTTTGCAAATAATATGCTCAGTTATTAGTATTAGTTGCCTCAAGTTGACTTCAATACTAGTGTGTTAACGTATATGCATTGGTTTGCAAATAATATGCTCAGTAATTAGTATTATTGGCCTCAAGTTGACTTCAATACTAGTATGTTAACGTATATGTCTTTAAATCGACGACATGTGTAAATCAATACATTTATTCAAGGCTCCTCGTCTGACGCTACTCAGTTGGGTAAATACTGTAGTGGTACCAGGGACGTCTTCAGCTCAAGTAACACCATGACCATCACCTTCCACACTGACCGCTCTATCACAGGCAGAGGATTTTCTTTGAAATACATCGTGCGGACGTCAGGTACTTATCTATATTGTTGTTTTAATGCTTCCTCTTTAACATTAGACTAACGCTACATGAAACACAAATTTACTCTCTTCTTTGGAAATTCTCTAAATGCTGGATATGTTGATGGTAGAGATAGATTATTTACTTGGTCACTTGATTTAGCCTTACATCTACAATGATTGCTCCGAAACAACAAAAAAACTAAATGGGCCCCCGGAACTGATCTTTACTAACTAGTTGTACATGTGAATTTAGATGAACAACAGGTTAAATTCATTTAATTAACGCCTTTGTTCTCACGCAGAAGACCTCGGTTCCATTTCAGACATGTTTACAATGTATGAAGTCCATTTCTGGCGTCCCCCACCGTGATATTGCTGGGCTATTGCTAAAAGCGGCGTAAAGCCGTACTCGTTCACACACTCAACCGCTTATGTCCTTGAAAGCATCTAACAATTATCCTATCACTGTTGCTGCTTTTCCTTTATATAGGAGGGCTTAATTGTGGAAGTTCCTTGCTCAGCGCCTCTACGTCCACCTGGAGATATCTGTTGTCTCCTGGCTACCCCAACTACAACTACGACAAGTTAGTATATAATATATATTTATATATATATATATATCTTTAGTTGGTGCTCCTTAATGATTGATAGCAGTTTAATATAATGACACCTTCGTGCCATAAGGTGACCAATGTATACAACTACTGCTGTGCAGAGTTCCGGATCTTAAAAAGCATGGCTAAATCCAATGATAGAGGTTTCAGATCCTACATTCACCCTGACTATTTTACTTGACATGTCTCGACCATGATCGCGCTCGGGGATGATACCTTGTGGTAAAAGTCTTAGATGCACATGATTTAGAACTTTCGTATCACAGTTAAGGAAGCCGCCGATCTATATCAAAGGCTGAAAGGCCGAGCATAGCACATGACCATAATACATCACAACTGAACTGCACACATTAATAATATCATATAGTGTTTAAGAACCTCATTGAAGGACGCTAAAACAGGACAATACTCTGTTGAGATTAAGCAGCGCTTGGACATAACGCTCGATGGCTACCTTTAAGCTGGCACAGCGTGACTCACTCCAACTATATGTACGGATGAGTACACATATTTATAGGTCATGCTGATTCCTTGCAGGTGTCCACAGGCGCTATGCAAAATTACTGCTTTAACTGAAAAATGTCAGTCAAAATTATAGTAAAATTGTTATAGTTGGGTCAAGGGCTTCTAAATTTAAAATTCTGAGATTTGTATACGGTGAAAATGAATTTCAAGCCATCAGCGATTTCAATTACCCGTGGATTGAGCTTCATAGGAACCGGTGTCTATTAAGTGCAATCAAATGTTTGTCGGAAAGAGGATCAAAAGGTATGTTGACCTTACAAAATAAAGCAAGAAATATAATTCTTAAACTCAACTGTTTGTTTTTGGCCTACAGTGTATTGGTAACTCCTATTTGGCTGCGAAATATGGGGACATGAAAATTTCGAAATCATTGAGAAATTCTAACTTTTTTTAGATGACATACATGTATATATCAACAGTGCCTCAAACTTCATGATTCATGGCGAATTTGGAAGATTGCAACTTTGTTAAAAGGTATATAAGAGAATGATAAACTTCTGGTATGAAGCAGGAACAGGTAATCAGAAGCGCTCACACTCAGTTTATGATTATGTTTATCATGATTCAAGAAGTATTTGAAATAAGTGGTTAGACTGTATAAATAATATCATAAACTCTTGTGGTTTATATAACACGATGGATAACCCTTATTCAGTAACGACTAAGTTGCTCATAAACCGTGTTGAAAAAAACATTTTCTTAAAGGATGGTGATGCAATATCATATCTAGTTCCAAAGGCAATCTATATAAGTATATTAAACATGAGAACTCCATTGAAAAATACCTACTTAACAAGAATATACATGTCCTTCTATTAAAATTTAGAAACCATACTAGAAACCATAGATTTCCGGTAGAAACCTGTAGATGGAAAAACCTCACTAGAGAAGATAGGCCTGTAGTAGCATAGACACATAGACCGCTGATTAAACCGGCTGTGATAAAAAACAAACTTGGGGGTTAATTAATTCTGCACTTTCAAATGAATGAGTAACCTAGGCTTGACATGGGCACTGTGGACCTATTCCTAAGAGATGGCTCTTGGACACTAAATGATAGACGCATACGAGTCTTATAGACAAAGGTCCCTTGGACTAAAAAGGAAAAACTTGACTACAAGAATTTACAAGCACATGGCCTTCAGAACTTCTTGACTTCCAACTACAAATAGGTGCTTAACCAAAGCTACATAACCCTGAGGATATTATTTTCTTGCTTGCCTCAATTCTGTCATCAAAAAAACATTATTGGCATTTGTGATTATAGTTTTAGGAGACACGTAGTGCATCCCAGAAAATAGATGCCCTTGCCTGTTGATGGTTGAGCGTGAAGTGTGTTTCACACTGCATAGACACATGTGTTGATTCAGGATCCAGTGCATCCATGATCATCACCTGAATTATTGTTGAGACTCTACATGACATGTTGAACACCGTTTGAACGTTTCATATTGGGACAGAGATTCTGCATAGTTTGAACATCTACACTAGCAATCTACCTCTTCCGTAGTCAGTGATGCCATCGGATAACCTTGACTTTAAATCATGTTTAGGTCTCTCTCGTTTTCGCTTGAAGAAGTTTGCAGCTGTTGAATAATTGGGAGCATCATCACGATAAAGGCATGTAATTCTTTACCTTCCCTGGGGAGAAACGTTATGTTGGTTTTATGTCTTACTGTGGTCATATTTATGGTTTCAAGATGTCAGGATAACATATAACTATCAATATTATATGTTCATTACTTTTGACTCCGATCTGTGCTTACGTTTAAAGAGTACACTACATCATTCTTTGTAGCAATATGGACTGCAAGTGGACAATTTCTGCACCTGCTGGATATAAAGTAAAAGTGGAAATTATAGTTCTCTCTGTGGAATATGAAACCACCTGTGAAAGAGACTACCTCCTCTTCAGTGACGGTAAGCACATTGTTCAATTCTATAAGGTTCTTTTGCTCTTTTGTGTTAGTTTGCAAAATATGCTCAACAATTAATTGACCTCAACTTGACTTCAGTACTAGTATGTTAAGGGGTATGCCTCGACGACATGAGTGATTCAATATATTTATTCAAGGCTCCTCGTCCTACGGCACTATGTTGGGTAAATACTGTGATGGCACCAGGGACGTCGTCAGCTCCAGTAACGCCATGACTGTCACCTTCCACACTGACAACTCTGTGACAAAAAGAGGATTTTCTTTGAAATACATGGCGCGGACGTCAGGTACTTTCTGTCTCTGATTATTGACGATTGTCTTGTTCCACTGTTTTACCGCATGATATATCTATATGTCCCAACATTAAAACTGCCACATCATTTATAATAATAACTGCACCCACGAATGGGGTACAACAAGACCCATTTTTGCCCTGTTGAAATACCAGATAAAGTTAATGAATGTTTTTCAACATGGAATTATTGAAAATAACAAAGTCTAATAATCTTTCTTGTCAACACATTTCACCACGTCGATAAGAGGGTATTTCATATTTGTTAGACGTAAGCAGTAATACTTGATATTTAACTGTTATGGAAGGTCATCACCGCACCCCTTCTATGTTGTGCCTCTCAATGTGAACAGCCCCGTTTCTCCTCGGACATCCTCATCATCACACAATCAAGTCTCCACTAATGAATCCATCCAATGCTGTGTAACTATTCAACGTTTCAGGTTGTGGCACAGAGGAAGAGATAAACGGATATGAAACGAAATATATTGAATCACCGAATTATCCTCTTGACTATCCCGAGTGAGTATGCACTACACGTTTTACGATTATCACGGCCACAAAGAGGGACGTCAAACTGCATTCCGAGAGCGTTGGGCCAACTACCAATTGATCTAAGCACCGTGTTAATCATTTACTACAATTGTAAAAATGACATACGAATCTGTAGTCTACATGGGCATGAATCCAAACGTCACTGACCAATAAAATCCAAGTAAAGCAACATAATGCAAAGCTTATTGAAGTCTTTTGCATAGTTTGCACAGTTTATCATTTCATCGGACATATTTCTCACACAAACTAAGTACTACCAAATATTTCCGTTCTTTGGTTCAAGTTAGGCAAGTTTCATTGCAACTAATAAAGATACAACAAAGGTAGACCCATGGCTGTACCTTACCCGTGAAGATCCTGGGGAGAATAACTGTTCAGCAACCCATGTTTGTCGTAAGAGGCGACTATGCTTGTCGTAACAGGCGACTTACGGGATCGGGTGGTCTGGCTCGCTAACTTGGTTGTTGCATTTCATCGTATCCCAATTGCGTGGATCGATGCTCGTGATGTTAAGCACTGGATTGTCTGGTCGAGACACGATTATTTTCAGACCGCCGCCATATAGCTGGAATATTGCTGAGTGCGGCGTTAAACAACAAACAAACATGCTTGCACCACATGAAATGAATGTGAAATAAACCACGCCTGTCCCTCCTTGTTCTTTGCAATTTATGTTTTGGCTTTCTCGTATTCTTAATAGCTGAGATTGCAAGTTTGGTAATTTTAATATGCATATGACTCGTTTCATGACTAGAGATGGACACTCATGATTATTCGACGCTGATTCTGTTATTGCGAATGTATATAGGTATTAAGTGTTCGACGACATGCTATTGACCGTACCATGAAATTAAAGCAGGATAACACCATAAAATACTGACATACTATTCGTAATATAAATAAAACAAACCAATGTACGTCCTTGTAAACAGCAAAACTTTGGAGAAACAATGAAACTTGACCCGACTTTTCATGCATTTCTATTGCATTTTGAACATATGTGTATTGACTTAAGACATACTATTATACATAAAAACATCTAACCTCAACCCCATGATAATCATTGTGGCCATTCATAATATTGTATTCAGCAATGCAATACCAGGTATAGCATTAATCATATCTTCCTTTGGTAGAAGTCGTTCTTGAACCTATGTTTACGACAATTTAACGACAATGTTCAACAAACAAAACGTAAAAAAGAAAACAATTAATAGGTTTTGGCATCGAAATTTAAATGAGATCGTGGCAGTACTTACCAAAGTGAATACAAACACCTGGAACAAGAGTATAGTATTTTATCATTGACTGTAGTAATCTTTAAGAAAGTCAACAGAAACACCAGAAACTTCTATGTAGATTGTATCGCAGTTAACGTAATCATGTGGCGAATTTGCAAAACTGTTGCGTTGCGACCTGAACAACACTCAGATCATGTTGTAATTCGGTTTGTTGTGGTACATTTTACAATGATAATGTATCGGTCTAATTTCAGCAATGCGGACTGTTCATGGACAATCAGCACTGATGTTGAAGGATATGTAATCCATGTGAAAGTGGAGTTTTTCTACCTTGAGCATGACAGCACGTGTTCCTATGATTATGTGCAGCTCTATGACGGTAATGTCTTACTCAAAGACAGAGGTTTCCTAGAATTGATTAAGAGAGACAGTGTGTTATTCACACGAATGTATCAGGGTCCTCAGTGTAACTGTATTTGTAAAGACAGGTGTCGTTTTATCATTGCAATAAAACCCTTTTAATCCAAGTTATACCTGGTCGTTTACTCTACGCTAAAAAATAAAAATAAAATAGTCGCGTGTAATAAATAAATATCATTCCCAAATATATATTAAAAGTATTGCCTGTCTTAACGCACTTTAACCTCTTTGTCTTTAACGTTAACTGATGTGATTTGTTGTAAGCTATAATATTCTCACAATATCACACACATGTTCTATTCTTGTCACAGTCAGGGGAACATATGAACACTCGCTTGGTCGATGGTGTGGATCGGATGGACCAGATACACAGAGTACAGGGAGGAGTATGAAGGTTCGATTCCTCTCCGATGCTTCGAGCACCTTCACAGGATTCAAGTTGGCCTTCACTGCCGGCGAGCCAACATCTTCCTGTAAGTTTTTAAGCTGTATTCATTCATTTCAAAATAGATCGAATCTGTTAATATAAGACGAATGAGATTCCTCAATCAGCACCCCTACTATAACGTTTATGTCACGTCTCAGTCATTGTACATTTCCATTGTATTCGTGTTGATTTACACCTGCAGCGTATTGGGGTTAAACATTATCCATACGATGTGTTTAGATGACTACAGAATATCTTGAGGGTATGGGTGGCCAGGATGACTAAACTGTCGCCCTGTTTATGTCTACTAAATATAAACCTGTGTCCATTCGTTTCACATCAAGATGCCACACCTGTACATGACTGACATAGTTACACGCGGCCTTAATCTAAACAGTTATACACTGCTTCATCGTTTGTGAATATTGTGTCACGGGTTGTAGCGGTTATAATAGTCGACTCATTGTAATTGTCATTTGACCAATGTTAATACACTGAGAACTTGAACTATTGGCATTTGACATAATATCACGCTGGTATTGATGGCTCGATAAGTGTAATACAATGACGAAAAATGTGTATGTTATTACCTTCTGTGCAAACGTTTCCCCAGCTGTACAAGAAAACATGAGAACGTCTTGATCGCCACTTAACTTTAACTTCTTAAGTAATCTTCAGAACCTAGGAAACATCAGATATGTAGGTTTGACATCATGTCGGAAGGTATAGATGCGTGGCATGCCGTACCAGAACGCGATAGGGTTATGGAACAACAATTCTTGTGCAAATATGAATTATTCTGAAACTTTCAAGAATCTATTTCAAAACCATATTTACTTGGCACTCTACCAGAGGGCTTATTAGGTCATGTTACATGCATGTATGTGACAGTAGTACTGATTAATCATTTTCAAAAAGACCTCGAACATGAATATTATTTTTCCCTTCAGCTTCTGTGTCCAGGAACATCGGAGTAATAACATTCAATGTACATGTACGTGACTCGTCTTTGTTTCACCATTCTGTTTCGTCTTTTACTTTGTACAGCGTCTTTTTCACTGAACTTTGGAGGGGTCATTGGAGGGGTATTCGGCGGCATTGTGGGCGTGGCTTTATTAACGTGTTGCTGCTGTGGAATTTGCTCTAGGAAAAAATCCACGACAAACGACCAGTCACAAAGGAACAGATCTCGTGAAGCCAACGTGAACAACGTCTTCTCCATCCCCCTGCCCATCTACCCACCAACTACGGCTACTACTCTGCCGGCTATGTTTACTCCACCCCCAGCTTACAGTGAAGTCGTGAAGGATGACCCCCCACCCTACTGTCAGGCAGTTCCACTATCAGACATACAGCCCATTGTGACGTCATCCCCTAACGACGCATATGAAGGGATAGATAACCCAGCAGGCCCGAGTTGAGTGACAGTTTCACATGATGTGGACACATACATGAATACACACAAATTAACATATTTTTTTATGAAATCCCCAAACTCCATCGACAGCAAATAAAAACACCGTCAAAAATTGTTCCAAAGAGGTATATTTAATATTTTCTAAGAATATCTACCACCATAAGAAAATGCAGTTATCTGTATTCTTACAATATCTGGTTCCCGATCTATTTGGGTCATGTGTGATGTTGATTGTTGAACTGTGCATAACCAAGGAACAGAAGTCACGTTTTACAAGTGAAAGAACTTTCACCAACTGATCAGTAGTCAATTAAGACTATCACAATCATGCCACAAGCATGTCACAATTGTGAATGGATGATAATACAGTGACCACGATGATATGGTAGCATATACTTATAATTGTTTTGTTATTTGTTATAAAACTATTTTGTATATCAAATGATGCTTGGTGTTGCAGTTATGTTTATGTTTATTAGAACATGAAAGCTTCTTACAAATCATATACATATTTTACATATGCGAATGTAGTGCACGTACATGTGCGCGTGCGCGTACGTGTGCGTGTGCGCGTTCCTGTGTCTGTCACGGGTGTCTTGATATTGTATTGAGCGTGAGAGTACAACATAACACTGAACACAGATGTTGTTTACTTTGATGGAATCCACGAGCCTGGGTAATCAAGAATTTAAATTCATGGCAATTATTTTGCTAAAGGTTTCGTTGGATCCCCCATTGTCATTGATTGCATGGAAGATATTGTAACATAGAAGTGGTTTTGCTGTTCCGACCGTTGACATCCGACCACATATTGAACAACACAACTTGCAACAACAAAGTCAGGTTCCTGGCATCGCTCATGGGCATCGGAATGTCAATCTGCATGTCTTTATTATAGAGATGGAAGATTATCACTGTGAGTTTGTCCTCAGAGAAAATATATTCATTCAACGAGAGCAAGACAACAGCAGGCATGTTGTGTTCGTTGCATATTGCAGGTGAGGTGAGATGAAATGGGGTTTAACGTCGCGTCCAGGATTATTCCACTTATGTACGCACATACTTGTATGTGTATGTGGCTGCTTGTACTGGTCCAGACTATTGCTGGCCCACTGAGATACCATGTCGCAGTTCAGGATAAGTACTCGTGTGTACGCACATGCACGTGTGTATGTGGCTGGATGTACTAGTCAAGACTATTGCCGTTTTAATAGTGCTGGCCCACTGAGATACCATGTCGCAGTTCAGGATTATTACTCGTGTGTACGCATGCACGTGTGTATGTGTCTGCTTGTGCTAGTCCGAACTAATGCTGTTTTAATAGTGGTAGCCTACTGAGATACCATGTCACAGTTTCAGATGAATATCCCACTCAGTCTTTTGGTCTGACGCGGCCTACGATTGAAAGCCCCACCTTCGGCTCTCAGGGCGGACGATCTACCTGTAGACCACTCAAATTACAGAAGAAGACTTGGTTCTTTTACGACAGAGCCCGAAACGTTTTGAAACTGATGGGTGGTATACATCCGAATTTTATCTTGAACGTTCTAGATTTAAACGAGAGTGAGTGGCGTGAGGGTGAACGCAGATCACTGCAGTATTTTCGTTCCTCGTGTTCCATGATTGAAATGTTGCTCACCAACCCAATAACATTACCAAGGTGCAACCTGCAGTCGAACCCACAATGAGCTGATACGGGCAGCCAAGGGACGGAACGGAGAACTGATATAATCGGCGCCACGGTCCATCTGACCATACATGCCCTGACAAAACCATAACGATGTGGACATGTGATATATTCGACGACCTTCCGAGACGTCTATCATCTCTGACATAATTAACTCAACGTAACACCAAACAGTGGTAATACGAATAACATTCTATATTATCCCATGAATTTGGAAAATACTCGATTTTGATCGGTCAATCAGAGGTTTCAAATCACAATAAACAGTGAAACAGCCGATTTGACAGCCGTTTCACCGGGAAACCTTATATTTCTATTATAATACTTCGCGTACAGTCATTGTCAGTAGGCATATTTAAATAATTATACGTACAATTTTAGGCTACGAAATGCAAAGTTGATGTTACCACAATATTCAAATCATGACGGAAAATGGTGTGGAAGGAAACCTTTGCACGTTTTGCTTTGTTTTCTTTTGGGGTGCCCACCTCGTGGTAGCTTCGAAAAGCTTCCCATGCCTGTCATTAGTTAGAGTGAAGTAAATTACGCTTTAAGCAAACTGCTTGAGCTTAAAGAGTGCCATGTTTTGTTTAAAGGCTGTTGTCAGTGATTCGGTAAATTCTTATCGCTAACCCACTCAAACCGAAAGGCCCAACCCATGCCGATGTGATCAAGATATTTTTCACTGAAGAGTGTTATTTAGTCATGGTAGAAGAGAGATAAACAGACAATGTAGAGCTAGGCTACCTGCAGATTTAACCTCGCTAAATTTAATATTTGGAATCTCACGCAACACATGCGGTTCCAAATTCAAATTGGTGAGGTTAAGTCTACAAGAAACCTGTCTCCGGTTTTGAAGACACAGTGTTTATCTCCTGATTTATGCAGCCGCTATACACACATTGCTTCAATTCAGACAGCATTGACATGGGTTTGGGTCTTTTTGTATAATCAACATATTTTGTCCCTGGATATTGCAGCTTCTAAATGCCAATTTTTTATCACAGCATATACGTTTTCTCTATTTGGCCTCATTACGTTTGCCTGGTCTGCAGGACATGTCACAGCTGTGACATGAAAGGAAACTGTGTACGGCTAACATGTTTCATTGGATAATAATCATCAATTCGTTACATGTAGGATGAATGCAAGGGTATATTGGAATACTATTATTGTCATAATGATAGGCGATGTCGGTATTTGGCGGCAGAATCAGTTCCAGAACCTCATGTTTGTTGTACCAGTGACCACTGAGATCAAGACGGTTACAGTGGCTCACCGTGTCCGACCTCACCCTTGCTGTCATCCGTCGATAGTGATATAGCTGGGATATAGCTGACATAGTTGTAAAACAACATTCACTCACTCACTCACTCATAATAGTTATAAGTCAAATGGTTGCATGAAATAAGTAAAATATACATACACGAATAATATATTGCATTAGTAATCAGGAAAACTTCGATGTATATGCGTCAAATTATGAGTACACTCAGAACGACTGTTTAATTCCGAAGTCCCATATAAACAAAAGGCAGTGAGGTTCATTCAAGTGCGTTGCTTCACTACATTGAGTATGGATGTTGAATTTAAGGTAAAGTAGTCTGTTGAAGAATGACTGTGTAACCCGTATTTGTGGCATGGGTTCGTTCCTTCAAAATCTGCACATCGACCTTTTTGACACCTTCAATTATCCAGTGTGTTTCTTTTCAATAGGTTAAGATAGTGAGCATTCGGGTAATCCCACGTCATCTTGCTTGGATGACACGCAGTCAGCTATGTCAAACAATGTTGATCGTTGGTTGTTCTTGATATTACTCACTGGATTCTCTGGTCACTCCGTCATGTAGCTGGACAATGGCATGAGTGCACCAAACACGGAATCAAAGAACAAGAACATGGCAACATGTAAGAATCATGCTTGAGAATCAATGGTGAAGTACATTACCATCGAACACCAAGCAGACGCAATGACAATGATAACATCGTGCATTTTCACGGTGCAACAATCAAACTGAAACAGACTATAATCAAGTACGAATCTAAAAACTGTTTATATGTATATATATATGTGCGTGAGTGCGTAGGTATATATTCGCGATACATGTATAATAAACAACTTGTAGATAAGTCATTGACTATAGTATGGCTGGCGGGGTTGCCTCCCTTAGACTGTTACTCTTATCGTATTATCAAACTTTGCTGCTACTTTATACACAAAATATTTCATTCAAGATGTGATTTACATGTGGTCGTGAATTGTGATACACTTGATACACAATGGGTACACTTGATTCCATGACGAAATATGTACAATTTTAGATAAAACCAATGTTTAGGTTTCTTATACATTTCAGTTACAGAGCATACAGAATCTACTCTGAACACATTTAGACTTAGATATGCAGTAATATTGTTTACACATAATATTTCGCAGTTGTCACATGTAAACACATATACCATTTTCTTCTAAACAGTTCTTGTTAGCATATGTAAGACCTGCTGGACCACTGGAGTGGGACCGGAGTTGCCAGGAACGACTACGCTTGGCCACGCATTCAGTCTGTGCAAGTTGATCATTTGCTGCCCTTTTTCGCTGGACTTGGATGTTCAGTTTCATGGTCATTAACTGATACGCTGAGCCTCGGAAAAATACACGGTTTCTTCAGATTCTTGTGTTGTGGCGTTTTCGCGTGTCTGTTGCAATGGTGTGGCCATTTCAGTTGTCTGGTTTGTGGGAGAATATTCTGCAGTAAGATCGTTTCAGACACCATTCCCTCGAGAAGTTATCTTGGTAGAGATTGGAACAAAGTCCAACTTTGGCTTCAGTACCAAACAAGGCGTTGCATGGTGATTGTTTGATACCAAAATAGTGGCTGTAGTCAAAACGAAGTCCAAGAGGACAGTCTGTTGAATCTCTGTCTTCTATTTTAATTTTAGAAGTGTGAACTGTGCATGAATCAGCACCAATGTTGATAGACATGCAGTCCAAGGTAAGGATGTGCAGTTCAACTATGAGCATGACGTCAGGCTTTTCCATGGCTATTTACAACTCCAAGATGGTAAAGTACTATCAGGGATGTCCTGGAATATTGTAACAGCCACAGTGTGTTATGTGAACGATTTCATAATGTTCAAACAAGTTGTTAGCACATTGACGAATGTGACCTTATTTGACAAAAACTGTCGTTCTATTACTGCAATGACACACCGTAAATCCGTTTCAAGATGCCGGAATTCAGTTTGCGGATTTGCACCCATGTAAGGTTAGGTTAAACATTGCTCATTTTCCTGGAATCTAGGCAGTAACATATTACGTCACAGAGAGATGCACAATACAGACCGAATTCTCATGTCATAGGCGTGACAGTGGGGTGATAATGCACACGTTAATCAAACAGGTTTTATCACACTGGTAAGCGTATCCGGATGTCGCTGGGGACTATTACAGTCGAGGCTTTACCTTGATGTTGAAATAGGTCACATCGGGACGTGTATGTTGTAATATATTCATTGTCTTTTCATGCGGGCGTCGCCATACACTCCAGGCAACCGTGTACACAGGACTGGGGTATTTCTGAAACTGGTTGTACAGGTACATTGTGGTGGGATATTGTAACCTCTGTCTTCAGGGAAAGCGGTTGGCGACGAAAGGACGCCATTATGATCATATCTTGGTTCATTGGAGTATGTGTGCTGTTGTTTGGACCGCTGGTTTCAAGTAAGTTTTACATATTTTTGTCATAATATAATGTTTACATGTGAAACTGTAATTCAGAAACTGTACAATCAATTCAGGTGATTTGATTATTTAAATGATAATAAGACACACCGTATGTATCTTCAATTTGTGAATGTGTCTGGGAATGTATTGTATGCGATAGTCTCCGCTCTTCACTATCGGGTGTGTTGACACGGCCAGTAGGCTGTCTAAACAAGATGGCGGACTCCGCTATTGCTTAATGTTTACATCTAGACCTGTCCAGGTTCAGTCAACATAAACGCCTGAACAAAGTAAAATGACACGGCACACAGCAATTATCGCCTTACATCTGCCTGTGTATATATATATATGAGAATATCAAATTATCAAGTTGTTTACGGAAACTTCTGGGTGGGTTTGACTAGGCAACACTTTCTGGGAGAAGTCCCATTCGCTGTCTGGGCTGTGTGTAGAGGGGGCAAGGGCGCTAGCCTGAGCTGATGATGAGCCTAACCAGTCTGACTGTGCCAGGATCACCCAAACCCTCTTTGTTTTTTTAATCTGTGAATAATAATTATAATAATAATGATGATGATAATAATAATAATAATGATAATGATAATAATTGTAGCCATGTGCTGATGATGAGCCTAACAAGTTTGAATGTGCCAGTGTCACCCGGACCCTTCGCTGCCTTTGTCTTTTTTATAATGAATAACACTACTACTACTCCTGCTACTGCTGCTACTGCTACTGCTACTACATGTACTACTACTAATGATGATAATAAATGCCGAATCCGTGTGAATTGTATTCCTCCAAAGTCGTAAGAAAGCAAATAACACCTAATTAAAACCAGCCACTATATAAATAAAAAGAAATGAGTAATGTGATATACGTTTCTTACAAATGACATCGTGGTAAACCCAACCGTCAGTGCGTGCTCACTGGTGAGACAGGAATACGTTAAACAACAATCCCCGGTGGTGTAAGGTAATGTGTTTCTTTGCATACAATCTTCGTTCCGCTGGAAGTTACTCTGATGAAGATTATCATTGCAACAACACTGTTCGACCTCGTGATCAGAACATCGCCTATTTATAACTGTGTTTCAGGGATGATAATTTGTCTCAAACCAGTTGGGGGCACGGGTGGCCCAGTCGTCAAAGGCGCCGCGATTCGCTGTAAGATTTGCGTATCTTGGGCACGCCAGAAACCTATGATAGTGGGTTCGAATCCCGGTTCGCCCCAATTATGTTTCTAGGTTTGTAAGCACCATACCCGTGCTCGTGGGTTTCACCGAAGTGGTTAACGTCTGAGACCTGCATCACTTCGGGCTTTCCTCCCACATTAAGCTGACACGCCGTGATATAACTGGAATAATGTTAAAAGCGGCGTAAAACCAAACTCACTCACTCACTCAAACCAGTTACGCTAGTCACAACTAAATCTTGCAAACAATGACCTGAGTTGATAAAGATATATTACAGGATGGGCTCTAGATGTTGGACTGGTTGACGTGTGCACTTGTCGAGTTATAGATAGCGTAGTTAAGCAAACAACAATCCCAGGGTCGCGTACATGTTTAAAGGAGACGTCAACAGCGTTACCCATCCTGTTAGAGTCGGCGGCTTCCCGGCTGTTTGACAGACAGACAGATTTTTTATTACAGTCTCACTCCAATTCTTTACAACACTATTACATCATATAATACCTATATCGGCCACTTCGTACAGAGTAAAGAGAGATTATTCATAAAGGTATTTACATATTAAGCATATATAATGAAAACGGAACTGACTAGCAGATGTATAAAACCTTTTTCCTTTTTTGTAAACTGTCATCGCAGACACAGGACACATAATACTATCTGGCAAAATATAGGCTATTTTCTGTACATCACACTTGTTTGGGACTACGTCGCTCAAAATTATACACAGGACAATTTAAAATGTCATGGCATCCATCTTCAACTACATGTACGTCAAGACACCGAAAACACTTCCTGTCTTCTAACGGCATGTTACCATGCAATTTTGATAAGAGCGGTGCCTTATCTGAATTTAGCCAAAGTGCTTTCGTGGGCACGGGGCATAGGGCGTTTGACATACTCATCAACAGTATAGTCATGCTTTAAACAACAGTATACTCTAAGTTTGTAACATCCCGTGTGCGATGGATCAACGGGATGTGAAATTGCATTTTCCATTACGTTTTTGTGAAAAACCAAACGTTTAACAATAAAACATGATCTAAAACAATTGTCTGGGGGTATAAAATGTCCCACATCCAGATCTATTCATTTACAATGGGTGCGGAAGTCATTTATTAATTAAGAGTTTTCTTTATTCTGATTGCCCTGAGATTACTCCATAGAAATATTTTACGAGCGGTACGATCTTAGTTTAGATTGCAAAGACGTTAATATTGTCGAACCACACGTCCCCATTGGCGTACTACTGGTGGGGTCCATGGCAAGTCATTGCTTACAGCTTAGTTTGGGGCATACTTTTTCACACCCAGATAAAAACGCATTGCACGATTCTGTAAAGCATTAACGCACTGCATATCATTCATTCCCCAAATACAAGATCCGTATTCTAAAACTGACCACACATCGTGTCATGTAACGTTGTAAATGTACGGTTTTGCATTCCACCTAATATTTTATATTTAGAGATTAGTAAATCAAGCGCTCTGCTAGCTGAGCTATGAAAGCTAACAGCTGCTTTGCCATACGTGTATAGTGAAGATATTCTGTTAACAATACCCCCAAATACAAGTGACTGTCCAATATTTCTAAATTATGTTCACCACAAGTGAATGCGTAGTTCGTCTTCAAGACTGATTGCGGTCTAAAATGTATGTTCTTTGACTTATTACTTTTTACAAATATTGTGACAGTCAAACATAATGTTGAGACAAATGTATGACTGTTCGTTTCTTGGTATATGGCTTGCCTGTTACGAGATTATCGAATTGCCAAGAACGATTGTTCAGTTGACTCATGAACATGTCTTAAAGCTTCATTGTACTTGGAAACTGTGATATGCTAGTTGTTCTACTGTCCGTCGATGACAGGTGTTTTATTTTAATGTCAGTCTTATAAATGTTCTCGTCACGATATGGCTGAAATATTGCCGATGTGACGTAAAGCTTTCACTCACTCACTCACTCATTGTACTTGGCTGACATTTCAAACAACTTGTATCCGACATAATGCGTTGTATGTTTCCCTTTGGATACAGCAAATATCTTATCAGTATGATGTGAATTATGCCCCTAGAATCTCAGGAAAAGCAGATCCATTGCAACGGATATTTTTCATCACACACCAGAAAACATGCGAAATTTTTTCCACGCACAGCTAACTGTCGGCATGTACATATAGAGGGACGCAATTAGGAAGAAAACGTTGTCCCAGTTCTGTACAAAACTGCACATCTGATCTCCGTGTGCATGGTATTATATACAACTATCAACTTTACATGTGAAAGGGTGTTATTATGTTACCATACCGTTTTTCACTGCTTTCTTAAATAACACATACTTCATTATTTAAGGAACCAGTGTTACTTACTTGACGGTTCGTCAAGTAAGGAAGACTCAGTCCCTAATTACAAACCATCATTGTTCTTGAACTAGAGTGATGATAAAAATAATGAACACATTTGCATATATGTATATACGGTAAATGTGTCCTTACAGGGGCGTGTAACGTTACGCTCTATGCTCAAGGGGAACCGCTGAATTTCACATCTCCTAACTACCCAGGCAACTACATAAGGTATGTAAAGGGATATTCATCTTCATGTCATTTATCCCCACCCCCAACCCCCATAGAATGTGGTCGTGTTTATCCGAATTTAATGTATATTGATGTATCCTTATTGTCATTAGAATTGTTATTCTTGATACGTCAGAATTAAATGCAAACAAGATGATGTTACTTTAGTTCCCAACAAGCATTCTTTTTTTCTGCAGCAATGACAACTGTTATTGGGACATCTACCCTCAAACCAGAGGGAACAACGTTGTGCTCGACATGGTGTTCTCCGATATTGAAGGCTCACCCGGATCCACCTGTCGATATGACGCCCTTACCATATACGTAAAACATAATGGTAAAATAGTTAGTTTGTACATTGCAAACCTCATTTATCTTAAATAGATTCAGAAATAAATTATTATTCTTACATGTAGCTATATTCCAGAATAAAAGCCATTTAAAATCGTTTCATTATATGTGGATGGGCTAAAGATGCTCTGAAAACGTCAATCGCCTATTTGTTATTACATGTCATTGCAATAGTTTTCCTTCAATCGTTTTCTGCTTCTTTTTTGTTAATTTGTTTGTTACTCAGTCAAAGTACAACATTAACGCGTTCTTGTTTCATGATGTCTGTGGGACATTTAGGAAGGAAGCTCATTGATATTAACTAAATGTTGATTTTGACATTCCCCGTTTTGTAATTCTATTTAATCTATTTCCAAGAATGTTCCTGATACTAAAAAACATTAATGTTTGCAACAAGAAATTACTGATTACAGACAATTACATTTTTTCCACCCTAGGTGATCAAAGAATAGTCGAGTCAAAAAGAATTTGTGGACAAAGCAGATTACATGTTATTACCCGTGAAGACCAACATTTTCATGTAGTGTTCAAGACTGATGGCAGTGTAACCAGAGGCGGTTTCCTAATTAGATATTATGAAACAGACGGTGAGTAAAACCATGCCCTTGTTTGTAGCTCCAGTAACCATATGGTCATCATGTTTCATTCAGACAGTAATATCTCAGGAAGAGGCTTTCACTTGCAGTACTCATCTGGTAATGTTCCGAGCAAATATTTTTGATGTTTTACAAAAGTCAACATGTCGGTGTTTCATGGTAGTCAAATTCTAGTTTTTGTCTTCCTTTAAAAAATATGTTTTCGTTGATGACCCCAAAGACTCCTTCTGTGAGAGACTTTTTCCTTATTTAACAGAGTACGCACTACCGAATAACTTACAACTTACAGCTTGTAAGGCATCAAACCCCAGTGAGATTTTTTCTACGAACGACGTTAATCCCCTTAGTTGTAATCCCTGTAGCTGTTATCACAAATCATCAATTTGTCGTTTTGGTTAATTGTGAATTATTATGAACATGCTCGTAATTACATTTTGTTTTCCTTTATGCTAAATTGAAGGTCACTCTTGTGGAGTATCAGATCTCTCCGCCTCTTCTGCTGCATGGACGAACTTGACTTCCCCTGGCTATCCTTCAAACTATTCCAAGTAGGTACCTACACTCGTAACAAATGAGTAATAGTTAGTCAGTCAGTTAGTAGCGCTACTCAATTGACAACTAACACTGCAAGGGTGGCAAATAGCACCACACACCACGTGAAGGTAGCACTACACACGTTACTTCAACCTAGCACTACACACGTGACAGGAAAGTAGCACGTTACTTGTAAGCTAGGATAATATGCGTGTGTGTGTGTGTATGTGTCTGTCTGTCTGTCTGTCTGTCTGTATGTATGTATGTATGTATGTATGTATGTATGTATGTATGTATGTATGTACGTACGTACGTATGTATGTATGTATGTATTTGAAGATGGGTGGTGTATAAATTGTATGATATGTTTTGGTTTTACTTCTATCGAAAATTCTATAGAACAGATGCTGATGCTAACATTATTGACATTAACACTTGTCGCTTGGTCCTACATCAACAAGTATGTTAGTTTGAATCAGTAATTACCTCTAGATGATGTTACTGACCTGGGGCAGTAGGGTAGTGAGTTAATAAGGTCTTATGTCGCTTTCAGCAATAATCCAGCAAAATGACGTTCACTAGCAATGTTCAATTCCTGGCTTCGATTCCTTACACGAGTAGGAATGTGTGAAGCCTGATTTTGCTGGAATCTTCCAGCAGCGTAGAACCTACTTACTCAATCAATGTTACAGATTATACAATTGTAAAGGTAGCACTACACGTGTGACAGGTAAGTAGCGCCACACATGTACACGTGACTTAAACGTGGCACTGCACACGTGACAAGGAAGTAGAAATCCATACATGACTAAAGTAACATGTAACATGTATGCTAGGATAATGATAATTATAACTAAAAAGTGTTTGAATGACATGACATGACAAACACACCATAGGTAATTGTGGATGATTAGCATTATTGTATGAGAGAGTGAGTTGGGTTTACCGCTGCTTTGAACAATATGTTGTGTGTGTATGTGTTTGTGTGTTTGTATGTGTGTATATAAAGCTGATGTAGCAAGTTTTATTTGCAGCAACCTAGACTGCCGGTGGACAATTTCTGCACCCGTTGGATATGAAATTAAAGTCGAAGTTATGTATTCTATTGTTCAAAACTCGACAGCTTGTTCAAGCGACTACCTTCTCCTCAGTGACGGTAAGCACAGTGTACATATTCAAAACAATATTTTAAGTAACTGTGCTGTATTCGTGTTTAATAAATTCTGAACAATATCTGTATTATTAGTCCAAATTACACCATGAATCCGAAATAAATCAAGTTCAGTTACTTTACGCTTTCGTCACAAAACATACGGCATGAGCAAGCTAATGCTCCTCGTGTGGACAACTTAAGCGCCTCAGCTAGTTTTAGATACAATGATTCGTAATTATTAATGTAATAAGTACTCATGAGAGATGATTGGCACAGAATATATTTAGTCAAGGTTACGTTTGTATTGATTTCTGATCAATAACCAATAATATTAGCCTCAAGTTGATTCGATTACTAAGATGTATACATGTAAGTGTATGCGTCTATACCGATATCATGAGTGAATAAATATATATACTTATTAATTCCAGGATCCACGTCTTTCGCTTCTCAGTTGGGAAAATATTGTGGTCGTAGTTACATCACCAGGGAAGTCGTCAGCTCCAGAAACTACGTGACCATCACATTCCACACCGACGGCTCTGACACAGCACCAGGATTTAATCTGAAATACAAAGCTGGAACGTTCCTAACAACTACTACAGGTACAATTATTGTGTGTTGACGGCCGGCTATTTAATAATCGAGGTCATGGTGTAAAGGGATGGAAATCTTTTGGGTTGGGCGATGTAACTGTGCTTGGGGTTAGTCATATTGAATGGTGCTTTGGGCTGGTATTAATGGTAGAAATAGGTTATTTACTTCGTCACAGCATCAAGACACATTGGAATCACATGGGACACAGTTTAGTGTTATGTCTACAATGGATGTTTGCCTCAACAAAATATAATTTATATTTATATAAATACAAAGGATACAATCAGTGACAATAAATATTTTTTTCTCGTTTTTAAATTATGCACATGTCGTTATAAAATTTAAAAGTATTTTTTGCATGATGTTTGTTAACTAGTTATATATGTGAATTTGGACGAACAACAGGTTAATTTTCTTTTTCAACTATAATATGTTCCACCGCTTTATAACCTTAAACAAATTTAACAATTATTCTTTCACTCTTTCGTTTATATAGAGAGAGCAAATGAGCTTAATTGTGGAAGTTCATTGCTCAGCGCCTCTACGTCCACCTGGAGATATTTGTCGTCTCCTGGCTACCCCAACTACAACTACAACAAGTTAGTAACTATATATTTATCTTTGGTTGCTGCCCCTTATTGATTAATGGCAGGTTAATATATAATGACACCTTAAGGTGACCAATATATCAACTACTCTTTCCTACTACGAGATTTTCCCGATGTAATTTGCTGTGCAGGGTTGCGGATCTTAAAAACATCCCTGGGTCCTAAGATCTTGGTTTCAAATCCTCGATTCACCCTGCTTATTATCCTTGGCTTGTCTGCATCATGATCGCGCCAGTGGGTGTTACCTTGTGGTAAAAGTCTTCGATGCACATCATTTAATTTCTTATGAAGCCGCAGATCTATGTACAAAGGCTGGAAGGCCTATCAAAACACATGACCTTAACACATCACAACTGAACTTCACACATCGATGCTATTATGTAGTGTTTATGAGCAACTCACCGGAGGACGTTTAATTGGACTATACTCCACTGAGATCAAGCAGCATTTGGACATAACGCTCGATGACCGCCTTTAACTTACCTTCACTAGAGGCAAAGTCCTCACCGAAGATAAGGTGGTATTGGGTTGGCTGTGAAAGACTACTTATACAAATGGTTCTTCCTTTTTTAATAGCAGTGACTATATTGTTTGGTTTCGGATTGGAAAAGAGATGTGTAGTGTTGATGATGATATTTACCTTGGTGTTGTCTATTTGCCACCAGAACACTTCTAATGAAATGTATTTCGAATTAGAGAGTTCACTGATTGTTCAAAGTGTTTTTAATTTCCGAAAACTTTATTTTCATAGGTAATTTTAATGCCTGAAATACTAGCATATTTGACTACTTTATTTTGGATGAGCATATCGGGAATGAACTAAACTTAGACATTGATGAACTGTCTAATAAATTTAACCACGATACTGTCTTTAAACAACTTAAGTAAACAAAACAAAAAATTGTAACGACTGTCTAGGAAATGACCTACATTTTGGTCACTACACATGCAAAGATGTAAGTGTGGTTGGCTATGTTCGCAGTCACTATACAGTGTCTGATCAGTGGGGTACTCTTGTTACACTGCAGCCTAGTATCTCAGTGGCCTAGCACTCTAAAATTGGCATTCGTCAGGACTAGTACAGGCATCCGCACGCACATGTATGCACGTCGCTATATAAGTGTATAATCTTGACTGTATCCGGTCACTGCACAATAAGAGTTTCAGATACCATCGTGCAGACACCTTGGAATGGTGATGAATTATTGTTGAGACACTACCATGACATATTATGCACTGTTTGAATATTTCATCTTGGGACAAGGATGCTACATAAATTGAACCTTTTCCCTTGCAAATACCTCTTCCCTAGTCACTGATGACTTCGGATAATACAGATTTTGAATCATGTTCAGGTCTCTCTCGTTTTCGCTTGAAGACTGTTTTGCAGCTATTGAATAATTGGGAGCATCATCACGAGAAACACCAGCCATACTGTGGACAAGGGATGCGTTTAATTATCAGAAATAACAACGTTGCTACGGATGTAAGAGTAGTGACAAAGAGCATGCTTTCCAGATGTCCCATACTTACATGTATATTGTTGTCGAAGGTTTTCGTGTCTTGTTCTATGCACTTTTCGACTTGCCCTCATACAATGTTATATGTATATGCGTTTGATCTGATCTGTACGTTTAAAGATTACACTATATATTTCTTTGTAGCAACATGGACTGCAAGTGGACAATTTCTGCACCCGTTGAATATAAAATAAAAGTTGAAATTATAGTTCTTTCTGTGGAATCCGTGGCCGGGTGTGCAAACGACTATCTCCTCTTCAATGACGGTAAACAAAATATTCAATTTTATAAAAGTGCTAAAATAAATCATATTGCTCTTTTATGTTGAATTGGTTTGCAAATAATATGCTCAATTATTAGTATTATTTGCTTCAAGTTGACTTCAATACTAGTATGTCTTTAAATCGACGACATGAGTAAATCAATGTATTTATTCAAGGTTCCTCTTCTGACGCTACTCAGTTGGGAAAATACTGTGATGGTACCAGGAATGTAGTCAGCTCCAGTAACACCATTACCATCACCTTCCACACTGACCGCTCTATCTCAGGCAGAGGATTTTCTTTGAAATACATGGCGCGGACGTCAGGTACTTATCTATATTGTTGTTTTAATGCTTCCTCTTTAACATTAAACTAACGCTACATAAAACACAAATTTACTCTCTTCTTTGAAAGTGACTAAAAGGGTTCCAAACACGCTTAAATATAATTTGGTTCTGGCCAAGGTTTGCAAAAAAGGCTGGATATGTTGAATGTCCTGAGCAAATATGTGTGAAAAAGGAAATTGATTTTCTCCCTTTAACAAAATGATATATCTTGAAGCAATTTCTGTTTCTGATAAAATCGCAGTATATTTCTTGTTTTACGCTTTAGTTTTGTGTAGCCTAAACTGGAAACAAGCAAAGTAAAATAACACAGTGAACCTACTATGTGTAGCTGTATTCATGACTACAACATGTATGTGGTTGAGGTGTGTTTGTGGTTGGGACTGTTTTGGATTTGGCCATATTAAATGGTGCGTTGGGCTAGAATGGATGGTGGAGATAGATTATTTACTTGGTCACTGCTTTGAACAAGACACGCTGAGAAAATCACACTGTTTAGCCTTACGTCTACAATGATTGCTGTGAAACAACAAAAAGTCACATTGTGATAATTTAGTGACATTAGTAAACCATTTCACGTTTCTAAATTATGCACATGTCGTGGGCCCTCTGAATTTATCGATCTTGAATAAAAATTAAAAGTATCATGCATGATCTTTACTAACTAGTTGTATATGTGAATTTAGATGAACAACAGGTAAATTTCATTTTCCATTATAATATGTTCTTTCGCTTATAACCTTGAAAGGATTTAACAATAATCCTTGCACTGTTGCTGCTTTATCCTTTATATAGGTGCGAATGGGCTTAATTGTGGAAGTTCATTGCTCAGCGCCTCTACGTCCACCTGGAGATATTTGTCGTCTCCTGGCTACCCCAACTACAACTACAACAAGTTCGTACATATATACCTATTTGGTTGCTGCCCCTTATTGATTAATAGCAGGTTAATAAAATGACACCTTCTGGCCATAAGGTGACCAATACATACAACTTCTTTTTCTACCACGAGTTTTTGTCGTTGCAATTTGCTGTGCAGATTTCCGGATCTTAAAAGCATGCCTAGATCCTATGATCGTGGTTTCAAATCCTACATTCTCCCTGACTATTATCCTTGACTTGTGTTCATCATGATCGCGCCCGTGGGTGTTACCTTGTGGTAAAAGTCTTCGATGCACATCATTTAAATCTTTCGCCTCGCATTTGAGGAAGCCGTAGATCTATATACAAAGGCTGGAAGGCCTAACAAAACACATGACTATAACACATCACAACTGAACTGCACACATCGATGCTATCATGTAGTGTTTATGAGCAACTCACCGAAGGACGTTAAATTGGACTATACTCCATTGAGATTAAGCCGCGCTTGGACATAACGCTCGATGGCCACCTTTAACTTACCTTCACTAGAGGCAAAGTCCTCACCGAAGGTAAGTTGGTATTGGGTTGGCTGTGAAAGACTACTTATACAAATGGTTCTTCCTTTTTTAATAGCAGTGACTATATTGTTTGGTTTCGGATTGGAAAAGAGATGTGTAGTGTTGATGATGATATTTACCTTGGTGTTGTCTATTTGCCACCAGAACACTTCTAATGAAATGTATTTCGAATTAGAGAGTTCACTGATTTTTCAAAGTGTTTTTAATTTCCGAAAGCTTTATTTTTATAGGTAATTTTAATGCCCGAAATACCAGCATATTTGATTACTGTATTTTGGATGAGCATATCGGGAATGAAGTAAACTTAGACATTGATGAACTGTCTAATAAATTTAACCCAGATACTGTCCTTAAACAACTTAAGTAAACAAAAAAAAAATTGTAACGACTGTCAAGGAATTGACCTACATTTTGGTCACTACACATGCAAAGATGTAAGCGTAGTTGGCTATGTTCGCAGTCAGTATACTGTGTCTGATCAGTGGGGTATTCTTGTTACACTGCAGCCTAGTATCTCAGTGGCCTAGCACTCTAAAATTGGCATTCGTCAGGACTAGTACAGGCATCCGTACGCACATGTATGCACGTCGCTATATAAGTGTATAATCTTGACTGTATCCTGTCACTGTACAATTAGAGTTTCCCTTGCAAAATACCTCTTCCCTAGTCACTGATGACTTCGGATAATACAGATTTTGAATCATATTCAGGTCTCTTTCGTTTTCGCTTGAAGACTGTTTTGCAGCTATTGAATAATTGGGAGCATCATCACGATAAACACCAGCCATACTGTGGACAAGGGATGCGTTTAATTATCAGAAATAACAACGTTGCTACGGATGTAAGAGTAGTGACAAAGAGCATGCTTTCCAGATGTCCCATACTTACATGTATATTGTTGTCGAAGGTTTTCGTGTCTTGTTCTATGCACTTTTTGACTTGCCCTCATACAATGTTATATGTATATGCGTTTGATCTGATCTGTACGTTTAAAGATTACACTATATATTTCTTTGTAGCAACATGGACTGCAAGTGGACAATTTCTGCACCCGTTGAATATAAAATAAAAGTTGAAATTATAGTTCTTTCTGTGGAATCCGTGGCCGGGTGTGCAAACGACTATCTCCTCTTCAATGACGGTAAACAAAATATTCAATTTTATAAAAGTGCTAAAATAAATCATATTGCTCTTTTATGTTGAATTGGTTTGCAAATAATATGCTCAATTATTAGTATTATTTGCTTCAAGTTGACTTCAATACTAGTATGTCTTTAAATCGACGACATGAGTAAATCAATGTATTTATTCAAGGTTCCTCTTCTGACGCTACTCAGTTGGGAAAATACTGTGATGGTACCAGGAATGTAGTCAGCTCCAGTAACACCATTACCATCACCTTCCACACTGACCGCTCTATCTCAGGCAGAGGATTTTCTTTGAAATACATGGCGCGGACGTCAGGTACTTATCTATATTGTTGTTTTAATGCTTCCTCTTTAACATTAAACTAACGCTACATAAAACACAAATTTACTCTCTTCTCTGAAAGTGACTAAAAGGGTTCCAAACACGCTTAAATATAATTTGGTTCTGGCCAAGGTTTGTAAAAAATGCTGGATATGTTGGATGTCCTGAGCAAATATGTGTGAAAAAGGAAATTGATTTTCTCCCTTTAACAAAATGATATATCTTGAAGCAATTTCTGTTTCTGATAAAATCGCAGTATATTTCTTGTTTTACGCTTTAGTTTTGTGTAGCCTAAACTGGAAACAAGCAAAGTATAATAACACAGTGAACCTACTATGTGTAGCTGTATTCATGACTACAACATGTATGTGGTTGAGGTGTGTTTGTGGTTGGGACTGTTTTGGATTTGGCCATATTAAATGGTGCGTTGGGCTAGAATGGATGGTGGAGATAGATTATTTACTTGGTCACTGCTTTGAACAAGACACGCTGAGAAAATCACACTGTTTAGCCTTACGTCTACAATGATTGCTGTGAAACAACAAAAAGTCACAAATTGATAATTTAGTGACATTAGTAAACCATTTCACGTTTCTAAATTATGCACATGTCGTGGGCCCTCTGAATTTATCGATCTTGAATAAAAATTAAAAGTATCATGCATGATCTTTACTAACTAGTTGTATATGTGAATTTAGATGAACAACAGGTAAATTTCATTTTCCATTATAATATGTTCTTTCGCTTATAACCTTGAAAGGATTTAACAATAATCCTTGCACTGTTGCTGCTTTATCCTTTATATAGGTGCGAATGGGCTTAATTGTGGAAGTTCATTGCTCAGCGCCTCTACGTCCACCTGGAGATATTTGTCGTCTCCTGGCTACCCCAACTACAACTACAACAAGTTCGTACATATATACCTATTTGGTTGCTGCCCCTTATTGATTAATAGCAGGTTAATAAAATGACACCTTCTGGCCATAAGGTGACCAATACATACAACTTCTTTTTCTACCACGAGTTTTTGTCGTTGCAACTTGCTGTGCAGATTTCCGGATCTTAAAAGCATGCCTAGATCCTATGATCAAGGTTTCAAATCCTACATTCTCCCTGACTATTATCCTTGACTTGTGTTCATCATGATCGCGCCCGTGGGTGTTACCTTGTGGTAAAAGTCTTCGATGCACATCATTTAAATCTTTCGCCTCGCATTTGAGGAAGCCGTAGATCTATATACAAAGGCTGGAAGGCCTAACAAAACACATGACTATAACACATCACAACTGAACTGCACACATCGATGCTATCATGTAGTGTTTATGAGGAACTCACCGAAGGACGTTAAATTGGACTATAATCCATTGAGATTAAGCAGCGCTTGGACATAACGCTCGATGGCCACCTTTAACTTACCTTCACTAGAGGCAAAGTCCTCACCGAAGGTAAGTTGGTATTGGGTTGGCTGTGAAAGACTACTTATACAAATGGTTCTTCCTTTTTTAATAGCAGTGACTATATTGTTTGGTTTCGGATTGGAAAAGAGATGTGTAGTGTTGATGATGATATTTACCTTGGTGTTGTCTATTTGCCACCAGAACACTTCTAATGAAATGTATTTCGAATTAGAGAGTTCACTGATTGTTCAAAGTGTTTTTAATTTCCGAAAGCTTTATTTTTATAGGTAATTTTTAATGCCCGAAATACTAGCATATTTGATTACTGTATTTTGGATGAGCATATCGGGAATGAAGTAAACTTAGACATTGATGAACTGTCTAATAAATTTAACCCAGATACTGTCCTAAAACAACTTAAGTAAACAAAAAAATAATTGTAACGACTGTCAAGGAATTGACCTACATTTTGGTCACTACACATGCAAAGATGTAAGCGTAGTTGGCTATGTTCGCAGTCAGTATACTGTGTCTGATCAGTGGAGTATTCTTGTTACACTGCAGCCTAGTATCTCAGTGGCCTAGCACTCTAAAATTGGCATTCGTCAGGACTAGTACAGGCATCCGCACGCACATGTATGCACGTCGCTATATAAGTGTATAATCTTGACTGTATCCTGTCACTGTACAATTAGAGTTTCCCTTGCAAATACCTCTTCCCTAGTCACTGATGACTTCGGATAATACAGATTTTGAATCATGTTCAGGTCTCTCTCGTTTTCGCTTGAAGACTGTTTTGCAGCTATTGAATAATTGGGAGCATCATCACGAGAAACACCAGCCATACTGTGGACAAGGGATGGATTTAATTATCAGAAATAACAACGTTGCAACGGACGGAAGAGTGGTGATAAAGAGCATGCTTTCCAGATGTCCCATACTTACATGTATATTGCTGTCGAAGGTTTTCGTGTCTTGTTCTATGCACTTTTCGACTTGACCTAATACAATATTATATGTATATGCGTTTGATCTGATCTGTACGTTTAAAGATTACACTATATATTTCTTTGTAGCAACATGGACTGCAAGTGGACAATTTCTGCACCCGTTGAATATAAAATAAAAGTTGAAATTATAGTTCTTTCTGTGGAATCCGTGGCCGGGTGTGCAAACGACTATCTCCTCTTCAATGACGGTAAACACAATATTCAATTTTATAAAAGTGCTAAGATATAATCATATTGCTCTTTTATGTTGAATTGGTTTGCAAATAATATGCTCAGTAATGAGTATTATTTGCCTCAAGTTGACTTCAATACTAGTTTGTCTTTAAATCAACGACATGAGTAAATAAATATATTTATTCAAGGCTCCTCGTCTGACGCTACTCAGTTGGGAAAATACTGTGATGGTACCAGGAATGTAGTCAGCTCCAGTAACACCATTACCATCACCTTCCACACTGACCGCTCTATCTCAGGCAGAGGATTTTCTTTGAAATACATGGCGCGGACGTCAGGTACTTATCTATATTGTTGTTTTAATGCTTCCTCTTTAACATTAAACTAACGCTACATAAAACACAAATTTACTCTCTTCTTTGAAAGTGACTAAAAGGGTTCCAAACACGCTTAAATATAATTTGGTTCTGGCCAAGGTTTGCAAAAAATGCTGGATATGTTGGATGTCCTGAGCAAATATGTGTGAAAAAGGAAATTGATTTTCTCCCTTTAACAAAATGATATATCTTGAAGCAATTTCTGTTTCTGATAAAATCGCAGTATATTTCTTGTTTTACACTTTAGTTTTGTGTAGCCTAAACTGGAAACAAGCAAAGTATAATAACACAGTGAACCTACTATGTGTAGCTGTATTCATGACTACAACATGTATGGGGTTGAGGTGTGTTTGTGGTTGGGACTGTTTTGGATTTGGCCATATTAAATGGTGCGTTGGGCTGGAATGGATGGTGGAGATAGATTATTTACTTGGTCACTGCTTTGAACAAGACACGCTGAGAAAATCACACTGTTTAGCCTTACGTCTACAATGATTGCTGTGAAACAACAAAAAGTCACAAATTGATAATTTAGTGACATTAGTAAACCATTTCACGTTTCTAAATTATGCACATGTCGTGGGCCCTCTGAATTTATCGATCTTGAATAAAAATTAAAAGTATCATGCATGATCTTTACTAACTAGTTGTATATGTGAATTTAGATGAACAACAGGTAAATTTCATTTTCCATTATAATATGTTCTTTCGCTTATAACCTTGAAAGGATTTAACAATAATCCTTGCACTGTTGCTGCTTTATCCTTTATATAGGTGCAAATGGGCTTAATTGTGGAAGTTCATTGCTCAGCGCCTCTACGTCCACCTGGAGATATTTGTCGTCTCCTGGCTACCCCAACTACAACTACAACAAGTTCGTACATATATACCTCTTTGGTTGCTGCCCCTTATTGATTAATAGCAGGGTAATGTAATGACACCTTCTGGCCATAAGGTGACCAATACATACAACTTCTTTTTCTACCACGAGTTTTTGTCGTTGCAATTTGCTGTGCAGATTTCCGGATCTTAAAATGCATGCCTAAATCCTATGATCGTGGTTTCAAATCCTACATTCTCCCTGACTATTATCCTTGACTTGTGTTCATCTTGATCGCGCCCGTGGGTGTTACCTTGTGGTAAAAGTCTTCGATGCACATCATTTAAATCTTTCGCCTCGCATTTGAGGAAGCCGTAGATCTATATACAAAGGCTGGAAGGCCTAACAAAACACATGACTATAACACATCACAACTGAACTGCACACATCGATGCTATCATGTAATGTTTATGAACATCACCGAAGGACGCTAAAACAGGACAATACTCTGTTGAGATTAAGCAGCGCTTGGACATAACGCTCGATGGCTACCTTTAAGCTGATACAGCGTGACTCACTCCAACCACATGTGTGGCTAAGTACACATAATTATAGGTCATGCTGGCAGTAAAGTGGTAATCGAATGTAGACTTGTCTATATATTCAAATTTCATGTTCATGGTGAAAAGAGGTGTAAATCGAATAGCATGTCCTATGATCGTATGTCATTGATTCACCGTTGTCAGGGAGCTGAGTTCCCGCAAATAGTTTGGTAATAAAAGTAAATATCGAAATGTTAGACAAAAGATTGGATAATATTATTAACCCATCGCAATCATCGTTAATGTTATGGTTGATTTTAAGATATCAGATCATTTTCCGATTTATACTGCGATAAGTAGAAAATGTATCACAATATAATTTTTGAATTTATCTAAATGATCATGAGTGAGTGAGTGAGTGAGTGAGTGAGTGAGTGAGTTAATGCTTTACGTCACATCAGCAATATTTCAGCCATATCGTGACGAAAAATGTTTATACATACAGTTTTAACTTAATTAAAACCTGTCATCGATGGACAGTAAAATTACTAGAATATCACAGTTTATTATTTAAAACTAGCATACAACTATAAAAAAGATAGCACTATAAATTACGGTACAATATAAAAAAGGCTATAGTTCGCCAGCAGCTGAAGGTAGATCACCATGCTAGGGTCCATGGGGACTTACAGTACTTTTGCTACCTGCATGGACCCCAGCCAGATTAAATGATCATGAGACATTTCTAAATAAACGGCAGTGTTATGGCTGCTGTTTATAAGATAACGATGATAATACTTTTCTATATGTTAAATTATTATTTCTTCTGCTTTATGATGATGATATTGTTCTTTTCAAAGAAAGACCATAGATTTCCCGGAAGAAACCTGTAGATGGAAAAAACTCACTAGAGGAGATAGACCTGTAGTAGCTGATGAATATCATTAGTTATTTAAATGTGAATTCTTTGTTCTCTATACTTATCTTTACATACCACAATATTATCAGAAGCTCCGAAATACATTTAAAGTGGCAAGACTTTTTTCCAACAATAGCACCAACGCTTGCGGAATGTATGTAAATTTAACTCTTTACTAAGGAATGTGTTCTAAAGCAACATTGAATATGCAACCGTATACTAGCTATGATGACTAAACAAATAACACTCTGACAAGACACATAGGCATAGACCGCTGATTAAACCGGCTTTGATAAAAAAACAAACATGGGGGTTAATTAATTCTTCACTTTCAAATGAGTGAGTAACCTAGGCTTGAAATGGGCTCTGTGGACCCTATTCCTAAGATACATGTATGTCTCTTAGACACTAAATTATAGACAAATACGCTCAAATAAAAAATATTAAGTATTATAGACAAAGGTCCCTTGGACTAAAAAGGAAATACTTGTCTTCAAGAATATACAAGCACCTGGCCTTCAGAACTTCTTGACTTCCAACTACAAATAGGTGCTTAGCCAAAGCTAATTAACCCTGAGGAAATTAATTTTCTTGCTTGCCTCAATTCTGTCATCAAAAAACATTATTGGCATTCCTGATTATAGTTTTAGGAGACACGTAGTGCATCCCAGAAAATAGACGCCTTTGCCTGTTGATGGTTGAGCGTGGAGGGTGTTTCACACTGCATAGACACATGTGTCGATTCAGGATCCAGTGCATCCATGATCATCACCTGAATTATTGTTGAGACTCTACATGACATATTGAACACCGTTTGAACATTTCATATCGGGACAGAGATTCTGCAAAGTTTGAACCTCTACACTAGCAATCTACCTCTTCCGTAGTCAGTGATGTCATCGGATAACCTTGACTTTAAATCATGTTTACGCCTCTCTCGTTTTCGCTTGAAGAATTTTGCAGCTGTTGAATAATTGGGAGCATCATCACGATAAAAGCATGTAATTCTTTACCTTCCCTGGGGAGAAACGTTATGCTGGTTTTATGTTTTACTCTGGTCATATTCATGGTTTCAAGATGTCAGGATAACATATAACTATCAATATTATATGTTCAATGCTTTTGACTCCGATCCGTGCTTTCTTTTAAAGAGTACACTACATCATTCTTTGTAGCAATATGGACTGCAAGTGGACAATTTCGGCACCTGCTGGATATAAAATAAAAGTCGAAATTATAGTTCTCTCTGTGGAATATGAAACCACCTGTGCAAGAGACTATCTCCTCTTCAGTGACGGTAAGCACAATGTTCAATTCTATAAGGTTCTATTGCTCTTTTGTGTTGAATTAGTTTGCCAAAAATATGCTCAATAATTAATTGACCTCAACTTGACTTCAGTACTAGTATGTTAAGGGGTATGCCTCGACGACATAAGTGATTCTATATATTTATTCAAGGCTCCTCGTCTTACGGCACTAAGTTGGGTAAATACTGTGATGGCACCAGGGACGTGGTCAGCTCCAGTAACGCCATGACTGTCACCTTCCACACTGACAACTCTGTGACAAAAAGAGGATTTTCTTTTAAATACATGGCGCGGACGTCAGGTACTTTCTCTCTCTGATTAAAATGACGATTGTCTTGTTCCACTGTTTTACCGCATGAACTATCTATATGTCCCAACATTAAAACTGCCACATCATTTATAATAATAACTGCACCCACGAATGTGGTACAACAAGGCCCGTTGTTGCCCTGTTGAAATACCAGATAAAGTTAATGAATGTTTTTCAACATGGAATTATTGAAAATAACAAACTCTAATTATTTTTCTTGTCATTTCACCACATTTCACCACGTCGATAAGAGGGTATTTCATATTTGTTAGACGTAAGCAGTAATACTTGATATTTAACTGTTATGGAAGGTCATCACCGCACTCCTTCTATGTTGTGCCTCTCAATGTGAACAGCCCCGTTTCTCCTAGGACATCCTCATCATCACACAATCAAGTCTCCACTAATGAATCCATCCAATGCTGTGTAACTATTCAATGTTTCAGGTTGTGGCACAGAGGAAGAGATAAACGGATATGAAACGAAATATATTGAATCACCGAATTATCCTCTTGACTATCCCGAGTGAGTATGCACTAAACGTTTTACGATTATCACGGCCACAAAGAGGGACGTCAAACTGCATTCCCAGTGCGTTGGGCCAACTACGAATTGATCTAAGCACCGTGTTTATCATTTACTACAATTGTAAAAATGACATACGAATCTGTAGTCTACATGGACATGAATCCAAACGTCACTGACCAATAGAATCCAAGTACATTGTAGTAAAGCAACATAATGCAAAGTCTTTTGTATAGTTTGAACAGTTTACCAGACATATTTCTCACACAAACTCAGTACTACCGAATAGTTCCGTTCTTTGGTTCAAGTAAGGCAAGTTTCATTGCAACTGATGAAGATACAACAAAGGTAGACCCATGTCTGTACCTTACCCGTGAAGATCCTGGGGAGAATAAGTGTTCAGCAACCCATGTTTGTCGTAAGAGGCGACTATGCTTGTCGTAACAGACGACTAACGGGATCGGGTGGTCAGGCTAGCTGACTTGGTTGTTGCATGTCATCGTAACCCAATTGCGTGGATTGATGCTCATGATGTTAATCACTGGATTGTCTGGTCGAGACACGATGATTATTTTCAGACCGCCGCCATATAGCTGGAATATTGCTGAGTGCAGCGTTAAACAACAAACAAACAAACAAACAAACATGCTTGCACCACATGTACATGAAATGAATGTGAAATGAACTGTCCATATGTCCCAACACTCACAAAACACATTGATATGACTCGTTTCATGACTAAAGATGGACACTCATGATTATTCGACGCTGATTTTGTTATTGCGTATGTATATAGGTATTTAGTGTTCGACGACATGCTATTAACCGCACCATGAAAGCAGGATAACGCCATAAAATACTGACATACTATTCGTAATATAAATAAAACAAACCAATTTAGGTTCTTGTAAACAGCAAAACTTTGGAGAAACAATTAAACTTGACCCGACTTTTCATGCATTTCTATTGCATTTTGAACATATGTGTATTGACTTAGGACATACTATTATACATAAAAACATCTCACCTCAACCCTATGATAATCATTTTGGCCATTCATAATATTGTATTCAGCAGTGTAACACCAGGTATAGCATTAATCATATCTTCCTTTGGTAGAAGTCGTTCTTGAACCTATGTTTACGACAATTTAACATATGTTCAACAAACAAAACGTAAAAAAGAAAACAATTAATAGGTTTTGGCACCGAAATTTAAATGAGATTGTGGCAGTACTTACCAAAGTGAATACAAACACCTGGAACAAGAGTATAATATTTTATCATTGACTGTAGTAATCTATAAGAAAGTCAACAGAAGCACCAGAAACTTCTATGTAGATTGTATCGCAGTTAACGTAATCATGTGGCGAATTTGCAAAACTGTTGCGTTGCGACCTGAACAACACTCAGATCATGTTGTAATTCGGTTTGTTGTGGTACATTTTACAATGATAATGTATCGGTCTAATTTCAGCAATGCGGACTGTTCATGGACAATCAGCACTGATGTTGAAGGATATGTAATCCATGTGAAAGTGGAGTTTTTCTACCTTGAGCATGACAGCACGTGTTCCTATGATTATGTGCAGCTCTATGACGGTAATGTCTTACTCAAAGACAGAGTTTTCCTAGAATTGATTAAGAGAGACAGTGTGTTATTCACACGAATGTATCAGGGTCCTCAGTGTAACTGTATTTGTAAAGACAGGTGTCGTTTTATCATTGCAATAAAACCCTTTTAATCCAAGTTATACCTGGTCGTTTGAGCTGCATCCTTTTCGGCAAAGTAGGAAAATTCAACAACCTGAGTCACTTCGGGTCTTTACTCCTACTCTACACTAAAAAATAAAAATAAAATAGTCACGTGTAATAAATAAATATCATTCCCAAGTATATGTTAAAAGTATTGCCTGTCTTAACGCACTTTAACCTCTTTGTCTTTAACGTTAACTGATGTGATTTGTTGTAAGCTATAATATTCTCACAATATCACACACATGTTCTATCCTTGTCATAGTCAGGGGAACATATGAACACTCGCTTGGTCGATGGTGTGGATCGGATGGACCAGATACACAGAGTACAGGGTTGAGTATGAAGGTTCGATTCCTCTCCGATGCTTCGAGCACCTTCACAGGATTCAAGTTGGCCTTCACTGCCGGCGAACCAACATCTTCCTGTAAGTTTTTAAGCTGTATTCATTCATTTCAAAATAGATCGAATCTGTTAATATAAGACGAATGAGATTCCTCAATCAGCACCCCTACTATAACGTTTATGTCACGTCTCAGTCATTGTACATTTCCATTGTATTCGTGTTGATTTACACCTGCAGCGTATTGGGGTTAAACATTATACATACGATGTGTTTAGATGACTACAGAATATCTTGAGGGTATGGGTGGCCAGGATGACTAAACAGTCGCCCTGTTTATGTCTACTAAATATAAACCTGTGTCCATTCGTTTCACATCAAGATGCCACACCTGTACATGACTGACATAGTTACACAGCGGCCTTAATCTAAACAGTTATACACTGCTTCATCGTTTGTGAATATTGTGTCACGGGTTGTAGCGGTTATAATAGTCGACTCATTGTAATTGTCATTTGACCAATGTTAATACACTGAGAAGTTGAACTATTGGCATTTGACATAATATCACGCTGGTATTGATGGCGCGATAAGTGTAATACAATGGCATAAAATGTGTACGTTGTTACCTTCTGTGCAAACGTTTCCCCAGCTGTACAAGAAAATATGAGAACGTCTTGATCGCCACTTAACTTTAACTTCTCAAGCAATCTACATAACTAGGAAACATCAGATAGGTAGGTTTGACATCATGTCGGAAGGTATAGATGCGTGGCCAGCTGAACCAGAACGCGATAGGGTTATGGAACAACAATACTTGTGCAAATATGAATTATTCTGAAACTTTCAAGAATCTATTTCAAAACCATATTTACTTGGCACTCTACCAGAGGGCTTATTAGGTCATGTTACATGCATGTATGTGACAGTAGTACTAATTAATCATTTTAAAAAAGACCTTGAACGTGAATATTATTTTTCTTCAGCTTCTGTGTCAAGGAACATCGGAGTAATAACATTCAGTGTAAGTGACTCGTCTTTGTTTCACCATTCTGTTTCGTCTTTTACTTTGTACAGCGTCTTTTTCACCGAACTTTGGAGGGGTCATTGGAGGGGTATTCGGCGGCATTGTGGGCGTGGCTATATTAACGTGTTGCTGCTGTGGAATTTGCTCTAGGAAAAAATCCACGACAAACGACCAGTCACAAAGGAACAGATCTCGTGAAGACAACGTGAACAACGTCTTCTCCATCCCCCTGCCCATCTACCCACCAACTACGGCTACTACTCTGCCGGCTATGTTTACTCCACCCCCAGCTTACAGTGAAGTCGTGAAGGATGACCCCCCACCCTACTGTCAGGCAGTTCCACTATCAGACATACAGCCCGTTGTGACGTCATCCCCTAACGACGCATATGAAGGGATAGATAACCCAGCAGGCCCGAGTTGAGTGACAGTTTCACATGATGTGGACACATACATGAATACACACAGATTAACATGTTTTTTAATGAAATCCCCAAACTCCATCGACAGCAAACAACAGCAAACACCGTCAAAAATTGTTCCAAAGAGGTATATTTGATATTTTCTAAGAATATCTACCACCATAAGAAAATGCAGTTATCTGTATTCTTACAATATCTGGTTCGCGATCTATTTGGGTCATGTGTGATGTTGATTGTTGAACTGTGCATAACCAAGGAACAGAAGTCACGTTTTACAAGTGAAAGAACGTTCACCAACTGATCAGTAGTCAATAAAGACTATCACAATCATGCCACAAGCATATCAATTGTGAATGGATGATAATACAATGACCACGATGAGAAACTTTTGAAATTCCTCTTGATTGTGGTAGCATATACTTATAATTGTTTTTGTTATTTGTTATAAAACTATTTTGAATATCAAATGATGCTTGGTGTTGGAGTTATGTTTATGTTTATTAGAACATGAAAGCTTGTTACAAATCATATACATATTTTACATATGCACATGTAGTGCACGTACATGTGCGCGTGCGCGTGCGTGTGCGCGTTCCTGTGTCTGTCACGGGTGTCTTGATATTGTATTGAGCATGTGAGTACAACGCGGCCTACTATTGAAAGCCCCACCTTCGGCTCTCCGGGCGGACGATCTAACTGTAGACCACTCAAATTACAGAAAAAGACTTGGTTCTTTTACGACAGAGACCGAAACGTTTTGAAACTGATGGGTGGTGTACATCCGAATTTTATCTTGAACGTTCTAGATTTAAACGAGAGTGAGTGGCATGGGGTTGAACACAGATTCCTGCAATATTTTCGTTCCTCGTGTTCCACGATTAATGTGGTGCTCAACCACCCAATAGCATTACCAAGGTGAAACCTGCAGTCGAACCCACAATGAGCTGATACGGACAGCCAAGGGATGGAAAGGAGAACTGACATTATCGGCGCCACGGTCCATCTGACCATACATGCCCTGACAAAACCATAACGATGTGGACATTAATATATTCGACCACCTACCGAGACGTCTATCATCCCTGACATAATTAAATCAACGTTTCACCAAACAGTGGTAATACGAGTAACCTTCTATATTTTCCCATGAATTTGGAAAATACTCGACTTGATCGGTCAATCAGAGGTTTCAAATCACAATAAACTGAGTGAAACAGCCGATTTGACAGCCGCGTCACCGGGGAACCTGACAGTTTTAGAATAATACTTCGCGTACAGTCATTGTCAGTAGGCATATTTAAATAATTATATGTACAATTATAGGCTACAAAATGCAAAGTTGCTACTACAATATTCAAATGATAACGGAAAATGGTGTGGAAGGAAACCTTTGCACGTTTTGCTTAGTTTTCTTTTGGGGTGCCCACTTCATGGTAGCTAACGAAATTGGCGTGCTACATGCTTTCAATGCCTGTCATAAGTTAGAGTGAAGTATATTATGCTTTAAACAAACTGCTTGAGCATAAAGAGCCCCATGTTTTGTTTGAAGGCTGTTGTCAGTGATTCAGCAAATTCTGATCGACAATCCACTCAAAACAATAGACCCAACCTATGCTGCTTCCATCGATATATTTTTTGAACACTAAAGAGTTTTATTTAGTCATGGTAGAATGGAGATAAACATACTGTGTTTTCAATGTAGAGCTAGGCTACCTGCATATTTAATCTCGCTAAATTTAATATTTGAAATCTCACGCAAAGCAAATTCCAAATTCCAAATTCAATTTAGCGAGGTTAAATCTACAAGTAACCTGTCTCCGGTTTTGAAGACACAGTGTGTTTAGGAGAAGTTGTGTACGGCTAACATGTTTCATTTGATAATAATCATGAATCTGTTACATGTAGGATGTTTGCAAAGATATATTGTAATACTATTATTGTCATGGTAGGCTGTGTCGGTATTTCGCGGCAGAATCAGTTCCAGAACCTCATGTTTGTTGTACCAGTGACCACTGAGATCAAGACGGTTACAGTGGCTCACCGTGTCCCGACCTCGCCCTTGCTGTCATCCGTCGATGTGAAGCCAAAAGTGATATAGCTGGGATATTGCTGACATAGTTGTAAAACAACATTCACTCATTCACTCATAATAGTGATAAGTCAAATAGTTGCCTGAAATAAGTAAAATATACATACACGAATAATATTTTGCATTAGTAATCAGGAACACTTCGATGTATATGCGTCAAATAATGATTACACTCAGAACGACTGTTTAATTCCGAAGTCCCATAGAAACAAAAGGCAGTGGGGTTCATTCAAGTGCGTTGCTTCACTACATTGAGTATGGATGTAGAATTTAAGGTAAAGTAGTATGTTGAAGAATGCGTACCCAGTATTTGTGGCATGGGTTCGTTCCTTCAAAATCTGCACATCGACCTTTTTGACACCCTTGATAATAAACAATTTATAGATTAGTCATTGACTATAGTCTTTTCAGCTAATAGATACATGTATGGCTGGTGGGGGTTGCCTCCCTTAGCCCGTTACTGTTGTCGTCATGCGCTGGTGAATCGTATTATCAAACTTTGCTGCTGCTTTACACACAAATGATTTCATTAAAGATGTACATGTGAGTTACCTGTGGTCGTGAATTGTGATATACATTGGGTGCACTTGATAATGTTTAAAGAAGTTATCACAAGATCCACGAATGTGACATTATTTGACAAAAAACTGTCGTTCTATTACTGCAATGACACACCGTAAATCCGAACCGTGACGTTATTTTGGTAAACTAAGCCGGGTTTTACGGTTGACTCAGTCGTTCCAAGGCGCCGAAATTCACTTTGCGGAGTTGCACCCCTGTAAGGTTAGGTTAAACATTGCTCATTTTCCTGAAATATGGGCATTAACATATCACGTCACAATGTCAGTGATTTTCCTTTTGGTGTGTCGTGCCGAGAAACATTCCCATCATATCATAAATACTTCTATTAGTTATATTGCTTTGTATAAAAAACACACTATCATTGTAAATAACACAACATGAAGAGATGCACAATACAGACCGAATCCTCATGTCATAGGCGTGACAGTGTGGTGACAATGCACGCATTTAACAAACAGGATTAATCAATGATAAGCGTACCCGGGTGTCGCTGGGGACTATTACAGTCGAGGCCTTACCTTGATGTTGAAATAGGTCACATCGGGACGTGTATGTTGTATTATATCGATAGTCTTTTCATGCGAGCGTCGCCATACACTCCAGGCAGACCACCGTGTACACAGGACTGAGGTATCTCTGAAACTGGTTGTACAGGTACATTGTGGTGGGATATAGCAATCACTATCTTCAGGGAGAGCGGTTGGCGACGGCCGGACGCCATTATGATTATATCTTGTTTCATTGGAGTATGTGTGTTGTTATTCGGGCCGCTGGTCTCAAGTAAGTGTAACATATATTGGTCATAACATATTGTTTATGTGTGAAATTGTAACTTGTAAAATACGTTAAAACAGGTTGTACATAGAAACAGTATTGATTCCGTTACTGAGTTTAAATAACATTGTTGTTCTGTTCTATTTAAATGATAATAAGACACACCGTATGTATCTTCAATTTGTGAATGTGTCTGGGAATGTATAGTATGAAATAGTCTCCTCTGTACACTGTCGGGTGTGTTGACACGGCCAGTCGGCTGTTGAAACAAGATGGCGGGCTCCGCTATTGCTTAATGTTTACATACAGAACTGGGCCAGCTGTCCAGATTCACTCAACATAAACGCCTAACAAAGTAAAATGACACGGCACACAGCAACTATCGCCTTACATCTGCGTGTACATATATATATACCTTATATATGTGAGGATATCAAATTATCAAGTTGTTTTTTTGCCGTTCAGTATTCTTGCACCCAAAGTTATTGTGACTATATCAAATAATAATAATAATAATAATAATAATAATAATAATAATAAACAACTCCAGAATGCCATATCAAGGGCCACAAATACCTATGCTGTACCCATCCTTTCATATTCTTTTGGTGTTGTTGATTGGACGAAACAAGAAATTAAGGGTATTGACACCCGCACACGAAGAATCATGTCTGACAATAGATCCCACCACCCTCGCTCTTCCCTCAATCGCTTATATTTACCAATCATTATGGGGGGACGTGGTTTGATGATAGAATAGTTGTTTTGTGCACTTTTGCACACATTTATTTGTCTGATGATCCTCTTGTGAAGCAAGTCAAGACTCATGATGAAAACAAGGCATTCCACAGATGTGGGACTCAATGTCGGTGTTGATATTGTTGATGGTTCTGTACTGCTGGACGCTACAGAAATAAGTGTCAACAAAGCGAAGTGCCATATAAAGTCGGCCCAGACTCAGTTTTTCAAGGAAAGGCTTTCTGAACGACTACTGCATCGAGTTTATGTGCAGTGTGTTTAGGTGATCAGCAATCCTGCGCTTGGATGAAGTCGTCTGGCCTGAAAAGTGAAACAGAAGGCTTTCTGTTCGCTGCTCAGGACCAGTCACTTCCCACTCGACACTAATGTGATTGACAAGATTGAGGAAAAACATGGCAAATATGCGGACCTCGCGTTCGAAATGTCACGCTTGCTACCCAAGTACCAAGTTGTCCGGCTCCCCATTGTTTCTGTACCTTAGGTTTGGTACCTCCCACTCTGTTGACTGACATGGGAGAGTACCTGGGTGTGCTACCAGGAATACAGTCCTGACAATATGCGAATGCAGAAGGCCGCAGTGTTGGGGTTAATAACAGTGTTGCAGTGTTAATGATACTACTACTACTACTACTACTACTACTACTACTACTACTAATTATTATTATTATTTGCTGATGATGAACCTAACAAGTGTTAATATGCCAGGGTCACCCTAACCCTTCGCTGCCTTTGTTTATTTTAATATGACTACTACTACTACTACTACTACTACTACTACTACTACTACTACTACTACTACTACTTCTAATACTGATCATAATAAATGCTGAAATTATTCCTCCAAAGTCGTAAGAAAGCAAATAACACCCTATTAACACCAGCCACTATATAAATAAAAGGAAATCAATAATGTGATATACGTTTCTTACAAAAAACATCGTGGTAAACCCAACCGTCAGTGCGTGCTCACTGGTGAGACAGGAATACGTTAAACAACAATCCCAGGTGGTGTAAGGTAATGTGTTTCTTTGCATACAACCTTCGGTCCGCTTGAAGTAACTCTCATCAAAATTATCAGTGCAACCACCGTGTTCGACCTCATGGTCGACCGCAATTCATAACTGGGCTTCAAGAATGTTTATTTGTCTCAAACCAGTTAAGCTAGTCCCAACTAAATCTTGCAAACTATGTCCTGAGTTGATAATGACACAGAACGGGCTCGGGATGTTTATAGGCTTTTGATTGGTGTAGCTGACGTGTGCACTTATCGAGTAATAAATATCGTTGTTAAGCAAACAACAATCCCAGGGTCGCGTGTTTAAAGGAGAAGTCAACAGCGTTACCCATCCTGTTAGCGTCGGCGGCTTCCCGGCTGTTTGACAGACAGACAGACAGACAGACTGGCAGATGTACAATGTGTAAAACATTTTTCCTTTTTTGTAAAATGTAATTGCAGGTTTTGGCGGTAAGAGGACATATAATATTATATGACAAAATATAGGCTATTTTCTGTTTATCACCCTTATTTCAGAGACTACTTCGTTCAACATTTCACACAGGACATTCGCCTTCCACAGCGCCAAGACACTGAAAACACTTCCTGCCTTCTAACGGCATGTTAATATACCGTCCTAATTCAATTTTGATAATTCAGCCAAAGCGCTTCCATGGGCACGGGGCATAGGGCGGATGACATACTCATCAACGGTATAGTCATGCTTTAAACAATAGGTATACTCCAAGTTTATAACCTCCCGTGCGCGATGGAACAACGGGATGTGATATTGCATTTTTCCATTAAATTTTATGTGAATGAAAAAACACACGTCTAACAATAAAACACGATCGAAACAATTATCTGGGGGAATAAAATGTTCCAAGTCCAGATCTTTTAATTTACAATGGGTGCGGAAGTTAAGATTTGTGTCTATTCTGGTTGCCCTGAGATTACTCCATAGAGATTGGGGGGAGCGGTGCGATCTTGGTTTAGATTGCAAAGACGTTTATATTGTCGAACCACACTTCCCCATTGGCGTACTACGTATACTGGTGGGGTCCATGCCACTTCACTGCTTACAGCTTAGTTTGGGGCATACTTTTTCACACCCAGATAAAAACGCATTGCACGATTCTGTACAGCATAATTGTACGGCTTATTATTCATTCCCCAAATACAAGATCCATATGATAAAACCGACCACCCATCGTGTCACGTAACGTTGTATATGAATGGTATTGCATACCACCTTATATGTTATATCAGTGATCAGTAAATCAAGCGCTCTGCTAGCAACTGCCTTGGCCGTACGTGTAAGGTCCAGATATCCTGTTAACAATACCCCTAAAAAGAAGTAACTGTCCAATATTTCTAAAATGTGTTCACCCCAAGTGAAAGTAAAGTTCGTATGATTGCGGTCTAAAATTTGACGAATAACTACTTGCAAATATTGTGCTGTTATTACACCAGTCACCAAGACATTCAAACATAATGTTAAGACAAATGAATGACTAGTCGTTTGTTGGTATATATATGGCTCTCCTGTTACGGGATTATCGAATTGCCAAGAATGATTGTTCAGTTGACTCAGGAACATGTCTTTAAACTCCATTGTACACGAATGACATTTCAAACAACTTGTATCCGACAGAATGTGTATTTCGTTTTCCTTTGCAAAACGTTTACCGATGTGCAAACTTTTGTAAGAATCCACTGCATGGAATCACAAAGTTTACACATCGGTTTTTCGATTCATACCCCAATGAACCGAAAGATATACACCTGTGAATCCTTAAATAGCATATTCATATATATATATGAAACAGTAATAGTAATTTACCTTAACCCTTTTTCATTGCTTTCTCAAATAACGCATAGTTGTATTGTTTCCAGGTCATTTTAGGGTATCACTAAAATGTCATATCATTTTTGTGCATATACAAGCATGATGCCATCCACATTCTGCAATTTATTACATCATCTGCTTCATTATCTGAGGAACCAGTGTTACTTATGTGACGGTTCGTCAAGTAATGAATAATCAGACCCTTGACGATCCGGGTTAAAATAGGTCTTCAGCAACCAATGCTTGTCGTAAAGATTGGTCTCTGTGCGTGTCGTATGAGGCGAGTAACGGGATCGCTGAATTGGTTGATCGATGAATATCAGTCACTGCATTGTCTGGTCCAGACTAGATTATTTACAGACCGTCATATGGCTGGAATATTGCTGAGTGCCGCGTTAAACAACAAGCAAACAAAACAATGAACCTTCATTGTTCCTGAACTAGGTGATCTAAGATGTTAAAAAGAATGTATACATTTCCATATACGTATTGACAGTAAACGTTTTTCTTACAGACGCGTGCAACGTTACGCTCTATGCTCAAAGGGAACCCCTGAATTTCACATCTCCTAACTACCCACGCAACTACACTAGGTACGTAAAGGGATATTCCTCTTCATGTTATTTCAATCTCTCAAAGAACATGTGTCCTCGTGAATATCCCCAAGATTCATGTATATTCATATATGCTTATTGTATATTATAATTGTTATCATTGATACGTCAAGTATTGCAGAATTAATTACGCACAGGTTGATGTTGGTCCTGCAATATGTTCAGGCCATGTTGCTTTAGTTCCTTACACACCTCTTTTTTCTGCAGCAATGACAACTGTTATTGGGACATCTACCCTCAAACAAGAGGGTACAGAGTTGTACTCGACATGGTGTTCTCCGATATTGAAGGCTCATCCGGATCCACTTGTCGATTTGACGCCCTAACCATATACACAAGAAATAATGGTAAAATATTCACTGCAGTTGAACATTGAAAACTTCATTTAGCTTAAATAGATTCCACAATAAATAATTATTGTTACACAGAGCTATATTTAAGAATATGTAGCAATATGAATTGTTTGATTACATGTGAAGTGATTAAAGATGTTCTGAAAAGGCTTATCGCCTGCTGGTTATTGCATGTCATTGCAATATGTTTTCATCAATACTTTTTATACTTCATTTGCTAGTTACTCAGACAAAGTATAACATTATAACACGTTCGTGTTTCATGATCTCTGTTTGGACATTTCCGAAAGAAGCTTATTGATATTAGCTACGTTTTGATTTGCAGACATCCTACGTTTTGTTTATTTGCAATTCGATTTAAGCTGAATCATTTTCCAAAACTGTTACTGATAAAAATATACATTTAATGTTGTAACAAGTAATTACTATTTATAAACAGCCCAAAATACACGAACAACAAAATGATTACTGACAATTACATTTTTTTCCACCCTAGCTGATCAAAACCAGACCGATTCCCACCGAATATGTGGACAAATCAGATGGAATCTTATTACCCATGCGAACCAACATTTTCATGCAGTGTTCGAGACTGATGGCAGTGTAACCAGAGGCGGTTTCCTAATTAGGTATTATGAAACAGACGGTGAGTAAAACCATGACCTTGTTTATGCGATTTCCTTTTATAATGTGCAATACCTCAAAAACTTTAAATTGGAAACACGATCGGTTTTGGTCCATTCTATCATGACAAAATGACCATTTAAATGTGAACTAATTGGTAATAGTAGACGTCATCGGTGATGTGAAATCAGTTGAGTCTAATGTTTCCGTTGCATAAATGGATAAAAAATCAGGAATCAGTGAAGATCTTTTTAATCCAAAAATATGTTTACTTTGATACATTTTATCTGAATCACTTGATTAAATAGACCCAATACAGTAAACCTGTAAAAAAATATTCAAATCGAAGCAGCCCTTACAATGGAGAGGTAAATTGTTTTTCTTCATTGGCAACCAAAATGCAAGATTTTAAAAGGTCATTGTAGAATATGTCAAAATCAGTGCACAATACAAACTTACTTTGACTGAATGCATAGCCAGATCTTCATGACTCACGTGAGTCATACGAATTATATCCTTATCACACTCAGGGGAATCAAACTGTGGCTTACCTCTCGTGGCAACTTCTGCAGGAAAGACCTTTACCTCGCCTGGGTACCCAAACACCTACTTTCTGTGAGTAGTTACCATACTATAATGGCTAGAGACGCAAATATATCTGTAACCATATATGTGATAGAAGATCCTATATTCATTATAATATTGTTTACTTTACCACAAATACAAAAGGTATTTTCATAAATGTTTATGTCTGAAAATCAACAACGCGTTTCAGCTTCAAGGTCTATATGCATATATTCGCTGGGCGAAGTATACTGCTAACACGTACTCTACGTTGATAATGCCTGGCAGTTGATTCAGGATTGAGAAGGACAGTTCGAGCACAAAAGTTTCTCGGCATAATGGCAGTTGCCCATCTGAGTGTTTCACTTGGAACTGAGTACATTCCAAGATTGCCGCAGAGTTATTGACTCCACAAGTGTATATTTTGCAAATATGTCTGAAACTATTTCCACATGCTCACTGGAACTCTTGTCCCAACCGGCCACCTCTAAATGTTTACTGTCTGATGTCTTTTCGAAAGAGGATTGTGTTTACTGAACGCAGTTCTCAAATACTCCGTCAATAACACCATTGACTCTTATGCTACCCCGGAAACCACGCGTCTACTAGTTCGTATAACACAGAGTCGGGAACGTATGTTAGTGTGGTTATGTTTGTACAATTGAGTCAAATACTATTTATGCCACGCTCTTTAAATTAGGCATCGCATTCTCAGTTTTTGCACAGTGTCAGTCAGTCAGTTTTTATTTGTACAATTGGATATGTTTTTGCATATTCTTTTTGACTGTGTTGGACCCGCCTGCTTTTATTCAAGAATACAGTACTGTTGCAGAAGATATGTTAGTTAAAAAAACGTAGCAATGCAAGCCGTGTGTAATCGGTCCCACGTACGAAGTGACAGTTTCGCGCTGCACACGTTCACACGTCACAGCCACAGAGACAGTATTAAAATGATTCCAGGAACTTAAGATTTTTCTTCTTTAGATAAGTACTCTGGTTGTACTAAAATTTCCATATGGTTTTTCATAAACTGTTCACGTGCTTGATCAGCTATGTTTACATTTTCAACATCCGGTGATAGCCGTGAATTCAAGCATGAATTCGGTATTAAGACTGCAGTTTTATACAACTATAAGTTACAACAGTGAACATAGAGACTTGAATTTGTATGTCATTACTGCATACATACATCTCAGACGAGACCAGGTCAAAAATATTGATTAGGATTACAGAGAAAGGTGGGATGTATAAATTCCAAAGAATGAAGGAAGAAGGAGGTAGACTATGTAGACAGGTGACTTCAGAGATGAATAATATTCGTGCGTTGTTGGATTATAACGAGATTTTGCCAGTTGTACAAAAATGTAACCTGGTATTGACAAATATTACAACTTTCTTCATTCACATGATGCATATTGTGGTGCTTTAACCGCAAGAAGACTTAAAAGCTTGGGTATGGTGAAAGAGACAAAAGTCTTCTGTGGAAGCTTGGATAGAAGACCTGAAAGACAAAAATGTAAAGACTGATGGTAGTCAAAATGGTAATGAACAAGATGAAGAAGATAGGCATTCTGAGGTTCGGCATTCTAGAGGTACATGTTGTGTTTCGTCAACAAGAGCAAAAGTCCAACTATTGCATCAGAAGCAGGCTTTGGAGGTGGAGGAGAATCGTTTGAAACAGGAGAGAGAAAATTGAGCTGCAAAACGGAGCTTGCTGTAGCAAATTCCAAAGCAAAAGCTTAAGAGCAGTAGGGAAATCCAAATAATTGGGATAATGGAGGGAACAAAAATCACCCAGTTGACCTTAAGCGAGTAGTCAAGCGGTCAGCAGAGATTACTAATCAACAGGAGCAACGTCAGCTCAAGCACCATCATCAAGAGTTTTGTGCCACAACAGTGTTTAAGAAATCACAATTACTTCAGCCCAATTCTATCATGCAATTAATTGCAAAAAATCAAAGACTGGCCTCAATACCAGAGCGAAAAGTTCCCATGTTCAAAGGGGATCCATTGGAATTCAAAACCTTCATACGGGCCTTTGAACATTGCACAGAAGGTAAAACAGAAAATTCTAAGGGTAGGCTTTATTATCTGAAGAATACACGTGTGGTTAATCTCTTGATTTAGTGAGGAGTTGTATACACATTGCTGACTCAGACCAAGGGTACAAACAAGCCAAACATATCTTACAAAAGAATTTTTGGAAACAAATTCAAAATAGCTACAGCTTACACTGAGAAATTTCTCCAGTGGCCACAGGTGAAGCCAGAAGATAGTGGTAGCTTGACAAATATGCCTTGTTCCTGATTGAGTGCCATAACACACAGGACGACATTGAGTACATGAGAGAACTGGAACACCCTTTAAATATGAAAACAATGGTTTCAAAGCTGTCCTTCAGAATGAAAGATTGATGTCATCACTCACAGTATACAAGGAAAGTAAAACAGAAAGTTGCTTTCAAGGAGGAAGAGTAGGCCCAGATCTGGTGATATCGCAGATGGATTGGCCTCATAGATCACATGAGACAATGCAAAAAAACAAAAATGGGAAAAGGACTCAAGAGTTGTAGCTTTGAGACATTGAGGTACAAGCGGGCAATGGCAAAGACAACAGGAAGTATATATGAAAGAGTTAGGTGTATCTCCTTATCAGAAGATTAATGCATGCACACCTTTTTGTGTTTATTCTGTGATGGAGAAATATAACATAAAGCTTGTTTCAAGGTTGAGAAGCAACCTTATGAAGAGAAACTTGAATTTCTGAAATCGAAAGCAATGTGTTTTGGGTGTTCTCAGGTCACTCAAATAAACTTTATATGAACAAACTTGCATTCTGACTTCTATGAGAAAGGTGGCAGGTCAGTCAAAACAAGTGTCAATGACAGAAAGACAGAGCGGAAGATTGTTTATAGCAATTGTGTTGAGACATTTGATGAAGCGTGTGGCTGTACTAAAACAGGTACTGTAGGCGGGTCAGTGCCCATTGTTCCAGGTAGAGATCAGGTAGAGGGTAGTGGTGCTACATGTGATATTTGTGCATTTGTAGACTATGGAAGCTCAGCTTCCTTTTGTACTGAAAGTCTTACGATGGAGTTAGATGTCGTGGGAAAGCAAACTCAGAAGAATGAAGCCATCCATGAGGACCATAGGATGTTCATGATTGACTTACTGAATAAAGGTTATGAACAGAAGGTACCAGCTGACAACTTGCGTCAAGACAGTGGTATGACATGTTATATTACCCTACCAAGGTATATGAAATCCACAGAAGCCGGACAATATCTGTGTGATTGCTCTGCAAGATGTCAGGGTACTTCAAAGGATGACCAACTGACGGGGATATCAGCAATGACTTGGAAGAATATGAAATCACTGTGCACCTATTTTACCAGTCCTAGTTGTGCAAAGTATGGTCTCAAATGGACAGCTACCTGTCACTTTGACAAGGAAGTCATTAATACCGTAGATAGAAACCTTTACATTGATGATTGTTTGAAGTCAGTGAAAACCGAAATGGAAGCTATTTAGTGAAAGACCTGACCGATATCTGTGAGAGGGGAGTTTTCAACCTCTTGGAATCTATTCGGGAAGGAAGAATAGCGAGCGAAGCGAAAGCTTTGGATTTAGATAAAGACACATTGTCTATGCATATCACACTGAGCATTAGGCATGCATTGGTGTGTGAAGTCTGATCAATTCATGTTTAAGCTTTTAATGAAAGACAAGCCAACAACTAGAATAGGCAATCTTTCCATCAGGAGTTCTGTTAAAGACCCTATGGCTTTATTGCTCCAGTTATCCTTCCAGCAAAGATGATTCTTTAAGAACTGTGCAAGCTGAAAAGGGATGTTGACATTCCAGATAGACATCTCTTTAGTTGTAGTCCAAGACAGAGGGTATGTTTATTTACCCTGAAAGGTCCATATAGTTTGAATACTTGTAACATTTGCATTATGTCTGGGCTATTCAAAAACATATTTCTTACAAAATACATCTCGACCATTTTGCCAGAAGGGGGCGTTAAAGGCATGACTCAGCACTTTTTCCTGAAGGTGACAGTATGTTAAGAGATAACCAGGATATGGATGTGTTACGTATAGTGGTCAAATTCTATGTTAAATCAAATCTTGAAATATGATATTGTATTATGAAAACAAAAAACTGACAAATTGTATTTAATTTATATATATTATTTACAGTCAAAATGGCAATTTAAGTTATTTTTTTGTAAACTTCAATTTCTAATTGGATTCATAACCAAACTATTCTCCAAATTCATGAAACTTATGTTGATTTTGTTAGAATGGGGCATAGCCAGTATAAAACACTGCAAAGGTTATTCATTTTCTGACACAAACGTAAACTAGTGCTACTTTTATAATACTCTATAATATTTTTAATACACCAAAGGGAGATAACTCCTCCTTCAAAATTTTCTATGTAGCTATTATTCGTGAGTAGAATGTAAAATTTGATTCAAGTTCTTAAAACTTCTTTCAAATTTCACCATCTAGTGGTATATCTCACAATTTTCTTCAATGATATCACTGTTCATCATGCACACAACAATTTTCAGTATGTCTTTGTTCATGCTTCCAGCATGGCGGCCATCTTGGCATCAGGGACCAGTCATTGCACTTGCTTGATGGATTATATACTAAAACTTCATTTGAGAGGTTAATTGATTAACACTATTCAAATCTGGCCCTTTTTATTACATTAATTGTACTTGAACTGTCTGAAATGTCACAGTTTATGATTTTAGGATGGAGTTATCTCCCTCTTCCAAAAATAAATCATTCTGACTCCTTTGAATAAAACTCTGAATCTTTATGAATAATCATTTGAAAGTATTGAAGATGAATAATATTGTTTCAATAATGTTGGGCTTGAAAAGCAAAATAACTGACAAAAAATTAAAACCTCATATTACAGGAGTAAGAAGAAACAAAAGATGGTACTTTGCAAACAAAATCATAAATATTATGATATTTCCTATCAGAGATAAGACATTTTGATATAGTGGGTGCAATATTGTGTTCTTTTATAACGTATATGCTCATACCTTCACTTCAATACCCAAATAACTTTAGTCATTCTCAATTTTTATTAAACTTATCGCATTTTCCTTAATCACATTGGCGCTAAAAAAATTGCTGTGTCATGCCTTTAATGGCATACTGTGAGGAAGTGGTCAAGATACAATTTGTAAGAAATTGATTTTTCGAAAATATACTCAATCTTCTTCATGATCCACATTTCAAACCTTTTGGACCTCTGAGGTAAATAAATTCCATGCTATCTCTTGGACTATTGGCAGAATCGTCTAGCAGAACTGCCACAGTTGGAAAAGGTTTCATTCAACAGATGAAATAAGGATTTTGTTAAAATAGTTGCGACACAAATCCATCATTTCAGTGACGCAGATATTGTGTAGTTAGCTATTTGGGACATGTAAATGAAGAGGGTGACATATCACTGTTCCTTGTTCTTGAGAAAAGCTCGCGTTGACCCCCTGAACCAGATCACCGTTCCCCTGATTGAATTATTGCTGCTACAGTTGCAGTTCGAGTTGATAATCTGCTTAAGTGAGATATCTCAGTGGACAAAAGCGTTTTCTTGACGAACACCATATCTGTGCTGAGGTACATTGAGAATGCCAATAAACGGTTTCATTCTTTTGTAGCCAATCGACGTGCGGTTATACATTAAGGTTCAACACGGCATCAATGGCGCTATGTAGAATCAAAGTTAAGTCCAGCAGATGATGCTTCCATGGGATTGACAGGAGAAACATTATGAAAATGCAAAAGATGGATGACTGACTCTTAGTTTTTATTTGACAAGGAACATGAATGGCCAACGTCATCGACCTTCCCGATGCAAAGGCGTTAACTGACTATAAAAGTCCAGTTTCCACCCTTGCTGAACTAGGCTGGAATTTCTGGGCTCGAACGTAGCGCCACTAGTGGCTATTACGAGTTATGTCCATTCTATGTCCCTCCTATTGACCAATCTGATTCCATCTCTCATATCACATCCATTTCCTTCAATCAAAATGGCGGTGCCCAGTCAAAACGATCTGATCGATAATCAAAATATATATTGTAATAAAACGAAACGAGTCTTACTCCGCGTAGGGCATCAAATCACTTGATCACCTTGATTAAAAACATGAAAAGATTTCCAAAATGTCTGTCGACGCCCATTTGATGGTATGCATGCTTTGCAAATCCTGCAGTCTACCGAAATCTGCACGTTGAAATCCATGTTGTTTACGAACCGGTTGTATAGTTCGTTACGCGACTATGCATAGACTCGTTAGTTCAGCCAAAATGTAACTTCGGAATTCCTTTGGCAAGGGGGGAAACTGGACTTTTATGGTCAGATAACGCCTTTGTCTCGGGAAGATGACGGCAGCATGTTCAAAAAACATCACCATAGACAATGTTGATGTGAAAAGGCAGACAGTGAATGCAGTACAAGTTAGTGATTCTACGAAAATTCTGCTGAAGTTGTTGCAACATTCCTCAGACTGGTACAGACTTAGGAATCTGAAAATGTAATAATTCATTCTGTACAGAAACTCTCGTTTCCACATGAAATCGAAGAGCTGGTAAAGTCTCAGATTTCAACTGGTATCAGTAAAGGGAGTCAGATCTACAAACCACTTATGAAAGACAATTTACTGAAGGTTGGTGCACGTCTCAGAAGAGCCAGAATGACAGATTTCAAGAAGTACCCAGTACAGAAATACTTTAGAACAGATTGTTCGACGTTTTGGGTCATGCTGACAAATCATGTTCTCTCCCGATTACTCACAAGGTATTGGACCCGTGAAGATCCGGGGTAGAATATGTCTTCAGCAACCCATGCTTGCCGTGAAAGGCTACTCTATATGCTTGTCGTAAGAGGTGACCAACGGGATCGGGTGGTCAGGCTCGCTGACATGGTTGATGCATGTCATCGTATCACAATTGCGTAGATCAATGCTCATGATGTCAATCACTGGATTGTCTGGTGGAGACTCGATTATTTACAGACCGCCGTCATATAGCTGGAATATTGCTGAGTGCGGCGTTAGACATCAAACAAACAAACAAACAAACACAAGATATTGGATTCTCAAGGTTAACCCACTGATAAGAAAAGTTATCCACAGATGTGTTAACTGCAGACGGCATTCTGCTTGTGTTGGTAAGCAATGGCCAATCCCTTTATCACTCCAGAGGACTCTCCATTCACATATGTAGGAGCAGATTAGTTTGGCCCCTTTGAGATCAAGCGAGGCCAGGTTACAGTCAAGAGGTATGGAGTTCTCTTAACGTCTCTTGCAACACGCAGTAGCTTGTTGGAGATTACGTACTACCAGCATGCATTGCGAAGATTTAAAGCAATGACAGTTCAAGTGCAATTAATCAGATATGTCAAAAGGACTTATTCAATTGCAACAGACAGAGAGCTCCGAACTACAATTCGAAATTGGAATCATGCTGTTATCCAGACAAGTATGATTCAGAAGAATGTAGACATGGTTTTGGGGATCGCTTCATGGAGGAGAATGGGAGAGACAGATACGAAGTGTCAGAAGAATACTATATTCACTTCTGAAAGAGCAAGTAGTTGATGATGAAAGGTTACAACCCTCAGTGTGTAAAGGGGAGGCCATTTTAATTGCAGACCAATTTGAAGGCTTCAATTGATCCAAATGATCTGGATGCTCTGATACCTATATCATATGTTATCGGATGTTATCTCTCGGGATGACTTGTATGAACGTACAATTGCAAACGTAGACGTACAAATTTAATACCTAGCAGAGTTGTTTGGACGAAGGAGTACCTACCGTGGTTTCAGATACGACAGAAGTGGACAAAATTTACGAGAAGCGATTTTGTTTTGGTAGTTGATGACGCTGCATAACAATAATCATCACCTATGGGACGAGTCATGCAAGTGTATCCTGATAGCAAAGGTTATGTGCGTCGTGTTGAGGTAAAAAGCAACAAAACAATGTACTGAACAGGCCTACAGCGAGGCTATGGATACAAAAGCAACAGCGTGCCCAATTTCGTCTTTATTTCAATGTACCTGAAGAAAAGAACGCATGCTATAGCAACCCCCGAATATACCATTGTTGACACTGTGAATGAAAAACGATGGTGCACCACAAACCATCCAACAGCGATCATCTGAAAACGTGGTGAGGAAAATAATGTTAGGTTCGTTTGACCAAAACGGTGTTCATATGACTATCTGGAGGCTTATAAACATCACAACGTGTGTCCATTTCTCATGCCACATTTGTATAGTGCGGTATGAACTGTGACTAAATTGTACTAACACCACAGCACTAAATTACATTATATGAAAAGTCTCACGTTTGTTGCGCAGTATTTGATTTTGCATACATCAGTAGGTGAGTGAGTGAGTTTGGATTTACGCAGCTTTTAGCAATAGCTTAGCAAGATCATTAATTGCCTTCAGACATTGTACACATGTGGGGAATCGTCCGAACCACTATGCTGCCCCACCTACCCTATACTCATCAGTCGGATGGATTAGTTGTATAGCCTTACGCTTAGCAACAAACGTGTTTGTTTGCAGTCGACAGTCTTGTACCTGGACTATTACAACAGAACAACAAAACCAAACCATCCTAATGTACCCCACGGACTCCGTACTTGAGCGCGCCTCTCGACGTGGAATTTGTGACAGCGATTACGTCACTGTATATAACGGTCAGAACAGTAAGTAGAAACAATGTGCATGTATTTTAATTATGCTAACAAATATTCGTAACGGTGACATGATGATGCCCCCCTGACCCCAGTAATACTATTTCTGTGTTTAAGTAATGACTCGTGGTTAAGAAAGCTGACATTTCGTGTATAACGTCAGTGTCTCTGATAACTTTCTCCCAGCAGCAATCTAATTTGTAACAGAACAGCTTCTGTCGAATGGAAGAACAACCGCAAGACGTCTTGTGGTCAGGTTTGCATAAACCATGCTTACCTTGTTGGTCTCCGTCAATTTTGAAAGATGGTATTCAAAGATTAGAGAGTCACCATGTCTGACATATAGATAACACAGTGTTCTGTTCAAGGTTCTGACATACTTGGCACTTTCTGTGGGAACGAAAGACCTGTCTTTTCCAGCGGGGGAAACTCACTGCGTGTTCGTCTGCAAACTGATTCCTCCAACAACTACAAAGGATTCAAAATGTTTTACAGAGCTGTGCCTGGTGTGTATGAATTGAGCAGTAAGATTTCTCCTGATCAGGAAAACTCCGTCTTCACCGCTATTATGTATTACATGGTATTGTATAGGTGTAGATATACATGTTCATGACACACAGAACATAATTCGAAAATGATTAAATATCAGTTGTAAATGTAACATAGCTCATGTACCACCTTTCTCCATTGTCAGCAACAACCTGCAATGGTATGATGCCCTCTGGACGGAATCCAATACAAATTGTGTCCCCTGGATATCCTAATAACTACCAAAGGTAAATAACACACATCTATTACGAAAACATTCGGATTTTAGAATTGAATGAAACATTAGAACTGAAGTTTCCTTTGAATGTGATAACCATAACAACAAATACAAATTAAAGTAAAGTTTTTTTATATGACTGATTTTTTTTTCTTTCCCCTAATAATTTAAGAAAAAGAAAGTGCCACATTACCATGTGTAAATTACTAGCACTCATGATCCAAAGAAAAACAAATTTGAACAGCACTGCATATATTTTAATGATGTGGTAAATACAATCGACACTATCGATATTCCTAAACTGAAATCGATACTATTGATCGGAAACTGATTTAACAATTGATTTATTTACTTTAAGTGCTTACCAATTGCAATATATCGATATTTAGTTACACCCCTAATTCACATGGTACTACAGCATAGATGATGATGTTATTAAAACAATGCATAAATAACGGAAACCAAAGTCTGAATCTCTCCAATATTAGCTTTACACAGCGTTGCTGTGTTTCCAACGCTGTCAGGTGCAGGGCAGAGGCCCAATTGTAAAAGCATAAAGCCAGAGACAGCACGTCGATATGAACATCTGCACAATGTTTAGTGTTATTCTTTTGAGTCCCACGGCTTGTTAGGGCTGACTTACACGTGTCAATATTCTTCAGATATGTAGTGCTAGTTTACATCATCACATCATCAACAATTTCTGAGGAAAAGACTGTCACGATATCATTGCAAATAATGTCATCAAATTTACATATGCATTTTAATAAGATGGTAAACGAGTATCATCTTTCCGAGGCAAGGGAGTTTACTGACTATAAAAGTCCAGTTTCCACGTGCACCCTTGCTGAACTAGGCTGGAATTAAAGACTTATAGCTCGGCTGAACCAACGAGTCCAATCATAGTCCAATCAAATTCGCGTAACGAAATCGACACCCAGTTACTAAACTGACGTCCAGATATCTCTCTTTCGAGAAGTAAGACCCTCGATCACGACACATATTTTGATTATCGATCCGATCGTTTTGGATTGTCAATTTGAGGGACATAAAAGGGATTTGAGTTGTAATAGCTTCTAGGTGGCGGTACGATCGAGCCCAGAAATTCCAGCCTAGGCCGGCAAGGGTGGACACTTGGCTTTTACAGTCAGTCCGTTGCCTCGGGAGGATTATGTGGATAGGCATGTGTTCTCTGTTTAATGATATATTTCTTTATATTGCAGTGGATTAGACTGTCAATGGACTATAAATGCGCCGTCTGGAAGCAACATCACGGTTGAAGTTCTGTTTGTTGATATGGAGATAGTGCCATCGTGCACAAACGATTATCTACTTTTTAAAGATGGTATGTAAAACATATATATGTTTGTGTGTGTTTCAATATTCCAGCTTTTTGAAGGTGCCCTGTAAATAATGTAATCTAGTTTGTTTCTTTGTTGATTAACGCCTCGCTCAGCAAGATGCCCCACACATGAAGGCGACATATTAATAATGAAGTTGTACAGATCCACGTCGTGGGGTACGATAACATGCAGTCAACTAAGTCACCGAGCCTGACAACCCAATCCATCTGATCGCCTCCTATAACTAGCATATATTGCTGGTGGCCAATTTTAACCAGGAATCCCTACGGGATTAGATGTGCATTCATGAGAAATGATATAACAATATAACAGCATCAATGGAAAAGCGTTTCCTAACAAGATCAATATTTTATTGTCAATTTCTATATACGAATTAAGTGCTTCACAGAAATCAGAAAAGATTTAATTGAGAAAACATGATCGATAACTCACGAGAACGATGGTTCAGTGTATGGGAGACCCGTGAAGATCCGGGGTAGAATAGGTCTTCAGCAACCCATGCTTGCCGTAAAAGGCGACTCTGCTTGTCGAAAAAGGCGACTACTTATAACGTGATCGGGTGGTTTGGCTCGCTGACTTGGTTGATGCATGTCATCGATCCCAATCGATGCTCATGATATCAATCACTGGATTGCCTGGTCCAGACTCGATTATTTACAGACTGCCGTCATATACATGGAATATTGCTGAGTGCAGCGTTAAACATCAAACCAACCAACCACCTAGTGTAATGGAGTCCTGTATTTCTAGTTAGGGTCATAATTATACTGGAGGTATATCAATGTAGCAATGAAAGCACATTCGTTAATTAATCAGTGATGTATATTCAATGTATTTACATTTAAGGCACTACAAACTCTGCTCGCCAACTGGCAAAGATCTGTGAACGAACGTCTACTGCCATCGTCAGCTCCAGTAACCACATGACCATCATATTTCATTCAGACAGTAGTGACACAGGAAGAGGATTTCGCTTGCAGTACTCATCTGGTAATATTTCGTGAAATTGTTTTTGATATTTTACAAAAGTGAACATGTTGGTTTTTCACAGTAATCTAGTCATCAAAGTCTAGTTCTTGTCTTCCTTTGCAAAATATGAAAATATATTTTCCTTGATGACCCCAGAGGCACCTCCTGTGAGAGACTTTTGCCTTTTTTTAACCGAGTAACAGCAACAGAGTAACTTACAACTTACTGTTTGTGAGGCATCACCTCATGTTTGTGCACTTGACTCCACCAACATCAATGTGATGTGACATAACGATATTAATCCCCGTAGTTGCAATCCCTTTCGTTATCAGAGATCGTCAATTTGTGGTTTTGAACAATTGTGAATTATTATAAATATGCTCATTGTTACATTATGTTTTTCTTTTTATTAGTTATAGCTCCCATTTGTGGATTATCAGATCTTTACGCGTCTTCTGCTGCATGGACGAATTTGACTTCTCCTGGCTATCCTTCGAACTATTTCAAGTATGTGTAATAGTTAGTTTGTCAGTTAACATCGCTACTCATTTAACAAATATCCCTCCATACATGACTTGAATTAACACTGCACATGTGACAGTGAAGTAACACTCAACACGTGACAAGGAAGCAGCACTACACACATGACTGGTAAGTAGCATGTTACCTGAAAGCTTGGAAACTATTGTCTTACCAACTGAAAAGTATTTTAATGATCATGATGTGACCTTTTTCAAGCACATTAATGTACGTATCATGGGATATCACATGCACATGAGAAGCACAACAATTGAAGATGATTAGCATTATGGTTGGAGTGCGCGAGCGAGTTGAGTTTAACGCCGCTTTGGTATGGTGCAAACTAACTGAGAATGCTCATCCGGTCGATCGAACCGGATTTCAGCCCATGATCATAGTTCTAACTCTCAGGCACAATATAGCCAATTAAAACTCTGTCCAATCTTACTCCACTTATAAAATTATTACAATAAATAAAATTAAATTAAATTTATAAAATAAAAATATTATAATAATAAAAAAATAAAGTCCACGTTAGTCCATCATCTTCTTTATATCAGTTTCAGACATAGTACTTTCGCTGTCTCATGACAGCTCTTCAGTGAGTGTGTGTGTATAAAGCTGATGTAGCAAGTTCTATTTGCAGCAACCTAAACTGTCTGTGGACAATTTCTGCACCCGCTGGATATAAAATAAAAGTCGACGTTGTGTATTTAATCATGCAATACTCGCCAGCTTGTTCAAAAGACTACCTTCTATTCAGTGACGGTAAGCAAAATGTACATGTTTACAAAGGTATTTTAAATGAATATAATCATAACTGTCTTTGTGCTGTGTTGGTGTCTGATCAATATCTGTTTTATTAGTTTTCACCATGAATCTGAAATAAGTTCACTGTATAACGCTACACCCCCAAACATACGACATCAACAAGCCAATGGCCATCGTGTAGACAACTTAAACGCCTCAGCTGCTTTTACTGTGATTCGTAATTATTCGTGTAAGAAGGGCTCATGAGTGATTACTGGCACAGAAATATATTTGTTCAAGGTTACTTTTTAGTTCTTTCTGATCAATAATAAGTATTCTTAGCATCAAATTGACTTGAATACTAGCATGCATACATGTAAGTGTGTGCCTCTAAACCGACGACTGGAGTCAATACATATATTCACTTATTTATTCAAGGTTCCACGTCTTACGCCACTCGTCTGGGTAAATATTGTGGTAGAGGTTACAACAGCAGGGAAGTCGTCAGCTCCAGAAACTACATGACCATCACATTCCACACCGACGGCTCTGACACAGCACTTGGATTTAGACTGAATTACAAAGCTGGATCTTTCCTTACAACTACGACAGGTACAATGCTTGTGTGTTGAGGGCCGGCCATTGAATTATCGGGTTGGGGTGGGCTTGGGGTTGTGGTTGGGGGTCTGCCGTTAAGGGTTGGGCATATTGAATGTGCTTTTGTCTGGTATTGCCGGTGGAGATATTTACTTCGTCCTGATTCAAGACACGCTGAGAAAATAAGACACAGTTTAATTAGACTTACGTTCACAATGGATGTTGCGAAACAAAATGTCGCCTCCTTTTTTGTTTATATAGAGAGACCAAATGTGCTTCACTGTGGAGGTCCGTCGCTCAGCGCCTCCAAGTTCTCCTGGAGATATTTGTCGTCTCCTGGCTATCCCTATAACGACTACAACAAGTAAGTAAATCGATGTAACATCTTTGGTTTATTGCAATTGATTAATGTCAAGTTAATATAATCCCACCTTCCTGCCACAAAGTGTTCTATACTTAAAACTACCCTTCCTAACAGGAGGGGGCGAGGCCACGACACACTAGCCTCATTGGCGTTGCAGTTCTGGATCGTGTGCGGATCCTATTATCGTGGTTCCAAATCCTAGATTCTCCCTGACCATTATCCTTGACTTGTCTGAATCATAATCGTGTCCGTGGGTGTTACCTTGTGGTAAAAGTATTCGATGCACAACATTTAGAACCTTCTTCTCGCAGTTAAGGAAGCCATCGATCTATACCCTTAGGCTGGAAAACCTAGCATAACACATGACCATAATACATAATACAACTGAATTGAAGGACGCTAAAAAAGGTCAAAACTCTATTGAGTTGAAGCAAACCTTGGAAATAACGTGACTCGCTCCACCTACGTGTACAGGTAAGTAATCGAAATCATTGAGAAATTATAGCTTGTTTTTTTTTGTAGCATGGAAAATCCTTATTCAGTAACGTGGCTCATCAACCGTGTTGAAAATATCAGTTTCCTCAAGGATGGCGATGCAATATCATATCTTGTTACAAATTCTGATTCTTGTTTATTTGTTACGCCGAAGGGGTAAACGTCTAAAACCTGCATCTTTCTGCTTCCCTCACAAATTGAACTGGCATACTGTGATATGTCTGGAATATTGATCAAGGCGTCATAAACCACTCACTCATCATGATTACGAAGTCAACTACATTTCCTAGGTTCGTAATCATGCAAACACCTCCGTGGCCTAGTGGTACAGCATCCGCCAGGAGAGACGTTAGTTCCCGGCCTCGTCATAACAAAAGTTAAAAGATGGTAAATGTTGTTACCCTGCCTGGCGCACGGCATAAAGGGTCTTAATCAAGATATGGTTGACACGGAGGCAGTATACTGTTTCTGAGTAACGTATTCTTGTAAACTGTGGCATGGTATCTCATCACCATGCACTATGAAATGACATTTGTCGCGGCTAGTGCAAGCAGCCACTTAAAAAGACACGTGTTTGAGAAGTGGATAAACCTTCCAACCTTGCCGAACTTGGCTGGAATTTCTGGGCTCGATCGTTCCGCCATCAGTGGGTATTACGAGTTATGTCCAATTTTATGTCCTTCCTACTGACCAATCAGATTCTACCTCTTATATAGCTTACATTTGCTTCAAACAAAATAGCGGCGCCCAGTCAAGACGATCTTAACGATAACTAAATCTATATTGTAATATGACGGGTCTTACTTTTGCATCAACGCACATGAACACCTTGATTTCAATAAATGAAAAGATTTGGAAATTATCATTCTGTTGATGCCGAGTTGGCGGTACACATGTTTTGCCCAATCCTGCAAGCGACCGAAATCTGCACGACAGTTTACGAACCGGGTGTTGATTTCGTAAAGCGATTTTGATTGGACTATGCATAGAGTCGTTAGTCCAACCAAAATGTAACTCCGTAAATTTCATAGTTATGGACTTTGGTAGTCAGTAGACTCCCTTTCCTCGGGAAGACGATAAATGGTATGATATTATTTGTTGTTAATACCTCAATCGAAATTAAACTAAGATAAACACATGTTGATCCTAATTAATTGGCGCTTAGTCCATGGGTAAACATGTACGTTAGTTCGATTCATAGTTTCTCTCCAAGTAATTACCTCCAGCTGCTGTTACTGCCTTGGGGCGGAAGGGCAGTGGGTAAGTTTGGTTTGCCGTCGCCTTCAGCAATATTCCAGCAAAACCATGGTACACCAATATAACGTTTCTCACCAGGGATGGTAAAACTTTACATCCTTTTTCCAGCGTATGGCAGGTGTTGTGATGATGATCCCAATTATTCAATAGCTGTAATAGTCTCCGAGCAAAAACGAGGGAATACGAGAACATGACTGGGTGAGATTACAAGGGTAGAAGTTCAAATTGTGCAGGACATCTGTCCCAAGATGTTCAAACAGTGTACAATATGTCAATACATCTAACAATGGTTGAGTAAGTAGGTTTAATGACCCTTGAAGATTTCAGCTATATCAGGGTTTCACACATCGCACTCATGGGGGAATCGAAGCCAGAGATTGAGCATTGCGAGTGAGCGTTTTCACCACTAGGCTACCCTGATCCAAGTATGTAGCAACATCACGATCAGGTGGCAATTAGTATCAGTGAGGAATGTTAGGGTAGCTCAGTGTTTCGCTCCACATGGGTACAATGTGTGAAGAACAAATGGAAGAGGAAGAGTGATGTTAAATGATGGGTTGTCGCAAGTTTTCGTGTCTTGTTCTGTGAATACATGTCACTCTTTACGGATAGCAACTTCGTTTATTCCATCCACAAAAAAAATCCATATGACCAACCCTAAAAAGTGCCAAGTAGTTATGTTCTCCCAACTTGTAAATCTGATGAAAATCTGAACTTATTGACTCTTATAATTATATGTTCATGATTTAGATCTTTCTTTGCAGCAACATGGACTGCACGTGGACAATTACTGCATCTGTTGGATATAAAATAAGAGTTGAAATTCAGGTTCTTTCTGTGGAATATGAAGCCACCTGTGCAAAAGACTATCTCCTTTTCAGTGACGGTAAGCACAATGTTCAAGTGTATAAAAGTGCTTAAATATAACCATCATGCTCTTTGTGTTGAATAGGTTTGCAAATAAACAATTTGTATTATTTGTATTATTAGCTTCCAATTGATTCAATACAAGAATGTTAAATCTTAAAATCTATCAATATATTTATTCAAGGCTCCTCGTCTTATGACACTCAGTTGGGTAAATACTGTAGTGGCACCAGGGACGTCGTCAGCTCAAACAACGACATGACCATCACCTTCCACACTGACGGCTCTGGCACAGGCAGAGGATTTTCTTTGAAATACACTGCGCGGCGGAAGTTAGGTACTTACTTCTATAGTGTTCATATGCTTCCTCTTTAACATTAACCAAACGATTCATGAAACACAAACAGCCCTTCAGTTAAACTTCAACATATGTGTATAAACATAAACCTTAACTTACAAACGTGGGGGTTCAGAGGACCCCCAATAATAATTTTAAGGTTCCTTACCGGCACCATGAGGGTCCTGTCAAATAATGAAATGGTGAAGTGTACTGTGTGTTAACATAAATACCGGGATTGAATAAGTGGACAGAGGTCAAGATTGATGGATGAAATGACAGATGCCCATAACTGCACTGGATGCGCTGTTGGTAAAATGAATTATATTACTGTGTGTCCCTTGGGATGCAGTATAATTATTTTCTGCTTCCAATCTCTACATTTGTGCGTCATGTTAAATCTTGATTAAATTTCTCTTTGGATGACGATGTTAACTACAATTGATCATTCCATTATGTTCTTCTATGTAAAAGAGTTGCATTCATCAATACGCTATTGTATTATAATATGTGCCACATAGGTGTTGACTGTTCTTTTGTGGATATGTCTCTTCTAAACGAATTATTCTTGTGTGTTTAATACTATTCTATGGAGACCACCTCAGTCGTCTCGTGGTAGAGCATCTGCTCGGAGAGCTGAAGGCTGGTGTTAAAAGATGGAACGTGTTGTTACCTAGCCTGGCGTTCGGCATTAAGGCGCTCAGCATAAAAAAATCGACTGGTCGGGTCAGAGTGAGAATGCTGTGTCTGGGTGGCTATGGGGTATTAATGTTAAATTGCGGCATAGATCTCAATGGGCAAGAAGTAAAAGTTGGCGTTAGTCCAGACTGGCACAAGTACACACGTGAATTACTAGAAATATTGAGCATTACAAACCCTAGTAACTAGGTTTAGTTCGGTGCAACCAGACTAAGTGAGAATCTAGATCGACATAGACCCGACCGAACCCACTGATGAAACCCTATGTTCAATAGCGACCACTCCAATAGCGAGACAATTGTAAACGTTTTACCGAAGTCTGGAGAGTCAAAAACGAGATCCAGAAAGACGTTAATACATAGGGCTCGGAAGTCGGAGGGGACATATTCCCTGGACCGCCGGGAATAAAACTGACAGGGACACCTAGATAACGTGTGTTTATAAACACGGGGAAAACACGATTAGCAAACCAAATACTATATCTAAACTGAAGAAGTAAGCATCAAAATAAAGCGCTGAACATATGGTATCCAACAGTAGCATTAAAAATTCACAAGAAGCTATGTACAATTATTAATGAGGCAAAACCGACCATAAATACATGAGAAATATCTGAATGTAAATATAAATTCACTAATGTTTGAAAATCATAAATACAGTTACATTTTCAATACAAAAATATTGTCAGGAACAAATAAGAGATAACATACACCCAGACAATACATGGTTAGAGAGTGTCATTAGATCACAAGAGAATGAAATGCCACGAATTCTCTAACACAAAATGACCTCACATTGAACAATGATGACCGCTGGAGTTTGGTGTCAGACATAAAGCCAGGGCACGAGGCAGTGTCATGAGCCAGTTTACGCCCAGCTGACAGTGTGGCAAACATTAAAACTTGCACATCATTAATTACAACTGAACCAACGAAGGTGGTACAACAAGGTCCATTGTTGCCCTGTTGAAAAGTTAATATTATGAACGTTTTTCGACATGAAATTATTGAAAAGAAGAAATCTAATCATCTTTTTTGTCAACACATTTCATCACGTCGATAATGTTTAAATAAAAATATTAATTCTCATATTTTTTATACGAAAGCAGCGATACTAGATATTTAACTCTTATGGAAGGTTATTACCACACCCCTTCTTTGTTGTACCTCTCAGTTTGAACAGACCCGTGTCTCCTAGGGCATCCACATCATCACACAATCAAGACTATACTAATGAATCCATCCAGTACTGTGTAACTATTCAATGTTTCAGCATGTGGCACAGAGGAAAGGATTTATGGATATGACACGAAATATATTGAATCACCGAATTATCCTTTGGACTATCCCGAGTGAGTATGCACTACACGTCTTACGATTATCACGGCCACACAGGGGTACGTCAAACTGCATTCCGAGAGCAATAGGCCAACTGCGAATTTATCTAGGCATCGTGTTTATCATTTACTTCAATTGTAAAAATGACATACGAATCTGTAGTCTACATGGACATGAATCTAAACGTCAATGACCAATAGAATCCAAGTACATCGTAGTTTACGCGTAAAACAACATAAGGCAAAGCTGGTATGGTATATTTTGCATATATTTGTTTGCACAGTTTACCATTTCATCTGACACATGTCTCACACAAACAAACGACCACCGAATATTTCCAAGTTATCGAGGACATGAAATATACCAACTAGGAAAGCAGTATAGCACCAGTTAAGCACTGACATATTTTTTGCAAATACAACAAACCCATTTGGGTCCTTGTAAACAGCCAAACAATGGAGAAACCATTACACTTGACCCGCCTGTTCATGCATTTCAATTGCATTTTTAACATATGTGTAGTTGACTTTTGACATACTGTTATATATAAAGTTCAACCCCATGATAATCATTTTGGCCATTTATAATAATGCATTGAGCAGTGAAACACAAAGTATACAATTAACAATATCTTCCTTTGGCAAACGCAAAATATTGTTTTTCGGAAGTCGTTTTCGACAATTTAACATACAATCAAACATTAAGCATTATGCCCAACCAACAAAACTAACTAAACTTCGATTAATTTTTTTTTTGCATCGAGATTTTAATGAGATTGTGGCAGTATAGTATTACATCATTGACTGTAATATTTTTTAACACCAGCACTAGAAAGTCTCCCAGTTAACGTAATCCTCTGGAGCAATTTCAAACTTGTGGCATTGCGTCACGAACAACTCTCAGATCATGCTGTAATTCGTTTTGTTGTGCTACATTTTAATAAATAATAATTTAGTGTTTTCATTTCAGCAATTCGGACTGTTCATGGACAATCAGCACTGATGTTGAGGGATATGTAATCCATGTTAAAGAGGTGTATTTCTACCTTGAGCAAGACAGCCCGTGTTCCTTTGATTATGTGCAGCTCTATGACGGTAATGACTTACGCCCAGTCAGGGCTTTCCTAGAAAGTGTTTTATTCACACGAATCAGGGTCCCTAGGTTGACAAGTGTGACTGTATTTGTAGGACAGGTGTCGTTTTATTATTGCAATGAAACGCTGTTAACCCAAGTTAAACCTGATCGTTTGAGCTGCATCCTATTTGGCAAAGTAGGAAACTTTAACAACTTGAGTCACTTCGGGTTTTTACTCCCACTCTGCACTAAAAAATAAATTATGAAATAGTCTTCGGTAATAACTAAATATCATTCCCAAGTGTATGTTAAGAGTAATGTCTTAACGCACTTAACGTCCTAGCATATGTCTGTAACATTAACTGATGTGATTTGTTGTAAGTATAACAATATTCTCACAATATCACACACATGTTCTATTCTTGTCACAGTCAGGGGAACATATGAACACTCGCTTGGTCGATGGTGTGGATCGGATGGACCAGATACACAGAGTACCGGGAGGAGTATGAAGGTTCGATTCCTCTCCGATGCTTCGAGCACCTTCACAGGATTCAAGTTGGCCTTCACTGCCGGCGAGCCAACATCTTCCTGTAAGTTTTTAAGTCATGCATTCATTTCAAAGTACATCGAATCTATTAAGACAGGACGAATGAGATTCATCAATCAGCATCCCTACTATAAGGTTGATGTCACGTCTCAGTCATTGTACATTTCCACTGTATTCGTGTTGATTAATACCTGCCGCGTATTTTGCACCATACAGTATGCTAAGTACTTTGTGCAGAACATTTGGGGTTAAACATTATACATACAATGTGTTTTGATGACTAAGGAATGTGAGGGTAGGGGTTGACCATGGAGGCGGAGGGGCGGGGCACGGTGGCCAGAGTGACTAAACTAGCTGTCACATATTCACCCTGGTTATGTTTACTAGACCAGTGTCCATTCGTTTCACATTGCGTCATTGCGTCTCACACGTGTACATGACTGACATAGCGGCCTTCATCTAAACAGTTATACACTGTTTCATCGTTTGAGACTATTGTGTCACGGGTTGTAGTGGGTGTAATTGTCAATAGGTTGTAATTGAGAAGAGTAAGTGAGTATGGTTTTAAGCCGCTTTTAGCAATATTCCAGCAATATCACGGCGGGGGACACCATAAATGGGCTTCACACATTGTACCCATGTGGGGAATCGAACCTGTTTCTTCTGTGTGACGAGCAAACTCTTTAACCAATAGGCTACCCCACCGTCCCTCACCGAGAAGATGAACTATTGGCAGTTGACGCATATACTCCGCTGGTATCAATGGCTCGTTAAGTGTAATACAATGACAAATATGAGTATAGTATTACCTTAGGTGCAAACATTTCTCCAGCAAGACATACATGTGGACCTCTAGATCTCCCCTTAACTTTAAGACCGCCTCCGTTGTCTAGTGGTAGAGCGTCCGCCCGGAGAGCGGAAGGTTCGGTGTTCGATCCACGACCGCGACATACCAAAAGACGTTAAAAGGTGGTACTTGTTGTTACCCTGTCTGGCGCTTGGCATTAGGGGGCTTAAACAAGGACTGGTCGGCTCGGAGTCAGTATACTGTGTCTGAGTGGGGTATTCATGTTAAACTGCGGCATGGTATCTCAGTGAGCTAGCACTATAAATCGGCATCAATCCGGACTAGTACAAGCAGCCACACACACACGTGCATGCACGTCGCTATATACGTGCAATAATCTTGGACGCGACGTTTAACCCCATTTCTCCTCACCTCATCTAAACTTTAGCTTCACAAGCAAGCTAAAGAACCTAAGAACATCAGATAGGTTAGGTTTGACATCATGTGGACGTTGTCTGAAGGTATAGGTGCATGGCATGCTGTAACAGAACACAATAGGGTCATGAAACCACAATACTTTGCAATAATTTAAGGATTTGAGGATTTTTAAGGTCATGTTACACGCATATATGTGACAGTCGTTCTAAGGACAAGCAATAATAAAAAATCACCTTGAACGTGAATATAATTTATTATTCAGCTTCTGTGTCCAGGAACTTCGGAGCAATAACATTCAATGAACTTAATAAGTGCGTTACTCGTCTATATTTTAAAGTTCCTTTTCGTGTTGCTTATTTTGTACAGCGTCTTTTACACCGAACGTTGGAGCCATAATGGGAGGGATATTCGGCGGCATGGTGGGCGTGGCAATTGTAACCTGCTGCTGCTGTGCAATTTGCTCAAGGAAAAAATCTACAACCAATGACCAGTCGCAAGGGAACAGATCACCTGAAGCCAACCTGAACATCGTCTACACTGTCACCCTCCCCAACTACCCACCAACTACGGCTACTACCCAGCCGGACATGTTTACTCCACCCCCAGCTTACAGTGAAGTCGTGAAGGATGACCCCCCACCCTACTGTCAGGCAGTTCCACTATCAGATATACAACCTGTTGTGGCGTCATCCCCTAGCGGTGCCTCATATCAAGGGATAGATAACCCAGCAGGTCCGAGTCGGGTCACAGTTTCACATGATGTACATGTGTGATGTTGATTGTTGATTGTTGAACTGTGCATAACCAAGGAACAGAAGCCACGTTTTGTAAGTGAACGGACATTCACCAACCGATCAGTACTCAATACAGACTATCACAATCACATCTCATTAAAATCAGATCTTAGTCCTCTTTACCGCGCGCTAAACAAAGATCTGAGGACATCCCATTACGGATCGCGTCAGGCCGACCTTGCTTGAACTTTAACCGACCAATGCAATGACCAATCAGAAGGCAGCTTTCTCGTGCTTTACGGCACTAATTTCAAATTGGCGACTACGCTTCGAAACATATTTTGACAAATTCTCGATTAAAAATTTTAAACCTGAACCAAAAAACATTCTGGAATGGGTAATAGATGGTCTAGATTGTATGGATTCAGTCGTTAAACCCGTAACTGTCGTTCGGAATACCCGTGTTAAAGTTTTCGAGGATGCATGATTAGAAAGCACATTCCGACTGTCACTTCCATGATCTGGTAAGCGACGCTTTGATTGGTCGGATGAAAGGTCGTTCTGACATGACCCCTCCTGGGATGCCCTCAGATCTTTGTTTAGCGGTAGCGAGAACTAAAGTCTGATTTTAATGAGATTGATCACAATCATGCCACAAGCATGTCATAATTATGATTGGGTGATAAAAAAATGACCACGATGAGAAACCTTTGAAATTCCCGTTGGTTGTTGTAGCATATACTTTTAATTGTTTTTATTTTTTCTTATAAAATTATTTTGTATATCAAATGATAAATGGAGTTTGTGTTATCTCTATGTTTATGAAGCTGGTAACGAAGCATACACATATTTTACATGTAGTCCACGTGCATGTGCGCGTGCATGTGCGCGTGCATGTGCATGTGCGCGTTCCTGTATCTGTAACGGGTGTCTCCATATTGTATTGAGCCTGAAAGTACAACATAACACTGAACACATTTGTTTTTTTTACTTTGAGGCATCCACGAGCATAGGTAATCAAGAATCAAATTCATGGCAAATGTTTTGCAAGGAACGCTGGAACTACCATTGTCATTGATTGCATGGACCCCGTAAGGACGCGGGGTAGAATGTGTCCCCAGCACCCCATTGCTGGTCGTAAGAGGCGACCGAATTGGTCAACCTGTTTGTGGTGTGGTGCGTCCCTGTGTCCGCAGAGGAAGGGAGTCTGGTGGCTGAGGGCGCCGGGCCGGCACTTGGCGTTCCTGAGTCCAATACCCCACTTCGACCCTACCTTTGCCTAGACAGTTGGTAAAATATGCCCGATTATCGATGTTGACCAGGAGAGCCGCCTGTGCAGATATTGAGCTCGCTATTGTATTATATTAGTTGAGAATGAATATCACTTTTTATGTGCCATGCTATTACTTAACTTAAGAATGAAATACATTCAACCTAAACCCTTCTCTAATCCGTCATTGGAATCGTTTGTACAGCTCATGTCCTCAAATTGTAATACTATTATTGTCCAGCTATCAAAGTTATTACTCAATGCGATGAAATTACAGTCACTTAATCAATCTTCACTGATGAGTGGAAGAACACATGTAAAATTCTGAATGTAGGTAAAATGGATACCATGGAGCCAATCAGACAAACCACAATGACATTATTTACTGTTGATTACTGTTGTCACACGTGTCAGTTTTCCTCGTAACCATTAGCTTGGTTTATTTGTACATTTTTGTTAATATTGTACCAAGGACGTTGTCCGTCCTGGTGGTATATATATGTGATTCTGAATTGCACATATAATTTCAATATATATTATACATCTTATCCATATTTGACTTACAGACAAACAAAGAAGATAGTGTTCAACTGGCCGAGTCCTTCGTAACATTAAATCGGTTTTAAAAATGAAATAAATATACTCCTTAGTGATAATAAAGGAAATATATCAATTACAGTTCTTGAAAATTAATGTATTCAAACATTCATAATGTTCATCTCAAAATTACCACAATCAAGTTTACATTACATTTTGAAACAAGGATTTCTCCCTAAATTCAAAACTCGCTCGAAAATTCACATTTACGGTAAATAAACATTTTCTTGGATCAACAAAGAATACTTATACCATTTACGCGATATAACAATACTTGAAGTCATTAGAAATACTTTCAACATATATTTTGAGCACTCAAAGATGTTCGAAACTTGAACTACACGCTGGTTAAAAAATGCAAAATGAATTATCAATAAAGTTGATATATTTCCAAAACCTTGCGCTTTTTACATGATAATATATTAAACAAAAAAACAATATTTTATACCCGAAGATTAGTGCTCAGCCGGTAACACAGAAATTCTCACACATTTCACATTTGCGGGTCACTCACGCTCATCGTTGGAGCTCGCAAAAAAACAACAGGGAGTAATCATTATTTTAGAAACACAATGCATGGATCAAAAAGGCTCATCTTTGATCAAAGATGCTAGTTAAAATATTTCTTTCTTGGCATAAATGAAATTAAATAGTAGTTCTTTCACATTCAAATGTCATTTCAACCATGTATTTAAATTCTAAACATGTTTAATTGTATTTAAATTCATAACATGTTTGGAGCATTTTGATGTTGCGTTTAGGTGGTGTTAAGTCTATGAGGCGATAGATCATTTCGTGGCTTTAGACCCTAAACGTGTTAAGATAGAACACACCGAATGTGCATACCGTTTAGGACTGAAACACATTCCTAAAAATGTCTCTTATATAAACATGTTACAGTGTGGCTGAAGTAGCGTATTTTACTAATTTAATTAGTGATATTTACTAATCTTCAGCATCTTCGTGCAATCTACCAGGCAGGGTCTACCAAGTGGTAAATTCGTTGTGACTGACCTCCTGGCTGCTGTAACTTATGAGTTAGAATCTTCTCGAGATTTTGTTTTCTCGGTGATAGCTTAAGTACTTTGTCGAAAGTAATTATGTCTGTTCTCCGGCTATGATATGGCCTGAAAATTGAATCACTTATTTACTCACTTACTCACTCAACCAACGACGCCTGTTTTATTAACACCGCCTGAGCACAGCCTCTTAGAGATAGTTTAAAGAACACAACATCAAGACAAACACCCAACACTGCATCACAAACCGGATGTCAGGCATGTCGGGGTGTGTTAATGTAACACTCATTTGTCACACAGTCGCGTTTCAGCGTATTTGTCGCTACCGGATCTCGTCGCGGACAACCATGACTTTACATGTACCTTGATGATGAAATAGGTCATAACGGGACATTTATCTTGTAATACGAAATTGTTTTTTTTTAATGCAGAATTGTACAAACTGAAGGCAGGCATGCGTGTACACGTGAATAAGGATTACATTACACAGGCCTTATCGAACATTGTTGGGTGATATAACATCATTAGTTTTTAAGGAGAGCTGTCGGCAAAGACGAGAGGCCATTATGAAAACACGTTGTTTCGTTGGGGTATGTGCTCTATTATTTGGGCCGCCGATCTCAGTGTCAACTGCGTTTTACATATGTTCATCTTTATATTTTTAATATAATTGTAACATTTTTTACTTTAATATATATGAAGTTTCGGGTTTACACGTACGACAGATACAGGTAACATTTATATCTATTTAAAAGATATATCTAGAATCTGAATTTATCTGGAAATATTTTATGCGAGGTACAAATAATGTTCCTCTCATTTGTAATCTGTGTATGAAAGACTTGAACCCAACCAGCCGTTTGTTCAAACAAGATGGCGGTTTCTGCTACTGCTCAGTGTTTACACTGTGGGCGGGACGTGCTATGTCAACATAATCGCTAAAAAGAAATGACTTGATATAACTCATCTAACGGCCTACACCTGCTGCAATACACAATGGGTACTTATATATACTGAACCGCAAAAGAAACGTCATGGATAGATATATGAGAAACCTTATTTGTCCAATCACTGTAAACATACTTTGAGACATATTAAAAAGATGAAACTTGGCTAAACTGATCATTAAGGTTGAAATTAAAGTGTTCAAATCAAATCAAATGTTCTTAATGTGAAACACAACACCAGTCTCTGAGAAAATGGCATCACAAGTCAGTATCTCGTGTGTCCGCCATGTGCATTGATGACCGCCGTGCAACGTCGATACATGGAATGGATGAGGCGCTTGATGAAGGCCATAGGCACTTGAGACCACACTCTGTGAAACGCCTTACGCAGTTCAGATGCAGTTGTTGGCCTTGGTCGGACGTCATTCAGCCGTCTTTGAATCTCGTCCAACAGGTGCTCAATGGGATTTAAATCGGGACTGAGGGCAGGCCACTGCATGGTTCTGATGCCATTCTGCTGGAGGAAGTCTCTTGTTGCTCTCACAGTGTGGGCACGGGCGTTATCATGCTGAAGTTCGTGGTTCCGTCGATGTGCCAAATGTTGTATGGCGTGTGGTCTCAAGACTTGATCAATCTACCGAGCTGCTGTGACACCATTGCCTCTCCTTGGACCAATGTTCTGGAAGAACACAGGGCACAACCTCTGTGTAAGACCAATTCCACCCCACACTATGATGCTCGGACCACCCAACGAGTCTCTCTCAACAACACAAGTATCTTGCCGAACTCTTTCTCTGCCACCTGCTGTTTAGATACAGTAACGGCTCTCGTCTGAGAAAAGGACTCTTCTCCACTGCTAGTGCCGCCAATGACGTGGTGTCAGAATGGGTCCTCGGTGTGGCCTGTGACAGTGGAGGTGTCTGCTCGTCAGTCGTCGACGAACGGTGTCCGCACTAATGTGTCGCTGGTGTGTCCCCATGGTCTGTCAAGCAGTTTCCGCAGCAGTAACAAAGCTATCTTGAAGATGCTGTAGCACAATCTGACGATCCTGACGTCGGGTGATGACCCTTTGTCTTCCACTTCGTGATCGGTCATCTGTAATGTTGATGGTCTGGTACCGTTGCAGGAGCTTGTATATGGTCCTTACGTGGACTTGAAATGCACAGTACAAATGTAGACTTAAGAAAATCTGGAGTTCCGAGCTAAACGCTTGCAATAAAGTCATAGCCACAAATACCTATGCTGTACCCGTCCTTTCATATTCTTTTGGTGTTGTTGATTGGACGAAACAAGAAATTCAGGGTACTGACACCCTCACACGAAGAATCATGTCAGACAATAGATCTCACCACCCTCGCTTTTCCCTCAATCGCTTATATTTACCAATCATTATGGGAGGGCGTGGTTTGATTAACGTTTGGGCTCTTCGTGATATAATTGTTTTGTGCACTTTTGCACACATTTATTTGTCTGGTGAATCATGTCAAGACTCACGATGAAAACAAGGCATTCCACAGTTTTATAAAACGAGCCAAGGATGTGGGACATAATCTAAATGTCAGTGTTGATTTGTAGATGGTTCTGTACTGCTGGACGGTACAGAAAGTGAAGTGCCTCTTCAAGGAGAGACTATCTGAACGACCACTGCATGGAGTTCATGCCCAGGTGATGGGATAATCAGCAACCCTGCAGAGTCATTCGCTTGGATGAAGTCGGTTCGCCTGAAAAGTGAAACAAGAGGCTTTATGTTTGCTGCTCAGGACCAGTCACTTCCGACTCGAAACCGTCAATGTGTGATTTTGCATCAAAATGTGAATATTAAATGTAGATTATATAATGAATTTAGTGAGACTGTCCAACATATATACATACAGCACAAACATCAGTTTGACTGATAAATTCATAAACTGTCAAATGCATTCATTTTGTCTAAACAACAAACCAACCAACCAACTGTATTCAACTCGCTGAACGTTTGCCACATTGAAATGAAAAACAAATTGTTGTTGTTGCTTTTAGTGTTTAAGATGTCGCCTTCTGCCCCAGCAATTTCGGCTGACCTGTCCCTTTTCGGGACTTATGTGTGTGAGGTACACATGTCTATTTCTATTTTTGTATATCGATATGCATGTAATTGACAATGTGATCAAAAGCAGTTCTTTAATCGCTTTTTACAGTGAGATAAAGCTGTGGGAACTCTAATTTTCTGTTGTGTTATCTACTGTACGTGTGAAATGTTTAAAAAAATGTCTTTAGTGACATGTAGGGGCAGTAAATATTTTGGCATAGGGGTATGCCTAATCGCCTACATATATAGAACCTGTAGGCATATTGACCCGTAGGCGAATTGGCGTGTGGGCGATATGAGAAAACCCGTATGCGTGAGCGGACAATTCATGCCAAGGATATATTTTGGTGTGGCTATACGCACATTGTTGTGAGCCAACGATACAATTTGATCACATACTTGACGGATATTTGGATTATTAGGTTCTCTCTTGTGTTGGTTGTGGATAGAGAACCAAGCGGAGCACAGATCAAATGTCGCTGTTGTGACCGCGATTAGGAACCATGTACAATGGTACAACTTGTTGTGACAATATCATCTTCCAGGTATCGGTGTTTACTTGCGTGTGTGTAGAAAGTGCATTGTTGTTGTTGTTGTTGTTTAACGCCGCACTCAGCAATATTCTCGGACTCGGCTGTATGTAAATAATTCAGTCTGGACCAGACATGCATCAACGAAGTCAGCGAGCCGGACCACCCGATCCCTTTAGTCGCCTCTTTCGACAAGCATAGTCGTAAAATTCTACCCGGATCGTCACGGGTAACGTGCGTGGTATTTATGCAAGATTGTCATATTTATGCAAGAGTGGAATGAGACCACGAAATCCAACTTTAAAAACGCAGGATAGACAGCAGTAAATATGTTTTATTCATTCGATATGACAAGGGAAGACATGCTTCCTTTCATCTTAAACACTGAAAATGTAAGTGAGTTAATCAGAGTTTAACACAGCGTCCGACAGTTCGTTAGGATCACCTCATCGTCACACTAAAGCGTTATAAATGGATTGTGCAAAACAGTGGTAATAATCCTCTATCAGTTTACACAACTGCTCTAATATTGAGAGGGTTGACTCCTTGAGATCACGTTCTCTACTTTTACAATGTATATTATGATTTTTTGCTCTAATACGGCATCGATATGGCGGTAGTCTGTAAATATTCTAGTTTCGATCAGACAATGCAGTGATTGACATCCTGAGCGTCTATCTATGCAATAAGGATACGAGGACAGTAAGTAACAGGGCCAGACCGCCCTTCCATCTAGCCCCCTCTTACAACAAGCATAGGTTGATCGGGACCTATTCTATGTGAAATCCCCGCGAGTTCATGTAACATATAGGGTTATAGTATATAACATATACTAGTATATGCATATGCTGATATAATACTGTTCTCATAATGCTGGGCTTGGTGGGGATTACGGGCAGAATTGACCTTCAGAATATCATTTGTGTCCTAAAACCCGAGTATTGAGTGCCAGATACGGTGTGGTCTGATGGATTGTGTGTCGTCGTGTCCAGTAGTTACTATTCATTGGCTTTCCTGATCAAGACTCGATCATTTCCAGGAATACAAACAGCTGGGATACAGCAGACAGAGGTGTAAAACAGCATTCACTCACTCATAGTACTAGGGCTGTGTTGTTAAATGCGTCTTTTAAACATATCTACCCATACATTTCTTGAATATTTGAATTCATGAGAATACTTTGATGTTGTAACAACACGCTATATTCATTTTATAATGATGACAGTCAGAAGGCGTCTTGGTAATGTAGACCTATATAAACTTAAGGGGTTTGAGAGTTTCAGGTTTGCTGCTGTTAAAGTTTGGATGTAATGCGGAATAATGATTAGATTGAAGAATCATATGCTCTGTCTAACTGTCTGGGGGCCCTGCGCCAAATTCGCAGTTCATTTCGGAGCGTGAGTGACATTTGCATCTCATCCCGTTGACTGTGTGCCACTCATACAGATCAAAACACTGGGGGACACCAAATATTTCGCATTGTTCTGAAAAAAAAAGAAATAATTAATATTTGAAGCAGGAATAAAATATGCACATCGGGTCATTTTACCTCCTTTAATTTCTTAAATCCCAAACTGTTATGACAAATATCCTGGACACATTCGACTACAGATGAATCTTGAGTTGTTTATGTATTTCTAAAATATCTCCAATTTATTTCTTGGGACTTCATATAGGCTTTATTACGGGAAGATAAACATAGCGATTACCAGCCGACTGTGTGTTGTAAATATCGTAGATTAAGAATTAAAAAGTGTACATTTGTTCTTGTTTCAGAACGTTTATGTATTCATATTTGATATTTACCATACGGAAACACGCGAGGGTAATAAACTCTTCAAACGCATTATCATTTTCAGAATAATCGACTTTCAAGACATCATCATCTCCAAAAGAACAAGCATGCGTGAACCGCTTGATTTATTATCCTATCTCCCAACTTGGTTTTCGTGCAAGAAGGAGGCATCGCAAAGATGTTTGTTTGTTCCAGCAATAATCCAGCTATATGACGACGGACTGTAAATAATCGAGTCTGGACCAGACAATCCAGTGATTGACAACATGAGCATCGATCCACGCAATTGGGATCGATAACATGTTTCAACCAAGTCAGCGAGACTGACCACCCGATCCCGTTAGTCGCCTCTTTCGATAAGCATAGTCGCCTTTTAAGGCAGGCATGGGTTGCTGAAGACCCATTCTACCCCGGAATTTCACGGGTAGTTTTTTAGGATTACCGGGTGTTTGGATCGGCAAGTAGTACTTAGTTATTCTAAAAACATACCCTCAGCATCCGTGTCAATCAACCACACCTTAGGTTTCCCATTCATAGTCGTGCCCTCCTCTGGACATGTGTACGCATTGCAGCCGTAAGCCGTCAGTCCAGTCACACAGCCGCTGTCCCCCTTACATCCTGAAGCCGATCGTCAGATGCATTATGTTTTTATTAAATACCCTCATTTGCTTCTACAAAGTATTCTTGTTCAAGTAGTGATAGGTAATTATTTTGAGATACGTAACTATATGTTCTTATGTTATTATTGTGATGACAATTTGTAAAAATGAGTCCAACCAATCATTATTAAGATTTGTTTGTTTGAACGCCGTTTAACGAAACATTCCAGCAATATGACTGCGGTCAGAAAATAAACGAGTCTTGACCAGACAGTGACAACACCATGTGCAGCGATATACGCAATTGGGAATCGATGACATTCATTAACCCAGTCAACCAGCCAGACCACCGTTACCGTTAGTCACATCTTACCACACGCATAGTTGCCTTTTACGGCATGCATGGCCATGGGTTGCTGAAGACTTATATGAAAGTCGTTTCCGTATCATAAAACAAGATTGTTTTATGGTCTTAAAGTAAAGTGGCCAGACATGTATGATTAATATTGTTGTTGTTGAACAAGTGAATTATCAGCATCAGAGCGTAAAAGTATTATCGGAGCTTATAAAATCTCATCTGAAATGGTAATGCGTAGATTTCCACAAGAACTTGACAAACATACGCTTACATACCTGACTGGTCAGTGATGATGCTTACTCCGTCATTTGTACATCGGTACTTCACACAGCTTCCAGTCAAGTCCAAGGTAAACTCACTGTCAAAGCCCTTCAACGCCCCATTCACCATGCAGCCGTCGTCGACGACGTTGTACATGATCTGAGCTGAAGAATGGCGTTGATAACATATGCATTAAGCACATCATCGTGTTCAGTATTGGTAGAAGTACGTGGACAAACCGTATGTTTAGCGAATGAAACCGTTACTGTAGTAACGATAATGCCCTTTATTAACTGAAATGCACATGTTGTTTGTATAGTTGTTTTACGCCGCAATCAGCAATGCTACGGCTATAACACGGCGATCTGTGAACAATCGAAATTCAGGACGTTTATCCTCTGTTACAAACTCATTCGACAGTTCCATCTCACCGTTTTAGATTTGTTATAACAAAGACAAAGTACACATGCATTTTCTGAGCCAATTTTTGAGCTTATGAACATGTGAACACACTGGGACACACATTATTTGGATTCGTCTCCTCGAGAGCTTTCCAGTGATATAAAACATGTTTTTGTAGCTCGCTTCCTTCTGTGTGGTCAAGTTCGGACTCCTGGCCATTCCTAAGTTGTCCCGCCCTGCCTTTTGGCCTATTCGGTAGACTAACCGCATGCGTGTTTACCCTCATCCTGTTCATATATTAACATTATTACACTTTGAGTACAAGAATGTGATGGAACTGGCATTAACGATCAACACACAGTATCATGCAGCCAGTCGAACAATAAACCCCTTCCGGGTTACAAACGGACCCCAGTTAATGGCGACAACTGAGTGGTGTGAGCAGGCTCGCAGAGTTCATTGTAACTATGCTATCGTACCCGACTGCGTGGATCGTTGTTCATGATATCAATAACAGGATTGGCTGTTTCATACTCGACTATTTATAGGCCGTCGTCTTATAGCTTTAATATTGCTAAGTGCGGCGTTAAACAAAATACACAAAAACAAGAACAAAGAATGACAGTGATGAGAATTTGTTCATACCATAAAGATCTAGGTTGAGAATCAGTGGCATGGTGTCGGACGTCGCCATGGACACCAAGGAAAGACCAACAAACACGATAACGCCGCGCATCTTCATGGTGAGACAATCAAACTGAAACGGAATATCATTCAGTGTTAATATAAACTTGACGATAGAAACAAGACGCTGTACTGTGAAAGGTAAATTATCATGTTCATTTTGTCTCGCAAGTGGTCTACAACTGCAATCGCTGACAATGGCGCTTAGTAACATCCAGCATATTGTTTTCACTTTTCGCGTGATGTTCATTATTTCGTTGTGCCATCGCCACTTTTGAAAAGTAAGCTACATATTACTGTATAAGTCCAAGCAAAACACCACGAAAATATATTGTCCTTACCCACAGCTAATTCTCATCAAGTGACCTGAGTTACAATAAACTAGTGCTAAGCATAGCAGAGTTATGCCCCCTTTTCTTTGTACGTTTGTAACCTCTCTGTCGCCTGTTGACGTCATAGAGAAAAATCAGTTTTCGTCATTTATGGCATGCTATTTTTGGCATTGAATGTATGTCGTTATACATACGCATATAACTCCATTTGATATGTAGTTATGTCGTTCAGATATTTGGCAGTATTTTGTTCGTTCACAGTTTCCGTAAAGCTCCTAAATAAAAAAATCGTCGCACAGTACTTTTATCGATGTACGATAAAAAGCGGAGAAATTTACTGTTTTTCAACTCAGAATAAATTCTCGGACAACACTTAGAAGTGCATTTTTTTAAAACCGGTTTAATATTTGCAGTTAAATTTACACCATCAAATAGGAGATTTAATATTCTCCACCTCTGCGTAAATTTATAGCCAGAGGAAGATCCAGTGCCGATCTTAGGAAAATGTGAACGCCTGACGCAGTTCAGCTGCAGTTGTTGGCCTTGGTCGGACGTCATTCAGCTGTCTTTGAATCTCGTCCCACAGGTGCTCAATGGGATTTAAATCGGGACTGAGGGCAGGCCACTGCATGGTTCTGATGTCATTCTGCTGGAGGACGTCTCTTGTTGCTCTCACATTGTGGGCATGGGCTTTAAAATGCTGAAACTCGTGGTTCCGACGACGTGCCAAATGAGGTATTGCGTGTGGTCTCAAGACTTGATCAATGTACCGAGCTGCTGTGACACCATTGCCTCTCCCTGGACCGATGTTCTGGAAGACCACAGGGCACAACCTCTGTGTCCTCTGTAGTGTTGGTGGTCTGGTACCGTTGCAGGAGCTTGTATATGGTCCTTACGTGGCTACTTGCCGGGCGATTTGTCCAGCTTGCAATCGTCCAAGGGCTTGGTGTCGCTGATTTCTTGTCTTGGCATGTGGTTGCAATTCAATAACAAATGAATCTTATCCGATCTGGGTGGATTTTCATAGGGCAAGAAATGGGGGAACGCATGTGCATTTCAATTTGCACGGAACTCACGTGCATCCGGTTGCCATGGCCGTTGCCGTGATGCGTTTGGGCGATGTTTGTTTTTCCGGACAAGTTAATGTTAAATTTTAGAAACTTTGACAAAAATTACCCATATATTTAAATGACAACCTTTCATGGAATGTTACTTGGGGTGACGTTTCTTTTGCGGTTCAGCACACACACACATATATATATATATATATATCTATATATATATATCTATATATATATATATATATATGACTTCAGCACACACATATATATATATATGACTTATATATATGACATATATATATATATATATATATATATATATATATATATATATATATAGTGAGAGGGGTTATTTCATGTGTCTCGTGAAATATCATGTTATCGCATCGAATGACGGGGAAGAAGGAGATGAGAAAAATTTTCGAGAGAATAGAAAACGACAAGAAGTGTTATTAACTCCATAAATGACCTTCTGTCCTTATTTTTCTTTGCCAATGTGGAACTAATGTGAAAAAAAACGTCAACAGTTTGTGTACGGGCTTGACACTAAAGTGAGAAGTATGTACGTTGAGAAGAGATGTTTCCAATGTGTACCAATTAATGACAAAACTGACAATCAGTCAAGTGTTACCACAGATTGTCTATATTCTTGTTACGATATGCTGCACGTGGTTTCCAAACTTTACACGCAAATCCTGACGAGACAAATGGTGCATCTCGTGTCATGGATCTATGACGTCACATGTGATGCATTCATGAGCATCGGTTCACACAACACGTCAGTATATTTCTTTGTGCGTCGAACCAATCTTATATATCGTGAATATGAGTAAATCTTCTTATATTAACCAACATGTATGGTATTCGCGGGGTTTTTTTGGCGGTGAGTATATATACTTATACACAGGGGGAATATACCATGAGGGGCGTAGCCCCGAGTGGTTTATTCTCCCTCCAGTGTTTTATTGTACGATAAACAACGACCGCGAGTCATTTATTTCTTACATGAAATAGCAGTATTATGTACAGCCTCTTAAAGGATGTCAATAACAGGTGCAACCTTTAAACATATTAACCCGTATTTTTAATAATGATGACTCCCTGAAAAGAATCAGACCTCGGCAATGTCGGACAAGTCCATTTTATGAACAGGGGGGTTACATTTGGTCTTTCCCGCATATTCTCACAATTTGTACGTCGATTACCTGTACCTTTTCTCCCAATATCGATTGTCATATCTCTCCCACTTCTGGATGTGATCTTTCCGCCATTGTGTTTATCTTCGTTGCCCTGCTACATCTACTGTGATCAGCTCACTAGGCACTTCCCTCTCAAAAATAACGTCGTCAAATTTACAACGTCATCAAGTTGCGAGCTCATGTTCGAATCTCCAGATATGACGTCATGACAGAACAATATTTTAACGTGAAATAAACCACGCTTCATTCTACATTGTACTTTGTGATTTATCGCGTAGCTATCTTATGTTAGGCAATTGCAAAACGTGGACATGGCAGCTCATGATGTAAATTCTACTACTTGTGGCTAAAAACATACATCCTACTGCTGCGAACCTGTGTGTCATATAACTGCATAGTCATCCCTTACTTGATATTGAGCATTATTCCAGCAGCTCCAGGCTCTGGTGTCTAAATTTCACAACTTTTCAGGTACAATCGAAAATGTCGATTTCAAAGGGCGTCATGATCATACGACTCTTGCTCAAAAGTTGTTTGATCAAGGTTACAACATTCAGTAAAGCTTTCAAAACGTTTTATGAAAGATTTGACGTATCAGTGACAAGAATTATGTCCAATCCAAATCCCTATTTTGACTTGTACTATGCATTCCCGTGTTTCAGGTGAACAATTGACTTGCCTTTGTATGTGTTTACAACGGGTTGCACCCAATGGGACTGGAAGCGTTTACCTTTTCGTGAACACCTCGTGTCATCACTATTTGATACTGATTCAGAAACACATGGGAAAAAGTCGGAATCGTACAATGGACTATGCCTTTAAAAGGCCTTTCTTATGATTATGGGAGTTATTTTTATGGGTTTTTTAACACGTGGATAGAATTTTACTCGTTACAAATCAACAATGTAACTTGAATATACTCGCGATTTGCTATCACCTTGTACTAAATTGGAGAATTCATGTATGTCTATTTTGTTTGACATATCTACCCATGGCAAAGTTGTTCGTTATTATTATACTCAACAACAAAAGTTCTTGGGACACCAATATTTTAGTCTATTTTTTAAAACAAGTAAAGTTTGGTTTACAATATTGTAGTACATGTATGGAATCAAGTCACAAAAACGCAACAGCTACAGAAAAGCATGCATCCCATGCAAAAGTTGACTTTTATGCAAGCCCCATGCATTTCACTACTCAAGAATGTGCGTTAACGGGATTCAATATACATTGTTTAGCATCGTGCTGACAACAACCACTCAGAAAAACAACAAAATTACGAAGTTTTTCAACATTACGAAATGCAAGGATCGAGTCAACGTGATTTTGCAAGACAATTTAACGTCCACAGAAACACCATTTGGTGTTTATGGCAACGTTGGCAACCGACGAATGCAGTCAGAGACCATCCTCGGAGTGGCAGGCCACGCGTAACCAATAATCGACAAGACAACTGGATTCGAACAACACAATTTACGAAATCGAATCCAGCCAGCAACTGTTACAGATACTGCAAGATGCATCCCTGGCCTTCGACGAATATCTTCACAAACCGTACGTCGTCGTCTCAGATGTGCAGGGGTTGTCGCCAGAACACCCGCCAGACGTCCCATTTTGACAGGAAACCACCGTCAAGCACGTCTACAGTGGTGCAGACAGCGTCTACGCTGGACGGCCATGCATTGGGGACACGTTCTATTCACTGACGAGTCTCGTTTTCTCCTCAGCCATAGCGATGGACGGATTCGAGTGTACCGACGTCGAGGTGAACGTTACGTCAATCATTGTGCCATGGAAGAGGATCGGTTCGGCAGCGGCAGCAAGACAGAGGACCCGTTTGATAGTGGTAGAGAGAAATCTCAATGGACAGCGCTACTGCGACGAGATCATCGGCCCTGTTGTTCTACCGTTTTTGCGTCGTCATGGCCCAGGCATTACCTTTCAACATGACAACGCCCGGCATCATATTACTCGACTTGTTCAGGATTCTCTTCAACAAAACAACGTGAATGACATCCCCTGGCTGGCTCGCTCCCCTGATCTCTCACCAATCGAGCACATGTGGGATGAGATGGATCGGCGCCTTCGACGTCAACCACGTGTTCCACAGACACTCCAGGAACTTCGAAACATGCTCCAGCAGATATAGACAGATATCCCACAGGACTTTGTGCGACGCCTGGTCCATTCCATGAGACGAAGATGTGTTGCTTGCGTCGCAATCAGAGGTGGACACACATGTACACGCTATTGATTTGTAAATTGACATTTTGGCATGTTCATGTTTTTGTATGAAATCATGCATATTCTGAAGCAAATTAAAGCATTTGAACACTTACAGGAGTCTTTTATCTGTTTCAGATTTGGTAAAAAACATAACTTTGCATTAAATCTTATTCAATGTCACAGTATATAAGTATAAGCGTTCCAACTATATTCAATTTGTTTAATTCAAAACTTCAACGCAAGAGGCAATTCGGTCTCGTAGAAACATATTCCATTGGACATAAAGTACAAAATGGTGAGGAAAATGTTATGATTGGATCACTGACATTCTCGCGTAATGTGTCAGCATGTCCTGGTATAACAGTAGCACTCACATCGCACCCACCGCTAACATAGCACCCACCGCTAACATAGAACCCACCGCTCACATAGCACCCACCGCTCACATAGCACCCACCGCTCACATAGCACCCACCGCTTACATAGCATCCACCGCTTACATAGCACCCACCGCTCACATAGCAACCACCGCTCACATAGCACCCACCGCTCACATAGCATCCACCGCTCACATAGCACCCACCGCTCACATAGCACCCACCGCTCACATAGCACCCACCGCTCACATAGCACCCACCGCTCACATAGCATCCACCGCTCACATAGCACCCACCGCTCACATAGCACCCACCGCTCACATAGCACCCACCGCTCACATAGCACCCACCGCCCACCGCTCACATAGCACCCACCGCTCACATAGCACCCACCGCTCACCGCTCACATAGCACCCACCGCTCACATAGCACCCACCGCTCACATAGCACCCACCGCTCACATAGCACCCACCGCTCACATAACATCCAACATGAAAGTATTCTGCTCTCAGGACATTCTCTGGCGTTGACGTAAATGTTACCACGTTTTTCACCAAACAAAAACAGTATTATCCCGGACGATTTAGTCATCCTGATTAACATCGTCATCCAGATTAACGGGGTTTCCCTCCATGGTGAAGTGTTCCCCCTTAACATTTATCAGCTGCGTCCTGAATATGGATGATAGGCAAATGGTAAATGGAACCATATCGTGAAGTGATAGCGTACATGTACGTTAAAGCCTTCTCTCGTGTACGCCGAACTTAAGCCCGGTTTCAAGTCTTAATTAGGTACACAATGCATGGGTGTGCAGTCATATTTTGCTTACATCCCCCACATCAACCTCCGTCCCGATGTTGTACGACTACTGTATTACACATACTCGCGAGTAGGTATATGATGAAAACCTCCAAGTATAAACCGGACTGCTGTCGGCGTTCAACTTACCTATCGCCTTGTTCCTGGAGAAGAATAGATAATTTAGTGATGCCTTCTCAATTCAATTAATAACACCTTAGGATCGCCCAATAATTCAGACTGTCAAACGGTGCACCATCTGTTGGATATGATATTGTATTACGTTATTTGACTTTTATTGCCAATCGTTACTTAGAATGAGCCTGTATTATGAAACATGGCGATTTATGATGGCATGTGGTGAGGCTGTTTAACGTTCCTGACAGCGACCATTCAGACATCACGCTAACAACTTATTGATACCTATAGCTAGGATTGTGAAAGAGAGCTATGCAGAAGATTGGCATGTTTACAGACATTAAGTGTAATATTCGTCAATAGATCACAGCGTTATCGGCTTTGTTTGAGTTCACAAAGTACACGTGGAAGACAAAGCTTAAGGAGAGCGAAATGCACATAAAGGTACATGGTGTGGGTATTTCAGTGACCTCACATTTCTTTGTTTACAACCACACGTCGGAACTACATCTGTGAGAGAGAGAGAGAGAGAGAGAGAGAGAGAGAGAGAGAGAGAGAGAGAGAGAGAGAGAGAAATCTGAAATTATCACATGCAGCTTTTTGTCAATTCTGTTGTAATTAAGGAATCTGTTATCATGAACTGCCATTAGGACTTGACATAAAATTATCATAACTATGTTATTTCTTTCATCATCATAAATATGTACTTAATAAATTATATCCGACCGATGTTTAAATCGAGCGGAATATGTGGACATGAACATGCCATTGTTTGAGGTCTGAGGATAACATTTAAACCAAACAACTGAAACACACTATATCTCCATTATTAATGGTTAATGGTTTCCATGGACATGGTATGTCGTGATGACTCGATTGATAGAACTGGAGCAATTGTACCACTGGTCTGGGTGAAGTGTGGGTCGAAGTGGTGTGTTTCGGAAACGAAACACTGTCCCTGGTTCCGGTGTTTGCAACTATCAGACCCACGTCCTCCATTCACTAAGGGGCGCAACCCAAGACAAAAAATAAGTCGCTTCTTTTTTTGCTGAATTGAACAATAATATACGCTTTCAGTCAGATGTCTGGTAATTTGTCCTATCACTGTCGTAATGGACGTTGTTAACACTCAAACAGCGACAAATATGCACATCTCCCTTGTCATATTTCCACATGTAGGAATGTGTTCGAAAACAGTAATTTGGTCCCATTGACGCCTGATCTCGTGGTGCGAGGTAAATGTTATACTTGCCACACATGAGTTCGAAAGGCAACACGAACCCTTACACCGAAACCAATTCCTGTCTTAGAGAAAATCACAAATTCAATTACTGAACTCAACAGTTGGGTGAGTGAGTATAGTTTTACGCCGCTTTTAGCAATATTCCAGCAATATCACGGCGGGGGACACCAGAAACGGGCTTCACACATTGTACCCATGTCGGGAATAGAACCCGGGTCTTCGGCGTGACGAGCCAACGCTTTAACCCGACCGCCCCTCAACAGTTGAGCATGCCAAGCTGAACATAGTTGAACTATTGCCGACCTAATCCCGACATGTATCATTACCAGAACAGCAATACATACGTTAAGGAAGAGCTCTCCTGCAACGGCCCCATTATCAGACATTTCAACGTCTCCGCCAAGACCTTTGGGAACTGATTACAAGGCAGACACGAACTTCAATGGTCACATCATCATTTTGTAAGGGGTGACAAACGATCCCAATTGCGTGGATCGATGCTCATGATACCAGTCACTGGATTGTCTGGTCCACACTCGATTATTTACAGACCGTCGTCACACAGCTGGAATTTTGCTGAGTGCGGCGTTTAACAACAAAACAACCAACTCAAGCACGCTCAAATACACCGGAAACAGTTTCGTGGTTTAACCACAGCCAAGACACTACATAGTACTAACACCGGGAACTACCAAAACAAAGTACAAGTGAAAGATGCGCACATAAAATATACAAAGATTGCTTGTAACACAATGCTATGATGTATAGTGGCACACAAGTCAATTGAAGAGCATTCAAAATATATGAAGACGTTAAAATTTAGCGGTCCGAAGCGAGTGAGTATGGTTTTGCGCCGTTTTTAGCAATATTCCAGCAATATCATGGCGGGGGACACCAGAAATGGGCTTCACACATAGTACCCATGTCGGGAATCGAACCCGGGTCTTCGGCGTGACGAACGAACGCTTTAACCACTAGGCTACCCGACCGCCCCAGCAGTCCAAAGCAGATGACAGCATCCAACGACTAAACTGCCACCCGTTAGTGCCTCTCCGCTTGCATGGTACAGACACATTGACACCCGCATCGCATCCCGAAAAGACCACCTTGTCAACCGCATCTTCACCGATTTCGAGTGTGGAGATCACCTGTCACACCTGTTGCATCTCAAACGAACCGAGGCTAGGATAGCGAATTGGTTAAGGGTATGTAACTAGACATAAAGGAGATATAATACACTGATTAACCAAGGAAGTGGTTTTCCTGGAATATTGTAACAATGGCGTGTGTTATAAAAACCACTGCATCAGTGTTAAATGTGTCATTCCTAAATCGATGAGTATTATTTGCTTGTTGTTTTACGCCGCACTCAGCAATATTCAAGCTAAATGACGGTATAATATTCGAGTCTGGACCAGACGATCCAGTGATGGGCATCATGAACATCGATCCACGCAGTTGGTTCGTTGGATTGTTTGTTGTTTTACGCTGCACTCGGTAACTTTCAAGCTATATGACGGCGGTCTGTAATCAATCGAGACTGGACCAGACAATCCAGTGATATATATCATGAGCATCGATCCATGCAATTGGTATGGATGACATGCGTCAACAACGTCAGCGAGCCTGATTTTAGTTGGTTGGTTTGTTGTTTGACGCCACACTCAGCAATATTCCAGCTATATGACGGCGGTCTGTAAATAATCGAGTCTGGGCCAGACAATCCAGTGATTAATATCATGAGCATCGATCCACGCAATTGGGTCAGCGAGCCTGACCACCCGGACCCGTAAAGATTCGAGATAGAATAGGTCTTCAGCAACCCATGCTTGCAGTAAAAGGGGACTATGCTTGTAAGAGGCGACTAACGGGATCGGGTGGTCAGGCTCGCTAAACAATCAACCAACCAACCAACTGACCACCCAAACCCGTTAGTCGACTCTTACGACAAGCATCGTGGCTTTTTACAACAACCATGGGTTGCTGAACATCTGTTCTCCCCCGGATCTTCACGGGTCCTCCATAGAATTAACTGAGATATGAGTCAGTTAAAATTTAACATCGCATCTGCATTATTTCAGCCATATATCGAGTACCGACAAGTGGATTAAGTTATTCACTGATAATCACCCAATCTCTATGATTTTCACTCAACTATGGTATACATAAAAGCTTGACGTCAAAGGATTCGCTTTCGTGTCATAATGGCATTGGCTCAGGCCAACGTAGGGTTTATTTCGAGAGACGTGGTGGTCGTAACTTAGTCTTTGGTCGATACAAGTATCGTATTAAGAATAGGTGCACAAACAGTATCTGCATGACTTACTCAACATCATGCCTTACCGCAACCATCAACATCGTAGATGACCCTGTCACCAAATATGGTTCTGTCCACAATCACCATACTGACGGTGCCTCGAGCTTTGTAGACAGACTCCTGTCTCTGGGTCAGCAACCTCAAACACCATCGGAAAACTATTCCAAGCTGAACCGAAAAAAGCTGATTAAATGTGAAATTATTTCACACAAAAGACCCCTTCTCTGGAAAAAAAACTGAGTCTTGATATATAAGTATCTTTTGGCAGACATTATGCACAAAGTAAAAAATTGATAAAGGCCCGTAGCTCTGTAAACAAATAATTGAAAGGACCAATTTTGGAACTCAGTCTTGACAGGTATCTCTTAGATAGGCTTGCAAAGTCTCATTCAAGTAACTTCAGTAGTTTCTGGGAAAACTTGTCCCCCATTTCAGACAAATATGCACCAAGTTAAAGGCACGGGGCAAGGGCCTTAACTCTGTAAAACATAATTGACGGGACCAATTTTCGAACACAGTCGTGACAAGTATCTCTTAGATAAGCAGACCCGTAAAGACCCGTAATCGCTAACCACCACCAGATCCGGGGTAGGATAGGTCTTCAGCAACCCATGCTTGCCATAGAAGGCGACTATGCTTGTTGTAAGAGATGACTAACGGGATCGGGTGGTCAGGCTCGCTGACTTGGTTAATGCATGTCATCGTATCCTAATTGCATGGATCGATGCTCATGATGTCAATCATTGGATTGTCTGGTCCAGACTCGATTATTTACAGACCGCCGTCATATAGCTGGAATATTGATGAGTGCAGCGTTAAATAACAAACAAACAAACAATAATACCAACCAATATCAACAACAGGGTCCGGCAAAATGGGAACTCGCCCTTTTGATTACGACCTGATCCAAGCACAAGGCTTAACGTGTGAAAACACATACGCCTCTCAATGTTTAAGTCAATTGGACAGGGAGAAAAAACGCAAGAAGGCGACAAGTCACCAGGTACAATGTTGTGGCACCAAATAAAAAAGTCCTTCACCTTCCTGCAAATGAATCTACCTAAACTGCATGTACATGGCATTCAGAGATGATATAATTTTGAAAAGTACCCTACGAATGACAATATAAACTAGAATGCGACTTAAAGCCACTAAATATGGTATCAAAATCAACAATAGCGGCTTTAGAGAGGTTTTATCCACGTCCATCTGTGTGATCATGAAGGACACGATTCTCGCCCATTGATGACTGCATGTATACACGCGCATGTGCGTATGCGTATGCATGTTGCCAACCGCCTCGGAAGAGTTAGAACTGTAAAGGGAATATTGGGATGTCGCTATCAGGACATTGTTTCGAAGCAACGATAAAATTTTATCACATACCATTATGATTATTTGGCTGCACGGCTGTATCAAAAGAAACCATTCGTCTGTAATATCTTACCATAGGCACGTCATGCTTTATTTACAAGTGCATGCTTAGTTTGTTTGTAATTGTGTTTACATCGCAGTGAGCAATACTCCAGCTACATGGTAAATAATCAAGTCTTGACCAGACAATCTACTGAATTATGAGCATGGATCAACGCAGTTTGTACACGATGACATTCATGAACCAAATCAGCGAGCCTGATCCGATACTGATAGTCCCGCGACGTGAACATGTGGAAAGAACAGGAACGTATTTGTGTCGTTGTTGTTTATTTTGGCATGTGCATATATGAAAGAATATCAGTGTTGAGTGGAATAAATCCACAAACAGCAATGTCAAGAACGCAAGTCTGACAGCAGCAGGAATGTTTTATTCGATAGATATGACAAGAGAAGACAAAAGATTGAAATGACGGATGGTGCGCCTCCTGTCTTATATGTTACATATTGTAAATGTGAGTGAGTACATCGGAGTTCACACAGTGATTAACAGTTCTTCAGTACGCCAGGACGTCTGTCAGCTGTGTGAGGATTACACGCGCGTCACACGAGTCACAAATGGTTTGTGCCAAACAGTGGTAATAATATGTACACAATTGATCTAATACAGACAGGGTGGACTCATGGAGATCACGTTCTCTATTTTTTCAATGTATATTATGATATATTGCTTCATCACAGCATCGATGTGGCGGCAGTCTTTAAATATTCTAGTCTTGATCACACAATCCAGTGATTGGCATCATTAGCGTCTATCGATGCAATCGGGATACAATGACAGTTAATGACAGGGCCAGACCATCCTACCATTTAGCCCCCTAACGACAAGCATAGGTTTCTATTAGAAAAAGCCCCCGGGTTCATGTAACGAATAGGGTCCTAGATTTACATAGTTTCGTTGATATAATACTATGTTCATAATGCTGGTCATCGGATTTCGTACAGACGTGGCCCTCACAACATACAATACATTTACAATGTGTGATCTGATGGATTGCGCGTCGTCGTGTCCAGTGGCTGTTACTATGGCTGTTACTATGGCTGTCAACCATTAGTTTGTGTGAGAAAGATTCGATCATATGCAGGCATTTATATACAATATTGCTGGGTTACTTCTAACAGAGGTGTAAACAACATTCACTCACTCACACATAATACTACTTATGCGCGGCAAATGTTGTTTTTTTTAAAATAGATCCAGACACACATATATTTGAATTCATTAAATATTGGTAACAGTCAGAAGGGTTCTTAGTAATGTAGACCTATATAAACGTAGGGGATGTCAGTGTTTTCAGGTTTGCTGCTGTTAATGTTTGGATGTAATATGCAGAATAAGTATTTGACTGAAGAATCGCATGCTCTGTCTAATTTGTGGGAGGCATAGGGGCAAATTCGCAGTTCATTTCGGAACGTGAGTCACATTTGCATCTCATCCCGTTGACTGTGTGCCACACATTCAGATCATAACACTGGGGGACACCAAATATTTCGCATTGTTCTGAAAACAAGAAATAACGAATATTTGTAGCATGGATAAAATATGCACATCGGGTCCTTTAATCCCTTTAAATTCCCAATCTGTTGAGCTAAATATCCTGGACACATTCGCCTACAGATGAGTCTTGAGTTGTATATGTATTTGTTAAACATGCCCATTGTATTTATTGGGACTTAATATACGTGTTAGTACAGGATGATGAACAGAGATTATCAGCCTAGTGTTTGTCGTAAATATCATATAATAAGAATAAAAAAGAGTATAATTATGCTTGTTTCAGAATGTTTATGTATTCCTACTATTTGGTATTTACCATACGGAAACACACGACTGCTATCATTCCGTTAAACATTGCGATGATTGTGTCTTAAACAGGTGTCTGGTTTGGCAAGCAATATAATTGTAGCTACATAGTAATTATAAAAAAACATACCCTCAGCATCCGTGTCAATCAACCACACCTTAGGTTTCCCATTCATAGTCGTGCCCTCCTCTGGACATGTGTACGCATTGCAGCCGTAAGCCGTCAGTCCCGTCACACAGCCGCTGTCCCCCTTACATCCTGAAGCCGATCGTCATCAGATTACACAATGCCAGAAGCACCATATGTATTTTTTAAGTATTCTTATTTGCCTCTACAAAGTATTCGTGTTCAAGTAGTGATATATTTTTATTTAAAGATAGGTAACTAAACTACCCGGCAAAAGAAAGTTTTCACCGACTTCACTTGATCCAAACACCAAAAACAAAGGCATATGGGAGATTTATGATGATAAATTTATAAACAGAAATCATTTTCCATGAATTAGAATGAAATGCATTGTAATATTTGTAGTATATTGCATTCTCCGCAATACACAAAGAAAGAGTCAAGGGGTCCAAATTAAAAAAATACACAAATCAGAATTCATTGAAAAAGTGCATGAAGAGTCCATTAATGACACAGTAGTCAGGTAACACGTCATCAATAGCGAGTGTGACCACCCTGGGCATTAATGCACGCCAACACACGCCTCCCCATTGACGTCGTCAGATAACGTCAACAGGAATCCTGTTCAATAAGTTCAATAGAGTCTGTTCAAGTTCCTGTCGGTTCGCTGGAGGCGGTACATGTTGTCTCATCTGACGATCAAGATGATCCCAGAGATGTTCAATGGGGCTCATGTCTGGAGAACAAGGTGGCCAGGACAGTACGTTGACGTTAACGTTGTTCAGGTAGTCCTGAACAATTCGGGCGGTGTGAGGCCTTGCGTTGTCTTGTTGCAAAATTAATCACTGAATTGAATCACTCTCTAAGTTTGACAAAAGCTATATTGTGCTTTTTAGACAAAAGACTTATGATGTTTATGTTATATTTTCAGGGCTTATTATTATGATTATTATCATGCACTCATAATAAACATGGCTGTCATACGAACCTACAAGTAGCTATGTGTTGTGTGTGTCCAACCAACAACTACCTCATACCCGCTACTACAACTATAAGATATTATGTTATTATGCTGTCATCTTTTGAAAGATAAAAAATATGTTTTTTAAGTTGATTCCGCCCCCTCCCCCCCTCCAAAGGTTATGTATGATGCATTGCCGCTCAATCCTTTGTATAATATATACTCAACAACAACAGTTCCTGTGACACCAATATTTTAATGTATTTTTGTAAAGTTTGGTTTTCAATATTGTAGTTTTTGTACGTTTTGGTTTGAAATCAGGAACTGTTAAGAAAAAACAGCCTTCTCATGATAATTCCCATATTCTCACAAGTTCGTTGTATATTGTGTAATCCTTATATGCCCTGCTATTAGAACATATAGAAACATGTTCAATAAGTGATATGCTAAAGAGTCGATATTGTATATATTATGTTGTTGTTTTTTAAATTTTGTTAACGATTATTTAATTTGTTCATGAATACACGTATGTGACATTAGTAATCGCAATTCATTGCAACTGACTCTCTTTTTATGCAGATTGACTAATACCTTTACATTTAATACAATCTCTTCCTCTTATAATTAGATCAGTTTACTCTTAAACACACAATGTCTCTCGCCCAAGAGAAAGTTGTATCTACTTACAGAGTCGACCTAATTTACAGTTGAATCAACAATACCTGCTCTCGTCATCTTAATGTTCAGTTTCAACCTGCCACACCAACCGTGAATAAACAGTTATGCAGGTGTTGCTATAGGCAAATACTAAGCATGTATATATACTCAACAACAAAAGTTCCTGTAACACCAATATTTTAATGTATTTTTCAAGTAAAGTTGGGTTTTTAATATTGTAGTACTGTATGGAATCAAGTCACAATAACGCAACTGCTACAGAAAAGCATGCATTCCATGCAAAAGTTGACTTTTATGTTAGCAAACATGTACGCTAACGGGATTCAACATGCATTGTTTAGCATCGTGCTGACAACAACTCAGAAAAACAACAAAATTACGCAATTATTCAACATTAATGAGCGAAAATGAGCGTCTGCGAGCCATTGGTATGCTTGAAGCACGATGGAGTCAACGTTATGTTGCAAGACAATTTAACGTCCACAGAAACACCATTTGGTGTTTATGGCAACGTTGGCAACAGACGAATGCAGTCAGAGACCACCCTAGGAGTGACAGGCCACGCGTAACCAATAATCGACAAGGCAACTGGATTCGAACAAAACACCTACGAAATTCATTGCAGCCAGCAACAGTGACTGCAAGAGGCATCCCTTGCCTTCGACGAATATCTTCACAAACCGTACGTCGCCGCCTCAGATATGCAGGGATTGTCGCCAGAACACCCGCCAGACGTCCCATTTTGACAGGAAACTACTGTCAAGCACGTCTACAGTGGTGCAGACAGCGTCTACGCTGGACGGCCATGCATTGGGGACAAGTTCTATTCACTGACGAGTCTCGTGTTCACCTCAGCCACAGCGATGAACGGATTCGAGTGTACCGACGTTGAGGTGAACGTTACGTCAATCATTGTGTCATGGCAGAAGATCGGTTCGGGGGCGGCAGCGTTATGGTATGGGGTGGGACTACAGCAAGACAGAGGACCCGTTTGATAGTGGTAGAGGGAAATCTCAATGGACAGCGCTACCGCAACGAAATCATCGGCCCTGTTGTTCTACCGTTTTTGCGTCGTCACGGCCCAGGCATTACATTTCAACATGACAACGCCCGGCCTCATATTGCTCGACTTGTTCAGGATACTCTTCAACAAAACAACGTGAATGTCATCCCATGGCCGGCTCGCTCCGCTGATCTCCCACCAATGGAGCACATGTGGGATGAGATGGATCGGCGCCTTCGACATCAACAACGTGTTCCACAGACACTCTAGGGACTTCGAAACATGCTCCAGCAGATATGGACAGATATCCCACAGGACTTTGTGCGACGCCTGGTCTATTCCAGACGAAGATGTGTTGCTTGCATCGCAACCAGAGGTGGACGCACACGCTATTGATTTGTAAATTGACATTTTGGCATGTTCATGTTTTTTTTTTATGAAATCAAGCATTTTCTGAAGTCAGTAATTAAACCATTTGAACACTTATAGGAGTCTTTTACCTGTTCCAAACCAAAATTGTTTCAGATTTGGTAAAAAGCATAACTTTGCATAACATCTTATTCAATTTCACAGGAACCTTTGTTGTTCAGTATATGTTTTGAGGGGGGGGGGGGGGGAGGGTACGAGTGGCAGTCCTATCGTAGTATGGTGTCAGAGCTTATCTTATCGCATGTTAAATGTAATGCGCATATTTCCAAAAATGAAGCCTTTAAAAGTATTTCATGACAATCATACGCTTACATACCTGACTGGTCAGTGATGATGCTTACTCCGTCATTTGTACATCTATACTTGACACAGCTTCCAGTCAAGTCCAGGGTAAACTCACTGTCAAAGCCCTTCAACGCCCCATTCACCATGCAGCCGTCGTCGACGACCTTGTACATGATCTCAGCTGAAGAAGTCGTTGATAACATATGCATGAAACACATCAACGTGTTCAGTATAGTTAAGTGAATGCATCAACCGTATGATTAGCGAATGAAACTGTTACTGTGGTAACGATAATGTCCTTCTTTAACTGAAATGCACATGTTTTTGTGTAAAGTTGTTTTACGCGCAGCCAGCAACTATACGGCTATAACAGGCACATGAAGATCCGGGGTCTTCAGGAACCCATGCTTGCCGTACAAAAGCGACTCTGCTTGTCGTAATTATAAGACTTAGAGGCGACTAACTGGATCGGGTGGTCAGGCTCGCTGACTTGGTTGATGCATGTCATCGTATCCCAACTGCCTGGATCGATGCTTATGATGCCAGACACTAGATTGTCTGGTCCAGACTCGATTATTTACAGACCGCCGTCATATAGCTAGAATATTGCTGAGTGTTGCGTTAAACATCAAACAAACAAACGGCGATCTGTAAATAATCGAAATTCGTGACGTTTTACCTCTAGATATGTTAAAACAAAGACAAGGTACAATTGTGATCCAATAGCTTGGCGTACCCGGTAGACAAACTGCACACATGTTACCCTCATCTTGTTCATATATTAACATTATTACACTTAGTACAAGAATGTGATGGAACTGACCTTAACGATCAACACACAGTACCATGCAGCCAGTCGAACAATAAACCCCTTCCGGGTTACAAAAGGACCCCAGTTAAAGGCGACATTGAGTGGTGTGAACAGGCTCGCTGACTTCATTGAATGCTATCGTATCCGATTGCATGGATTGTTGTTCATAATATCCATCACTGGCTTGCCCGTTCCACACTCGATTATTCACAGGACGTCGTCTCAGAGCTTTAATATTGCTGAGTGCGACGTTAAGCCTACCTGTAAGCCTTTCGTTAAGGTTACAATGGAGCGGTGTTAGCAGGCTCGCTGACGTCATTGTATGCTATCGTACCCGACTGCGTGAAATTTCCTATCACATAATATCAATAACAGGTTTGGCTGTTCCGCTGAAGGCGACGTTAAACAAAATACACAAAAAAAGAAAAAAAAGAATGACAGTGATGTGAATTTGTTCATACCATAACGATCCAGGTTGAGAATCAGTGGAATTGTCATGGACGTAACCATGGACACCAAGCAAAGACCAACAAACACGATAACTCCGCGCATCTTCATGGTGAGACAATCAAACTGAAACGGAATATCATTCAGTGTTAATATAAACTTGTGGATAGAAACATGACGCTGTGCGACCAAAGGTACATAATCATGCTCATTTTGTCTCCTATGTGGTCCACAGCTGCGACCGTTGACAATAGCGCTTAATAACATCCAGTATATTGTATTCACTTTTCGCTTGACATTCATTATTTCGTTATGCGATCGTCACTTTTGAAACGCTACATATCACTGGTAGTTATAATGTACATATATTGAGTGCATTATGTTGATCTAATAAATAGGAAATACATTTGAAATCGACAGTATGTTATTGAATATTATACCTGCATATTAGAACCATTTGACAATATAACATTGTTTAAAAAGTCAACCGAACGTAAGGGCATTATGGCGAAAACCTCTCTGTGAAAGGAAGTAGATAGTGACCACATCATTCACCTTGTCTTGAATAATCCTCTGAGAACACACACACACACACTCTCTCTCTCTCTCTCTCACACACACACACACACACACACACACTCTCTCTCTCTCTCTCTCTCTCTCTCTCTCTCACACACACACGCACGCACGCACCGCACGCACACACACACACACACACACACACACACACCACGGTTCAATTGTACTCAATTGCAAAACGTTAACATGGCAGCTCATGATGTAAATTCTACTTTTTGTGGCTTAAAACATTCATCCCACTGCTGCGAACTTGTTGGTCATGTAATTACACAGCAACTTCAGCCTTTGACGTCCACATTTCCGAACTTTTGAGGTACAATCGCATATTTCGATTTCAAAAAGCGTCATCCGACTCTTGCTCAAAAGTTGTTTAATCAAGGTTACAGCATTCAACCAGGCGTCACCAAAGGTTTTATGGTAGACATGCAGAAGACATTTTCAAATTTGACACACCAGTGACAAGAATATATGTCCGAACCCAATCCCTATTTGACTTGTACTATGTGTTCCCGTGTTTCAGAGCATGTGATATAGTGGGAATCGTACAATGGGTGATGCCCTTAAAATATATTTCTTATGGTTATGGAAATGTATTTGTTCGCTTTTTAACATGTGGATACATTATCAATCGTTACAAATCAGTAGTGTAGTTTGAATATAACCGCGTTTTGCTATTACCTAATACCAATTTTGACCATTCAAATCTTCAACGCAAGTGACAATTCTGTCTCGAATATCTGTGTGATTGGATCCCACTCTTAAGGACACTATTATCACAAGGCGGATAATCTGGATTGATTATTCTCTGGCGTTGACGGTTTACATTTATATAACCACATATATAACCACAAAAACAGTAGTATCCTGGGCGATTTCGTCATCCTGAACAACATCATCATCCAGATTAACGGGGTTTCCATCTATATTGAAGTGTCCCCCCTTAACATCCATCAGCTGTGTCCTGAATATGGTTACAGTGAATGAGTGAAAACTTTGCATCGCATATGTAGGCAACATGGTGAAATGATAGCGCCAATGCACATTGAAGGGAAACAACACTCGAACATTGAAAGTATTGAAATATGAATAGGCTTTTTCTCCGCGGATTCACAATTTGCTTCTTATGAACCATGTTCTCGACTGGTTTGACTCATGTTCGGCGCTATGCTTGACATCTATTGGAGGATAGAAGGATGAGGAACCGTACATCATAATGGATGTACAATAAAGAGCTGCAACCAATCTGACATATTTTGTGGATGTTGATTAATGTATACACGACATGAACGGGTGAAGCTGTCCATCAACATCATATTATGCGCAGTTAAAAGCTACATGGTATATCATCAGGGACATCAGGAAAATGAACAGGTGATAACAGCTTTCTAATCGGTCAATAAAACTGTGAAATTTGATACATTATCACCAAACATGATTTTCAATTTTAATTGTAGTTTCTATTCTGCTTGTCATTGTTTTATACGAAGAAATAAAGTTTACCGTGAGTATTTTCTCGTAAACTGAGCCAGAAATAGCAAGCAGCTGTGCACACATTTTCTACCAATATACCTGTGATTCAGTTACCTAAATACATTTCAATATAACCTCTAAGAATGTTGATGCAATGATCGGATGAATCTATATATCTATCTATCTATCTGGAGGGAGGGATACTGAGCATGACTACGCTGGAAGATTACAATGACGTCGGCAAGACGACTGAGAGGTTGGGTGTTGTTTACCTTTAAATCCTTCTCTCGTGTACGCCGAAGTTAAGGCCCGGTTTCTTGTCTTAATTAGATACACGATACGTTAGTGGGCAGTCATATTTTGCTTACATCCCCCACCTTAACCCCCACCCCGATGTTGTACGAATACTGCATTACATATATTCGCGAGTAGGTATAAGAATGCCCTTCTACTTGGACATGATAACCTCCAAGTATAAACCTATACTATCCATTGCAGCAGAATAGGTCTCTGAGTGCTCTCAACCTCCTACTTACCTTTCGCCTTGTTCCTGGAGAAGAATTGATACTTTGGTGATGCCTTCTCATTTTATAACACTTTAGGATCGACCAATAATTCAGACTGTCAAACGATGCACCATCTGTTGGATATAATATTGTATACATTATTTGATTTTTATTGCCAATCGTTGCTGAGAATGAGCCTGTGTTATTAAACATGATGGCATATGGTGAAACTATTTACCTGACAGCGACCATTCAGACACCACGCTAACAACTTTATTGATACTTATATCTTGGATTGTAAAAGGGAGCTTTACAGATGATTGACATGTTTAATTCCATTAAATTTCATTAATATTCATCACTAGATCACAGCGTTCGTTTGAGTTCACTGAACGAACTTTTATTTACACTCAGGCCGCGGCATCAGAGGTGTAAAATTATTTCAACAACATAATACAAATACATATATACATATATATACAGATACACTAGGGTAACAATATATGTGCAATATATGAGAGAGAGAGAGAGAGAGAGAAGAGAGAGAGGGGAGAGAGAGAGGGAGAGGGGAGAGAAAGGAGAGAGATACCTGTGATAGTGGTTCGTGTGTGTTTTGCTTAATTGTGCGTGGTCTGAAATGAATTTCGTCACGTTTGATACGCTGTTGTGATCACGTTTCTGTGCAGTTCTGTCAGGACATTTGTTTTGACAAGAGGTTTCTTGGCCTTTCGAAGGGACCTCTGTTCTCTGATGTACTTTCAAATCCTCTCCTCCCAAATCCTAACGTTGCTGGTTGACGGAGATGACAATGAATATCGATCCCAAAAAGGTTTGCAAACAACATGTTGTCATGAAGTTTTTGTTGTCATGAAGTATTTTAAAACGCTATTTTATCATGTTATATTTTACTTTCATTATCGTTTGTTTCAGAGGGGAAATGACCTTTTCGCCAACAAGCATGTCTCTAAGAGTTACATAAACGATATCAGGATCATTTGTATGCAAAAGATGTGCCTTCGTTAAAGCTTGTAACCACATCATCGAAACAGGCGGGGTTAGGACCAAGGTCGTCAAAATCGTCGCCAAAAACATCCAAACGTCTAGATCTCTTCTAGGCAATCCAGGGGGCACGGGTGGCCCAGTCGTCTAAGGCGCCGCGATTCGCTGTGCAGAGTTGCGTCCCATGGGCACGCCAGAAACCTATGATTGTTGGGTCGAATCCCGGTTCACCCCGATTATGTTTCTAGTTTTGTAAGCACCATACCCGTGCTCTAGGGTTTCACCGAAGTGATAAACGTATAAGATCTGCATCATTTCGGGGTTTCCTCCCACATCAAGCTGAAACGCCGCTATATAACTGCAATACTGTTAAAAGCGGCGTCAAACCCAACTCACTCTAGACAATCCAGCGTCTATTAATTTCGCGAGTTTCGTTGACCCGGTGTGCATTACAGGCATGGCATGTATTAGAGCCCACGGTATAATAGAGGAAATATCGATACAGTATACCGTTCTTATGGGTGATCAGTCGGCAGACACTTTTTTATGTATCGATATGTACATGTAGCCATTCATAAGCACGGTTTGGGTGTGAAAAGGTTTTATATATTAAAACCCATCAGAATCAAGCATTCTTCAGTGCCACGGTGGAATATATCATGAGCATGTTATCAAATCTCTCAGGGGGGATGCCTACAGCATTGGTGGTCAAACGGGTGCTGTGTCGACGATCATCAATCATGTATTTTATCTCTATGTTCCTCAGAGGTGACAGAAGGTCTTACTGATCTTGGATCATTTCGAGACTTTCTCTTCCCCTCTTACTATCCACTGCCTAACCTCCCTCATGGGGATTAGGAAGAAGCTGATGACAATGCGGTAGCCAATTGTGTCCAGATCAACAGATAATACCAAGTCACCTTGATGCCGGCATCCACATGCTGCATGGTTGTGTTGAGGGTGCACTATACATCTTTTGTAGTTTGACCTTTCAGAACCTCGAATTTTATGTTTCCGTCTGCATTGTAGTGCTAAATGATCCAATCAATCATAGTTAAACACAAGGCACAGCTGGTGCTGCCATAATATGTTTCAACGAACCAGAGGATGACACACATATGAAACACTTTATAGCCTTTACAAGGACAATTACTGACAGCAACTTTTTAATAGCATCTAGACATTTCAAGGCTCCTCCTGTACTTCACCAGCAATTCAACAATACATTTTGTCAAATGACATCTCCGCCAGTATTATTGCAGTGTCAACAACAAACTTACAATCACAAGAAATCTGCACTAAAGCATAGTCCATTTACGATTCCTGCTACATCATGAGCATGTGTTTCAGAATCCATATCAAACAGTGGAGATATTAGGTGTTGACTGAAAATATACGGGCAAGTCAAAATAGGGAATTGCATCGGACATCATTTTTGTCACTGATGCGTCAAGAAATGTCCTCCATATGTCTAACTTGTGGATGCTTTGCTGAGGCCTTGAATGCTGTAACCCTGATCAAACAACTTCTGAACAAGAGTCGTATGACGCTCTTTGAAATCTTCGTATCTTCGGTTCTGGGTCCACAACAGGTGACATATCATGCCAATTACTTTCCTCTCACCTCACGTACTATGTACTGGTGGTTCAAATACACATAGTCCTGAATAGTTCAAAATAAGGTTTTAAAACACAGTTTTTTCAAAAAGAAGTTGACAAATAATGTTATAATTTCATCGCAAGGCATCGCACCCGCCAAGTAGTTTCCTGGAAATCAGCTCGACAAGTCATTCCTTGGACATCGAACATGCCATCTCCCATTGTAGTTGTATGTTGGCATGTTGTAGATATAGTATGAAAAAAAGGCTGAACGAATTTATCTTAAATGTGTAAATTTTATTAGTTAGTAAGCAATTACCCCCATTAAATATTACAAATTAAAGAAAGTGCCTCTTCACCCCGAACAAGGATGTGCAGAACTTGAATTACATCGCAGTGACTCGTCACTAGAGTTGAGCTGAGCTGAACTGAGGTTTAATGTCGCGTCCAAGAGTATTGCACTTATATAGAAACGTGCATGCTGCTTGAACTAGTCCGAACTGATGCCTATTATATAGCGTTAGCCCACTGAGATACCATGCCGCAGGTTAATATGATTACCCTTACACAGACAGAGTATGCTGATTCCGAAAACAAGGCTTCTTAATACCGAGCAACAAGCAGGGTGACAACAAGTACCATCCTTTAACGTCTTTTGGTGTGACGCGGCCGGGAATAGCACCCTGGAGCTTCTGCTCTCCGGGCGAACGCTCCATCACTACACTACGGAGGCGGTGTACTATATACAGATTTAGCTCACTATGGCTTCAAGCTTACACTTACAGAATGGAACATGAAGAATGAATGACTGGTGGGATAGTATATGCTCATGCACAGATTGTTTATGTCACACAAAGTAAACAATGCTGTTATTTATGTTTGTTAAGAGAGGGCTTATATAGATTGTAGCCAAGAAAAAAATGGATATTTGTAATATACCTGCAATTACAAGATTTATTTAAACAATACAAATAAAGCTAACAATCAAACAAATCAGTCTTCACACATTTGGTTTTGTTTGTTTGTTGTTTAACGCCGCATTCAGCAATACTCCAGCTGTACGATGGTGGTCTGTAAATAATCGAGTCTGGACCAGACAATCCATTGATTGAGACCAAGAGCATCGATCCACAGTATTTCTAATCCCCTTTACGAAAATCTCTACAATTAAATATCTTATCCCACTACTTGGACACTGAAACAAATCAACTAATTTATCAAAAATAATATAATGGATTAAGCACATATGATACTTACAAATCTATATTTACAGATGGATCCAAGGATGATGACTCTGTTGCCAGCGCCACTGTCCTTGGATCCAGGACTATCTCACAGATTACCCGATAACTGTTCTATGTTCACAGCAGAAGCCACTGCCATTCTAACAGCTCTGGAGTATATCAGTAAACAGTCAAAATATTTCAGATTCTCTTTCGTGCGCACGAGCTATTCAATACATGTCATGTGAACATCCACTTTTAATCCCAGTTGTCGAATTATATCATGAACATGCTACTGACCATTAGGACAACGTCATTTGTTGGTTACCAACTCTCATTTAGTTATTGGTTGTTGTTTTTTAATTGCATTGTTTCATTAATTGTGACTTAAATGCTGTGTATAAAATACAGGATTGTTAGTGGCTGTACCCTCGTACGGGGTTGAAGTAGTGTAAAATGATTGTCACCTAGAGAGGTCATGCAGGACCAACTCAATTCAAAGTAGATTTATTCTTACCACGTTTTTAATCGTAGAATCTGTACGTGTTGTTTTAATGCTAGGCTACATTTGCCAATGCACCAGAAGGGATGATGTAAATTCTGCTGGAGTCCATGCAGGTAGCCAAAGAACTGGCAGTCCCCATGGACCCTAGCATGGTGATCTACATGTACCTTCAGTTGCTGGCGATCTTTAGCCCGTTGTTATAATGTATTGTCATGTACATGTATAGTGATGCATTTGTATGGTTCCATGCTAATTGTAATCTGTGACAAGTCTAGTTATTTAACTGTCCGTTGTGGACAGGCTTTTATAGTTGAAATGTATTGATAATTTAACTTTTAAAAGTCACGATGTGGCCGAAATACTGCCGATGTGACGATAACTCACTCACTCACACACTCAAAATAGGGAATTCATCGGACACAAAAATTGTAAACGATGCGTCAAATGTGGAATTTGCCTTTCAATGTCAAAACTGTTTTAAATGCTTTGCTGGGTCACTGAATTTTGTACCCCGGTTCAAACACCTTTTAACCAAAAGTCGCACGACGCTCTTTGAAATCTTTGTAGAAAGAGCATACCTCGACACCAAGGCTGAAGCTGCGGATATACATTCATTTGGCGTCCGGGCACTCAACCGATAACACATCATGTACATTATGTCGCTTCCACCTTAAGTACCATACCCACTATGACATCCCATGACACTTACAGAATGGCATCAAATGATTGGTGGGATAAGGTATGCTCATGCACTGATTGTTGATAATACACATACACAATGTAAACAATGTTGGTATTTTGTTTTAAGACATGGCTAGTTTTGAATAGTAGCCTAGAACAATGAGTCTATTATGAAAATGTAATGTATGCTTTACATGTACAGTTTGATTTATCCAAATAGGTTAGATGTAAACGGCATGAATGTGTTTGTGATATGCGTACGTCGACATTAATTGACATCACTATTGACAGATGCTCTTGTTTGCAAAAAAGCATTGTGGTAGATTCCTGATGGTTATATATAATAACAAACGAGTATCGTTCATATTCAACAACACGTGAAAGCACAACACACATGTATGTCTGTAACATATGTCACTGAAGTCAATGTGTCAAGTTAACTATGCCCAACTTGGGGTCAAATAGCTGATAGAATACCAAGTTGTTAGAAGTTACCATTATAACTCCTTGCACAAATGATTTCTGAAGGGCTGTTACCTTATATATAATGGTCTACTTGGCCTATCAATTGTTATGCGTCATTGTATTGCAATATATCCTGAACGTGTATTGAATATGTGTCTATATTTGACTCATAAATGTCAGTGATCATAACACTAAGACTTACCTCAATATTAAAGTGACCCGAATGTCGTGACTTTGATCTTTAGGCATTAATCCCATTTCAATCTTAGTATTGACGATAGCAAAACGATAATGATGCTGTCAGCTACTGGTTTGCCTTACCAAGACTCGGTTATTTACAGGATTGATTTGAGCCTGCAACACCGGCGTGAAATGACGGGAATATTGCAGAGTGTAGCGTAATCGAAGACACAGGCATCTACTGATGTCCATGAACAGGAGTTCATCATGACAGTGCCAATGCACAACCTCTGTAAAGTAAACGTCATTCACGAAACCTCTGGATTCACAATTCAATCCCGAAAAGTAATGACAAACCCAGATATGAACCCATTTTATCTGGCCTTTAGTGCAGGGGAGCCCAATGTTGAAAGTCAGACTGAGAATTGCGAATGTCATCCGTGAGAGGGGTTGACACTCCGGATACAGGGTGTGCGGCACGATCGCGCCAAGAAAAGTAGGCTGGAAATGGCAAGGGTAAAACTAAGATTTGATATAGGCTAGTAGTCAGAACACGGTCGATCACTGGTGTTGCCAGTATGTTGGTTTTATTTGTTTGTGGTTTAACGCCGCATTCAACATTATTCCAGCTATATGACTATCTGTGAATAATCAAGTCTGGACCCCAAAATTCAGTGATTGACATCATGGGAGTCGATCAACGCAATTGGGATACGATGACATCCATCAACCAAGTCAGCGAGCCTGACTCCCCGATCCCGTTAGTCGCCTTTTACAACAAACAAAGTAGAATTTTAGGGCAAGCATATGGTTGCTGAAGACAAGTTCTATATCCCAGATCTTCACGGGCCCCAGTCTGTCGGTACCGACCCAAGAGTGACTGCATGGTGCAAATATCAAAACCAAACCTTTGCGGTTTCAAACATTCAAATGCAATTAGACACGCGTCGCAGAACGTGTAGGCGGTTTGCTCGTCAACAAAAGTACTTAACACAGTCAATTCTATAGAACACCTCAATGATTTACTTTGTGTCTGAAATGACTGAGTGCCACGTGTACTGTGAATGTGTGACGGAATTCTTCACGGGATATAAAGCATGCAATGACATGTACCGTCCTGTATTTTTAGGGTCATCGTGGTTAATCATAACAAAATGTTTGCACATGTGATTATCATGCATGATTCTGAACAAAAGCATGGCAGTTTGGTTTTAACTTTTCCCAGCAAGTACACATACAGTAAAGGGTATAAACACAGAACATTCACGTTGTGTATGTGTTGGTAGTATAGATAATTCGTTTAAAGGTTCAATCAGTTGGAACTAGGTTAAAATACATGGCAGCTTAACTGTAACGCCTTGGTGGCTGTAAAGGGTTTACACCTTCTCGTGTCAAAGTACTCGAGCATAAATGTCTCAAACAGTGAGTGAGTGAGTGAGTATGGTTTTACGCCGCTTTTAGCAATATTCCAGCAATATCAGGGCGAGGGACATCAGAAATGGGCTTCACACATTGTACCCATGTCGGGAATCGAACCCGGGTCATCGGCGTGACGAGCGAACGCTTTAACCACCAGGCTACCCGACCGCCCCAGGCGGAGCGTGAGAGGCGACCAAGTGTGATCGGATAATCATGCGCTGTGACTTGGCTGAATGCGTCTCATCGTGCGCTGATGATAACCATATACATGTATGCAGAGCTTGTTTTAGGCATTGGTGTTCAAGACAAATTCAAGCAAAACCTACTTCTGTGTTGTCGAGGCGAGTTTCGTTATCATTATCAACATCTTCATCACTGCTATTCAAAGGAATATTTTTTATTTCATAAATGACTTCGTATATACTCATTTGTCATATATTTATACCCACAATAATACCTTGTAGGGCGTTACTCATATATCAAGTATTCGTTTGCCTCACGACTCGATTATTGACAGAATTGAAAAAGCCAGAATGTTGCTGAGAGCGGCGACAAATGACAATATAACACACTAGCGGGCTTGGTCACTGATCAGCTGAAACTACTGGTTACTCCATGCCTTGGGTTAACCATCACGTTAAACATTGTGCATTTTTGGCAGGCAGCCCAGATACACAACTGGAATAGTTATTTGAAAGAAACACAAATGTTCATTACAATCATTTCAAAGAAATTCGACTGGAGGCAGAAACTGTAGATTTTGTCCTGGTATGCATGCAAGCACATGTGACTCTTTCATGAACATTCAAACATGTGTTTTTTTTTGTTTCCAGCCTGATCCATAAATACATTGTGCATATACATACATGCATGCACATATTCCCAATCTGCAAACACATGGACATAACATCTGATCACAGCTGTCAACCTCATGCGATCACAAAACAGAATATAGAATGATTGAAAACGACACGACGTAGTTGATAGGTTATATACACACCAACAAAAGAAATGCGAACCATAGAGTGAGTGAGTGAGTTGGGTTTAACGCCGCTTTAACAGTATTACAGTTATATCGCGGCGTGTCAGCTTAATGTGGGAGGAAACCCCGAAGTGATGCAGGTCTAAGACGTTTACCACTTCAGTGAAACCCACGAGCACGGGTATGGTGCTGACAAACCTAGAAACATAAACGGGGCGAACCGGGATTCGAACCCACAATCATAGGTTTCTGGCGTGCCAAAGAGACGCACAGCGAATTGCGGCGCTTAAGACGACTGGGCCACCCGAGCCCCCGCGAACCATAGATACGTATGTACGTGAATAAGAGATGTTTCCACTGTGTACCAATTAATGACAAAACTGACAATCAGTCAAGTGTTACCACAGAGTGTCTTTATTCTCATCACGTGATGCTGCACGTGACTTCCAAGCTAATCCTGCACGTGACAAATGGTCCATCTCGAGTCATGGATCTATAACGTCCCATGTCATGCGTTCATGAGCGTCGGTTCACACAACATACCAGTGTGTAGCCAAACTTATATCTCTTGAATGTGAGTCACTCTTATATTAACCAACACATATGGCATTTGCGTTTCTTTTGTCGGTGAATATATTTAGCTACTATATATTCCAGTTTTACTAAATACGTTTGTTTATTGTTTAACGCCATGCTCAGCAATATTCCAGCATCTTCCCGAGGCAAAGGAGTTAACTGACTATAAAAGTGGAAACTGGACTTTTAAAGTCAGTTAACTCCCTTGCCTCGGGAAGATCTATTTCAGCTTTATGACGGCGGTTTGTAAATAATCGTGTCTGGACCAGACAGTCCAGTGATTGACATCATGAGCATCGATCAACGCAATTGGGATACGATGACATGCATCAACCAAGTCAGCACTAAATATGTACAATAGTTATGCACATATACATAAACTGATTATAAGTATTGATACATAGACTGTTCAAGTACGGGAAATAGATACAACAGCGAAGCACCACATCTGTGATCTGGTATACCATGTAACTGCAGTCCTGTCAATACTCCGTTTTCCCTGTAATACAGTTTCTCGTTATATATAATTATATATTGAACGAGCACCTGTAAAAGATACATACGTGCGATGCACCATTCTTGAATGTTGAAATAAGTCGGAATGAGGTTTCGATCTGTGATTTTGTACGAACATCTTATGATGATGATACGTCTGAATGTTTGATGTGAAATAAATACTAATAAATAGAATCATAGAAATAGCAGAAAACATGACTTCGGGAAATGCGTTCTATTTCTTCAGTCATTAAAGTCGGAAAATCACGCGAGACAGAAAAGTATTTTTCACAGCAATCCTGACTTTGACATTTACGTGTGCCGAGGGATAGAGACCTTAAATCAGGAGAAGGCAGAGTTTTATCACGCAAGTTATTTCAGGAATATCACTGCTATAAGTACTTTTGCGATTGAGTAGATACTGCTCAACAAACTAAAGAAACATCGATGTGATCACAGGCGACACAAGGCGTTCCGCGTGCAACGGAACATCGATGTCCATTAAACAGGGGATTGTGGCGGAGTGGGACACTGTGCACGTGGAGTGCATGTTGGTAACAGGCTGCGGCAGCAAGCAAATTAAACATACAATATTAATAAGTTCATATTTTATTGGCTTTTGATGCAATACATGCATATGTTATATTTGGGATAACACTTTCTTATTAAAGTAACTGATGGTCTAGATCCCGCACTTTGTGTACCCCTCTGACAAGTGTAAATTGGCACGGGCCCCATGGGTGAAAGCTATGAACATTCATTTTTGTGAAAACCTTGGTGGCTGAGCGGGTTAGATCGCGGACTTTGTGTGCTGGCGATTAGGTGCCTCACTCTGACAGTGTGGGCTCTAATCCCAAAAGTGCGTACATTTGTACCGACAAGACATCAGTTACGACTGGGCGGATAACAGTTTCCCAGATTATATTTGATTGAATATTAACATATTGTTCGGGAATGATTGATATTTAGAAAACTTAACATTATGTCGCAATCAATATCACACATTTAATAAATATATACATTTAACAATTTTAACAATAGGAATATGATCCTGGTAATGTCTTGAGCATCTGGAACAGTTCCAATAATTCTAATACAGTTGTTTTCATATTTGTTATATCTGAATTGCATTTTCTCCAACTTGTGTGAACAAACCAAACTGGTGGAATCCGCCAATGCTGACTTAAGCTCAGTTAAACCTTGCTTCTGTGTATGTTGTTGTGGCAGTGACATTGGCCTGTCAGGCCCAAGACTGGGGTCAATTCTTGAAATAGTTACACTGTGCTAAACCCGTTTTTCTTCTCCCAATGAGTGACGTGGCCTTATGACCAGTGGTCACTCACTCATCACAAACAAGTACATTTTAAACAGAGACATTCGTTGTTCTCGCTCGTCGTATGTACATGTACGACACGGTTTCGAATCTCAATACACCAAAACACACTAAATAAAATATCGACTGTCTAAGTCACTACGATTTTCGCAAAACTATCCAAAAAACAAAGTTTTCACTTCTTGATAGGTGGTCCGGCATGTTGGACAGGTCTTCTGGACAGCTGACCACTCTCCCATACACTCAGCACAGAAGGTGTGACCACAGGGAATCAGGAAGTGGGTGACCGCTCTGTCCATGCACACAGTACACACGGGCATACTCTGGGCGTCCGGCGTCTGAAAGCAATGTCCACCATATCGTCACGATCATTATTGATGTCATTCACAGCACCAGCCTGGCATAAACTGGTACATGTATGCATATGATACAGTGACTGTTAATCCCGAGTGTGTTGTTCCAGATCGTCCGGATTACCAAATATCCGGATTAACGCATGTCGGGTACGATTTCCCTTTTATATTATATAGTAGTCATATAAAAGACTGTATGGGGATCTTATAATCAACACATTAAATCGTAACATTATTTTTGGTCATTCTTTAGTTCGATGGACATTCTTAAAATTTATTGATATTGATGCTTGTTCACGGACAGATTTTGGCCACCAGTACCTTATATTAAACACCTCTCTCACAACCCAATGATACACACATTAAACATAATGTTCCTGCTGTAGACTTAGCAGGTCTAAGGCGCCATGTCACTTACCACTCCTGGTTCCAGACAGGGCAGTGGGTCATCTCCTCTCCAAGGCTCAACTTCACACAACCTGATTGTCTCCCCTTGTGAGTGTAATCCTACAGCTGCATAGAAGCCACCAGGGGGCACTGTCAGGGGTGGGGACTGATACACCTGTAACAGTGAAGCCATGTCGTACAGTTGAGAAGCATTCGCGGAATATGTTAACAGGTTTCATTCACTTTGATACTTGATGAACGATGGTGACGTGAGAGTTAGAAGTAGTCCTGTCACTGTGGCACATAGACAATAGCGTACTGACACGACATGTCATGATCAGTGGCAGATATATCAAGATATCAATATGTCGGGTTACCATGACGCACAATCAGGCCAGGCACCAAGCCTATAAAACCGATCGAAGTAAGTCGCAGCTAACGACATTATTAAGTTCGTTAAAAGATGTTACTTGTTGATACTACCCATAAAGGTCCGGGGTAGAATAGGTCTTCAGCAACCCATGCTTGCCGTAAAAGGTTAATGTACTTGTCGTAGGAGGCGACTAATAGGATCGGGTGGTCAGGCTCGCTGACTTGGTTGATGCATGTCATCGTATCCCAATTGCATGGATTGATGCTCGTGATATCAATCACTAGATTGTCTGGCCCAGACTCGATTATCATTTACCCTGCATGCCGTTCGGTATTATAAAACCGGCGTTCATTAGTCAGGACTAATACAGGCAGCCACACGCACACACACCAACACATACACAAACGTCGAAAACGTGTACTAATCTTGAACACAGCGCAAAAGCCCTTTTCGCCTCATTGTGGCATTTATTTGGAAAGTCAATAAAAATACTACTTCAGTAGGAAAGGTTGGTGTAAAGATTCCAGAAAGAAGTTCGCACATAATGTGTTTGTTTACAAAGTCGGGACTGGCAACCATGTAACTGGGCAGGTGATTTTTGTGAGTTACGGCTTTCTGGCTAGATTTTTGTGATAATACAACACTGATAATGCAGAATAAATAACATCATTATTTAAAAACAACAACATTACTTCAAAACGGCCCATTCACTTATGCAAGTATGTCAAACAAGTCCACACAATGAAGTATGTGGGATGACGACATGTTAGATTCCAAGTTGCTTTGAATTATTACCCTCAGAATACAGAGACACAGTCTCAGTTTCACGCATGTCACTAATTACAACAACCTTAACACGCCTGCCTGTCTGCATGAATTGGGTACAGAAAACGAGCCACTCACCTTTTTCCCATTGTTGAGAAATGTGACTGTTTGGTCCGAGAAGTTGAACTGACAAGTCATGGTGGCGCCCTGCCTAGCTATAGGAAGTGACTTCTTGGCAACTCCTGTGGCAGCGTATATGCTGAAATATGCAACATCATATATCCAAACCCTGAAACAATTCACCAATCCATGAGCAAAACATAGTGCCACGCCATTGCAGTTCACCTGGATATGTCGTAAAAGTTTAACAGTGGTCTGCACTATTGATTTCATTCCAATGACACATGATATGCTTGTCGTAAGAGGCGACTGTTTATTTGTTTATGTTGTTTTTTTGTTTAACACCACAACCAGCAGTATTCCAGCTATAAATAATTTAGCCTGAACCAGACAATCCAGTGATTGATTTCATGAGCATCGATCCACACAATTGGGATACGATGACATGCGTCAACCAAGTCAGGGAACCTGACCACCCGATCCCGTTAGTCGCCTCTTACGACAAGCATAGTCGCCTTTTACCGTAAGCATGGGTTGCTGAAGACCTATTCTACCCCACATGCCACTGACGGGATCGGGTGGTCAGACTCGCTGATGCATTTCAACCTATCCCAACAGCGTGGATAAATGCTCATGATCTCAATCACTGGACTGTCTGTTCCAGACTTTATTATTCACAGACCGCCGTCAAATTGCTGGAATATTCCTGAATGTGGCGTTAACAAACAAACAAACAAACAAAATCTAAAGAAAATATTGAGTCATCATAAGAATAACAAAATATATCAAAGCTCAGCTCCCTCGGTCTGGCAGTATTCAGAGGAGAGGTTCAGAGGGCCAATTATGTATTTTAGAGAATTCATCAGCATGGTCAAAACAAGGTGAAAAGTTAGGTGATCTGAACGTCCACAGCGTACACAACAAATACCAAATGTCATTACATTTTTTACTCAAACAGTTGGCCATAAACAGCTATTTTAATATTGCCACCATGGCTTCCTTTATGAAAATTGGATTCGAACAAAAGCAGGTGTCATTATTGGTGGGAGTTGCTTCGTGAAGTTTAGGCTCCATTGGTTTCCGAGGAGATGACATTTAAACTTGACCCCCGAGCTCTGTCATCGGACCCTGTGGCGCGTTCCGTTGCTCATGTCTCATTCACTGTTTGCCTTGTCCAGACATGACTATTCACATATCTCATAACATTATTATGGAATATTGCTGACTGCGGCGTTAAACAGCATTTACTCATTGAATCAGTCACGTGCAGCCACAGGAGTATTAATGTTTGAAAGAAGAATGTAATATAGTTGGCCAGTTTTCCAAATACTAGTGTGAAGACGGTATTGAGGACTGGTCTCCAATGACGAGGTATACGGGTAAAACCTTGTTTCCTAGATTCTTTAAGGAGTTTAAGTCTGATGTAGACTTGTTGTGGACACCAGTGACGACCATTTGTCACACGTCCATTGCATATTGACCTGTATCTATTCATTGTATTTTGTTTTCAATATATACCTTTAACATTACAACATCTTTTCAAAGTTTACTTAGGTGAGGTGAAATTGGTTTTAACGTCGCGTGTTGCACTTACATAGCGACGTGCGTGCAAGTGTGTGTGTGTCTGCTTGTACTAGTCCGGACTAATGCCGATTTCAGAGTGCTAGCCCACTGAGGAGATACTACATGTAGTTTAACCTGAATATCCCACACAGGCACAGTATACTTACTCCGAGCGGACCAGTCCGTGTTTTGGCCCCTTTGTGTCGAGCGCCAGACAAGAACCATCTTTTAACGTCTTTTGGTATGACGCGGTCCGGGATCGAACCCAGAGTCTTCCGCTCTCCAGGCGGACGCTCAACCTCAAGACCACAGTGGCGGGCCCAAGTTTAATTACATAATACAGACAGCATACACTGTATTGTTCCAATAGTCGAAATTGTCCACACGCACAAATTAAATTGAATGGGATGCTTCCAACGTGGAATGAATTGTCAATAGAGTTTAGTAATAAGAGGGAGGTAAGTGTATAACGTCTGACCTACTCACCCGCCGTTATCTGCATGGTAGGCTATGGAGTGCTTGTGCCACCCCGGCTGGCTGTCCGTCCGATAATGTTGAGGGCACAGCCCCATCGCAATTCTGCACCCTATTCCTTGGTCTACAATTCCTGAAAACAAATTACGTGAGTGTCGAAATGTTTTTTACCAAATCAAACAATGTTGAGCGTGACAGTGACTTTCTGGCTACAGTAAGCCATCAGCTTGACCCAGAAGGGATAGAAACAGCTCAAAGCGCAGGTCGTTACACTTTGGTTAAGACCACGAGCAAGGGTACCTTCCGGACAAACCAATCATCCTAATCGGATTGGACCCAGGACCAGCGGATCCTGACTACCGCCCTTTCCCCCGTTCAATGCGTACGTAGCGTGTGTATTTGTATAAACGCAATAAGAAATATGAGATCGCGTCATGCAGGTGAACATTCTAACCAGCCAATGAGCGCCAATGCTTCTCAGTTCTCGTTTTGGAGTGAGCGAAGCTTTCAGGCAAGAGTATCTGATTTCCGCATTTCGAAAACGAATATAATCGGCGACCGTTATATCGTTGTGGACATCTTTTCGTTTCTGAGCGCCATGGAATCTACAAAAAAATAGGTAGTGAAGGTGAGGTGAAATTGGGTTTAACGTCGCGTCCAAGATTATTGCACTTATATAGCGACGTGCATCTACGTGTACGTGTGTGTGTGTGGCTGCTTGTACTCATGCCGATTTAAAGTGCTAGCTCACTGAGATACCATGCCGCAGTTTAACATGAATACCCCACTCAGACACAGTGTATTGACTCCGAGCCGAGCAGTCCTTGTTTTAGCCCCTTAATGCCGGGCGCCAGACAGGGTAACAACAAGTACCATCTTTAAACGTCTTTTGGTATGACGGAAAGATCGAACCCCGGACCTTCCGGTCTCCGGGCGGAGGCGGTCAGAAAGAGGTAGTACGATCGAAGGAATATTTGGGTTCTGCGTGGGCTTTCATTTGTACAAATCATTTGTGATCGAGGTGGCAAATACATTAAGCTGAATAGTTCTTGAAAGCTGCCATTTCATTGGCTAAATAACACACGCATCCTTCAGTTAAATCGGGCGGTCAAAGTTCGCTCAGCGTTCATCTTACGCGACCTTTTGAGGTCTCCTCGAATCGGAGTAAAAGATCGGATTTTTATGAGATAAGTAACACTGTATAAATTATACACTTCAAATGTTCTTTGCGATTTATCGAGTAACCATTTTATATTTCATGATAAAACACTGACACTGTGGCGCCATTTCTGTAGATTCAAACATGCGCTATCAACTTGATGACGTCGAATACTGGACGGCGTTATTTTTGAGGGCGGAGTTTCTAGTGAGTTGTTTCCCATAGATGAAGCTAGGCAACGCAGATAAACTTGATGGCCGAACGATCGCATACAAAAGAGATTACACACTCGGTATTAGGGGAAAAGGTACAGGTATTCGACATTAGGATTGTGAGAATATGCGGAAAATACCCACCTGTGCATAACATGGACTTGTCCGATATTGACGAGGTCGGATTCTATTGAATGAGTAATCGCTATTTAAATAGGGAAAATATTTTTAGAGCTTGTACATTTTATCATATCCTTAAAGACTGTTCATAATGTTGATCTCTCATATAAAAAATAAACAGCTCGCGGTCGTTGCTTATCGTACAAGAAAACATTGCCCACTGACACAGACTCGAGTGGTTTATTTTCTCTGCAGTGTTTTATTGTTCGATCATCAACTCCCACACGTCGTTTATTTCTTAATTGGAGGTAACACAAACAGTTCGACGACTATATAATGCCTCCCGCTAGGATACCCATGCGGTCATGGTCGCATACATTGATATGAGTTGCCGTAGATACATAATAAATTCATTACTACCACGTTAACACGCCAGAAACCTATGATTGTGGGTTCGAATCCCGGTTCGCCCCGTTTATGTTTCTAGGTTTGTCAGCACCATACCCGTGCTCGTGGGTTTCACCGAAGTGGTTAACGTCTGAGACATGCATCACTTTGGGCTTCCTCCCATATTAAGCTGACACGCCGTGACATTACTGGACTACTGTTAAAAGCGGAGTTAAATCCAACTCACTCACTCATATCATGGCGATAGTTAATAATGTATTCAGGACCAGACAAATCAATTGTTGACAACAGAAACAACAATAACGATCTTCCCTGTCAGGTGGTGACACACAGTCAGTACCCAAAACTAAACCTGGAATATTGCTGAGTGTGGCGTTTAACAGAAAACAACAAAAACAACCCCAGCAGTAATGAGGGGCACATTACGTGGTTCAGGAATCCAAAGACCCAGAATACCTCCACGGTAGAATAGAATCAAACTATAGAGCGAAATCATTTTTTTCACTCCGTCTAAGTGAACTAAGCAGTCAGTCTTAAGCAACCCATGCTGGCCGTTATAGGCTACTATGCCATCATATAACTGGAATATTGCGGCATTAAACAACAAACAAACAAGCAGTGAACTAGTTTCAGTAATGAAACCAATCAAGACGGACATATACAGGAAGGGAGGTAATTGCTATCTATCATGTCTATTTGCGTATCACCCGCCCCATAATTATATAATTATTTCGCTATGTTCAGATCGCTGAAACATCGCTTGTTCATTTCAGCCACGACCCTCTGGGTTGGGTTCCAATGGAAGTGATTGACAAATGAGGGTTCAGGAACATGATTAACCTTCACTGACTTACCAATAGAAAAACTGTTAATATCTGGAGCAAGAGGACACTTTGAAACCAAGAGAGCAACAGGCCCAGTATCCCCTCCATTGTAGCTGTCAAATGCAACAACGTTATGAATCATAATTAGTATGTCTTTATACAACAGGAAGCCGTGATGCGAGACAAACAAAGCTTATGTAAAATACATAACTGTATCAGCCTTTACGGATTTACTATCGTACAATACATTTTACTAAAAAAGCGTAATATGTAAAAATGTCCGATGCATTTAATGAATATGTAAATGTCATTGACTTAGCAACGAGAAGGTCGTTCATGCTACCAAGCAACATACTACATCATCAGTTTTCAAGAGTAGAAATAAAACTGGAAAATCTGCGTAACCAGTCGAAATAACAATCACCTATCATAAGACACGTGAATGTCTTGGATTTCTACAATATCTGATAAAGTGTAGATATTAAATCACGTATCACATTGGACGTACTTCCCAAAGCAGTCTCAGCCAGTATTTTCCATACGGATGTGTTACCGTCAGGACTGCGTTGTGAAATACATGCAGGCTTAGAGATATTGACTATTCTCACCTTAACATCCCACTGGCTTGGTTCAAAGAAGCATCCTTGCACACAGAATAGTGATACAGCTGTTGAACTGGCGGGGGTAAATACTGAAGCAAAGTGGTGGTACTTAAAACAATAATGTATAACAGTGAAAGAGTGAAAACAATGTGCATAATAGTGAAAGAGTGAAAACAATGTGCATAAAAGTGAATGAGTGAAAACAATGTGCATAATAGTGAATGAGTGAAAACAATGTGCATAATAGTGAATGAGTGAAAACAATGTGTATAACAGTAAATTAGTGAAAACAATGTGTATAACAGTAAATGAGTGAAAACAATGTGTATAACAGTAAATGAGTGATGGTTGTTCTGGCCAACTGAGAATCACCACAAATCTGAATTACAGGTATGTTTACCGTCAAGTACATGACACAGAATGAAATGTATGGGTTACAAATTTGTAGTTGTAGATACATAAAGTGCCTCTGGACCCCTTTAAATCCGTGGTGATTCCGGCTCAGAATAGCTTTCCCATGGCGTTGTCAAACTGAGTGACCCTGGGTGGTTGTGTGTCTCATATCAGGGAGAAGTGTTCATGCAATCAACCCTGACTCGCTCAGGGCATAATACTAGTATTTACATACACCGACATATTGGAGTAATTGTATTATTGTAGAGTAACACAACATTCACATGCAGTCACGTGTACTGTGCTTAGGAAACAAATTACGAATATTTTTTTATGACTGTCTGGCGAATGAGCTTAGCATGATTTTACGGCGCTCTTAACAGTATTTCAAAATTTTCACGGTTGGGCGTAACCAAGAAAAAAACCTTCACAGTTTATGTGAACCCATGTTTGGAATCGCAATCATAGCCTTGGGTGGCGAGCAAATATATGATAATTATTATAATATGCATGCACTATACGTCTTCACAGACTGATAACACCAATACATTTGACGTGGCAGACCATGGTATCTTCATGCCGTTGTGAGACATATTGAGGTACAAACAAATTTTACTTTCTTTCTAGCCGCTGTACTTCTCCCCTGCACGTGTCTGGGTATAAACAGACATTTCACAATATCTTGAATATGCAGAGGGCGAAAGTGTGGGAATAACTCTGAATCAAATTGTAACTTGTATTAATCTGAAACAAATACAATAACTCTTTTGCGAACAATCTTCTGCCAAATCTAACACCTATACACATCCAATTTGTAACATAAGAGACTCCGTGGGAATTTCTGGTGATAAATGGTACCCAGTAACCGATGGTTGTCGTCAGAGGCGTTTCGATGACCAACGATGTTGGACATTGGTTATATTATCCATCACTGGTAAACTAACGGGTCGCCGCCATCAAGCTCTACTACTACTGATCCGGCGTTATAAGTGAGTGAGTGAGTATGGTTTTACGCCGCTTTTAGCAATATTCAAGCAATATCACGGCGGGGGACACCAGACCGGCGTTATAAACAAAACAGATAAATTGAAGAGTTTTCAGTAACATCGCCTTGCTCCCAGTGTGAGATAAGGAAGGAAGTAGACTTCACAGTGTTGTGGCCGTCGACATTTTGCGTGAAGCAGACATATGACACGGATGAACATTATAATGTCGGAGTAATGGCGGTAGAAGTCAACTGTCGGTAATAGATGCTCAGGTGGCATTCCCTCTCAATATGCACAGGAATAGTACCACATGTCAAACGTGAAGACAGTACCTGGTCGTCAGCAGATCTCCATGGCTCCATCTCCAGTAGACAGACTGACTCGCCGTGGGAGTGGAATCCAACTGCAGCGTGGAACCCTCCCGGAGGGAGCCTGAGGGCGGGGCTCCTGTACACCTACAGACACAACAGACATAGATCAGACACACCAGATACAGGTCAGGAACCAACAGAAATGGCAGACACAGATCAGACACACCAGATACAGGTCATAAAACCAATAGAAATGGCAGACACAGATCAGACACAACAGATACAGGTCATGAACCCACAGGCACAGCAGACACCTACCGAAGCGGGGTTATTGTGTAAATAAAGCCAGTTCAAGTGCAGATCACCAGACTCAACGTCATATCAATGACTAAGCGAGATGAAGTTCAGGACTATATACCAGGAAGTATGTTATATATCCCTTAAAGAAAGATAATTTTGATAAACAAATTCGTATAATTGTATGACAAAATATGGATATAATTACACTTTGTTTGGAATAAAACAGACATTCTCGTGTTCAATGATTTCATTGCATCAGACCTACAAATAAATTTACAAAGAGGTACAGACAGACAGGAGTAAATGAAAGGGAAATGACGGCATCTTATAAGTTGTCAACCGATCTCGAGGTGTACATCACTCCATATGACCCGATGGATCAGTTACCTTACCGACATTCATTCATACAGGTTCATTCATCACCGAGTAAATAAAACTCGTAGCAGACGACGCAAAGCGAGTTACTTCCCTTTGCCCAGTGCATTCGGTTAAACATCGGTGAATTTCAGAAACTGAATGATACCTAGCGAGATAAGAAAGTGACCAAAGATGTGTCCCGAATGAATTCTCGAATGCTGCAGGAGGGGGCAAAATGGAAAATAACTGCCTGCTGCTTAACCAATCAGAAGCTGGTATTATAATGTAAGGTAAAATCAATGACTATAGGTGCTTGGCAATCATGAAGGTATGAAATATTGCTGAGTGCCGTGTTCAGGCGATGTACAAATACACGATGTATGCAGATGTAGACGTAATCTTAACATACCACTGTGTCGTTCCGGCAGAATATGACGGTGTTAGTGCGGAAGTCCACTTCACAGGACATCGTGTCACCTGCCCTGGCGCGGGGGCCTTGCGCAGATGGCTGCCCTCTTCCGTGGCAGATGCTGCAGTTAGGGATGTGTTTTAAATGTGTGGATGTAGCTTATGATGCATATCGTTATCAACATCAATGGTTCATGGTGCATGGTGTGCCCCGCTGTCATGCTACACATAAAACTCGTATAACCAAAATATTTCACAGACTATAATCCTATTGTCTACTGCTGACTGCCATTGGTGCATGAGGAACTTAGGAATGATCACCGTACTTTCAATTGATTAATATTAACATGGAAGCACACACATTTTGCTTTTCACATATGTAACTCAATGACAAGAAGGGGCGGTGGGGTAGTCTAGTGGTTAAAGCGTTCGCTCGTCACATCGAAGACCCGGGTTCGATTCCCCACATGGGTACAATGTGTGAAGCCCATTTGTGGTGTCCCCCCGCCGTGATATTGCTGGAATATTGCAAAAAGCGGCGTAAAACAATACTCACTCACTCACTCAATGACAAGAAAATATTATTCCTTTACGAATGTAATTCGTTCTCCGGCTGGACGTCCCACCACCCCTTTCGATCATCGAATTAAGATGACGATGTGTGTCTACCCAACCAAGTGAAAATAACAATGTGTGAACATTTTCCCAAATATATTTATGGCTACCGAGGTGGTTTAATTGCGTCAATGCAATTACATAACGTTGGAATACTTTTACGAATTATTTGGGCTCGGGGTGAAAGGTTAAAGGAAAATTTGTCGAAGACACACTACCCTCCGTCGTCCGCATGATATCCAATTGAGTTGGGCAGCCATCCAGGTTGTCTGTTGCCGGGGTAACGGCGGTGACACACTCCGATAGATATGCAGCACATTTGTCCTTGGCTTGCAATTTCTGAGTAAGAGAAATTATTATTGATAGATAAGACTCGCAAAACGATTTGATTATAAGACGAGATGCGCATGTTGTTTCTATTTATAACATTGGTGTTTGTCACCGACAGCTTACATTACGTACCTGCACATGTAAATCTTATCAAGATCCATGCATGCCGTAAAAGGCGACTATGCTTGTCGTAAGAGACGACTAACGGGATCGGGTGGTCAGGCGCGCTGACTTGGTTGATGCATGTCATCGTATCCCAACTGCTCATGATGTCAGTCACTGGATTGTCTGGTCCAGACTGTATTATTTACAGACCGCCCTCATATAGCTGGAATATTCCTGAGTGCGGCGTTAAAACAACAAACAAACCAACCAACCAATTGCGTGGATCGAACCATACAGAATCAATAACCATTCACCCAGAACATGAAACATCAAACGAAAGTGAAAATATCAACATATTAAGTATTGATTCACGTCGACCTTGCCTAACTTGGTAAGCTATTTGATACCTGAATGGAGGACATTTGTAACACTGGGCTGTGGTAGGAGTCTATGTTAACATAAGGCCGTCCTTGGGCTCACGGGACGACTTATGGATGTTCCAGTACACAGTAGGAGGTCAGTATCATTTACGGCCGCTTCGAGCTTTTTTTCACAGTAGTTTAATTATATCGTGGTGTGTCAGCTTGATGGGGGGTGAAAGCATGTAAGCCTAAAGAAATGCAGGTCTTAGACGTGTACCACTTAGGTGAAAGTCACGAGCACCGGGATGGTGCTGGCAAACCAAGAAACAGGGCGTATCTGGAATTCGAACCTACGAGCGTGGGTTTTGGCACCAGAGACACCACTCTGCACAGCTAATTGCAGCCCCTAAGACATCTGGACAACAGGCATCGAAAACTACAGACACAAAAGCAGACAATGAATATGAAGAAACATATCAACTGGATGGTGGTGCTCTGACAACAGTAGTGAGTGAGTATTGTTTTATGCCGCTTTTAGCAATATTCCAGCAATATCACGGCGGGGGATACCAGAAATGGGAATCGAACCCGGGTCTTCGGCGTGACGAGCAAACGCTTTAACCACTAGGTTACCCGACCGCCGCTGACAACAGTACATCATCCATGTAGTCAATAATAGAAATGAAACTAAAGAAAAATGAAATAAGTTCTACCGGTTGAGTTCCCAAGAATAAATCTTTCAAGAATAATGTTTACATGTTTGTCCTACAAGATCCAGTACACGCTAGGTTGCAAGAGTGACCGTCATTACCGATTGAAAACTTGTTACAGATCGGCGAGAGTGGACACTCCGACAGAAACTGACCAACAGGGATGTCGGGGGACATGGAGTCGTAGCTGTAATAATATAAAGACATTGGTGAATATCGGTAACACATGTGTATCATTCATTTCATCAAAAGACGTGCTACAAAGTAATAAGAACACTCATATTTAACAATACCATATTCTTATGTATGTCGTACCTACACACGAGAACGATCGACTTGTTTAGATGTTTCTTATACTTTGTGAAACCCATGACAAAACTGCTCGAACGGAACTGACTGTTCCCTCACGTACCTGTCTGTAATGGACAGGAATTCGTTAATTTATAAAATTAATATGACATTCGTTTTAAAAAATGGTGCAGGGGACAAGTTTTAGAAACAGCCATATATTGCGTTAATGAATATGTTTACATTGACACAGAAGTACAAAATGCTCATCATGCATTGGGACGTATGTTCTGTTAACACCGGTTTGAACCCTTGTTCCTGGTTATCCGACGTCTCAGATAAATGGACCGCCTTCTTGGTCTAGTGGCAGAGCGTCCGCCCGGAGTCTGAGGTTCGATTCCCGGCCGCATCATACCAAAAGACGTTAAAAGATGGTATTTGTTGTTACCCTGTCTGGCGCTCGGCTTGGGGTCAGTTTACTGTGTCTGAGTGGGGTTTTCAAGTTGCGGCATGGTATCTCAGTGGGCTAGCACTATGAATAAGCATCAGACTGGACTAGTACAAGCAGCCACACATATACACACACATGTGCATGCACGTCGCTATAAAAATCTTGCAATAATCTTGGACGCGACGTTAAACCATTTCACATCACGTCACCTCACCTCAGTTAAATGTGTCAAAAAAGCCAAGAGTGACGGCAGTGAAAGATAGCGATGAGGCCCACTAATGAAACGGGTTACATACAGCACGCCTACCTTACGGTCCCTGATGAATGAGACACACGCGCCTCTCGGCAGAACAAGGAATGGTATACCACATCTTCTGTCTCCGGAAAGGACTGTAAAAGAAGGCATTTTATATCATCCAGATGTCGAGATTAGAAACATCATATCTAATAATTGAGTAACTGCTTCGAGTACACGAATTTGTACTCTGAAACGTGAAGACAGATTACAGTAAATTACTTTTATAACGAACACGCTTATAACGAACTGGCGGATATAACGAACTGTTTTTTGGTCCAAGCCATTTGCTGTATATAGGGTATATATATGTTTATAACGAACTACCGTTACAACGAACTGAAATAAGTGGTCCCTTTGAGTTCGTTGTAACCGTAGTTTACTGTATTTATTTTACCACGTACGTTTCAGAACATCAAGCATATTCAGTGAAACATTTATTTTCGTCATACCCGAACAAAAAAAACTGTTTTAAGCATTTACCGACACAAATTATTTTTGTCAAAAGTCACAAATTTAGAAGCCTCCCAATCTCATTAAAATCAGACCTTAGTTCTCGCTACTTAGCGGTCTAAGGTCTGATTTTAATGAGAGTGTTTAGCGGTAGCGAGAACTAAGGTCTGATTTTAATGAGATTGGAAGCCTCCACATTCATTGGCTAATGAGACATTTCACACAAGGCGACCTGCTGCAGAGGGCGTATCAGGTCGTGACGGATTCAGACATTAAATCAAAGTAACATATGTAGTTCTAATGAGTCCAAAGTAGGCCTCAATAGCACCAAAACTTAATCGTTAATCGTGCTGGCTGTCACATTCAACGCATTACAATAACACCGGTCTACAATTTAACATGAATTAACTGATGGCAAAGGCTCATATTTATAGTAATGTGCTTTGTTCCGGTCCATACAGTGAGTGAGTGAGTGGGGTTTAACGCCGCTTTTAACAGTACTCCAGTCATATCACAGCGTGTCAGCTTAATCTGTGAGAAAAGCCCGAAGTGATTAAGGTCTCAGACATTTACCATTTCAACCCACGAGCACGGGTATGGTGCTGACAAACCTAGAAACATAATCGGGGCGAACCGGGATTCGAACCCACAATCATAGTTTTCTGGCATGCCAAAGGGACGCAACTCTGTATAGCGAATCGCGGCGCCTTAGACAGCTGGGTCACCCATACCCCCCTGGTCCATACAGATAATAAACATGTCGTTTGTTCATTTCGAACAAAACAAGGTTGAAGGTGACAAAAATAATAATGTACTCAGTATGTAAATCATATATATCTGTTTGATGGTCAGTAAAGTATATAACATCACATACCTTGACATCTGGCGTCCACGGTTCTACTTCCAGGAGGGTGACCCTCTCGCCGTGTGAGTGGAGGCCAACGACGGGGTAGAACCCCCCGGGAGGGACGGCCAGGGGAGGGGACTTGTAGATCTGTAGACAGAGGTAAACACCATTAAATTGTGGGTTTCTTACTTTGCACCTAATCCCTGCTCGTGGGTTTCACAAACTTGGTAAACGTCTACGACCTGCTTCACGTGACCTTCCCTCCCACATGAAGCTGACGTGCCGTCATATGACCAATCTTCTGTTCAAAGCAGCGTAAACCCAAACTCACTCACTCAAATGGTATAAGAAGAGAGGCAGAGAACACAGGTCATGGTCCACTGAACTGGAACTGTGCCTATTTTCTTAAGTGAGTAAGGTTTTACGCTGCCGTAATATTCCAGCAAAAAACTCGAACTCTTTAACCAGTAGCCTACCCCACCATCCCTATTCAGCTAAGTGGACTGTTCCTGTAAGTTCATGGTCACAGTCTACCTGATAATAACAAGGACAGTGAATACGTTTCCGAAATATCCCTGCAATAATTTCCCCTTCTAAGCAACAGATTTTCAAATATCAGCTGCAGCTTCACTTCACAGCACACATCTATAGAGAGGCTATTTGTATGATTGCTACAAGTAAAGTACTCTGTACATTCCCGGCTTGTATGAAAAAGACTTATTATCGACATCAACATCGTCTCTAAAATATCCATACGGTCATACAAGAACTTTAGTAAAACTTGTATATTTGAAACAACACGGTCATTATATAGATGTTTACATTATGTATTCCTTACAAATACAATGCATACAGACTACAAACATTGTATGGATGCATAATGTATGCATAATGTCCACATACCGTATTTCCATTTCTGAAGAACGTGACTGTATTATCGGTGACGTCCACGGAGCAGCCCATCACTTCACCCACTCGGATTGTTCCAAATTTGTGTTTCGGGGATCCAGTCGACAAATAAATACTGAAGAATAATGCAAAGAGTTGAAGCGTTACAGACAACTTCGCTATAGCTACAGCTTCATTGTACTTCTTAAACTCAGGAAATAAACCGTTGTCATTTGCAAAGCTGCATGACAGAGACATTAGCCATTTCTCCACATATACGTGTTAATATTGGTATGTCCTCCACTGTCAATAAACAGACTTGAATATGTACAGCGTATGTCTGTTTCGATATATTCATATTTTCCACGAATGTCTACAGGCACCAAGGGCGTAAGCTGAAGGTGTGTGTGTGTGTCGGGGGGGGGGGGGGGGGGGGGGGGGGGGTGTGTGTGTGTGTGTGTGTGTGTGTGTGTGTGTGTGGAGGAGTGTGTGTTTGGGGGGGTATCTCCCGACTTGAACAATATTTTAGTTACATCATAGCGTACAGGTTACAGCTGGGGGAAAGCCGCGAAGCTTTAATACCGAATACCGATTACCACTCCTTTTAAATAACAATGACAACGAGTATGGTGCTAACATGCCATGGACAATATTTCGGACATATCCAGGACGCATCCAACGATCAGCGTATCCTGACACGACCAATGGACGCAACTCCACACAGAGTGATGCAAGGCATAAACCGACATGGCGACCCGTGGCCCCATTTCCTCTCCACAGATGTCTTCACTTGAGGTCAGGAAAACCACATTTTTTAACATTTTGTCAGGAAAAAAGACTATGGCTGACATAAAGAGTGACCTCGCAATTCAGAATTACGGATTATTTGCCCCAAGGCTTTCATTCACACATATAATTCATTCCTCGTAACAACCAGGTTATTCATACTGAACGATTTACATTTGTTTGTAATATAAGGTTGCCAACGGAGCGAAAGTCACAGTTATGAAGCGTTTCTTCTGGTAAGCCAAGATAAGTTGTGACCTGACAATTACCCCTTTATGACCATGTGTGAGGTCCGCCCACTGGCGCGTACCATTGTGAAAAAAGGGATAGCTGGTGGTCTGCGACAAGTTTGTTTGTTTGATGTTTAACGCCGCACTGAGCAATATTCCAGCTATATGATGGCGCTCTGTAAATAATCGAGTCTGGACCACACAATCCAGTGATTGATCTAAAGGTAATGATTGTCGCCTTTTACGACAAGCATGGGTTGCTGAAGACCTAATTTACCCTGGATCTTCACAGGTCCCGCGACAAGTAGTTAAAATCAGATCTAAGTTCTCGCTGCCGCTGAACACAGATCTGAGGACATCCCATTACGGGTCAAGTCATCTTCCGGAGGCATGTGAGTTAACTGACTATAAAAGAACTAGGCTGGTATTATGGAGTTAGATTTTAGCTGGACTAACGAGTCTATGCATAGTCCAATCAAAATCGCGCACCGCAATCGAAATACGGTTCGTAAAGTGTTATGCAGATTTCGGTCGACTGCAGGATTTGCAAAGCATGTGCACCGCTAACTCGTTGTCAACAGATATTTTCTGAATCTTTTCATGTTTTTAATCAAGGTGCTCACGTGATGTGATGCACTTCGCGATGTAAGACTCGTTTTATCACAATATAGATCTTGTTTATCGATCAGATTGTCTTGACTGGGCGACACCGTTTTGTTTGCAGCAAATGCAAGTGATACGAGAGATTAAATCTGATTGGTCAATAGGAGAGGCATAGAAAGGACATAACTCGTAATAGCCACTGGTGGCGCTACGATCGAGCCCAGGAATTCCACCCTAGTTCGGCAAGGGTGGAAACTGGACTTTTAAAGTCAGTTAACTCTCTTGCCTCGGGAAGACGGGGTCACGTCAGAACGAACATTCTCGGGCTTTGCGGCACTCGTTTCAACCTGGCGCTTCCATTTCAGACTACGCTTGAAAAATATGCTGACACAGTTCTCGATTAACATTTTGAAAACTGAACAAATTAATATTCCGTAATGTCTAATATATGGTTGCGATTGTATGGCAGTGCTTCCAACGTACTGAGCAACGCCTCCTCCGTTCAAATGTCTATCCCACGGAAGCGAGAGACAGACGATTATTTTGACGGAGTCAACGGAAAACACATTCCGACTGTCACTTTCATGATCTGGTAATCGACGCTTTGATTGGTCGGATGAAAGGTCGTTCTGACGTGACCCGTAATGGGATGTCCTCAGATCTTTGTATAGCTATAGCGAGAACTAAGATCTGTTTTTAATGAGATCGAGATAACTCTGGTATCGACACGAGACGCCGACCTCATAATAGTCTATGAGCTACACGCGTGTCCACGGTGTCAATTTCATTTTCATAATTTGCATGTGCACAACATGCATACACCCACTCTTCCTGCAAAAAACCTGCAAACGTTTGCCCAAGTTCTGTGCAACGCCTACTTGTCTCAAACGCGGTTTATGAGCTGGTTCAAGGGATCCTGGATCACCAGGAAGACATGATTTAGTTACAAGCGCAACTAATAGAAGGTGGAGTTTCACCGCTAACGTTCTAGGATGAACAAATACATGCGTGGTTAACATACAGGTGAGAGTCTTCCTGTCGGTGCTCCGTAAACCAATAAGGATCTGACCCCCATGGCTGAAACAAAGGGGGCCAAGGTCTTCAAACCTGTAATCAATGCTCTCAGGGTTCTCCGCCTAATGGCTATAGCAACGCCACGTGCTCATCCCTAAAATTATCTTCGCGTTGCTTGCTCCAGAGTAATATCCATTAACGTGCTAATCTCTTCCCCGTAATGGAGTGAGTGGGTTGTGTTTAACGCCGTTTTGAACAATATTTCAGTTATGTCAGGCGATCAGGGGTAGAATAGGTCTTCAGCAACCCATGCTTGCCGTAAAAGGCGACTATGCTTGTCTTAAGAGACGACTACCGGGATAGGGTGGTCAGGCTCGCTAACTTAGTTGATGCATGTCATCGATTCCAGTTGCGTTGATCGATGCACATGATGTCAATCACTAGATTGTCTGGTCCAGACTCGATTATTTACAGACCGTTGTCATATAGCTGGAATATCGCTGAGTGTGGCTTTAAACAACAAACAAACAAACAAGTTATGTCACGCGGTGTTGGCGTTATGATGGGGAAAAGCCATAAGTGACGCTTAGGGGGAGGGAGGTGTTATTACTGTGGTCCATTGGATATGCTGATAACACAGTAAGAATGATACATTGGGCAAATCGTGGATACGAACAAACGCTAAGCGGCTCCTGACACATCTCAAGAGAGACAACTCATTTCACGAACACCTGGTGTTAAAGAATCAGGTATTATGTATGCGTCCTATTGGTGTCATGCCATATGTTCTTGAAGCCCAACATAATATGATGTTAACATGCCTTGATGGCTGGCATTGACATGTGAGGACATAAGTGTGCCGTTAGTCGTACCCAATTTACTACTTATATATTTTATGTTATTTCCTCACCCTCCGTCGTCTGCGTGGTACCCCACGGAGTTGGCCTTCCACCCTGGCTGCCTGTGGGCGGGGTAGTGTCTGTTACACACTCCTATTGCTATGTAGCTGTGCATGCCGGGATTGGCGATCTCTGAGGAGAAATATTACACAACCAGGGATTATTGGTGAACGAAATGAAAATAGACATTTGTACAGTGATGTTACAGGTGATTTTGATAGCTATTTACACGTTTTCGTGATTGAGGATGGTTTTACGCAGCTTTTAGCAATACTAAAACAATACCACGGTGGGAGACATAAGTAATGGACTTCACATATTGAGGCCTTTGCATTTGGCGGGATATAAGACAGGGATATAATCACAGGTTACCCACCACCTCTCAGCACCTGTAACCGCTCATCGAACCTTAAACGTTGTTACATGTAACATCGGCATAAATGTTGTACATCCGTGAAGACAGGGTCGGCGGAAGAATATGCGCTAGTCAAATGTGTGGATCGGGTGGTCACAATGGCAGTCATCTGAATACTATATGTACCGGCGGGGTATCGATGTACTGACTGTTGTGTCCACAGAATTATAAACAATTAGTGCACAGAATGTACAAATGACCAACGTAAATATATACCTATTGAAAAACTGTTACAGACTCTGGACAAAGGCTTCGGTCCAATGAACTGAGCAACTGGTAAATCTGGAGAAGCAGTATCGTATCTGGAAGAATATTTGTCTCTCTTATTCAAACTTGGACTACATATGAATTAAAGTTGCCTCATATATCATGTAATAAGTGTTTTCTTTTCATAAAACGAACAAACTGGGAACGAATATTCATAACAATTCACACTAAATATACAGTCTATTAACGACTTTACTTCAATTCAGAGATAGATACAAATGTTGATGTATTTGAAAATAGACAATGTTTTCCTTGAGCACATACGTACCTAAGTTCGCCCGTCCGTTGGTCTACTGCCATCTCCCGGCAGTGTAGACTATGGTAGTTCATGGTTGCGGACATTGTATCCGTCAGCAGTGCTTGAAAACACACAGAAAACATATATCAAAATGGAAATGAAATCCTTCAAGTTTTATACTTTATAAGAAGAAGTACACACATTATTATATGTATGTAATCATATATTTGCTGTCTGTGTTCATTGAATAGTTGTTCATGCTATCAACTACTTGTTTCCAGATCCAGAATCTTTTATTTGTAGACCGCCATGGGTCGCCTGGGGTTTTGACTGCGTCGAAAAACATCACTCAATGATTCGTAAACAAGATAAAACTGTTGAAGCACCCATAAAAGATTCATCTACAAAACATTTGAAAGAATAACCCGCCTTAAGAGTCAATGATCACAGCAGAATACCATTTCACTCTTGCTTGAAGCTCGAAACAGTTCTCAAAATGACAAATACTGATTGAACCACACACTGTGAATTCATCGGCCTACCTCGATCACGCCCTTGAACCTTGACCTCCCATGTAATTACGACACTGCTCAGTGGTTATGGCAAGGGAAACTGCTATTCTTCCGTCATTTCATGTATCTGATGTATCTGTGAGGTCGCGAGGTCGTTAATAACAGTGAACCAGCAAATGGTGTGAGTTCACTCTAGATTCTTCTCTTGCTTGTCATATCCTGTTCATATCCTTCTCTCGAGCACCGTGTTGTTGTGATTGCCGATGTAGTTCTAAGGGAAGAAACTCGTCCAGTACCACTGAAAAATCGCCTTTTGCCGATGACATTGTATAATTGTTTAGATCGAATCCCACGAACATCTTCGTTATTTGTGTATCTATATTAATATCAAATCAAGTATGTTTTTATCGAACATTGAAGAAACAATAAGGACACGACGCGTTAAACAAAAAAAAACAAACAAACAAACAAAATACAGGTAACAGCGCAACTCTTAAGCAAGGGCTGCGTCTGTGCACCTTGTCTCCGACAACTTGCTTTTTAAAAGACTCATTGTTATCACACGATGGCATCACACTTTTTCCCACATGAATGCATGTCAGAAAATGAACGTGTAATCAGAGACTCATATAACGTATGCATCGTTTAAAATAAACGTTACGGTATCATTTGGCCTCCAAATTTGCATTTATTATGCAGGTAATGAAGTAAAAGAGAATTCGATGACTATGAACACATATGACAAGATGTGTGCAAGTTTTCTGAAACACTCATTGTTCTACATGTAAAACTCAGTATAGCGAGGTATTGGACACGTGCTGTTCAACCACTGAATACATTGATGCCATAACTCCTGGCAAACTGTATGTGTTTAGGTCACATCACAGGTATCATTATATCAGTGTGTCAGTACGTGTAGACACCTTTCACATGTTCGAATCATTACTTTAATTCAAGGTGTGTTGTCGCATGTATCGTGAACGAGGGCTGGTGACCTACAATTCCCGAATAAAATTGACTGAATGGATCTCATACTTGCCCCATCATGATTCTTTGTTATCACTGCATGTTTCTTTGCACTGCGTGGGATATGTTTTGAGGTGAGGTGAAATGGGGTTTAACGTCGCGTCCAAGATTATTGCACTTATATAGCGACGTACATGTACGTGTGTGTGGCTGTTTGTACTAGCCCGGACTGATGCCGATTTATAGTGCCAGCTCACTGAGATACCATGCCGCAGTTTAACATAAATACCCCACTCAGGCCAGTCCTTGTTCTAGCCCCTTAATGCAGAGCGCCAGACAGGGTAACAACAAGTACCATCTTTTAACGTATTTTGGTATGACGCGGCCTGGGACCGAACCCCGGACCTTCCGCCTTCCTCCGGGCGGACGCTCTACTACTAGACCACGGAGGCGGTCGGACATGTATTGAAGATGATCGTGAGATAATGCGAAAATAGAATACAGATAACAAAATCGGGAACTCAAGCCACCGTCTTGCTCATCAAAACTATCGTAACTGTGTGCATGCATTAAAACGATAACAAAAATACATGTTTAATCAGTTATATCAAATTCAAAACAAAGCCACACTACAATATACAATGTATATAATAATATGTATTTATTCATATTTATAGCATGCTTGACGTAAACTTAATAGCAATAATCATCAGGAAATATACAATATGATGATATAATAATTAGTGAATTCCTTTAATAACAGCCTGGCGTCATTTACCTCCAGATGGCACGAGTGGCGCTTACTTCTGTCGGGATCAGCCTATCGTGGGTTAGAAGGCCAGACTCGTTCTGATTATGAGTCTTTGTCAGCACCATGTCTCGCATTCACCAAGAAGCAAGATGATAACAGATATGAAGAGACAATCATAAATGCCCTTCTGGGAGCACATGAAATGGCTCATGTCGAATACGAAATATAAAGTGACCGGGCAAAGTAATTAAAGGATTGACAACTTGACATTTATCTTATTTGCAAACCTATAGCATGACTTGCAAAAGAACAGAAATATGACCAGTAGGCGTGAAAAACGCCGATTCTCCAAACTAAAAGATTACAGTATATGGCTAATTGAACTTGTACGTGACTACTAAAGACAATTCACTTTAGTTTCTCTCACTAGATCTGACGGAAACGGCGACCGCGGTTTTCGTTTTTTCGACTGTAGAATATATTCCGTTCATCAGTGGATCGAACAGGTTAACACATGTCTGGATTAACATTTGATGCATGGGGATACTTAGCCTACATTTACAACATCCAATTTAAAAAGACAAGGGTCCCGTGAAGATTCCGTGGTTGTCGTAAAAGGCGACTATAACGGGATCGGGTGGTCAGGTTCGCTGACTTGGTTGAATCACGTCATCGTATCCAAGTGCGTGGATCGATGCACATGATGTCAATCACTGGATTGTTTGGTCCAGACTCGATTATTAATAAACCGCTGTCATATACGTGTAGCTTGAATATCGCAGAGTGCGACGTTAAAAACAAACAAACAAACATTTCAATATTGATGGCAATAACATATGTTGTCATCTTACACGCCTAACCTTCACCTATGTGATATATACTTGTATCCCAATTGCGTGGATAATGATGTCAATCACTGGATTGTCTGGTTCAGATTACATTATTTACAGACCGCAGTCATGTGGATGGATTATTGCTGATTGCGGCGTTAAACAACAAACGAAACTTGACAAAGGTTCAACTAAATAACACAGATCATGTTAACAGGGGAGATTTATCGCAAGACATCGATCACCCCAGTGGGAGTATTTAAGGAACCGGGATATTGATTCCCTCGTCTTATTATTTCTGGCTTCTCGCTGGCTGCTTGCTAGTCAGTGACATTATCATCTAAAATACAAAGGTTTCATTTCAGGAAATGAAGAGGTGTTCATGATCTGAGGATCCGAACTACTCCCTAGCAGCTTGCTCTTAAATGACATGTATTTATCCAAAATACAAAGGCTTCATTTCTTGGTAGGGAGTCCGGCATGTTGGACAGGTCTTCCGGACAGCTGCCCACTCATCCATACACTCAGAACAGAAGGTGTGACCACAGGGAATCAGGAAGTGGGTGACCGCTCTGTCCACGCACACAGTACACTCGGGCATACTCTGGGCGTCCGGCGTCTGGAAGTAGACAGACAGACAGTGATTATGAAGATAAAGTAAACATTGTAAACAGCCTCCTGTCCGGTGAGAGGTCAACATTTGATCACGAGAAGCATGCGTATAGATACCATCTACCACATCGTCCTTTCTACATGTATAAACACACAAGTTATTTTGAACAAAGTGCTTCATCATTATTAGGTAATGTTCCAGTTAAAAAACTGATCAGTTATATTCTCGTTAGGTAAGAATACATTTGTTCACATTAACATTTTAAGACGTAATCGCATCATTTATCTTTTCTGAGAAATGTTGTGACAAACATTAGTGTAGCTTCTACCCTGTCAGAAATGGAGTTTTACCTTGATACCAGATCTACGAACCGAGGTAAGGGACAAATACCTACCACTCCTGGTTCAAGACACGGCAGTGCTTCACTCCCTCGCCAAGGCTCAGTTTCACACAGCCTAATTATCTCCCCTTGTGAGTTAAGCCCTACAGCTGCGTAGAAACCGCCAGGGGGCACTGTGAGAGGTTGAGACTGATACACCTGTGAGAAAAATACTTTCAATCACAACTAGATTTTGAAGCAGATATAATCAATGTTGAAGCGATACTACACAATACTGCAGGTTTGAAACCTTTTTAAGACACTGCTCAGTAGTATCATGTGACATCTAAAGTAAGTGAATCCAGAATACTAATATAACTGTAGGTATCAAGTGTTTTGTGGCAGTAGAGCTTCTGGTTTTACTGTCAGTGATGGGCAGTGGCAGCTGGTAAACTATCTACTTGCCACTCTACCGCTGTATGATTCAGAGTCACATCCCTTCGTTGTGTATCAATGAACTGGACAGCTACATCATTCAAAGAGTTTGTCACAGTTTTTCACATCGAGACGACTGTGATTCGAGACATTCTACGACATGACTCGCGTCTCATGTATATGCCCAGTGCGGGTGAGGTACCTATCTGAAAATATCGTCTTTCTGACAGCTTCCGAGACTGTTTCCGGATTCTAGAACGTGTCTATGTCAAGACTTTCGACTGTGACACATGCCAGAGATTCGTGTGTGCTTTGAATTTTTCATAGGGTCTATTACGCATTGTTGATGCCACCTATTTGACTGCGTTTGAATATAATTTGTTGATTATTTATTGATCTTGTGTGGTCATCTAATGATTTCACAGTTCAGAATTGTGCGAACTAACTTCTGGGTCAACTTTCGCATTATTATTTGGATTGGTTGGTTCATTTGTTGTTTTACGCCGCATCCAGCAATATTCCTATTATATGACGGCGGTCTGTAAATAATCGGGTCTGGACCAGACAATCCAGTGATTGATATCATGAGCCTCGATCCACGCAATTAAGATCGATGACATGCTTCAACCAAGTCAGCGAGCCTGACCACCCAATCCCGTTAGTCACCTCTTACGACAAGCATAGACGCCTTTTACGGTAAGCATGGTTTGCTGAAGACCTATTCTACTTCTGATCTTCACGCGTGTTCAATTTGGAAATATGCGTGACAGGCATTGTAAATGAAAAACCAATTCCGGGTATCGATATACTCTGAGACGCCTTCTGCAATATTCCAGCAATATTACGGCGGTGGACACCAGAAATGGACTTCACACATTATGCTCATGTACCCGAATCTTCGATGTGACGAGTGAACCCTTTAATGTATCTACGATGCTAACTCGCCGCCCTTCGTCATGAGTAGGTATATACTTGACTTATGTTCATGTAATAAAGACAAGAACCTGGTTGCCAATATTCACGATGCCAGATTCGTCGATCATGTGTATGTGAGTACAAATAAAACTAATATCAAGATATATTTAAGATATACACAATATCAAGATGTCACGGTAAGCGGTAGGTGCATTCAAGTTGTTGATAAGCTACCTTTTCTCCATTGAGAAGAAATGTTGCTGTATTGGTTGAGAAGTTGAACTGACATGTCATGGTAGCACCTTGTCGAGCTGCAGGGACAACCTCTACCGGAAGGCCTGACGCTACGAACACACTGAAATACACAACGACAAACATTTTCGTACACATCCTGGAATATCCAGTGTATTACATCGACAGTGTTGTAATTTGATCGGCCGGAATGTGAGTCGCACATTTTCTATGGGACTCAAAACGAAACTTTGAAAATAAAAATACTAAGTACAAGAGACTTAATAATTGGTGCTGTGTCTTGCAGAACATGTGTATTTCATGACTTATCGTATATAACGAATCTGCCGCCCAATAATACATACTTGCATTTACCCGAATCCCGAGGGAAAGCGAAGAATGTTGATGGCTAGTGAGTGAATGTGGTTTCACGCCGGTATTAGCAATATTACTGTGACGTCAAAGAATGTGTTAAGTTAATTTCAATGTTCCCATGTGATGAATGGAACTAGAGGCTTCTGGGTGATAAATGAACGCCTTGTGTGAATGCCTGGTGCTACCGGTAGGGCAGAACACGTGTACATCTACATCTTTCGCGTACATCTGGTATCACCATTGATTTTCAGGTGATCATCATATAATGTACACCGCTATTTTGCCTTTTACGACCAGTGGATCTGTTTCGCCGAATAATCGAGATCTTAGACGTTGACGTTTGATATAAACAACCTTCATCATCTACCAATGAAGACCTCTCCAGTGACATCGAACATTTATCAACCATGAGACATCACTTTCACAACGTTAGTCAGCAATGACGTTTTCATAAAGTGACAAGGGCACCTTCAACACAATCATCGACACTATTATAAACTCACCCTCCATCATCAGCATGGTAGCCGATGGAGTGTCTCTCCCAGCCAGGAAGTCGCTCAGGGGGGTAGTGTTGTGGGCACAGTCCAACTGCGATATAGCATTCTCTTCCTTCATTTAGGATTTCTGAAAGGATACAATGAGAAAAAATGATCTTAGAATTCAGATATTATTTTGAGTGATCGAAAGGCGTTTTCTGTGAGGATGTTAAGAAGCGTACAGCGGGAAGTTATCAATTAGTTTGTTGATACATAATGTTTATGTGGACAATTAAAACAACCTATCAGTATTATATATACTTGTACATGCTTATCAATATTTATTACAGAGATAGTACATGTACAGTTAACTACGAACCACATGGGTAAAAATGGCATCCTGTGTTCCACAGCCTGTCATTGTAATCATGGAAAACCGTAGACCTCTAGGCGACATTTTGTAATAGAGAAAATACCATTTCATGTATCGTATTCGTGTCTTACTGGTTTTACTCAACAATGAGACCGTCTTCTCTTTCGTATTCTCTTTTAATCAATGTATCACAAACACGACTAAAGTATTTTGCATGCGTCAAATAACTTCGCTGGTATCCGTTGAGTACTGAAAGGAAGGAGAGTATTTAAATGATTGGTTAAGATTAACCTAATAGTTCATGACTTCCTTTGTTTCATTAGTTAAAGGTACGCCGCAGCTTTAAGGTGTGTTGTACAACGCTGTAAGTATACTAGCATTAACCTATGAAGCTTTGTGTGTAATATATTGTATAATATTTCCATTATCGTGTCACTAAGTTAGGGAGTTCATCTATACATCTGCACAAGCGCTTGTACAGGATTATAGTGACAGGTTAAAGGTTCCCTAAAACCCCCATTATGTTAATAAATCGGGAATGTAAGAATGTACAACCGAATTTAATGGCACGTTAGTTAATGGAGGTACTAGGTCGCGTTGATGTATCATTACAGTTTGATACAACGGGTCCAGAACATAAATCATAACTGAAGCGATTCTCGACATCAATATCTCAGATCTTGTCCAGGCGAGCCAAACATCTGCTAGTCCGGAGACTTCATTATATATAGGAAGCACTTACCAATAGAGAACGTATTGACATCTGGGGTCATGGGGCGCTTGGAGAGTAGGAGAGCCACGGGGACATCATCATCATCACCATCTCCAGTGTAGCTGAAACTGTATTTGTCTTCAATAAAAAATATATATGTGACAAATTGTTGACGGTTGAAGCTATACATATTTAAATGAAAACAAAAGATGTTATCAATTCGTAACGGACAATATAGGGAGGATTGTGTGACGAGGCTGAGGTTGTGGGTCGCTGCTTCAATGGCATGTGTACACGTTGGCTCTCCAATTGTTTGGGGACCAGCAATCAGGTTTTCACGACTTCCAGTCTGAGACAAAATTATTTTCTGGTACAAATTTTAAATTTCATACATGTAATGCAATTGATGATTAATATTATTACCTCAAAACACCGTTGTGTTGATTGAGTGTAGCATCCCGGCACACCGAATAATGGTACTGCTCTTGAACTGCTCTTAATTCTTCAACTTGAATACGAGACACCTGCAAATACTTGGGATCAGCAAGCATTTCCCACTCGGATTATAAATGAAATATATGCGAACATGGAACAATATATAAAAAAAACAATTCCAAAAGTACGTACACGAATCTAAAGAACACTGAAATATGTGTGTGCTTTGTAAGAAAAACAACAATAATTGCATTTATCATTGCATTCGTAAAAGGCCACAACGGCCTATCAGCACCAAATGTTGCCTATTATCAGGCTTAACAGACATTATAATGTAGTTTAACGCAACACTAAGCAATATCTCAGCTATATGACTGTGGCCAGTAAATATTCGTAGTATGGACAAGACAAACTAGTGATTGATATAATGAACAACATCCAGCGCCGTCGGGTACGATGTCACCCAATGAACCTGACCATACGATCTATTTAGTAGCCTCATAAGATAAACATAGATTGCTCATGCCAGGCCCTTTCGAAAACGTAACTCCTTATTTAAAGTGAGGAAATAAACTAAAATATGCTGCCTATTTGGAAATTGTTCTCCAAATCATCATACATACACATCAGTGAAATTAATCTTGTGTGTTACAAGTGCAAACGAGTGTTATGACCTGACCGTAGTATCTTTTTTATAGAATCCTAGAAGAGATATTGTCGTGTTGTCGCATTTTCGCCCGGGCAAAACAAAGCAGAAAGTGTGAAAGTCAACCATAGTGTGACAATGCGACGAAACGACATTTTGGCCACGCGGCACGTGACAACTAGTATGCACTCACATCACTTTTGTATTCGGTGTCGTTATGTCGATTATTTTTTTTAGTTTTAACAGAGCGTGTGATTAAAGCAGATCAGTAGCACAAGCCACCCTTCAGTCTCAGTATATCCACAGAAACAGCAAATATAATTACTTTGACACCCAGCGTAATGCGCAACCACCGTCTACCATGGCCAGGCCCCGTCTACAGCATACATACCGTGTTCTTAGACATCGATGTGTATCGAATGTTTTTGTAAAGCGTGAAGACAGTACCTGGTTTGTAGCAGATCTCCATGGCTCCATCTCCAGTAGACAGACTGACTCCCCGTGGGAGTGGAACCCGATTGCAGCGTGGAACCCTCCCGGAGGGAGCCTGAGGGCGGGGCTCCTGTACACCTACAGACACAACAGACACACCAGATACAGGTCCTAGATAGAAGCAGACACATACATTTCACAGCAGACTCAGATCATGCGCCCACAGACACAGATCATACACTCGCAGGCACACTTACACAGCAGAAACAGATTCACATGCAGGTACAGCAGCCTTTACACACGTATACCCAGCAGACATGTCTGCAGAGAGCACACACAGGTGGCACATCCACAGACACTGATGTCTCGCCCTCAGACACAGGTGGCACACCCACAGACACTGATGTCTCGCCCTCAGACACAGGTGGCACACCCACAGACACTGATGTCTCGCCCTCACACACAGGTGGCACACCCACAGACACTGATGTCTCGCCCTCACACACAGGTGGCACACCCACAGACACTGATGTCTCGCCCTCAGACACAGGTGGCACACCCACAGACACTGATGTCTCGCCCTCACACACAGGTGGCACACCCACAGACACTGATGTCTCGCCCTCAGACACAGGTGGCACACCCACAGACACTGATGTCTCGCCCTCAGACACAGATGACTAGCCTGTAAACAGAGATCACACGCCCACAGACACAGATGGCACGCCTGAAAACAGGGATCACACGCCCACAGATGGCACGCCTGCAGACAGAGATCTTATAAACCGGCAGACACAGGGTTGCACATTTGCAGACACATGTAAGATGCCTCCAGATGCAAATCATACGCCTGCAGACGAAGGAGCAGATCACTCGTCCCCAGAATTCACAAACAGAAATCACATGCCTACATACACATAAGTCACAGTTTAATCACACACAGGCCAAGCAAACAGAAACAGTACTTCTGTAGACAAAATTCACATAGTTCGTACACCCGCATACACATGAACAGTTCACACTACACAGATACAACATGTCTCGTATCATCAAATATACAAATCTAGACTGGGGACATCGATGTATTAGATCAACTCACTACAACATCGTTAAGGCTGAATATAACAATCTTCGCTTGGAAGTCCACCTCACACGACATGGTGTCTCCGACTCGGGCTCTGGAAGCGTGACGTGATGGCTGACCATTGCCATGGTATATTCTAGAAACAGGGAGAATATGAATGCATAATTGTGCTTTCATTTGTAGTTAATCTTCTCTTGAACAAGTCGTCATATTTTAGGGGAAATCAATGATACGCTTGAAGAATATATTCCACGTTAATAACATTCAAAAACAGATTCGTTGCCTCTACATACTCTGACGTTATAGGTCTTTATCTATCCATGTCCGATAACGCGTGTGCATCACAGTTGTTTGATATACCGATATTCCCTGATTAAAACCCACTGTATGTTAAATGTAGGGAAATGTTTTTTTTGTTATGTATGCAAGTTATTCAAAACATTGTATATGTAGGCATGGGAAGTGTACGTTCTTCACGGGCACTTGTAGCCCATTCGTCCTAATATGCCGTGCATCGTTTAGTCCAAGAATCTTATGTGACGCACAATGCCATTCAGAAAGTGGTCAATGTAACGAATGTAATATTTGGGATAACATTTTCTTTTCTTTTCGTCGAATCAACACCACTCTTATAACAAGCATAGTCATCTTTTACGGCAAGCATAAGTTGCTGAAGACTTATTCTAACCCGGATCTTCAGGGATCCCAGAAAAAAGTTTTGTTTGTTTGTTTGTTTAACGCACTCAGCAATACTCCAGCTATATGACAGCGGTCTGTACATAATCGAATCTGGACCAGACAATCCAGTGATTGACATCATGAGCATCGATCCACGCAATTGGGATATGATGACATGCATCAACTATGTCAGCGAGCCTGACCACCCGATCCCGTCACTTCTTATAACAAGCATAGTCACCTTTTACTGCAAGCATGGGTTGCTGAAGACCTATTCTAACCCGGATTTTCACGGGTCCCAGAAAAAGTAAACGTGTTAGACCTGCATCAATATCAAGCGGACAAGACATGCTAAAACTGGAATACTGCTCACTTCCTTGGTGGTCTTACCATGGAGTGAGTGAGTGAGTGAGTTTGATTTTACGCCGTTTTTAGCAATATTCCAGCAATATCACGGCAGGGGTCACCAGAAATGGGCTTCGGACATTGTACCAATGTCGGGGGTCTTCGGCGTGGCAAGCGAAGGCTTTAACCACGAGGCTACCCGACCGCCCCTCTTACCATGGAAGAGAAACACTTCCACTACATGTGTATACACGAATGTACGACCTATGCTACTTTGGGATTTCCTCATTAATTTGAACGCCGTGATGTAACTAAAATACAGTGGAGCTTAATCCAAGTCACTTCCTTAATCTATGTTGTAGGTATCTAGCTGATTATATCAATATCTAGATAACAAAATAGAAATGCTGCTGCAAAAGGTGTTGAAATTACAATACCCGCCGTCGTCCGCATGATATGCTATTGAGTTGGGCAGCCATCCTGGTTGTCTGTTGCCTGGGTAACGGCGGTGACACACTCCGATAGATATGTAGCACATTTGTCCTTGGTTGACGATTTCTGTGTAAATACGAAATATTTCTGATACAAATGTTATAATGATAATGTGATCAACAGCAAATGTTCTTCTTTTACATAGTATATATTATATATATTCTTCGTGTTTGGTGTATCACGTATTTACGGAAATCATTCTAAACCTCCGGTGACATCATCCCATGATGAGGTGAAGGTCACCAGAGCACATGGCTTGTGACAGCGCGGGTCGCTGGTGCACGTGCAATACTGTTCGTGCACGTGAATAGTGCACGTGAAATACATTTAATATATAAGCGTTAGCCAGCCTATTTTAAACCGAGGGTATAGGTATTTTTATCTTAGAAGATGTCGGTTTATAAGTCGGTTCACGACCTCTAAGTCAGTCTCATTCTCGGTCGTGAAAGACGGGTATTTCATGGCATAATCAGTAGTCAATGTGTTCATGGTCACATAGTACCAAATTGGTCGCAACATAGTTGGATATTGTATCTTTACCAAAGGAGAACTTGTTGCAGGTAGGTGAGAGTGGACACTCGGACACAAACTGACCAACAGGGATGTCGGGCGACATGGAGTCGTAGCTGGAATAACGACATCGATGACTACAGATAATATACATGATATGTTTCATGTGACTCGTGACATATAAAATGTTTTCAACATTCATGGTTTTGATATTACCATAGGCCAAATATATGTTGTATCTAATCATGAGAATGAATTCGCTCAAGAGACATAGGGTGAGTGAGTAAGTATGATTTTACGCCGCTTTTAGCAATATTCCTGCAATATCTAGGCGGGGGACACCGGAAATGGGCTTCAATTATTGCACCCATATGGGAAATCGAACCCGGGTCTTCGGCGTGATGAGCGAACGCTTTAACCACTGGGCTACCCCACCGCCTCAAGAGACACAGAGTTTTAGACAGACACTAGTATATATGATACAGTTTTATCTTGTGACAAGTACAGCTCAAACTCCATGTTCACATAGAAGACGTCATGCAATTTGTTTTGTAAGGCGTTAACGCCGTCGGTTTAAAATTTCCGAGCATTAAATACTCAATAACCCCGCATATGTGATAAAGACATAACGTTTATGGAAAATGTAAAATACTATAGTTATCATTGATTCTCTTTCTTTGTTAACTCTCACAATTGTGAGCTAGACAACTTCACTGTTATCAAGAAAAGATTTCTGTGTTTCCAATCATTTGAAACAACAGCTTGTCATTAACCAGAGAGCCACGTAGACTCCAATTCAGTTTACTATGTCAGCGACCACACCCACCTCACTGTCCCTGATGAATGTGACACCTTTGCTTCTCGACAGAACAAGGAATGATAGGTCACGTCGTCTGATCGCAGAGGCGTCTGTCACGTTAAATCAGGAAATCATTTTGATAACACGGAACTGCATCTTGACACACTGACGTAGTTTTAAGTGACTAAGGTCACTCGTGTCAATCGGATCATTAATAAACATGTCATTGTATGCGACATAGATAATGGATTGAAAGACCAAAACGGCATATTTAATTTCATCCTTCAAGCCTTTAACAGTGACTATCTTCAGCCCAAAATGACAGTACTGGTATGTTCGATTCAAGTCGTTCGAACATTTAATGATTTGTATCAACGTGAATTATATAATACACATATCAATTGCTTAAACACACATGTCACGGATAACAGTCGAAACGATTGGACCTGGATTACATCCAGCATACAACATGCTTAACGACCCGTCTTCATAAAAATAAAGAAACATTAACAATAAAACAATAAACAATTATGTACAGTATGTGAACAATTACCTTGACATCTGGCGTCCACGGTTCTACTTCCAGGAGGGTGACCATCTCGCCGTGTGAGTGGAGGCCAACAACGGGGTAGAACCCCCCGGGAGGGGCGGCCAGAGGAGGAGACGTGTAGATCTGAAATGTCAACAGATTCATGATGGAAATAATTAAAATATGGCTACATGTCTTTCATAGTAGGTGCATATGTTTATGTTTAAAAAATGTAACATAAATTATCGTGTAGTAAGTATAAACTAAAAGCAACATGCATATTAAATATAATTTTCTGGCTTATGACATCGGAGTAGAATCTGAAATTTTAGGTCACTTACCGCTCTTTCGTTTCTGTAAAATGTGACAGTGTTTTTGGACATGTTCAGTGAACAGGCCATTACTTCTCCAACACTGACTCTTCCAAACGTGTGCCGGGGAAACCCAGTAGCCACATAGATCCTGACGACAAGAGCACGCCATTCAACAATATAAGTTCAACTGTCTATGTTCGATACCATGGTGCGTTTCCCGTGGGAGGAGCGCCAATACAGTGATTTACCACTTTTGTTAAACCCGCGTGCAGGTTCTGGTTCGGACAAATCCAGTCACGTTAAAAGCAGATATTTTACCAATTCAATACCTTTCTGACAAAGCCACCGCATGGTGTCACGTCAGTTGAGTTTTCGGGGCAATCAAGCAGCGTTGAAGCCACTAAAGTATCGGCAATACGAGCGCAACATCCGGAGCGTCATGCCTGATAGTTGTATCTCGCTGTAGCTGTAACGAACTCAAATGGGTAGTTACGAATTTGGTGAACTAATACCTTGTTGTTTCTGAGTGTTAGGTAACAAAGGGTGTATTGTCGTTTGTGCTTTGTGTGGGCATTCTATTGCTGGACAGAAACTGCGCTTGAAACTTGAAAGCTTAGTGTCGGAAAGCTGACATTGGATTTGAAACCAGCTACAGGTTCACCTAACAAAACCTCCAAATTCAGGGTTTGTCAGATGTTTTACTACGAGACATCGAATACGAGTAAAATATTTGAAAACAGTTAAGAATCACGAATAGTGCAAATCTGGGATTCCAACCCACGATCGTCGGACTTAGAGTTGCAAGTCTGCACAGCAATTCATGACACTTAAACAGACTGGGTCACTCCTACCTCCTGCAAGAGACGTTTGTCTTCTGGTTATGAGGCTTCTATGTCTATGGCATCGTATCAACATGTTAAGTAATGTATACTTTACACCTTAAACGATGTGATACTGTTAACATTGTTGACGACGGCCATACACATGTGAGGACATAAGTGTGCCGTTAGTCGTACCCAATTTAGTTCTTATACATGTTATGTTATTTCCTCACCCTCCGTCGTCTGCGTGGTACCCCACGGAGTTGGCCTCCCACCCTGGCTGCCTGTGGGCGGGGTAGTGTCTGTTACACACTCCTATAGCTATGTAGCAGTGCATGCCGGGATTGGCGATCTCTGAAGAGGAATACACAGCAGTAGTAATCGGAGGTTTTTAAGTAGACCAAGTTGTTATGTGTGCCTTATATTTGTTTGTTGTTAACTCATCCATGTTATTACAAATTAAAGCCTGTAACAATACAAAGTTGTGATCAATAATTACATATCCAATTTTGGTCACCAAAGGATATCTATTTGCGTGTCACCCCAATACACTATGATGCATTGTATCGTACACAGATGGTAATATTACCATTATTTTATAATACCTATTGAAAACCTGTTACTCGCTGGTGTCAACGGCTTCGGTCCAATAAACTGAGCCACTGGTAAGTCTGGTGAAGCAGTTTCGTATCTGTAATAATAATAATAATAATAATAATAATAATAATAATAATAAATCCAATGAAATTATTTATATTATTGAATTTTCTCTCCCTTTTGACACTAATGTGATTGCCAAGATTCAGGAAAAAACATGGCAAATATGCAGACCTCGCGTTCGAAATGTCACGCTTGCATCCCAAGTACCAAGTTGTCCGATTCCCCATTGTTCTCGGCGCCGTAGGTTTGCTACCTCCCAATCTGTTGACTGATATTGGGAGAGTACCCGGGTTTGCTACCAGGAATACAGCCCTTCTGACAATCTGGGTAATGCAGAAGGCTGCAGTGTTGGGGAGTCTTCACATTCTCCGAAAAATTCTAAGTGGGTTTGACTAGGCAGCGCTTCCTGGGAGAAGTCCCATTCGCTGTCTGGGCTGCCTGTAGAGGGGGCAAGGACCCTGAGCCGATGATGAGCCTAACCAGCCTGACTGTACGAGGATCACCCAAACCCTCTTTGCTGCATTTTTAAAATCTGTACATAATAATAATAATAATAATAATAATAAATATATATTAATAATAATAATAATAATGATAATATGAATAATACCATGAGAAAGAATGGCCGACCTGATCACGAACACATCGCTGCTATACATGACTGACTCACAATGTATAGAACTCCATTCAAGTGACGCCTGAGTAAAATATATGCACAGTAACAAGACTAAGTCCAGATCACTGCATGTCAAGTTACAAAACGTGTGTGGAATTGGTTGCTAAAGGAAAAAGCGGGGTGAGGGGTGGGTATGTGTGTGTGGAGTGGGTAGTCCGACTCGCTACCGTGTTTGTTCGTCGCACCGGAGACCAGAGGTCTAACCCTACATGGGTACAATATGTGAATTCCTTTTCAAGTTTCCCCTGATGTGATATAAAACCAAACTCGTTCACAAAGAGGGTTATAACAGATAACCTTTGTTGTTACATACTTCAGTTCTCCCGTCCGTTGGTCGACTGTCATCTCTCGGCAGTGCAGGCTGTGATAGACAATGTGTGCGGCCATTTTGTCAACAGAGCTTGAAGGGCAGCAATACATATCCTTGTCAGATAATAAATACCAATGTGAAGATGAAATAAAAGTTTACTGTTTTAATGAAGTGCAAAAATACACTTCATTGTGGAGGCGACCAAAAGTAAAGACACACACACAATATACTTACATAAATGAAGTAGTTTCGCTTGATTACGATATGGAAATTCATCTGTTTTTGTCACATTCGTAAATGCTATGTATGCAATATGTAATCATATATGTTAAAAGATAAACCCCGAAAGAGAAGAGGCTTACATATTGTGTACAGCAATATACCCCAGCAAGTTCAGTGTACATGTATATATTCCGAGACATGTCGGCGACAGGGTATTAATGACAGTATGACATGACGTGGTTTTCCTCGAGAGCCCGAGCTGTGTTTAGAACACGTTACCATACGCCTATAGCGCGACCCCGTTATAAAATCTAACGCCTGCTTCAAAACTGTATAGTTTTAGGGTATGAACAAATATCATTACTTTGCTGAAAATAGGATGAAATGGAGATTATTTGGCGTAAGAAACCCTCGTTCCTTATTATAACCTTTATGTTATACATCTCAACATGTAAGACTTTCTATTTGCAAGTGAAGGTGAATACATTTTCGCCTTGTTTGAGAAGACACGGCAGTCGAGCAGTCGTGCACACGACACACTAAGGGACGTAACTCTAATGTCTTATCCCCGGCTGATATGGATCGCCCATTGAAAATCCATTGACAAGCCATAATTATTAGCCCGGCAAGGGGGTGTAATACGGGTCTGTGTTATTACACCCGCTGTGATATGTCCGTCTCTATGTTGGCTCTATGCGACATACCTCATACCGTTGAAAGGTATCTGTTATATATCACAACACTCCATCTAAGTCTTCAGTTGGAGTAAACATTACGAATCTGTAGCGTTTTAGTATCATATAACCAGTCACTCGCTTCATCCATACGATGTCTCTAGATAAATGAGTGCGCACGTGTAACAGCGCCGGAGTGTGTGTGTGTGTGTGTGTGTGTGTTGTGCGCAAGCAGACCACATGGCTGCCGACTGCACTTGACGGAGTGTATTTGCATGTAATGAGAGAATACACCCTTTCCCCGGAAAGCCGAGTGTTTGTTGTAGCTGCCAAAGTCATTACAGAATCATATCAGCTGCAGTGTTCTGACAGTATATCAGCGACGCGACTCAGCTTTCCTTCCTATTTTTAGAACAAGGAAGTATTCACATGTGAGAAATGATTGTCGCCTATATCACAACCGCGTTATAGAATTATATATTTTTCTTGTGACGTCACTCTTTTATTCTACCCATGTATTTTTCCCCCTATATAAACGATTTCATTGTCATCCAGCAGTCGCTGCGCAACATCGTTTGTTATTCTTTCGAATGCACGCTATTTCTTTCTGTTTTCATTACCACTGCATGAGAAACACGGTACATCTTCCACGGTGTCACATAAAATATTATGACACCAACCGATTGGCTTTATGCACAGGTATCTAATTCAATTACTCTTTTCACACTACTCGTACAGTTTTCCATTGCGGTTTACTTTCGCTTTCGGGTCATAATATATGTGCAAGTGTGTGTGTGTGTGTGTCAGAGAGGGAATGAATAAACAGGAGTACTACAATCCTACAGTTTCAATGGAAACATGTCAATATCATGCATGCAAGTATTTTCTTGACACCTGATTTTGGTAAACGTTGGAATACGTGAAATATTTGTATATACACCAAGATTTCATGAGCGAGACTAATGAATTGAATTGTGGACAGACGTACAATGTTCATCGGCTTTCCTCACCTACTTACGTCATTTACCGTCGCTAATGTTTCGACTTGACCATATGCTGTGCTTTGAATGTTGTCGTGTATTCAGTATTCAGTGTACATTTCAAGGGACGCAACTCTAGCAGGGTCGCTGACAAAGTGTCCAAGGCTGTGGTGACGAATGACATTGCGATCGATTCCCAGTTCTTTGGGGTTATAAGATATTAATTTGCATTTGTTATCTCGACTGTGTATGCATGTATTTTTTTATTTGTATACGATGGCTGATGTACCACTGTTGAAAGGTCTGTTGTATGAGAATTAAATGCATCTTGAATCTTGAAAGTTGTACCTGATCCGCAAATGAGAAGCTGGGTACCTGTTGTGATCTCGAATAATGTGAGAATAGACTAATACATGTTCCGCTTCCTTACTATAACATCAATTTTCAATTTCAATTCTTTATTGTATGAAAAGCCATAGGCCCATATACAACGGAGTTACATAACATATTTTATAAGATACAAAGTCAAGGTTAACTCAACACTTTATAGGTAAACTGCATGTAATCATCGCACATGTATTCACAACGTTTGTAAATGATGTATTACTTGAAGATTACGTTTTTTGAATTTTCAAATTTTGTGATCGGTAATCCGAGCAAATATGACCCAGTTATGAAAAGGAAACCCAACATGCCCATTAAAATATATAATGCTAAACTATGTTAGAGCTTCTGATTTCATAGCTCTTTATTTTATAATTAGAAGGATTATCAATGATGGGAAGGGTGATGTGTTATAATATATACCTATTTGAGAGTCTAAACGTTCTTACTAATAATTTTGCCGAATGTTTGACATACATTGCCTGAAGGAATTGGAACATATTATTGATACACGTCCATGTCTTTGGTGGACAAAATGTCTCTTGTGCTCGGCAGTAGTGAGGACTGGCATCACTGTGTTTATACCATCATGTTTCCGTGTTTTTGTTAGGTGAACGGTTGACTGGCCTTTGCATGTATTTGTGACGGGTGCCATCGGTGGGGCTGGATACGCTCACATTTTCCTAAGACCTGCATCACTTCGGGCTTTCCTCCCACACTAGTCTCACACGCCGTGATTTAACGAAAATACTGATCAAAGTGGCGGTTACCTCACTCACTGCGGACCGAAGAGCAGATCACTCGTCCACAGAATTCACAAACAGAAATCACATGCCTACATACACATAAGACACAGATTAAACACTTGCTCAAAGCGATCTTAGGCGCTACAAATATAGTAAATCCTTAAGATCGCGATCTCAGGCTTCGGCTACAATCGCCATCCACTTGCACAAAGCGATTGAAGGCTTAGATCGTTGTAAGCTACAATCGAAACCATTGGTCCGGAACAAATCTTAAGGTCTTTCAATCGACCAAGATGGCGTCTACGTTGCTATTTTGCGAAGAATATGGCAGATTTATAACGAGAGAACGGGTTTGTAGAGACATCTGTGTCAAAACCACAAGCATAGCGAAGACGGTAATACAATTATTATTAGTATCATTATTATTATTATTTACGGATTAAAAAAAAAATGCAGCAAAGAGGGTTTGGGTGATCTTGGCACAGTCAGGCTGGTTAGGCTCATCATCAGCTCAGGGCCTTTGCCCCTCTACACGCAGCCCAGACAGCGAATGGGACTTCTCTCAGGAAGCGTTGCCTAGTCAAACCCACCCAGAAGTTTTCGGAGAATGTGAAGACTCCCCAACACTGCAGCCTTCTGCATTACCCAGATTGTCAGACGGGCTGTATTCCTGGTAGCAAACCCGGGTACTCTCCCAATGTCAGTCAACAGTTTGGGAGGTACCAAACCTACGGCACCGAGAACAATGGGGAGTCGATCCGGTGTCCCGTTATAAACTCTCCCCTGTACTAATTCGGTATAAACTCTCCCCCGTACAAATTCACCCCCCGGAGATTATATACCGGTACAGATTCTCCCCCGGAGAATCTGTTCTGAAATAAAATCTCCCCCGGGCGGATATATTTCGCGCCCCCCTCAGTATAAAGTCTCCCCCCTGATTATTCGGTTTGTTGCAATGTCTTTAAGTACTATATTCTTTAAATAGTTATCTTTAATGTAAGGAGGGTTACTTTAAAAAATAGATTATGAAATAGGTCATAATGAATTGATATTTCAGAATATTTTATTTGGTAACTGTACCTTCCATCCTAAAATAATTAAAAGACATAATCATACCAAACAAAGGATGGGAGACAAGAGTCTCTACAAGGTTTGTTGTTTCTAATACAGTTGTTGTTGTCTGTATACATTTTTTTAATATACCAGTTTGAGTCTACATGTGAACACAATCGATGGTTGAAATGTTAGTCTAAGAACAAAACATGAATTAATTCTCAAGAACTCTGATGTATAAAGTTACCTTCATCTTTGATTGACTGATGTATTTTCAATCTTTATCCAGCACTGAAGAGGCCACAGGCCTATAGTACGAAGCATTAAGTTTATGAATAATCAGCGTTGATTTTGACTCCATAAACTATTATAAAGTATTCATAAAGTATCAGGGATCATTTCAACTTGCAAAATGATTGACATAGTCCTTTATAGAGCGAGGATTGGGCTGTTTTCTCACCCGATTGACTGATAATACAACATGCACATGGTTTAGAATGGTACAATGAATGGTAAAGCATGCAAATTACACTATTACGCGATATTTCATAAGAAAATATCATATCTCCGTTGATACATAAAACCAATATTTAGGAGTCTACATATTGATATAAGACTTTATCACTGTATCCAATTCCAACATTTTAGATAAAAACTTTCGGACAGTTCAGTTAAAAATTCTTCAACCTTTAATACATCACAGGATTTGTAGCTAGACGACGGGAATCTACAGTCTTACTTACTTACTTACTTTGGAGATTTAACGTGCGCTTTCCGACTGATGCGTATTTCGCACACGGGCCCGGCCAGGCCATTTAATGTGTTTCCGAAAGGGGCGAAAGTGGTGTGTGCAACCCAAGAGGGGGCTTTAGGGGTTGCTTATTTAGAATTTGGGAATTTTGAGATTTGGAATAGATGCTGATGGGGTAGAGGAGGAAACTAAGGGAGCTGAGTATGGTGGATGTTTGTGTGTTTATGTAATTTTGATTTGGTAGATTATAGTGTTTTTAAGATGCGTTTTATTAGTTCCGTTTTGATTAAGAATACGCCTAAGGCCTTGAAGTTTTCTAGTTTATTTTGTGGTTGCTTCTAGAGTGAGAGCCTTGTTTAGATTGAGGGTGGTTTGTAATGTGGTTCGATGTGTTGGGTAGTGTGTGCAGTGGATGAGTGCGTGTTCTGGGGTTTCTAGTTGTTTGCAGTGTGGGCAGTTACCTGTAGTATGTTTTTTAATTTTGTTTAGGTGGTTATTTAGGTTGGTGTGTCCTGTTTGGAGTTTAGTGATTACTCTGTCGATTTTTTTTGATGGATGGAGAATTTTTGGTTTGGTTAGTGGTTTGCTGAGTACTTTTTTGATTTGGCTATTTGAGTTTAGATATAGGTTATGCAATTTTTTGGTGATATTTTTGCTTATTTACGCTTTTAATTTCTGATTTTGAGTTTGGTAAGTTTAAGCTTATTTCTGGGATTTTGAGGGATAGTTTAGCTGCTTTATCGGCGTTTTCATTACCCTATATATACGTGGGCGGGTATCCACAAGAAGTTTATTTGTTTGCCTGCGTTAGTTAGGTCGTTGGAGCTTTTAAGTATTAGATTTA